CACAACAGTTGGGAAGCGACTTTAGCGTCTAATAATCATATCCTGTGCCTGAGTCCCCATAGTTCTCGTGGGCCCATTCGCATGCCTGATGACTTAAGTTACTGAAAAACACACTCAAAAACACACACACGGGTACGTAACAGCAGAAATACGGCGACGTATCTTTTGATTTTATACAGCGCAATACTGCCTTTTTTTTAAAAAAAAATATGCTTTTATTAATCTACATACTGCTACTACTACATACCGCTGCCACTGCCACTGCCACTGCCACTGCCACTGCCACTGCTGCTACTGCTGCTACTGCTGCTACTGCTACTGCTGCTGCCACTGCCACTGTCACTGCTACTACTGCTACTGCTGCTACTGCTGCTACTGCTACTGCTGCTGCCACTGCCACTGTCACTGCTGCTGCCACTGCTTCTGCCACTGCTGCTACGGGTAGTCCTGGCTGAGACGACAAACTTTTGGACGCGGCCATCCCGGTTCATCGTTATGCTCGTCGACACTGTGCACGGGTACTTTTTTGCATTCGAAATCTTGGTCACAATTTTCATGATTTTAAAGAAAAGAAAGAGAGAGAGAGAGAGAGAGAGAGGGAGGAGCAAAGTAGCAGAAATTATTTCCATGCAGTGCTTTTATATCTTATCTGTTCGCTTGGGCAGCTGATCCAAAAAAGGAAAAAAAGAAAATTGACAGCGTCACTTGCCAGCCCAGGTGATGCCATGTTACACCGACAAGCACACTCTGGACACGCCAAACTATGGGTCTGTCGTCTCCCGAGGCATTCGGAATGCAACCTCACTGACATTCCCCTTTGCAATGTGCACTCTCCAGGCTACACGTACACACTAGTCTCGTCTTTCTACAAGGCTCTCATCAAGTGTCTACTTAATTGACGCGCTTTTCTTTTACTCGACACTGAGGTTACACAAGGTCTAGGCTATCGATAAGGGCGCATGACGGGGGCATTGTCTTTTGGAAAGCTATACCGGCGATCCGTGATTCCAAGTGGCAATCGGAACAATGCTTACAGAAGCCCCACTACGCTTTGTATTCTTCCGCGCGTTTGAAAGTACAGGCGCGTGTGACATCCAGGAGATTAGCAGACTCTCGCTGTCTATGTCCCTGCGTTTTTGTACTCTGGCGGTGCATCTGCATTGTCTCTAGGATGATCGTCCAAAAAGAACTCTTCATTCTTGTCGCTGTTGCGGCTGCTGCTGTTGACGCTACGGCCATCGTTCTGGTGGTGTTGTTGGTACATTGCTTATCTACAGGTCACCTTCGTTACGCGTCTGCTAGTGCTTGTCGTTACCTTTGTTGGTGACGTTCGTTCCCTAAAAGAGAAGTGGGAGTGAGAAACGAAGTGCTTTATGTGGACGAGGAGAAGAGACGGAAGAGAGTGGTTTTGATCGGGAAGCAATATAAATCAAGTCTCTCTTTTCTTGTTTAAATAGCACAGAGCAGCTCGCATTAAAACATCGATGCTCGACCGGGTTGCACGCAGTCTGTAAGGTCTCATAATGCATGTGCACACACCAGGAACATCAAGATGGCCATCATAGAGGAAAGCGGATGTGCGTTTAGCGTCATTGATAGTGGCGTCTATGTATTAGTTTTCTCTCTGTCTCTCAACGACATATACCTACATTTTAATATTGTACAGCCAATCTAAATTTGAAATCCGCATTAAATTACTTTTTTTTTCAAGGGGTGAAAAGTGTAGCATAGCCACAAAAGTTGTTCGCCAGTCAAATGAACATACCTTTGGCGATAAGGAGAAGGTGTCAAGTACCATGAGCTGTAAAATTGATGTAATTGTTGAACATGACGAATTTGAGCTTTCTGCCTCTGAACGGAGATCGGCTGGGGCAGATGATGGCTTGCAAGACAAACAATTAACAAAAACCTTCGGGTGAATGCCTGCGTCCTCCTCCAAATGCTCCGATTACCGTTTGATGCAAAAGAAGAAGCCAAGGATGATATCTCCATTTTATCCATGGAATGGACAGGTAAATAAACAAATTTATACTTTTTTTTGCTATAATAAAAGGTCTTGAGTCCTCAATTAATTATCTTTTTTAGGGGCGGAAGGAAAAATTATCTCGATCAGACGATATGATGGATGTTTTGTTTCTTGTCCTATTGGCAACGTGTACCTCCCAACAACATTGGATGATATAGAGGATTTTCACAAAACACTCGGATTACTGGTTTACTGGAAGGTGAGGGCATTTTTGGTTACTGTGGCACTGTCTCAAGGGATGACAGAGACTAATTATATGTTAAACAATTAGAATGAGCACCTCAGATTACGAAATTTGATCCGGGTCCCGTTGTGAAGAAGAAGGAGAGAAGACCGTGCACAAACAAATGGCACCTCACACATAAGCACCTCAGCAACCTCAGACCCAGATGTTTTTTTTACACCTACGCGAGATAAATCATCCAAATAACATTGATCTCTACGATAACCCACTCGATGCCTATTCCATCTTACTGCATATATTCTCCTTCCCTGTCATAACAACCTTTATTATCATTATATACTGCTATATACTTGTTGATAATATTACATCGTATATATGCCAAAATACTCTATAGTCTATTCACAGTGTATTCCCAAGATTTAAAATAAGTATATAGTATCTATGCGTTTAAAAGTTCATTTGATATACAGTAGTGCGGCGCTTCATGTTTTAACATGCTTTGCGTAGTGTGTTAGATTACTCCTATGGTCAAAGAGAAAAGGAGAGAGGGAAGAAATATAATACACGATTGAAAACAAGAGCTACGGATTGATATTTACTGTCAGGAGTGTTGTAATATATTCAGATAATCTAATGGTTCTTCGAGGCGAATTATACGTAATTGGTTTCGTTGACATGGCCATGATCTCGAAAGATTACTGTATGCTGTGTGTTATGCATCTTAGACATAAAGTGATTTTAACATTACGTAGGATTCGTAAATAATGATATCCACGTAAGGAATATGACAACATCATCCATAACAAAGTGATCTTTTATTCATGTAATAGAGTTCAACAATATATATATTGCTTCGCGTGAGCCATGGACGATCTTCTATACAACTTGGTCTGAGTGTAGGCTATCTTGTCACACAAGTGCTGTAGTCCTTATTAATAGAGAATGATTACTTTATACAGCTACGTCATTTCAATACAATTGTTACTTGCTGAAGAAGTCATCGATACACTTTTCCAGTTACAGTCCTCTCATCCAGAGTGATTGTTAATCTTTATACAGATAAATAATAAAAAAGGTGGGAGGGGAATACAATGACTGCAATAGCGGTGTACAAGAAGAGAACGCGTCAAACAGAGTTATTATGATGGCTATCTCTGGCATTCAATCTTGTCAGATTCGTATGAGGCTTCATTACAAAGTCTTTGGTCTGTAGGATGATAGGATATATTGATTTCTTGCTCTATTGCGTATACAATAAAAGTATTAGCTTTAGATCGGTCATCAATGTTAGGTGTTAGAAATTTGATGCGCTTATTTACTATAAACCACCAAAAACCCCTAACAAACTATCACTACCATCCTCCCTTCATTGTATCTATTAAAATATAAACATTCGACCTTTTATTTACCTATTCAACACAACACGCATCAGCAAAAGAACCATACGAGAAGGCAAGATCAATTCGACGACTACCAAGCACAAGGCAACAGCAAACAAAGATTTTTGCTACCACCGCCAGGTGGAGGAATTTGTCATGGCACGGATAGTCAACAAGTCCACCTGAATTGCTCGCGACAGCTTAAAGCCACATCCTTTCAAGGTCCCTGGAATGCGGGAAAGCTTTTAAATCTTTTATCGAGAATTGTGTCGCATTTGACAATGCAGGTTCTTTTTTTGTGAAATAGATTGAAAAGTGTCTGTCAAAATATAAAGATGCAATATTATTATATGATGGAATAAATACTTTTATAAGCATAGAATAATACGTACCAGGGGAAAAACAATCCGAACACTAAGACATCGTTGATCAATCAACTGGGAAAAGGATTCATTTAAATTAAATTAAATAAAATGAATGAATTACTGACTAAATATTCCAAAAGGCCATATCCAAAAATAATGTTCATGTATCGCCAGCAACAAAAGAAAATTCACAGAAAAAAAGGGTTGATTCAATAGCATTACTATTTGCGTATACTTGAAACGATGGGAGTGTTGAAACTTGTTAATTGCCGAATAGGAGAATTGCTTTGAGCAGCGTTACCCATTATTCCCATAGGTTCGACTAAGTAGTAAAACCTTAGTACGCAAAGTTTTGGCTCTTGGCGTGATAAACAACTGCATGCACTGCAATCGTTTTCTCGTAGCAACAGCCTCCTCTCGCTTACAGCGATTAAATAATTATGTGCTACTACTTGCAATCATAGTATGCACAATCTTTGAGAAACCTACTGTCGCCTTCGTCATCCTCATCTACGCCTTCGCTAAAGACCGTGATCCGGGAGTAAATGACGCTATATTTGCAATAATGACGAAAATAGAAACGTTACGACACGTTGATTTTCAACATTTGACCATTGTATCATCCTCGGGTATTCACTGAACTATTTATCACTTCCCATATTGTTGGCAACCGTCTGTTGATGATCGGCCTCGTAGCACTCAGACAAATTTTTGGGTCTTTTGGATTGGTAAATGACATAAAACTACAAGATATACCAAGAGTGGGCGATGAAGGCATACGCGTACTCGTCACCAACCAAAATTGAATTCACGGAAAGCTGGAGAACTTTAGAAATAGAAGTTTTGCTTTAGCTAGTGAGAGAGTTTTTGCTATGTACATGATTATTGGTACCTACAGTGTAAATTAGGTAACACTTAAACCGATAGCTATTGTTCTAAAAAAAAGCGCGTTTATAAACAAGATGCAATACAAAACGTAAGCCTGCATATAGATAGTGCCAGTGGGCACATCTTATATGCATATCAATGCATATGTCGTAGAGAATATGACGCGAAACAGGGTCGTTACGGCGACAGCGCATCTGTCTTCAGCACATAGCAAAGCTCATTCTCGGAGATTAAGTTGGTGGTGGTGGCTCTTCCTTTGAATTGTTTGTCAGATCAACAGCAAGCTACTCACGAGCAGCAATGGCTATATGATTGATACGTACAGCTATAATTTTATTCAATTATGGTAACAGATCAAAGCTGAAATTTCTTTTACTTGGTAAAGAATATTAAAATGATGGTGACAACCGATCTCCAGTAGTACTGAGCTGTACAAGTTCTGCTTCACTCTCTTCAACATCGTCGCCATTTACACCATTACAAGATGGCAATTATAAGCATCTACTGTTGCCCTATCGCTTCTCCGCCCATCATCAGCATCATTTTGATAATAGAGACCTTCAGCTCTTTAATTGTGGGGCTTCCAGAGCTCCAGGAAAGCGAACAGGGTCAAAAGCATTGCAGTAACGTTCAGCAAGCTTGATCAATATTACTAGTATAATGGATCGTATCGTTTCCCAAATGCTATGCACGCGGCAAGACCTGTTAATGCCTTGAATGATCGTCCACATGGACGTGCGTTGTCAGTTATGAAAATAATACGGATACTGTTATAACAAAGTATAACGGCACGAGGATATGTAATGATTGTGACAGCTAATAATTCCTGTTCTCGCTGTCACCATCTTCTTCACTAAATCGTAGTGGTTGCTCGTGTAATTGTTGAGATGGATATATTATTGGATGATCGATTATAAAATTCTAGATTAAGATCTGCACTATGTTCAATTAATCACTTTGAGAAAGATATACGGCATGTAAATGTATTTGATCTTTCTACACAGTTTATGCGTGCATTAAATTAGCGACTTGTCAAAATTAAACTTCAGACAGAACTCCTTGTAGCAGTCTGTCCTCTTCTTGCCTTAATCCAATCCAATGGTGCGTATATGATCCATCCATCCGTTCGAAATAGCCATCCATCCGTCTATCTACAGATGTCTTCGTTCTGTCCCACTCAATCTATCGACACATACGATAAACGATGAATATACGACCCTTTTTTTCCTTCCTCACGACGACATTCGACATTTTGAGATTGGGAGGGATGGCTGTTTGAATGGATGTGGAGGCCTCCGAAAATTATGCACGAGATTTGCAGTCAATTCGAAGGAGATTAATGCTCATTCTTTATTGTTGTATCAATGACAAATTAGGCTGCCGTCAAAGCATACGAACTTCGCAACAAGAACAAGGCCGAGCTCTTGAAGACTCTTGACGAGCAAAAGCAGGAACTCGCTTCCCTGCGTGTTCAAAAGGTCGCTGGCGGTTCTGCTTCCAAGCTTCACCAAATGTAAGAATTCATTTGTCTCTTTATATCTCCTCGTTGGATATACACATGAAAAAGCAAGGTTATGCGTGCACATATATAAAAAGAGGATGTTAACATGGCTTTTAATATGTGTAGTGGATTGGCCCGCAAGAACATTGCCCGTACGTTGACCGTCATCAACCAGACCCAGCGCGAACAGCTCCGTCTCTTCTACCAAAAGAAGAAGTACATCCCCATCGACCTTCGCGTCAAGAAGACCCGTGCCATGCGTCGTGCATTGACTCCTTTTGAACGCAAGCTCAAGACCGAGAAGCAGCAGAAGAAGTTGAACCACTTCCCCCTTCGCAAGTATGCTGTCAAGGCCTAAAAAAAGAAATAAAATGAACGGGATTATTTTACCTCACGCATAACCAAAAGCGAAAAAAAAGGGGGGAGGGGATGCAAAGCGTGTATCTACTTTTAACATTCATTGTTTCTCTTCCTCTCTTTTCCTATCGTTTCCTAGTTATTTTTATAAAAGAAAAAGTACAATGTGCTCATATTAATGCATAAATGCATGCTTGTCAAAGTTCAGAAATAGTTTCTTTCTCTCTTCTGCATCCACGCCCCCCCCCCCTCCGAGGATCACTTCCTTTGCGAATTTCTTTTTTAATTTTCTGCTGGGAAAAAGCTGTTGCGGAACGGATCTGCTACTTGGTGGCGGGAAAATGAAAAAAAGGTTATGCCATGTGCGCTTAACCATCTATCACTATGAAAACAATGAAGGGGGCTAGCAATGTATTATTTATATAATTCATTTAATTACGTACCCTGTCTCTCATATAGCGACAACGGCGACAACGATATCGACGACGCTAAGGATAACTCGCAGGCGCAATTATGGATCAACAAAGAGGTCAGTTGTTCTCATTTTTTATATAAAAGGATCAAACGAGCTTTCAGCGTTTTTGCCTCCATCCCAACCCGTTCCTCTCGTTTATCATCTATCTTATAGACATTTCCATTCCAATCCTTTATCTTTATTAACATCCATATACTTATTCCTTATATACAATATCCCAATATCCCAATATCGCGTTGCATAGACATTCGATTCATACTTATCCAACCCAGGTTCATTATCTGTACATAACATCCTCGCATTCTATATCTTACATCCAACATACCAGTCGCAGTACAACACCACCTAATAATATCAGCAACAGTAATAACAATAATGTCATCACCCACGCCCTCATCATCCTCGTCCGTCTCAACGTTGTCTTCCGCACCAGCATCACCAATGCCTCTCCACGAAACGCTTACGCCTGCTCAGCAGCAGGATTTGGCCACTCTTGCCGCGATTACCGAGACGCGCCGTAGACTGCGCGTTCGTGCTAGACCGCCTCGTCCAGCCCAGAAGAAAAAGGACACCGGACGTATTCCGCGTCCTGTGAACTGCTTCATGGCCTATCGATTGGAGAAACAAAAAACGATCGCCGACTTATTGCCAGGGGCTAATCATCGGGATATTTCCAAACTTGTGGCGAACTGGTGGCGTGACGAGCCCGAGTACATCAAGGAAAAGTACCGTGCGCAGGCGGAAAAGACGAAAGAGGAGCATTCGCAAAAGTAAGTAGATTCAATTCGGAGTATGCGATCTCATACCAAGAGAGGAAGGGAGATCGGTCGTTGCAAGTGCTCACAATCAATCGTTCTTTCAAGATATCCTGACTACAAGTATGCTCCCATACGAAAGCGTGCCTATAACATCAAGCGGCGTGTTGCTGTCCCTGATTCATCTGAGGATGAACAGTCTTCGGATACAAGTAGCCCAGCTTCGTTGTCGTATCCATCCTGTCAGTTGCATCTGTCGCACTCGCCGCTTTTACAATCGCAGGAGTACCATCATCATCAGCAGCAGCAACACCAGTACCATCATCGCCAACAGCCAGTTGAGCCGTCGTATCAATGGACCATACCTCCCTTGCCAGCGCTTTATCCCAACGCCTGGTTGTGGAACCCCAGCAACAACAGCAGTGATCCAATGCTCGGTGGGGATGATGGTAGTATGAGCACCTACTGCACTCCTTCGTACGGGCCAGCAAGAGCGTCCGTGCTCAGCCACGACACACTGCCGCCAGCAGGAGAAGGACCAATCGGATCAAACTACACGTACTATAGCGACTTTATGCTTATGGATGGTAGTGGTAGTAGCGTTGGTCAAGAAGCTAGTGGTTTCTTCTAGAAGTCGTTGAGGATATATTGAAAAAAGTAAAACCCGGGCTGTTGATTGGTTATTTGATTTTGGTCGTTCTTGATTCGCGAGGGGTGGGTGAAGGAAAGCCGATGGAACCTGCTGGAAAGAGGTGACTTGTATATCTGTATTGTAAAGTAGCTGGATTTAAAAATGTTTTTTTTGTTGTGCCGCTGCCATAAAAGCAACGTATTCTTTGGTTTACTTTCTGCTTCTCCCCTTTTTTTTTTTCTTCTTCCAACAACCTCTTCTTCAACCATGAGCGCTGAAACCGAAACCTTCTCTTTCCAAGCTGAGATCTCTCAGTTGATGAGCTTGATCATCAACACCTTCTACTCTAACAAGGTATAATATCATCCAGAGAAAGTGGGGGAGTGGGGAGCGTTATTATAGGTGACGCGTCAACAAGTGTTGTTGTTGTTGTTATTGATGCTGTTCGGGGAACTGCTGCGTGTGAAAGGAAGCGACAAGTAGAAGGGTTGATTGCCAGGGAGGAGAACAGGAGCGGACAGGATTTGTCAATACTGACTTTTTTTTTTTTGCCATAGGAAATCTTCTTGCGTGAGTTGATCTCCAACTCCTCGGATGCTATTGACAAGATCCGTTACCAGTCGTTGACCGATTCCTCCGTGCTTGAGGCTGAGAAGGAATTGTTCGTTCGCATCATCCCTGACCGCGAGAACAACATTTTGTCCATCCGTGACTCTGGTATTGGTATGACCAAGGCCGATTTGGTCAACAACTTGGGTACCATCGCCAAGTCTGGTACCAAGACCTTCATGGAAGCCCTTTCCTCCGGTGCTGATATCTCCATGATTGGTCAGTTCGGTGTCGGTTTCTACTCTGCCTACTTGGTTGCCGACAAGGTCCAGGTCATCACCAAGCACAACGATGACGAGCAGTACATCTGGGAGTCCTCTGCTGGTGGCTCGTTCACCATCACCCGTGATGAGGTCAACCCCTCGCTCGGCCGTGGTACTGAGATGCGTCTCTTCTTGAAGGAAGACCAGGTAAGGTTCTATATCCTGTGTACGCACGCGTACCGGGGGGGGGGAAGGGTGATGGAATCAAAGAGAAGGACAAAGATTTTTGTATCAGAAGCTTACGCTGTATTCTGTTTTTTTTTTGACAAAATAGCTCGAATACCTTGAGGAGCGCAAGATCAAGGACATCGTCAAGAAGCACTCTGAATTCATCTCGTACCCCATCCAGCTCGTCGTCGAGAAGGAAGTCGAGAAGGAGGTCAGCGATGACGAAGAGGGCGAAGAAGTCAAGGAGGGTGAAGAAAAGCCCAAGATCGAAGAAGTCGAAGACGAGGAAGACAAGAAGGACGAAAAGAAGAAGAAGACCATCAAGGAAAAGACCACCGACACTGAAGAGTTGAACAAGACCAAGCCCTTGTGGACCCGCAACCCTGATGATGTCAAGAGCGAAGAATATGCTCAGTTCTACAAGGCCTTGACCAACGACTGGGAAGACCACTTGTCGGTCAAGCACTTCTCCGTTGAAGGTCAGCTCGAGTTCCGCGCCATCCTGTTCATTCCCAAGCGTGCTCCCTTCGACTTGTTCGAAACCAAGAAGAAGCGCAACAACATCAAGCTCTACGTCCGCCGTGTCTTCATCATGGACGACTGTGACGAACTGATCCCCGAATGGCTCAACTTTGTCAAGGGTGTTGTCGACTCTGAGGACTTGCCCTTGAACATTTCGCGTGAAATGCTCCAGCAGAACAAGATCTTGAAGGTCATCCGCAAGAACTTGGTCAAGAAGTGCTTGGAAATGTTCGCCGAGATCGCCGAAGACAAGGAGAACTTTGACAAGTTCTACGAGTCGTTCTCCAAGAACCTCAAGCTCGGTATCCACGAAGACACCCAGAACCGCCAAAAGTTGGCCGACTTGCTCCGCTACAACTCGACCAAGTCTGGCGACGAGTTGACCTCGCTCAAGGACTACGTCACCCGCATGCCCGAGAAGCAGAAGAACATCTACTACATCACCGGCGAGTCCCGCGCTGCCATTGAGAACTCTCCCTTCTTGGAAGGTTTCAAGAAGAAGGGCATTGAAGTCTTGTTGATGACCGACCCCATTGACGAATACTCGACCACCCAGCTCAAGGAATACGACGACAAGAAGCTCGTCTGTATCACCAAGGAAGGTGTTGAGATCGAAGAAGATGAAGAAGAGAAGGCTGCCCGTGAGGCCGAAGAAAAGGCACACGAGGATCTCTGCAAGTCGGTCAAGGACATCTTGGGCGAGCGCGTCGAGAAGGTCGTTGTCTCCAACAAGCTCACCGATTCTCCCTGTGTTCTCACCACCGGCCAGTTCGGTTGGTCTGCCAACATGGAGCGTATCATGAAGGCCCAGGCCCTCCGCGACAACAGCATGTCGTCCTACATGGCCTCCAAGAAGACCTTGGAATTGAACCCCAGCCACGCCATCATCAAGAACTTGAAGGACAAGATTGCTGCTGATGCCGGTGACCGCACCGTCAAGGACTTGACCACCTTGTTGTTCGAGACCGCCTTATTGACCTCTGGTTTCTCCTTGGACGAGCCCAGCACCTTCGCTTCCCGCATCCATCGCATGGTTGCCTTGGGTCTGTCGATCGATGAGGATGAAGTTGCTGATGAGCCCGCCTCGTCTGCACCCGTCGAGGAAGTCGTCGAGACCTCCAAGATGGAGGAAGTCGACTAAATACCTGTACCGTCACACCCCTTCTCTATCTTCCTACCTCTTACAGCATCCAGCAAAAAGAAAAAGAATCTGTCATTATCACACAACAACAACAACAACTCTGTAAAGCCCTTTTTTCCAAATATCTCCATCGCTTGTTTGGCTTGAATATCATTGCGCTTCCTTAATGTGTACATTCCACTCGTATATATTTCTTTTTTTCTCTTTTCCTTTCAACCAAACCATTTCTTCATCCTTTTTTTCCCGCTCTCTAAAAAACATCATGTTCTTACTTTGTTATTGTCCCAAAAATAAAAAATAAACGTGCGATGGTACTTTTGGTAAATTGAACCCCTGTCCACTTTTGTCCTTTTTTGCCTCATTCCAGCTTTTCGGATGATCAAAGGTTATACTTTCCTATAAAGCTTCAAGTCCCTCTTTTTGGATAATATCTATGCAAATAACCCATGCTATTCCCCATGGGTACAAATCAAAGGTAACCAATTAATAGCATCATTCTCTTCTATCACCTCCTCGCGCCAGGAGAACTGCAGCACCGATGGTTTTACGTATAAGTATGATGATGATATGGGATGTTTAGTTGCTGGTAGTGAAGTTTAAAGGCTACAATGCACTTATATACTCGCGTCATTATACTGTTCTTTTCTATGTTTATACTTTGATATAAACGAGCCGAGGAATAACGCGAAAGCACACGCGAAGATGTTCACCGGTATTGTCAATTAGATGTATGCATTCTGACATAAAGTAGAAAGAACAGCTCCACAACTCTATATGATATTGCAACTTAATCGCATGGCGACCATAGCGATACAAAAGAAGTCAAATCAAATAACAACACGTACATTTCTACTTTTTATCAATAAATCTGGCGACCATTGTTGGGATGTGGAGTTCAAAGGAATAAAGACGTACGACGTAAAGTTGATACAGAAATGACGGGCGTGATAATCTGGGTGGGATGTTCGACGAATCAATTCATAATGAAGGTATGAAGGTGGAAAACCATACTTTGATGCATATTGTGTAAACATTTGTTCTATTATACAGTCAATCAGTCATGTTTTTGACCTTTCTACAAGCTGTTATGAAGACGTTGTTTCCTGTGCATGCATATCATCATTCAATAAATCTTCGATGACTTCCTCTCGAATTGTCACTATACTTGAAAGTATAATATAGAGCGCAGGTGATAGTACTACGGCTACTATACAAGTCGTCAACAAAAAAATCTGTCAAGATAACATGCACGCGTTGTGCTTTTGTATCGAAAGCAATAAAATTAGCAGAACAAAGTAGCTTTTCAGTAAAACACACCTCATGAGGAATTGTTGTCAGTATACGTTTTTAGTTCCTGTGAATTGTTTAGTGTGTGTCACTTGCTAGCCAATCGGTTCGCATGAATGTTTTAACCCGATCCTGATTGTTTAATCATACAGCCGCAGCAAAAGCAAAACCTTCTTTCTAACCTTTGGTTTTTTACAGCGCTTGTTCCAATGCAGATCGATGGTACCGTTGCACGTGAAGCATTAGTTCAACTATTGTTTGAAAATCGAACAGAAGATTCGACGATCGACAATGTCACTGAACGACAGACGCCGCAAACCAAACGACGCAAAGTGGCACCACGAATCGATCTACTTGACATTACCTTTCCAATCCAGATCGGTTCAGCCTGGTCCGATTTGCTCAATGATTGTGGACCCTTGAGCGTTTTTGAAAATCAACTGAACACACTTTGGTCGGTCGAACCCTTCACCATTGCCGATGAGCGTTTCATTAAAGCCCAGCTGACGTTTGCCTCATTGAACGGCGACGACGGTGACAATGACCAACGAGCTACTGCCATTGCGGATAATGAAGTGTTGGTATATGCGGCACAGCCAACGGCCAATGGTAATAATAGCGACAGCAACAACAACAACAACAACAACAACAACAACAACAACAACAACAACAACAACAACAACAACGTGTTTCTGGAGCTTGCGCGTGCTTGTCATTCTCAAGTAGTGCATACGTCGGTTCGTATCCATGTCAACGGCATGCATGTCGAAGCGCGTATGAGCGTGTATGCGGAACTTGACAGCCGAGTGCTAGGCAGCAAGGCATTTTTCAATCTCTTTGACCTCCTTTATCCGTCCAAAATTGCTGCGCCTACCAGCACAACCGTAGACGATTTCTTCCGCCATTTACAGCCGCAAATTTGCAACGAGTTTCTTCCTGCGTATCAACCAGAAGCACTGCTTGCTAAACTGGCACCTTTCCAAACCCAGAATTTGCAGTGGATGGTTCGTTTTTGTTGGGTTTTTTTATCCCAGGAGGAGAGAAAAGTTTGGGAAAATGCTCATGTGTGGCTGACTATCTTTTATTGTGTCCCGGTCACTCGTATTTGTTTAGGTCGAACGTGAAGGGCACAAAGCTGTCAATGGTCAGATCCGTACGCTTGAGGAAAACAATGCGCATGAAATATTGCCATTTTTATGGGAAGAGGTTACCCTTCATTCTGGTCAAACAGTTTTTGTCAATCGACTTTCACGCGAACTACTTGCCGAACCAACGCCTGCTTTTGCGTTTGCCAAATCATTGACCAGAAGTGGTGGTGTACTGGCTGATGAAATGGGTCTAGGCAAAACAGTATGGTATGTATCATAGAACTTCCTGCGCGACTATTATTATCACGCGATCAATCATTAAATCATATCAATCTTTTGTGAATTTCCAGTGCTATCGCGCTTATTCTCCTGCACAAACACAATCGATTTGATCCAAAACATCCAAAGGATGACAGTGTCGAGGGACTGATCACATCGGGCGCCACATTGATTATTACTCCATCAGCCATTATCCGTCAATGGGAATCTGAAATTAACAAGCATGCACCCTCACTTCGTGTAAAAACGTATAAGGGCATCAAAGCTTCTGGCGATAGACAAACGGTCACTGCAAATGAGCTGGCTCAATATGATGTAGTATTGACTGACTACAATGTATGTCATGTTTTCATCAAAGGCTGATTTTTTACCCATTCATGGATTTTATCTAAACCCATTAATTTTCTAGGTCTTGAAAGAAGAAATACATCACGCCCGAGCAATTCCTGATCGTGCACGAAGACATGGTATGTGCAAAGACGATAAACTACCTGTGTACGATGACGCAATCATTCTGACAATGTTGGAGTTTTGACATTTTCTTAAACATCTATATAGCTGCGAAGTATCCTCCCAAACGAAGTCCACTCGTAGAGATTTTGTGGTTCCGAGTCATGTTGGATGAGGTAAAAAATATCAATCAGCATTATCTCTCATAGCAACATATCAGACTAAATGCAAAGAGATCGTACATATCATTTAATAACCCTTCACGATTCTAAAGGCACAAATGGTAGAGTCCACAACGGCTATGGTGGGCCAAATGGCACGGATTATTCCACGATGGTATTCCTGGGGAGTGACTGGCACACCCATGAAAACCAACTACGATGACCTGGTTGGATTACTTTTGTTCCTTGGTTTTACACCAAGTATCCAGAAACCAAAAGGCTTTAAAGAGCTGTGTGCACCAAATGCTCCAAACTGGGTTAAAGGATTGTTCTGGCAATTCAGTAAAACAATCCTACGAAGAAACATCAAGGCAGCCTTGATTGACCAGATCTATATACCTTCACAGCACCGACATATTGTCAAATTGACATTTTCTGCTATCGAACAGCATTATTATCAGAGTCTTTGGGAACAGTGTGCGAGAAGTACTAATTTACGACACCTTGATGCGGTCAATTGGACGCCTACTACTTCTGATGACGACGCTGCGACTAATTTTGAAACGTCTGCAGCAGAGTTTCAGCGAACTTATGCAAAATTACGATCATGGGTAAGCAGAAATTGAAGTACACACTTTATCAAGAGGAAGAAGAAGAATCATTAATTTTACGTACTAGCTACTGGCGCTACGTCAAGCATGTGATCATCCTGCTGTAGGAGCCTCAAAGAAAAGAATGATTACTCAAACCGTTCGTACACTTGATGAAGGTAAATAAGAGAAGGAGATAATAAGCTGAACATCACAAAAGTCTCTTTCTTAATGAGGTATTCTAAACGAAATTCGTACCTTTACTATTCATTTACGAGTAGTATTAAATGCACTGCTCGCACAAGCAAGAGACGACGTCGACAACACATCTTCGACTCTTGTAAATTCCCAGCTGCGACGAGGTGGTATGTCTGAAATCCAGAAAAAGTGGCAAGAGGCGCTTGACATATACCTTGGAGCTGTATCACGAGCGTTGGAAATGCTTGATATGGTCAACAATAGAATATCTGAAGCAAAGTCACGACAAGAACAAGAAGAAAAGGAAAATGAAAAAACAGCACCCATTCAACAAGACGATGCTGTAGCAACACATCGATCTACCATCACAACGAAAACCAGCACGACAGTAGAGGGATTGATGCAGCGACATATGAAATGGCTATCTTATTTGCATCGATTTTACTTTTTCGTCGCTGGTATCTACCATGAACTCGAGAAAGGAAAAGAGGAATCAACGTATTATGATAAGGCAGCAGACGTACGACGTCAAATCCTCAGCCGTGCTGAAGACCGGGTAAGTGATAGAAATAAATTATCATTATGCACTCTATGTAACCGTCTTATACTCTTGATCAAATTGTCTCCTTTCTTTATAATTCCCATGGTCGCCGTTATTAGGTCACCATGTCCAAGCGTGAAATACCTAGAATTGCAGTTCCTTTTAACATGATGATTGGTCAAGGCCATCAGGAAGAAACGTTGATCATGTCCTTTGATCGGCTGGATCGAATCAATACTCTATGTGATACCCTGGACTCGCAACTGGAGTATATCAACAAGTGGCGTACAGCCTTGTCTGAATTGCTTTGTTCAAATTTGGTTGATCAAGGAGGAGGAGAGGGAGAAAATAGAGATGTTACAGGTCTGTGTATTTGCCATTCTTTGATAAAAAGATAAAGCAATTTCAAGCTATTAACACTTGCTGTCTTTTTTAACCAGGTGACGAGTATGAGACATCTTTAATGACTCAGGAGGTATGTATATCTCTAAGGCTGACTGGCTTTGTTATGTAAAGCTAAAAGTGCTTAAAAATTGTGTAGAAACTTGATCTATACCAGGATGCGTATCAAGCAATGCTCCGTGATCGAAACTTTTGGGTGAACGGTAACTACAATTTTTTTTTTTGCTAGAGGCATATGTATTGAAGATGAACATCGAATCTGACTATTGCTATTGTCCACCAAACTAAGGTGTCTGGGCAACTGGACTGCAATCAGCCGAGCTATTCAATGACCTTGCGAGCAGTACAGAAGCCAATGTAAGTAATAATGTTTTCACACTATTCATGTAATGTGCTTGCTTTGCTTGATGTTCTAAAGAAATTCATAGGAGATTGTAGTTCTCAAGGCAGAGCTCAGTAGAATCCGTCAAGAATATATGCCCAAAGCACATACACAAGATACTTTGCGAACGGTTGTGACTGAATTAAAAGGATATCTCTCGCGGCCCCATATAAATGAGGTGGAAAAGAGCTTACTGCGGGACGAATACAACCGTCTCTATAAAGCCGCTGCTAAACAAAGAGAGCTTCAAGAGCGTTTAGAAATGTAAGTCATTGCGTAACTACAAAGAAGAAATATACATACTGCTGTTGAACGGACTCTAATGGATCAAGGTATTCCCATCATCAGTGAATATCGACGCTTCACTCAACTTTACAACCATCGAATCGAATACTATCGCAGTTTGCAAGATTTGTCTGATCATGTTCGGGCGTGGGAAAGTCCTCACCCGGCCATCGAAGCACAACGGTTATTCTATGAAGAAGGACATCACGAGAAAAAGATTAAGGAACACTCGGCGCGTTGTCGATATTTGGAAAATCTTGTCAAGGAGAAGAACCACGAGGACAAAAAAGAGCGCAACTGTTTGATCTGTCAATCTGATTTTTCCAAAGGATTGATGACTTATTGGTAAGCAGTATACATAAATATGGATTGTGCTCATGGAGTTCTGGTTCTATCGATACTCAAAGCGCTTTCTCCCTCCCTGGTTATGCTATGTAGCGGCCATATGGTAAGAGTATCATCTAATAGAAAAGCAGTCGTACGTAGCAAACTAGATGGATTTGTATGCTCTAACAAACTATTTAATTATCTAGTTCTGTCAAGAGTGTGCTACAACATGGTTCCGTTTGCATCATCGGTGTCCTCAATGTAATTCACCGGTGAAGTTATCCGAGTGCTATGCTATAGGTAACCATGACGGCTAAAACGTATATGTCAAAGTTTGCTAAAACCAAACCCCTTACTAACGTATATATAAATATGTGATTATTTTTGTGTAGCTTGGGATACTTCGAATGAAGGCAAATCAACTGATTCAACTGAAGATGAACAGAATAAAGGAAACTTGGATGTGGACCGTGAAATATCAAACGAGCTTCTAGCAAAAATTAGTCAATGTGCAATCGAAGAAGGTTTAGGTAAGAAGTTGTATGTCTGGTTAATGAGTAGACATGTTGTTGTAGAGAGACAGAGTCGAAAAAAGATACTTATGGTCTATCTTATTCTTGTTCTAGGCGCCAAATTGGATAGCATCATACGACACATCAAACACATCATTAACACAACCAATGGCAAATCCGTCGTATTTTCTCAGTGGAAAGATGTGCTCAATCTTTTGGCTGATGGGCTGAAAAAGAATGGTATCAATTTTGTACAAGTGGATAATACGGTACGCGACGATCGCATCAAAAATTTCATTGAAGATCCTAGTATCCATGTTATCCTGCTACATTCACGTAGTCAGTCCAGGTATATTTATTTATGGCATTTTTTTTCTCTCTCCCATCCGTTCATTCTCGTTGAACAACACTCTAACTTTTGTGTTTACATGGACTCTACCTTTCAAAACGTTTTCAACATAGTGGCTTGACATTGATTTGTGCCGAAACTGTTTTTATTGTTGAACCAGTCTTGAATGAAGCTCTTGAACGACAAGCTATCAGTCGTGTTCATCGTATTGGACAAATGAAAGAAGTAAGTCATAACACGACGATGAACGTGTGTTTCTTCCCCACGTTCTGTCGACACCTTTTTTCTTTCTTTATCCATGAATTAAGTATGTTTGCTAAACAGAAAGATACATTTAGACAAACGTTTACTGGTATATCATTCAAGAGACAATCGAGGAACGAATCCATGCCATATATAGTGCGAGACATAAAAGAAAGATCCGAATGGAACAAGAAGGAAGAGACGATGTGCTAGATGAAACAGTGCCACTTGCTACACAATCCGAAGGTGGAGGTGAACGAGTCACTGATCAAGATTTACAACGGTGCTTCACTAGTAATGAATCATGGATTCTGAATTTGTAAAAAAAAAAAATAGTACATAGTGCGTATGACATTTGTGTCTTTCCCCCCCCGAACCTCTGTAAGAATTACAGAGGAAATTTACATACAAACAAAAACAAAAATTGGGTGACAGAGGAGCTGGGGATGGTGGGTAGGGGGTAACACATGGTTTTCCTTTTTGACACACACACAGCCATTTTTTTTTTTTACAAGATTATGGTATAATCTGATGACGGTGATGATGCATAGAACAAGATATGGAAGATCTTCCGCTGGAATAAGCAGCAGTGGTTTCGTCTTCTTCGTTATCGAAAGCATAATTAGTGGATGCTGCAGCATTACTACTGCATCGTAAACGACGACCGTTGGTATATCTTGGCTTGCGTACAATAACACGGTCCACCATGCGGCCCAAAGCACCATCCTTGGGCAAGCTTTGATGATGTGAGATCTGTAGTTTTGTAGGAGACACCTTGATTGTTGAGAATCCATAGCCTTCATAGCGCAGCGCGGACCAGTCGGCGATCGGCACACTGGCATTCTCAAACGAGTCTGTGCCTTGGAAGTTTCCAGCGTTACCCACAATAAGCTGGAAAAAGGAAGGTGGTTGATAGTATGACGTGGCCATTCGCTTGTTGTGTGCAAGAGGATATGTTCGTTCATAATTATGGCGATGACCACTAAATAAAAATATAAACACACACACAATGAGTGTTGGTGCGGCGGATTATTTTTTTAAAACATGAAAAGCGGGGTAGTAGTAAACGATCTGATAAAACAAAAAAAAAAAAACTTTACCAGATATAGATATCTACGCGATGCTTTAAAAACAAAGCCTCCAGACCACCAAAGTCAGTCTCTTTGAGCCCATTGCGCATAATGTCCGCCTTGTCGGTACAGTCTTCGGATTCAGAGGGCGAACAATACAATGGGCGATGGGCAAATACCATGATCCAGGGCCTGATGTGACGGTTGGCGTTTGCCTTGGCCAAATCTTGATCCAACCATTGCAACGCGGTTTGGATCTGCTCGGGCGATCCTTCGTCAAAAAACACTTCGGATGAAAAGGAGACGAGGTGCAACGACTTGTAATCGAGCGAGTACATGGTCGGGTCATCGAACCCAGATTCAGCATAGGGATTGATGCTGAATCGGTTCTTGTAGTGTGAAAAATTGTACGTGTTCTCGTGGTTGCCTGGCGCGGCCATGACCGGGATCGTGGCGTAAATGTCTTGCACAAAGTTCATGTATTCGTCGCCCTTGGTTCCGTTAAAGTCAGCCATGTCATAGGCTTGATCTGATGATGTTTATTTTTAATACCCTATATACTGCTTTTGTTTATTTTTGACAGAAAACCCAGAAAGTTGTTACCTCCAGCAAACGCAATAAAGTCATAGCGATGTTGATTTGCTACTCGTAGCAAATTTGGCATGGAAACTGCATTAGATGTGCCCTGAATATGATATATAAACAAAACGGGGCGCGGGGTGGGTTGGGTTGGGGGGGAGATGCGCCCAGTGTATATGTGTTTATGGTTACACGCCACGTCCTTTTACTATCACGACTGTTATTGTTAGCTGTTTATATGCAATCAATATATACCATGTCACCAGTCGCGACAAATTCAAATGTGTCACCCGAAGATGGCGTATGAAACTTGTAAACGTCCGACCACAACGTTGCGCTGCCCTTGACCGACCCCACTTGGTACATGTACAAAGTATCCTTTTTCAAAAGTTTTGATTCAAGATTATGCAGATGCATCGTGTGGTGTGCTTTACCACCATCCACAAATGCCCATCCCTAACACACCATACAGTAGTGGTTAGTACATCATGCTTTTACAAATCAAATAAGAAGGAGAATTAATAGGGTTATACATCAACGCGCTTCACGATTGTGGTAGTCAAATCTTTATCGTCATCTTCAGGCCAATATTGCAACATGGCATCATCGATTTCGTCGTAGGTGGCAAATTGAATACGACAACCTTTGCCATCTGAGATCCATGCCATGTGGATTTGTTGAGGTTCGGTGGGGCCGTAGGTTCGGTTCCAGATCCCGTTCGCATTGAATGTATCTTGAATAGCACGCGTGCCTGGACTTCCTGGCAACGGGACGGCTGTTGTCATGACAACAACAACCATCAACGCAGTGATGACACATAAAAGATAGGTCATGGCTCGCAGGGTGAATTTTTTTTTTTTTTTCTGTTATGTAACAGAAAAAAAAGGCAGGGTAGGAAAGGGGGAGAAAGAAGGTACACACTATACGCCTTTTTTAAATAGTTAGAGAAAAAAAGGGCACATACCATCATGCTGATGATGATGATGATGATGATGTTTATGTATACAATCTGATTTGAAACGGTTACATCGTTTCTGTAGAAAACAAAAAACAATAAAGCATAAGAGAGGCATTCCGTTTGGCTTTTTTTATTTCCAGTAACAGAAGGACATGTGTTCTTTATATTTTTTCTTTATTTTGTTCTTAATGTTTCTGCAAAACATACACTTTTCATTGGTACTCAGACTTGTTTCAAACTAAACATGACTAGTACGTTACATACACACATGTACAAAGATAATTACTACTACTACTACTGCTGCTGCTGCTACTGTTTATCGCAAATCATCATCTTCCTCGCTGCCACCAATATCGATCTCCTCGTCTTCATCGTCTTCTTGGATCGTTGCAAGAACATCGGTTCCAGAGGTTTTTGGTGATGCTGATGATGGAGCTGCATCTGGTGCTTGCGACGGAGCTGGGGGTGATGGTGATGCTGCTGTCGAGGCAGTACTAGTAGGAGTAACCGTAGTGGTAGTATTAATGGTATTAGCAGGTGTTGTAGTAGTAGCAGTAGTAACCGTGTCAGCATGACTTGTTGTTGCCGTCGTCGTCGTCGATGATGATGATGATGATGATGTAGTGATTGCAGGGGTATGTTCTACCACACGATTCGCCAACAACTCGTCTGCCGCGGTATGTTGTCGCAACTTGCTTGGCCGTGTGCTATGCTTTTTGTTGTGTAATTTTTTGGTAGGCACCACGACACGTAACGGTGATGTCAGGCTGCCGCTCCACGAGGCGGATTTTTTGAGTGCCGATGGTGCGATCTTGCCACCTATGCTACGACCGCCAGGACCCTGAGGTCGTCGTCGTGCAGTTGCTTTGCCATGACGCCGCATCGATGATGATGATGACCCTCCAGCTAAAGGTGACGATGAAAAGCCAGTGGTGGTCGTAGTACTGAGTCGATTGCCTGTCGTTGCATGTTGCGCTGCTGCCGCTGCTGCCGCTGCCGCTGCTGCTCGACGTGGGTTCTCCATGATCGGACTACTGGCGCGTCGCAACAGTTCTTCCAAATCAATCGAACTGCCACTCTCCATGGCATCGATGGCAGCATCGCGCATCCGTTTCATACGCAACCGTACTTCTTCCACATCGGTATCCGTGTCTGTGTCCGCATCTTCGTCATCATCGTCTTCATCGACATCAATGTCAACGTCCTCTTCCTCTTCTTGACAACGGTCATCCGAGTCACTACTGTTGACAATATCAACATCGCTTGACTCGTCGTCCTCTTGCTCTTGTTTCTTCTTTTTCTTGGTTTCCTTCAGAGACTGTTTCCGCTTGCGTTTATTGTTGCTCGTTTTTGCTCCGAGGGTGGTGATGACAGGGACAGGTTTGGCGGAACGATCAATAACAGAGATGGTGCGCTTGTCTTCTACATCATCATCGTCGTCGTCTTCAAATGTACCCAACAGTGGCGCTTTTTGTGCAAACTCGACAAATTTGCGTGGATTGTTACTGAGCAAGAACTGATGGAGTTGCGCGGCTGATGTTGTCTGACTGGGTGGTGATAGTGAACGTGGCAACAACACTTTACCGTTCTTGTTGTTGTTGTTGTTGTTGCTGTCGTCATCGTCATGACCATTATCTGCAGTAGCTGTTGTTGTATCATCTGAACCACCACTATGACTGCCATCAGGAGTAGCAGTATTCGGAGAAGCACCATGATGACTGTTTGCCCGCAGAGCCTGCAACGTGAGAGACGCCAATCGACTATCCTTGGTAGGTGGAAACGGAGATGTGATTGCCGTTCCCGCTGGGGGTGCTACTGTCGTTCGACGAGGCGTCATCATGATGGGCACATTGATCGGCAAAGGAGACGGGAAATAAGACTCGATCGAATCACTCAAGAACGGACCAAGACGATGTTGAATTGAACAAGTGACCGCCAACTCTTGTGCACGGCGCAATGGGATCCAAGTACCATACAACTCACTCTTTTTCCTCGGCATACGTCGTCGTTCCATCTCGAAACTGAGAATCATGCTTCGCTCGCTTTCAGTGTCGATGCCACCGGCCGTCAACAGTTTGGTGCCATTAATGTAGCCCGAGTCCAGTCGACGCATGATGCGACATTCCGGGAGTACGCTGTCGGTCGGCGCCAGCACCGCCACACACACGGGAATGTTGTCGACAATGGTTATGTACATGGGTGGGTTGGTCGGCATCGTCGTATGAACAATCTGTTGATGATGTGGGTCTGTAATAAGAGTATTTACAAAAGTAGAAGTCGTCGTTGATGTCGGTGTCGGTGTTGGTGTAGACGTGATGATGGATGGTGTTGGATTGTTGTTGTTGTTGTTGTTGTTAGCAGTAGTGGATGTGGGTGATGATGTTGTGGAAGGATCTTTTCGCAGCAATAGAGTTTCCAAAGCCGGGAATCGGGCCAATGCTGCTTTGAAATCGGATGCAAAGTTGGGTGACGGTGTGGTGGAAGAAGAGGACGATGACGAGGGTGTGGATGAAGAAGACGAAGACGAGGATGATGATGATGGCTTGTTGAGCGATTGCAAGTATGCTGCAAGTGTTTTTGCTAGATCGAATGTGGATGATAAATGTGCCAGGCCCGGAATGGCGGCTGTCAATTGCTGCAGTGCTGCAATATTTAAATTGGGTATGCTCAGTGCTTTCAAAAGATCCAACGGTGATGGCACATCGGCGGAAGAACCAGCGGGTTTGTCGCTACCAGTCGCCATCTTTGCTGCTTGCTGCTGTAACTGCTGTTGCAATTGTTGCTGCTGTTGTGGATGTTGCAGAATCGACAGTGTGGGCGTAAGGAGTGTGTTGATGCCAACTGACTCGGTCGTCTTTTTGCTGTTAGGTGGCGGTGGTGTTTCCTCGTCGTCTTCAAACTTGACAAAGGATTCATCGTCATCCACTTCAACAGCACTTGCGCTCAGTGCAGCTTGTGTTTGTTTCGGCGTTAGAGGGGCTGTTGTTGTTGTTGTTGTTGTTGTCGCCATCGTAGCCAGTGACGGTGGGTGCACCTCTTCTTGTTGTAATTGTGCTACACCCTTTCCATTATCTGATTACAAGAATGAAAGAGAAAGGTCAATGATAAGCCCGAAATGAAAGAGACTATCCTAAAAATGGCATACCAAGCGCGTGATCGTCACCTTGCTTTGAATGGTTGCCATCACCATCACTACCACTGACTCCGTCTTCGTCGCCTCCGTCTTCATCATCCAGCGGATCATCAGTCAACAGCTTGGACAATCCCGGTGAGCTCTCTATCTCAAATTCTTCTACCAGCTCGCGAGCACGACTCAATGGTACCCTTATATACACACAATCAGGACATTTAGTTTCCAATTTTTTTTAAAAAAAAAAGAAAAAGACAAAAGATAACTTACCATGCTCCTCGACATTCAAGTGGACCTTTCGTCAGTGTCACCACCACACGACCGTCCTCGGCTTCTGCGGCAGCATCAAACGAACCTTTGCCCAACACCGGCCGTGCGGCCTTGCGCAACTGTGTGGCATTCACGTACCCCTCATCGAGATAAAAATGCTGACTGTTGCGTCTGTCTTTTGCGCTATCAGCTGCATGACGCGTGCGTAACGCCACATGCTCTGTCGCGCCATCCGTAGAAGCAATGAATCGCAGCACCTTGGTATCGGGTATATCGTCAGGCGAATCGAGCTGATAACATTCGAGTGGACCCAAAGTCTTTTTGATGATTGAATATTTTTGCTGCTGCTGCTGTTTTTCTCGTTGTCGAGAAGTTGTTTCTTCTCCTTCTTCATTGTCGTCGACCACGCCTTGTTGTAAAGTTGACGGTGATGCCTCCTTTTCATCTTTTTCCAAAGCAGGCTCCTCTTTGTCATTTGCAGGTAACGATGGCTGTTGTTGCTGCTGCTGCTGGTCGTTCATGCTATCTTCCTCGCCTCCTTCTCCGTCCTCGTCCGCCAACAGATTAGCACCCGAGGTTGTGCTTTCATCGGGCCACGACTTTCGCCGGGGCCGTGTGACAATCTCTTGCTCATCGACTTCTTCGAGATCACCTGCCTCTGAGGAGGAAGCGACCGCAGCAGCCGCTTCGGCCATTCCCCGTGCCGTGCTTGCAAGAAGTGCTCGTTGCAATAACGATGTTTCTTTGCATCCCATCATGGCTGAAAAGCTTTTCCGCGATGTTGTACGAGCTGCTGATGGGATATATCCGTGGCTGTTGTTGTTTGGGTCTGAGGAGGACGAGGAAGGCGGTTGTTGTTGTTGTTGAGAGGGTGGAGACGAAGAGGGTGAAGATGACGATGCGCCATTGTTATCGCCGCCAAAGTAGGCTTCCAGTTCTGCAACAGAGACGGATTCGGGAGTGGCAATGTTGAATGGAAGTTGATGTGCAGTGGATGAATCAAGGAATACCGGAGCATCAAAGTCTTGTTGTTCGTAATTGGTATGACTGTTCACGTTCCACATGTCGTCGCCCATTAACGAAAATGACTGTCGTCTGGCAGTGAGTCGCGGTGATTCTGCTGCGCCATTGGCTACTGCTACTGCTGTTGCTGCTGACTGGTTGTTGTGATTGTTACTACTATTACTATTATTGATCACTGCTGCTGCTGCTAATCGTTGCTGCTGTTGTTGAAGCAATTGCTGATGCTGATGTGTGTGCTGTTCGGTAGGTACAGCCATAGCTTGAGCTATACTCGGTCGTCGCGTCACGCTCAGTGAGGATCTCCGGCGTGTTTCGACATCAGCCAATGCTTCTTCGCCTTTAAGCATTTCCTCATGATAGTCAGAGTATTCGGCCTCACTTTCGTCTTCTTCTTCTTCAGAAGCATCCATTGCACCGGCTTGTGGTGATGGCGGTAGCGGAGATGACACGGGCGGTGTTGCTGTTGTTGTTGTTGCTGCTGCTGCTGCTGTTTTTGTTGATGTAGTAGCTGCAGCTGTAACAATCGGTTCATGCAGATGCTTTTGTTTGGCAGCAGCCCCGTTGATTGAAGATGGCGGAGAATAAGATGAAAAGCTAGAAGAGGAAGAGGAAGTCGCGGTAACGGGAGAAAGTGGTAAATGATGATGCTGAGTATAATGCTGATGATGATGATGCCTTCGTATCCGCTTGATATGTCGTTCTTCGTCCTCATCTTCGTCCTCCTCATCCTCCTCGTCTTCTTCTTCTTCTTCGAGTTCATCTGATGCATCGTCAGCGTCTTGTTCGCCACCGACAAAACCTTCTTCCTCTGAATCTGACTCTACTGGTGCTACAGTGGCAGCAGCAGCAGCAGCAGCCGCAGCAGCCTTTTCTTTTTCTTGTTTTACACGTTTCTTCCATCGTCGGTCCTCTTTTTCTCGTTCACGACGTGTTCGACGGCGTGAGGAGCGACTCTCACCACCACCACCAGCAGCAGCATTGGACGTGGATTCGGATGATGGCTGTTGTAGACGCAAAGTTGTATCATCTTCAGAAGATAATTCTGACAACTGTTGCTGCGCGAGTTGTCGTCGTTGTCGTTTTGATTGGCGCAGTGGATGTTGTTGTTGAGGCTGTGCTGTTGCTATTTCTGCTGCTGCTGCTGCTGCTGCTGCTGTTGTTGTTGTTGGTTGTGATAATGGCGGAGAGGGAGGTTCGTGACCAGAAGGAGAAGAAGAAGAAGAGGGTGGTTGTTGTTGTGGTGAGGATGGAGGCTCAGTAGCCAGCGAGTAGTTGATTTTTCGTGAATGGTGTTCGTCGAAATGCTTTGCAAGCAGTGGTGGACGAGGAGGATTGTGTTCCGCAGCTCTTTTAAAGTGTTGTGATATACGTGAAGAGACCGTGGCAAACGGTGTCGCGCCTCTATTACAAAGATTCAATCAAACAAATCCAAATCAATCAAAACCTCTGTACTACTATAACCGCCTTGTTCTTTTTTTCTTTCTTTCTTTTACCCTAACGTGGCGTATTTATATTTGACAATGACATTGGCGAGTTCTTTGGGCGAGCTCGGTTTGTTGCCCATTTTCAAAAGCGCTTTGAGAATGGCGGTAAAGACCTTGTCTTTGGCATCGTCTGGGTGAATAGGCACAGGTAGACCTTGCTTGTTGGTCTGCTGCTTTGTTGTATGCGGTACAGCCTTTGACGCTTCACCGCCTTGTTGCTCATGTTCAGACGATGTGGTCAATGCTGCTTTATCTGACATTGGGTGTGTTTGCTTTGTAAAAAAAAAAGAAGTGTGTCTGTGTGTGTGTGTTGATGAGAGAAGTTGAATGGTAGCAGTCTGTATGTCGGAGCGGCAATGTCGACTAACTCTCTCTCTGGTCGTAGAAACAAGGGTGTCTGTGTGTGTGTGGGGGGGAAGAGACGGGTTTGCGCGAAAGGGTATGTGCGGTGATAGAGACAGAGAGAGAGAGAGAGAGAAGGAGGGAAAGAAGTGGGTGGTTTGAAAGTGATAGAATAAAAAAAGTAGAACAGAGTGAGTGACAGACAGACAGCACACAAAAAAAAGAGCGAGAGAGAGAGAGAGAGAGAGAGGAGACACCCCGGAAGCTAAAGTTGCCACACACACACGCACACACACACTCTCTCTCTCGCTCTCTCGCGCTGTCTGGTGTCTGCTATGCACTCTGTGCTCTCTTGAGGGTTTTCCATCATCCATGGCTGTCCATCCTTTTGTCTCAGAGCGGAGTTGGCTTTAAACGTTTTTTTTTTTTATTTGATCGAACTGTGTTACCCTACTTTAGAAGCAGTAACTAAAGTAAGGAAAGGAGAGACACTCATGAAAAGCGCTTGTCTTTATGGACACCGGGCAATGCACTCCAAGACACAGTATCGTTTACAGAAAAAGAATAAAAGCTTTACTTATCTCACTGCATCGAACTGACTGACTGACTGACTGACTGATTGACCGAAACAAATTTTTTTCTTCCAGTTATGTTGTCAGCATGTCATTTTATTGGATGAAAGAAGACAAATCATGCGGCGTTCAGAATATTTTGGGTCGGCTTTTAAGTAGAACTACTATTACTAACTACTACTGCTACTACTACTAATATACATTTGGTTTAATTGGATGATGCTGCTGACATGGATATTGGTAGTGATACCATTGCTGTTGTAGACCGTGCACATCGATCACCTATTTGAGTGAAAATAAAGGTAGTAAATCATCTATCAGTTGAATTGACAGGAAATTTATGCAAACATAAGAAATTGTAGATTGAAGACTTACACAAGATTTCTTTGGATTGACGTCCTGCTCGCTGCTGTTGTTTCTTGTTGCTGTTGCTGCTGCTGTTATTGTCAAGGGTGTTTTCATCAGCAGCAGCAACGACATTGAAAAGCGTACGCTCATGCCAGCGCTTGGCCGTGTGGACTGCGCATCGAGAGCATTGTTGTTTTTGGTCTTCTTGCTGCTGACCGTTCAAAGCGCCGCGTGAAATTTTGGTTTTACCATCGGGCTGTATTGTCACTACCCGACGTTTTCGGCTTACTTTTTCACTATTGACAAATTGGATATTAGCGTTTTGGTGTCGTCATTTCCCCCCCCCCGGGAAGGGTAACGGGTAGTAGTGGTAGTGGTAGTGCTAGCAACTTACTAGAGGCCACAGGCATTGCACAAGAGCCATCGGGTTACTGGGCCACGTCGCCATGTTGGCGTCTTTGTTGCTCCACAGTTGGCACATTTCTTCTTGTCCTTGGGCTTGTCCGCTCGCTTTGACTTGCGCTTGATGATGAGGCTTGATGATGCCCTAGTAGGAGCAGTGACAGTAGCAGAAGGAGGAGGAGGAGGAGGAGCACGACCGAGAAGAAGAGTAGTAGTAGTCGGAGGCGGCATGCATGGATAGACGGATGGCAATGGAGGAGGCATTAATCCAGGTGCAAAGAAACCAGGCATCGCTGTAGGATCAGGCGGAGTTGGGGGCATGGACGAAGAAGACGAAGAATAAGCGCATGACGGTGGTAGTGGTAGTGTTGGCTCACACCAAGACGTTTGCTGGTGTTGGTGTTGTTCTGCTACTGCTGATGTCACAATCACCGCCGCTGCAGCAGGAGAGTTGCAGGATGGCATAAGAGGAGGCGTGTGTGGATGATCTGAAAAGACAGAAGGAGGGCCTTCGGCAAACACGGTGTCGATGGACATATCGCCACCAGCAGCAGAAGCAGCAGCATGAGCAGCAGCATGAGTGCCCGATGGTGTAAAAGTACCACTGGTGCTTGGAGCACTGTCGCAATAGGGCGGCGTATCCACTCGGTCGAGCATGGGGCTCATGTCATATCCGGTGCTGTGATGGTAGGGACTTGGATACGGTGTAGTATCCATCCAGTTGGGATAAGGGCAGTATGATGGGGAACCGACATGGTTGTGATGGTGGCTAGTGTCCATGATCCTTTGGTCGTTGTTGTTGTTGTTGTTGCTGTTGTTGTAAGGTAGAGAAGAAGAAGAAGAAGAAGGAGAAAGGTTACTTTTCCTCGAACCCTTCCCTTCCACAATTTATACAGTGGTGTGGTACGCGCAGACTTAGCAAAAGAATTCATGCGAACTGGAGAGAGTTCCATGCTATTCATTGTTGTTGTTGTTGTTGTCTCAGGTAGAGACATATGCGAGATGCACACACAGACAGACATAGCACACATTCTATGACTCCCTCTCTTACTCCTGAGCCAAAAGGCGCTAACAAGACCCCCACGAATTTATCAATATTGCTTTGTTTTTTGTTTATGCCTACCTACCCCTCTGGCCCCCCAGTACAGAAAAGAGGGTGTCTCCTTTAAATGTTGACACAACCCTTCTTTTCCATCATCATCATCATCATCGTTGGTGCCGGTGATTCAGCCAGACCTTTTTTTCTTCATCCGAGATAGCGTCGTCTCCTGACAACCCCCCCCCCGAGAAACACTTTACGTCCGCATATGATCGGCCATGCATGATAGCACGCTAAAAAGGAATTAGAATTGACACTATGTAGCTTTTTCTTATGCTTTTGACCCCAAGAAGGGTGAGGGGGGTGGTGGGTATATCTATATTTCTTCTACATATGAGTTTTGGGGACCTTGTTAATTTATCCCACCAATACGCGTTAGACCACGTAAACTCTCTTGCACCACCAGACCCGGTCGTAGAGAAAACACATATTTCTCCCGCAGGATCGTCACTGTATCATACTTGACAGCTGCTACTGGGGTGTCATCGGTCGTCGTATCCATTGCTGTCTGATCGTCTTGCTGCCGTTTCCGTATCACTGCAAATGGTTTGGCCAACTTGACTTTTTTGCCTTCCAATCGATGGTGTCCTACAACAACGGTTGCTTTGTCCTTTTTTTTTTTAGATGAATTCGAGGGGTGGGGGGTGTGGGGGTAACGGGTTGGGGAAAAAGGGGATAAGGTGTATGTTAGGTCTATCGTTCAAAACGAGTGGGTTCATATGGCACTTTATTACATTGGTCATTGTAAGGTCACCCATTTTGAGACTTTGGACTTGGGACTCGGAACTTTGGAAATGGCCTTGGAATTCGAGCAAGACGAGACTTGGTTCTTTCTGAGAAGACTGTAATGGACAAATGACAGCGCAGACCATTGTAGTAGTAGTAGTAGTAGTAGTAGCAGTATGTATGTCACTTGACCTGGGGCGAAAAAAAGGAACAGCGGAGGTTACATGAATAGGGTTGTTGTACCCGAAAAGAAAAAAAAACGCGAAAAGTGGGAATAGACGCGTCTTTTTGGATTCTTTCGGAGTAAATGTAATTAAAACTGTTTACGTGCATCAGCACGTGCTTTCTCTCTCTCTCTCTCTCTCTCTCGTTCTAAACATAACTCTTGTCGCCGCATGGTAAAACATATAGTAATCCTTCTTTCTTTCTCTCTTCTCCTTTTTGCGTGCTAGAAATATAGTTTAATTAAAAAACAACGCGGAATCATCCCGAACAAAACTGCTTTTTATATTAAGCTCACGAAATATAAGGAGGAAACGATCGTTGTTCTTTTTCTTTTTTGATGCATAAACGTCGTGGATGGCACAGAAATAATCGTAACCTCTTGCATGAAAACCAAAACCAACCTTTTTTCCTGTGCAAGTGATGCATCCTATCCTATCTTATTAAAAAGGAGTTTTTTTTTTTCTCGAGGCATGCTTTTACATTGCTCAAGAAGAACCTGATACTGACATGCTTAGAGTAAATAGACACACGCTGTGTTGCTCCACGGGGAAAAGAGCAGCAGCAGTTGCAGTTGCAGTTGCATTCATCTGGATAATTCTGTCGGGAATGTGTGGTCCGTGTGATGTATCATGCTTCCCATTGTTTAGATATTTAGTACTTGAAAATGCGAGCATAAAAAAAAGGGTAAAGCAAACCTGTTTTTTTCTTCAATCGTTAATGCTTGTTGTGTGGCCCCCCCCCCCAAATTATGCGATTTGCACAAATGACGACACTTATAAAGTTAGGGATGGTTATCACGGGGACTGATTAAATGGGCAAGTCAGGGAAGGAGGGGGGAGGCTCTTTCAACGGTGGTTGGGCCACGGCGGGAAAAAAAAAAGAAAAAAGTAAAAATTGAATTTACGCGCACGCGACGCGTTCGCGCTTTCTCTGTTCATTGTCTTCTCCTTGTTACGCCTTGCCTCCCCTTTTTCCTTTACCTCGTACCCCCAGAAAAATCAATAACTATAAAGCGTTTTTATTATACCCTCCCTCTCTCTTTGAATCCCCTAAAATGACAAAACGAAAATACAGTGACGATGAGGCCGTGTCTCTGGAACACTATCGAAACCATACCGATCCACGAACATGGAGCGTTCACAAAGCTTTACGAATGCGTGCCATGCACGGTCGACGTTATAACGGGCATCCCATCAATAGTAATATCCACACCCACACACTCTCTTTTATTTCGAAAGTCTTTTCGAAAATTACTAATTCTCGGTGATTGGGGGATCTGCAACACCATGGATCGTGTGTTTGTGTGGTCCATTATACATATAAATAACAGTTCCAGGACGACAGTTACTCGAGCGATTTACTTGTCAAGATAAAGATATTTATCGATTCTACTATCCCAATGGACAGAAATGCACTCCGTTTGTTTGTGCTTATAGTCATTGTAAGTTGTGTTGCCAAGAGAAAAGAAAGAGTGGAGAGGGGGGGCGAATATCTAAATGATGATATGCTATCTAGATCGACCCATATTAGCAGTGGGTGACGAAGAACGACGCGTAGCATTAATTCAAACCGCCAAGGATAATACAGTTGAAAGCGGTAAATAGAGTGTTACCCCTTCCCATCTTCTACCACTTGAAAGTGTGTTACTCACCCCAAGTTTGAGAACATATTAGCACGTTTTCACAAGGCATTTTATACCCATACTGATGCTGTTCTCGATGTCAAGTGGAGCAACGACGATCAACTCCTTGTACGTTATCATGCATTGACAGGCAACAACAAGAAGAAGAAGAAGGGGCACATTGATGTTAAAATTCGGATATCTTTTTTTGTATATTTCAGTTGACGGCTTCGGGAGATGCAATAATACGGCTTTGGGACGTTGAACACCAAACATGTGTGGCAACATTAAAAGGACATAAGCATAGCATACGATCTGTCAATTTCCATCCAAGCAACCCACGTAAGCTCTCTTTTTGTTTCCTTTTGTTGGATGGGGAAAAATAGATTGCTGATTCATCCTTTTTTTGTAGATTTGATGATATCAGCCAGTAAAGATGGCGCGTTTTGTATTTGGGACACGCGATATCGACTCTTACAACAAAATGATCCAGGTACGAACGTTATTTTTTTTGTTGAGCAATCGAATGGTGGAGGAAAAAAGGGAAAAACTTACGGTGTTGCTGATGGTTTTCCAAAAGATGTACAGGATGGTATAGGCGAGGATGCACCCGTCTATGGCCCGATCAAAACAACACCTTATGCACATGACGATCCCAAATCGCAAAGAAAGGCAAGGTCAGGCAAAATAGCAGCAACAGCAGCAGGAGGATATTCACGCGTGATGCCAGACCGATCTGTCACGTGTGCACTGTTTGTCCCACACCATGAAACCAAGATTGTATCTTCTGGCAGTTATGATGGGTAATACACATCTTGACAAAAAGGAGCGGGTGGAAATGTCCTACAGATATGATTGACACACCGGGGGGGGGGGGGTCTATGATGATAAATGTAGTAAAATCAAGATATGGGATTGTCGAGCAGGACGTGATGCACACGCAATTGACGAATGGGGTGCGTATGACGACTCGCTGGCACGAGTACGTGGCATCACAGATATGAAAATAGACAGCACTGGCACACGATTATACAGCTTGTCAGTGGATCACAGGTACAGAAAAAAAAAAAAGGAAACGTTGATACTGGTATCTATACTAAGGATAGATCATCCATTTTAAATTCAGGATCAACATGCATTATCTGAATAATTTGACACAACCAGCTCGACGCTTTGTCAACTCGAACCAAAAGCTACACACATTCTATGTCAAGATGAGTCTTTCGGCAGACGATCGCTATCTCCTGTGTGGATCAACCAACAAATCGGTGTATGCTTGGGATGTGGAACGGCCGCAATCGGGACCCGTGTTGTTTGATGGTCATGAAGGTGAAACAACGTCCATGTCATGGTGTAGTAACACCTCAGAGGTAAGCAAGAATGATGGGTTTTTGGGGAAACCGTAGGTCTGAGAATTCACCCGCGTGTCTCTCTACATGTATGCGATAGTTTGCAAGTTGCTCTGACGACGGATCTGTACGAATATGGAAATATCGATGATATATCCGAGAAAAATATTTTGTTGCTAAAACGCTTCAATGTAAAATTATTGTGTACAATAAATCAAGGTGGAGGGGTGAGGAAGGGACACGGGGGAGGCTGATGTTTGGGCAAAAATTATGCGATTATTGTTCATCGGTATTTTGGGTAGAATTATTGGTGTGTGTGCGCCAAAAAAGAAAAAATAAAGGTATGGTGAGAACAAAAACAAAACGTGGATTGGGGATGGAATTTCCTATGAGTGTGAGTGTGTGTGGGCCTATACACCAATACGTGTGATATGTAGATTATGTGCAATTATGTAGAAAGCTCTCTTTTTTCCAAGTGTAAGTTCCCCCCCCCCCTTTAGCACCCTCTTTTTGTCTCTCAGTTTACATTGCTACCAGGATTCACAGCACACCTAGAAATTTTGTACCCGATGTTAGACAATCTCTCAAATTACCCCCCTCTCGTCTGGTACTTACATCCAAATCCGGGTTTTGTAAATCTTGAACAACTCGCGGACTAATTCTCGAAAATCAATGCGTCGTTCCGCAATGAAATAAAACGTCAACTTGCGTCGATCCCTGTATAGTTTACATTTTCTTTCCCTGTAAGTGTACATTTCTCTTTTTTTTTCTAATGAACAAAACACCTCCCTCTCTGTCTTTTATCATTACTCCAGCTAAATGATTGAAAACCACCACTTTACCACTGGTATTCTGCATCCACCACTTCCATTGGTAAGTTGCGCTGCTTTGTCTTTTGTTGACACATTGAGAGCGCACGCTGCTCGTCTTGGCTTTTCAGCATCAAGACAGAAATCTCATCCGGCAATGCTTGTCGATAGATACGTTTGATTTGAATATCGGACGGTTTGATATCTGTTGTTGCAGATGCTACGGGTGATGATGATGCTGCTGCTGCTGCTGCTGCTGCTGCTGTTGCTGCTGCCTCAGCTGAAGATCGGGGCGATGAGGATGGGTGGCTACTATGTTCATTATTATCTTCTGTCGTGGTGGTGGTGGTAGTAGAAGGGGAATCATGTTGTTGTTGTTGTTGTTGTTGTTTTTTCAAATTCAAAATTTCTTCATGGGTTAGATTCTCCAAAGCAACTTTGCCAAGATCTTTACCACGGTCAGCTTCAACAATGACTAGATCGCCGAGACGGGGTGGTGGTTGCAGAGTGTTCGGCATGACGTAAAAAAAGTCCGTGCGACCTGCCTTAAACTCGATCATGTACAACAGGGTTTTTGTGGGTAGCTGGTGTAACGCTACACCTTTTCCTTCTTGGTACACGCGAGAATCGACCGTCGTTGTTGTGGCGGTAGACGTGTCATTGTGCTGTGGTTGGGGGTGATGAGGATGATGATGATGATGATGGTGGTGGTGTTGATCAGGATAATAAGGGGTTCCTGCTGCTGCTGCTGCTGCCGCTGCTGTTGGGTGATGAAGGTGGTGATGATGAGGCGCAGGAGGATGAGGATGGGAATACATTTCTGGATGAGGAGGAATAGGCATGGGATACGAGGTGGGCATAGTGTTGTACCCGGATTGCTGTTGTTGAAGTTGCATAGCTTCAATCTGCTCTGCTAGTCGTAACACAGGGTCTGTGGTTGCACTAATAGTTCGTTTGTAGCTATCAAGTTAGTCCTTACGTCCATCTCTACACTCTACCAAAAGACATGATCACTCCGGGAAATGAAATGCAAAAGGGCCAAGAGAGCACACACAGTTAAGCCCCGTCCCTCTTTCTTTTTTTTTATATACCTGTTCATGTGACCCTGTGAGCCTGACGATGAAGATGCAGCAACGTTGCAAAGCCGCTGCTGATCGGATGGAACCTGTCCCTCATCCTGTTGTTTTCCGGCCGATCCACGGCGCATAGAACGATTCACTAGATATCCCTGCTGGGAGGACGACAACATGCTCAGGGCCGCTCCCGACGACTTTGACCGCGTCCGGCAAGGATTAAACTCCATTTCGTCATCCTCGTTGTCATTTTGCGCATCATCTACCTCGTCATCCTCCTCCTCTGTCATTGTTTCAAGCGAGTTTTTGTACGTGTGGCTGTTGGGCATCATCCGTGTGGATGCTTTTGTGGTGTCACTCGGTATATTATCATCGTCATCGCTGTAATCATTGTAGCCGAAAAATGTAGGATCCTGTCCCATTGAGAAGGACAGACTGCGGTGCTGACGATAAATGGGTTCCATGGAGACGCCCGGTAACATGGGGACAGCCAACACGTCGTTGCTGTTGGTACCGTCGTCCTTTCCATGAATGTCGTTATTCATGTTGTGTCTGCTATTTCCATCAATCATATCAGGTGGTATCACTTCATGCGCCGGCGCATGATCACCGTTGTTGTTGTTGTTGTTGCTGTTGTTGTTTTTGTTGTCGTCGAATATCGATGGTCCTTCCCATTGGAATCCAGAGTCATTTGTGCTGTTATCTGGCCATGTATTGTTGCTGTTGTTCTCGTCTGCTCGAGATTCCTATCATCGTCGTTGTTGGTAGGTATTATCGATCAAAGGTTCCCGCATACATATAGAGACATGTTCAATATTAGTCCTAATGATTATATTCTTTTCCCACACTATTGCATTCCCCCGTCCTCCCAAGAGCTACCATCATCCGTCATCATTACCTTTTTCCGCGACTTGGCTGCCTGCGCAGTAGTACTTTGGTTGTGTTGCTGTTTACGTTTGAGAACATACTGTGAGCCATTCACGCTATTTGTGCCCCCGCATAACACACACTGTTATTATACCTTTGCCATGCTTATACCGCGTTTGGATTAACTAGAGTAGGATGGTCAGCTTGTTATTGTCGGTGGTAAGAACTATGTACTACCACGTTGAGTTATGTGTTTTGCTGGGTTGTCCCACCTAACCTGCAACGAGAGCCCATCCTTCTTTTCTGTTAGAGAAAGAGAGAGAGTGTGTGTGGGTTTACCTTTTGTCGTTTTTCGTGAAATAGAAATTTGGTATATAGAGAGGATACGTTTGTATATATATTACAAGGTCGGTGCGTTGGGTACTCTTCTTTTTCTATCAAAACACATACAAGCCGTATAAATATTACCAGGTACGAAATAACAACAACAGACCGCGAGACACGAGCAAAACACAGCCCTTGCCGCCCTCGTCCGCGTTTCTTTTTTCCTGTATCTGTAACTCGCTTTTTACCTTTTTAAGAAAACACACGTTCAAGCACACAAAAATAAAAAGCCGATTGCCAAAGGAGACAAAAAAATTACAAGGTGGAGCTCGCAATGGTGTGAGTGTGTTGAAGTAGTAGTAGTAGTAGTAGTAGTAGTAGTAGTAGTGGAGAGGAAAGAATTGCAGAATGCCGACAAACGGGGTGAACAAAAATATAAAAAAGAAAAGAAGAAGCTCTTGTCGGGGTTACTTGAAGACCGTGGAGTTAATATTTATTTATTTTTCTGCTGGTCTGGTGGGGGTGGTTTTGTGTATAAGTCAAGTGTTGTAGTAGATAGTTGTAGCCGTTGGTGGAGGGGTGGGGGGCCGGGTTTAAGCAGGTAATTCAAAAGGGTTGGCTGAACTCATTCGTACCTTGGCTAGACTCAGCGGATAAACAACAAACAGATGGCTCTCCCATCCCACGACGACCAACCCCTCCCCCCCGCTTTTCTTTTTGTTTGCAATATATCCAATTTCAAGTAATGTGCATAGACACACTGTGAGATGAGGGACCCAGTCTGTTAATTATCCTAAAGAAAGATATATGGAATAATAAACCAACGGAAACACACGCTGTTTACAATGAGCTGTGAGCGAAGGGTAGTAGCGGTGAGAGAGGGGGGCTGAATATATGCTATGAGTATCGTAGCTGTTAGTAAACTTTGTTTACCACACCGCTTCGTCGTCATCAGCATTATGGCTGTCACTTGCAGAAACATGCACACGCCCCGGAACGGCGACTGCGGAAATCAAATAGGCCATTTCCCGATTCCCTGAAAATTTTGTGCGACGACGCCTCTGGAGCATTCTTTTTTTCCCAAATTCGGGGTGGTTTTACACAGCGTACAAGAAAGATCCGGATTCATAGTACGTGGTAGTAATGTACACATTGCTCGACGTCCATCAAACATTCAGTAATACTTACAAAAAAGAAGTGACTAAAAAGATTTATATTTTGACAATATTTTTTAAGTTGGAGGAAGATGGTTACAAATAGGGTTGCTATCTATATATAACTCGGCACCTTCTTCTTCCAAAGAATGTTCATGTTGCTCATATTCAATGTCAGTGTTGTACCATCCTTCTCCATTATGTTCACTCCACAAAACTAAGCTCAAGCTTTCGATCCGTTTCACAAACTCTCAAAGCCGCTTTTCAACATCGTGCTGCCTTGGATTGTTCTCTTTCTTCGTAACACTTTGGAGCTTGCAACACAACACATTTGGGCATTTAGGTTAATTGTCGGTTTTATAGTGTTGGAAGAAGACTGGATTGACCAGTGCCTTAAGGCAATTACGGCTGCATCCTTGCGGTAACGGAAATATTGATGCATAGAAGGTGTTGTTACAGAGAGAGAGGGAGGCGTAAGTAAAGTTAGGGAAATATCTTATATGGAGGTAACGCAACGAATTGGAAATTATTACCCATGTTACAGGTTTTTTTTACGACATTGTAGAAGAGATGATCCTTTTTGCTGTGACCTTATTGAATACCGCTTCCCCCATCCGAGTTATGACGCAGGCATCATGAGCATCCCCATTCGTTGTAACATGATTTGATTGCAGATATTTACGCTTCGCGTATATTGTATCGTTCAAAAGAAGAAAATTGTCGTTTTGATGAAATTTCATCATTTGCCCATAGTCGACTCACAGGAGAGAACAAGCCTTCGTGGTGCAGTTGAACGAAGGAACAATGTTATATCTTTACAGAAAATTTGATACTGTCCAGGATAGGATGTAACTCACTTTCCATACTTTTATCCGCTCCTTGATAGCAAAGAAAAAAGAATAGGAAAGTGAGCGTAAGCAGTTGCGGATGGAGAAAGTACAGCAGGTACAGCAACAACTGTTGCCTGTCTCGCCACCGCTACTCTCTCCTTCTTCCTTCTCCTCCCTCATAACACCACCACCACAGCAACAGCATTATCTCGACGAAGACATTGAAATGGAAGATGTTGTACCAACAGTACCACTGCAGCAACAGCAGAAGGAGGAACAATATGTTCCAACCTTGCTTGATTTCAACGAAGATGTTGAAATGGAAGACGTTGAGGAGCAGTCGGTGGATACGGAGTAGAAGACCGGTGAAGGAGATGAGATGGAGTAGGAACCCACCCCGCCCCTCAAGGTAATTTACTGGCTAGGTTATTTATGGTAAAAAAAAGTAAGTACTTGACCTTGTTTTATCAGTCTTAGTTACATTGACGAGTACCTGGTTATAAACTAATCGTTTACTCTTTTAGGCTCTCTTCCTCTTTTCTTTTTTATTGCAGTGCCGTACATCGAGAAATCACCCAGAAAAACGGAAAAAAAGCAAAAAAGCATCACAAAAAACATTTAAAAAACATAAAAAATACTGGTAAGCTTACCTCTCCCACTTATACAGTAACAGATAAACTTTTTAAATTTGAAAAACCTGTTACACTAGACTTCCTCAATCTAAGTAATGGTGGTATTACTTGTATCTAGGCATAACCATGCTATCTGCTGTAGGAACTGAATGCGCACTTCAATGAGGCCACGACAATGCGTTGTCTGGACTTGCTACGGTGCTGGTACAGTCGACCCTTCTAACAAAGCATCAGAAACTTATTCATCTTATGCTACAGTACCTAAGCTCGCCTCCTAGCCAACTACAATATAGCGACTTTAGTATTAAAGTCCCAATGTATATAAAAGTACGGATTTCAACCTTCATCATCACTCGATCGCAGTAAGTCATTATGCATTTTCCAAACCCTTTGGTGCTGCAGCGCTTTCAGCGCTCACATTTATAAGTGGAGACATTGCGACCGATGATGAAGCACAATACAGCAAGTGTTTTTACCTGGAGACACTGTTTATAACACAGGACAGTGCTGCTCGCAGTTGGTCGAACGAAGATATCCCATCGTACATTGTGACTGTGACTGAACCGACGAGAATGAAGGCGTTGACAAGAACGCATTCTATCATGCTGCCTCGATGAAGATACTTCCGATCTTGACACGTACAATTTTGAATGCAAGTCTACCTATAGTCCCTATTTCCCACAAATGCTTCTACGAATGTCCAGAAGGAAGCACTGCTGGCGATATACAAGTACGCCGCGAGCAATTTGGTTATAATATCCTTGAAGACATCCCAAAATGTATCGTCCGGGATACTGACAGTTTACTCCACGTGAACAAAAGCAATTCTTGTCTTGCTGTATCGGCGAGCAAAATCCAGATCTCGATACTTACCAATATGTATACAAGGTTACCAACTAGATGTCATAAGACTTAGTGCACCGGTCTTGTAAGGAGTTATTCTACCAGTATTGTGTCAATATAATTATGTGCTACTATACACGATCTTCTTTCCTCTACCCTTTTTAGTATTCATATTTTACTCACGCGTCTTCATTTTATACAAAATCGCCTCCTCACACATACGGTGTATAAAGCTACATTTCGTTGCGTGTGCTTATACTTATTATTGATATATACATTTCATAACTTCACGAAATAAATTATGCATATGTCATGACGCTTGCAACACACGGTCTCATACAACTTAAGTGGTTTTATCAAGTTGTAAGAAGTCCATCTCACTTTCATATGTTAACTTCTCCGTGAGCATAGTAAAGTGAAAAGCAGCATTCTGCATCACACAACGAATAAAGAAACAATGTCTATTTCGTATCATACCATATATTAGAAACCAGATAAATAGAATGCTGCTAAAGGCGAAGTAGTTCACACTGATTTCCATGTGAATTGCTCCGTATATACGCAGACCGCTCATCCAGACGATATCATCACTACGTGTCATTAGGTTCAGAGCAACAATAGCTCGCTGACGACCTATGAAAAACCACAACTACGGCTGATAATTGGAGTCGGTATCCTGCAAAAAGTGATGTGAATCGCGGTGATGTTGCTGTACCTGCTTCTCGTAATGATATTTATAGGATCGATCTACCGGTTGTTGGTTTACGTACGAAGTAGGTTCTGTAATAGCACCTTTGACTTAAAATTACTACTATTATTTTACCATAAAGAGAAAGGCAATTATTTAGGAAAGTTATAAAAGAGCAGCAGTAGTAGCTCATCATGAAGCTTCCACCCGCTTGTATGTTTCTGCAGCTAAACGAGCTTTTGAATAACATCTTTGGTATGGAAAGGTCGCTTGCCGCCAACCCAGCGTAGTAGCCTTGATTCGGCAAATGAAAGCCCGGTTCCTCGCCCTCGCTGCGCGCTTGACACTTTCTTGCCTTTTGTATTTAAACATGGTGAGTCTCTGCAACAAGCAGCAGGAACACATGCTAGAAATGATTGCTCAATACGTTTTTTTCAGCCCACAACATATATTCCTACAGTTGTTGTTGACGATGGTAAACAAAAAAATACTCTTTATAAAACTCATATAACCGGAAAGATCTTGCTGACACTTGCTTTTTGCCCTTTTAATTTTAAAAACGCAGCGCATCAGGACGACATTTGGGATGTTGCGTGGTCCAAAAACACTAATTGCGTCGTCACTGGTGCTTCAGACAGCAGTGTTAAATGTTGGTATGTCTCTACATGGGAAGAAAAGTACGCTGAAAGTAAAGAGGCTGACGCGTTTATTTTTGCAATTGCACAACGCAGGGATGGATCTTCGGGCGAGTTAAAGTACGATTTAGACGGGCACGTCTTGTCTGTTGTTTCAGTCGATACTAACAGCACTGGTACACGTAAGTAATGAATATCATACTATGTCTGTGCTCAAGGTTTTGCAGTCTTTGGATAGATACGTATGTATGTCTGCCATGCTTATACATGATTGCAAATGATAGGTGCTGTATCTGCTTCCATCGATTCGACACTCTGTATTTGGGATCTTGAAAACGACGGTGCACTTTTGAAGACGATCAACGCTACACCTGTTGAGGCATGGAAAGCCAAGTTTAGTCCTGATGGCGAGTTTATTGCATGTGGCTCACATAACGGCGATATCAATTTGTACAGCGTTGAATCTGGCGACAAAGTTTCTTCGTTTGCAACTAAACAAAAGTTTGTTACCACCACTACTTATGTACGTATAACACATTGGATTGATATTCATAACTGATAAATGTAGCTGATCCATTTGTATACATGCTTATATAGAGCCCAGATGGCAAGTATGTTGCAGGTGCTGCAGAAGATGGATCGATTTATGTATTTAATATCGAAACAAATCAATTGGCGCACACTTTGTCAGGTACATGAGGAAAGGGACTTTGTATAGTGGATTGAAAACGTTTAGGATTCTTTTGCTAATACGAGCTTGATGGACTGGATAAATATAGGACATGCCAGAGCTGTTCGCGATTTGACATTTGCTCCGGATAACCGCACATTGATCAGTGGAAGTGATGACAAGTGTATTCATGTGTACGATGTAGAGCATGGTCAACTCGCCTCGGTACTCACGGGTCATACCAGTTGGGTCTTGGGTGTCGATGCAAACCCAGATATCAGCAAACAGCAACTCGCAAGCTCATCAGCAGATCGCAAGGTTAAAATATGGGATTTGGGTATGCGATCCGTTTTGGAAACCCACGAAGTTCATAGTGAAGAAGTATGGAGTGTGGCATGGAATCCTGAAGGCACAAAACTCGTTTCCGTGTCCGAGGATAGATCCATCAAATGGTTTGCCAGTAGCGGATCATCCGTTTAAAAGAGAAGTGCAAAGCATTGTTGCAAGAGCCTTCTGTCATTTCTCAAGTTAGCACACAAGAGCACCTAATCATATACACAAAAGAAAAAGAAGGAAAGTTTTAATGATGATCATCAACTCTTCCCATGTAAATAAACTGTGTTTTTTCTCTTTGATACTTGTATATAGTTCTTTGATACTATGTAATATTTCGCTAGTTCGTACATGATCAAATTCAAGTATTATGTATGCAATACGCTCTAAATAAAAGCAAGAGAGGCGGTCTTGCCTTCATTATTAATAGCTCACGGATGTGTTGATATTGCATAACAACAAACAAAGGCTTCTAGTAGAACTTGAAGTGTTTGTAGTAAGTACACATCAAAAACATGTCGATATTACTAGAAAATAATTGAAGACCGCTTACATACTGACATCTTTGCTTCTGTTATCGTTCATCTTATAAGATGTGGCAAGAAGTACCGTGCTCGATGGCCCACGAAGTACGCAACCTCTGTCGCTGTTGCTTCCAGTGTGGACAAAGTACTGATGATGTATTTATCTGCTCTTGACTGCCTTTCGTCCAAGATTTAAGATACATTAATATAGTCTATGTTTTACTTTTCGTCCTGTGTCTGTTGGCAACGTGATCGTAAAGTATAGCTTGGCTTGACGAACAATACAATGGCACTTGGAACAAAAGGCTGACAAACTATTGCCAACGTTAGGCCAGCGAGCATACATCGTATCGTAGTATCGGCAATTATAAATACATACCAGATGCGGCGACATGGTGGCTCTTTTGATCAGTCGTACGTAAAACATTCAAAAGTAAGTTCGATCTTACAAGCGAATCTAGTTTCTCCTTTTCGTATTATTCTACCAACACTGTTTCTGGAACAGAAATCAAAGTTTTTGGTGTTACAGCTTTTTCTGAACCGATACCAAAGAATTTCAGATATAAATAATGCTTTCCTGCGCCACCTCCCTCGCTGTGCAACTACAGGCGATGAATCATAATACATATTAACGGTACCATATTACTCAGGGTCCATGCTTTTTTCAGCAGCTGAATCAAAGGCACGACAAAGAGCAATTGTGGTTTTCAAACGGTTCGTTTCTGGTGGTGAGTTTACTAAGAGGGTGTAAATACAACAATACAGTTATAGACAGGCGATAATATACCTAGTGGATATCTAAATGGGTTGCAGAGTCAAATGATATGTACAAAAAAGCTGCTCTCGATAATACAGTACTACTAAAGTAATCTTTGCATATCTTTAAAAAACCATGCGGCCTTCTGTTTATCTCTTTGAATAAGGTGGAGGTGGGGCTTCAACGTCATCGTAGTAGCCTGGGACATTATGGCTGCCATTGTCTTCTAGCTAACGTCATCGTCATTTTTAACGAGGTTAAATTTTTTTAGTTAGCGATTAAATGCTTCAATTGATTTCCTACAGTCTTTTTCGTTCTTGACACATATTATCACTTACCATTGGAGACGATAGCTCAGAGTGCTGCTGCTCTTGTTGCTGCGATGTGCTGTTGTTGACTTCTTCCACAGCTAGGGCACCTTGCGTACGTGTAAACCGAGAATAAGGAAATACCGTGACAAGTATAATCAGAGCCAAGCAAGGAGCGTACTTTATTGTAATTGCTGAAACGCGTGTCTCAAGGTCAATGAAATCATTCCAGCGTCCATTGCTACTGATTTGCGCAACAAACAGAATGACAGAACCAACGATGCCCAAAATTAGAAGCACAGCAAAAATGATAAAGGATACATTGAAGGCAAGGATATCTGGAGGCCATCGGAGTATCCACATGATAAAGACGAGCAAATACACCACAGTAGAGACGCGAAGCACGGCTCTGCCAAGGGGCCCACCAAAAAGGACTGTCAGAACTATGCTGGCTATTATTGTACCCACGCCATAGGCATACGTCCAAAATCGAAAGGGAATACGGCTTGCCCCAAAGCAGCTCTTCTTATTGTTGCTGCTGTTTTTACTGGACTGTCGTCGCGCAACTGCAAGGATCTCAAACGTGAGAACCCATGTCATAATGGTAAACGCGCCTTCGAAAAAGTGGGCTACAATGAACCCGACATCAGTTTCGTATTTTTGTAGTACGGCCGCCATCATGATGCTTGTCGTCAGCAGTGCAGCTTCAGCGAGAAGAAAAGCAATCTTCACCCACATGGGACATTTCTGATAGAATCCGTTGAAGAAAGGCCATATAAGCGTTGCAATGCTGAGAAGAATAAGTGGTATATTGACCCCAGGATCGATCATAGTGAATATGTTGCTGAATAATGGTGCTGCACAAGGATGGTGGAAAAAGAAGAGAAAAGAAGATAAAAGAAAGAGGGCTAGGAAGAAACAACTGTGTTGCTTTGATCTTTAAATCATATTTAAGCTCATCATTATACTGTATTAATGTGGGCTCAGCAAACTGTTGAATATCTGAGAGATGCTCATCTCAGTGTAACTTTCGTGCCACTGATTTAATCCATAATGTTTAGTCTCGGTATCCGCATGAACCACATTTTATAGGCTGACTACATGACAATATCATTAGTGGTAGCATGCTCATTTGTGTATTTGCGTCTGCCACTCTTTTTCTTTAGGTGCTACTTTTGCTTCTCGCCAATATTTAAGTAAATACAATGAGGTAGACCTCGTCAAATAAAGGTAGGAGACTACCACTAATCAGCTATAAAATTTTGCAGAAAATTGCCGCTTGTGGTACAACAAAAAGCTACTCGAAAGAATAGCATCGAAGGCGATTTCTTCGTACGCAGAAGAAAATCAAAAAAATAAGGCTATACTTGCCATTCAGAAAGCCCTTTTGTATCTTCTATTTCTTCTGGTCTCAAGAGATATTTAGCAAGCAAAAGTGTTAGACAAAAGCTAGTGTTATATTAAAGTAACACGATTGAATTTATAGATCCTGCGCCACTCTATTTTCAGAAATTTCGGTTTAGAAAATGAGCATACATTCAAATGCGTAATGAGAAACTTCACTCTATTCAGCGTATGATGTAGAGTTCCTTCTATACAGATAATGTGCCTTCTGTCGGTTATTGACCGTATGAAGGTTGTAGTAGCAAACGGGATTTTTCATTTTTGGTGCGCGTGAGAATAATCATTAACATATAGGCCGCTTGCTTGCTAGCTGTCGTACTCTGCTTCTTGAGAAGTAAAATCATGTATACTTCGCGAACATGTAACACAACCTTTCCATATGTAGCGACAAGAGAAGTGTGTGATACTCCAATTTCCTGTTTTCTGCACCCTGATCATCGCTATGACCGCATCATCAGTGACTTATATCCTCCTCCGCCACATTGTATGTATACTTCGAAGTCCAATTTCTAAAAGTTTTTAGTAGCTCAAAAAAGAAGTGCAAATTAGATTATGCCTTATTTACAGAGACAGAGAACCTTCAGTAGGAAGAATAGAAAAAAAGTGAAATATAAAAGCACACAAATTATATAAGAGCAGTAGTAGTAATTAAGGAAGCATAAAAGACCAACAAAGCGACAATACAGTAGTAACACTACATATCTAGCTGTCACTATTACTAATTACATGTGCGTTTGAGTATACAGAATTTCCGTGCAATCTCTCTCATATTTTACGAAAACAGAGACAGTAGTGATAATACAACAAAACTGCATGAAAATCAGGCTGCCCATAATAAGATTGAAAGACTTAAACACCCTCCTGAACTGACACCTGACGAAAACCGTTTCAGTTCTAATGCATACATCATAATGTATCATAGATCCACAAATAAAAGCAAAACCATTAAGCAGAACTTGACAAAGCATCACTGAGCCTAAGATACAAATTGGTAGTAGAATCGCTTCATGAAAAAGTTCTCAAGATATCATAATAAGAAAGAAAGAAGCGATAGGACATGCGGTTTATTTATTTTTCTTCCTTCTGGGGGCCGCACCGGGAAAACGGGGAGAGAATTAGATAGCATGCTGGCTCACTTTGTGCTTTCTTCTTCATCATTGGGCTGCTTCTTTGGCCGTCACCGATATGAGAATGGATAGTTGTTAGTACCTTATTATATGTACATTCTTTTTATTTCTTATTTTACTGGTATCTACGTACCATATAAGAGGATGGCAGAAGAGAGTAGCCTGAGCCTCGTTGTTGCGATGGGCTTTCATCACCGATGGCTATAGCACCTTCCCGTGGAAAGTGCAATTGGGAAATCGTCGTAACAAGGATAAGCAGGGCCAAACAACCGCTAAATTTGATCGCACCTGCCGAAATTGCTGACTCGAGGACTATAAAGTTGCTCCAACTTCTATACATTACGAGTTGTAGCACGAACAGAACAACAGATCCAATGACGCTCAGCATCAAAAAAATAGCGAACGCTATAAAGTGCACGCCAAAAACGCGGATATCTTGTGGCCATTTGAGAGTCCATACGAAAAAGGCGAGCAAATAGACGACAGTAGAGGCACGAAGCACAGCTCTGCCAAGACCGCCACCAAAGATTATTGTCAAGATAACACTAGCTGTTATTTCACCAACGCCGTAGGCATACACCCATAACCGGACGGGGTATGGGCCCAGCCCAAAGTAGGACTTGTTATTGTTCCTATCGTCGATGCTTGATTCTTTTTGTCGTGCAACTGCAAGAATTTCAAACATGAGGATCCAAGTCATTATAGTAAACGCGCCTTGAAGGACATTAGCTGCGATAAACCCGCCATCACTTTCGTATGGTGCCGGTACAACTATCATAATAGTGCAAGATGCAACCAAAGCCGCTTCGGACAGGAGAAAAGCAGTATACAGCCATTTGGTGGGGCAATTCTTGTGAAACCCGTTGAAGAACCCGTATACGATAGTTGCTAAAGCAATAAAAATAAATGAGATGTTGATTCCAGCATCCGTCATAGTAATTGCAATTACTGTGTGATGGATTATGGAGGTAGAGAAAGAAAATAAAAGAAAGCAAGGAAGATAAGAAGAGGTCGTGAACTTTCGATTTGAATATGAAATTAAGCGCCCTTTTAAGCTGGTGCTGAGCAGTTTCGCACGTTCGCATAATTGGCTTTATAATAAGTACTGAAATACACTAGAAAAGCAATTAAAAATATAAACTACCACTACTATGCTATTTCATCTATTAACATATAGCATACAGACATCGTTGCAGTAGTAGTAGCAGTTATCGACAGTATAGCTATGCAATATATAGTGATACTGTAGTTACTTGCAGCTTTCTATTCAACGGTTCCATATATAATATGCCGGCATTTAAAAGGCACAATAAGATGCGGGGACTTCAACACTTTACTTGTAAACGGACTCATTTATACTGTGTATATGATATACCGCTTTGCTCTATCTATTCTTACACCCAATTGAAACTATAACTCTTCATTTCTTCTCATATAAATACGATGTAGTGCTTTGGAATGCTTTATACATGGCTACTGTATAATTATATCCGTTACCTTGAAAAGCAGCCAAACAAAAAAAACATCGGTTGCATGGCCGTGTAACATAGTTAAACAACAAATATCCCGAGTCCCAATAACGTCGCTATTGGAAATAACCTACCTTTTACGAACAACCTCAACGTGCCCAATGCCAAGGAGCCAAGGAGTCAAGGATGCCGAGAATTTCTTAGCAGATATGTACACCTTCCTTTTCAGAGACGGAGCAAACTCTAACTTTTTGAATGCTGCAACATTAAATCAGCGCACCTACATGTAAAGATGTGTGGTGCAATCATATGGTTTGATTGCTTAAGTGAGAGAAAAAAACTTCTTCCTTACATAAATACTCTGTTTGTCTTGATTGCCTGTGTTGCATTCAATTGGTGTCTATCTTAAAATTATCGGTAACAAGAGCTGCTTCACATACCTTCGCTTCTAATCGATGTTGAAGCCTCTTTTGTGAACAGCAAAGAACACTACTGATTTTACTACAAGTCAGCACCATTTCGAATTCTACCCATCGTATCGATAATGGCTTCCTACTGTATATAACCTTGTTGGTAATGCTCACAGCTGTATTACTCATGGCTGCATATTGTAAACTTATGTAAAAGAAATCTCATTTGCTCAAAGAGTTTCTGCGAATGAGCTGTTATTATTGCACAAGCGCCAAAGCTTCTCTAAGCAGAACGTGGCTATACCAAGGCATTCAGTTCCGTTAATTGTAGTACCAAGATCATGATATACATTTGTACTATACCAACAATTAAATATCTAAAAGTTTAAATTTTGGAGCATAACCCGTAGACGAACTGTGATTATGTACAGTATAGAGAGCGGACACCTGCACGCTAAGTATGTAACAAGCAAACATAATATAGGACCAAAGACACTACACTACACGACTATGGATTTCATTTGGCATGCGCGACGAAAACGTTTCATGCAAGTATTAGCATGTTGGAGTGATCTGTAGACATGAATTTAACCATGAGTATCTAGACTCTCTTATTTGATGACACATTTGTATGAGGAAAGACAGAGGTTTGTATGTACGTAGAGAAAGGAAAACTGGGTAAATGCTATCTGTCAGGCAACGTAAATTCAAGTGGCTCAGAAACATTGCAATCCAAAATTCCGCGTTACATTATTTCGAGTACTCTCTGTTCGCTCTACATGACCCTGAGCACAGACGCACTCTCAGGCCGCTCGCCTCTTTTACCTATGAGTAAATCACCACATCATTTGACACTTTGCAATTCATTGTCTAGTAGTAGTAATATCTAACGAAAAAACCTGCATATTGTTATTTTTGATATGCGTTCCTTCTATCATACATAATCGACAACAAGTAAGCAATGCTTTCAATTTACACAAATTTAAAGATAAGTTTATTTTCCTTCATCTATATACATATATACATTCATTAGCGTACATATAGTGTGAGCTATATTACAGGTGTACATACAAAAATACTAATAGCTAGCCGATCGACCATAAAAATGAGATTATTTAGAGTGATGGTTTCTATAACCTAGAATATGGTGGTGGTGGTGGTAAATCGATGTCAACATGGTAATATGTTGGTAGATCATCTCCGTTGGCAAAATCATTGTTGCTGCTATAGTCAGAGAGCTGCTTGTCGGGCACAAACGATTGTTGTAATAGTGATATTATTAGTTGAGCGGCACACTACAGTAGAGACTAGTCGTCTTTATAAATAGTGATTTTGCTTACCATGGGAGTAAATGAGGAGGATAAGGATTGGCGTTGCCTACTACCCCGTTGTTGACGTTCACGGTTCTCGTTGCTGCTGGTTATGGAGCTGTCTCTGTTGTTCGCCGGTATTTGGATCTCGTAAATTCTGGATCCTACTTGCACTCGATTTACTTGTTCGCCAGCCTGACGTTCCCGTAGTAGCTGAAGCTGACGTTCCCGTAGTAGCTGAAGCTGACGTTCCCGTCTATTGTGTTCTGCTGTGATCATGCGATTTCTTGCTAGTACTTCTGCTCTTCTGCTCTCCAAGTTATGATTTATGCTGATTCTGCCTCTTTCTCTGTCCTCGTTTATTGTCTGATACTCTTGTTGCTGTTGCTGACGATTCTGTTCATGTCGCCGATCAACCATATATATTCTTGCTCCTACTTGTATTCTGACCATCTGTTCCTCGTTCTGTTGCTCCCGTTGCCCTTGTTGCTGAGAATTTTCTGTGTTTCGCGTAGCGATAAGGACGTTTCTTGTGGCTACTTGTGCTCGCCCGACTGATGTTCCTTGGTGTTGTACTGTAGCTTGAGTGGAAGCTTTCATACTCGGAAACCAGGATCTAGGATACGCCCAAACGACCAATGCTAACGCAACAGCGCCAGCATACTTGATTAAAATTGCTGAAAGGATCAGCTGAACCGTCACTGGGGCCAATATGAAAGAGAGGATCGAGTTAATGATGTTGCAGAGCACCAGAGCCACGAAAAAGTTGAAAGACCAGCCGAGCGGACGTATGTATTTGTATCGACGAAACACCCATACGAGAAAGACAAGAAAATGAACAAAGATGGCACAGCAAAGTACGATAATGGCGCCATAGAAAAGGCCTTTTAACCACGTAATAATACCACCAAGTACGCAAACTACCGCAAAAGGATACGTATAAAACCGGATGTACCGCATACTGTAGTACTTTAAATAAACGTCGTGTGAGCCTTTCTCTGCGTCGGCATCATCGCTATTTCGCGTTCGTATAGGTCGTAATGGTGAAAGAATATCGAACATGTGGACCCAAATCAGTATGGCAAACACACACCCCAGAAACTGGTCCACGTTATGCGGCAAAGAATCGTTGTTTTCGCTGAAATATCCTGGAGGTGTAGCAATCGCGTAACAGGACGTGGCTACCAGCAATGATGTAGATAAAAGGAAAGAGGCGCATATCCCAGGTACGCAATGCTCTCCAGCAAAGAATTTGGATCTGAGCGCGTATAATATGGTGCTGCAAGCAATTACAAGCACTGGGATATGGATAGCAAGAGTGACTGCATCTACAGGCATTTGAAAGTAAAAGCAAAATAGACGAAAGAAACGGAGAAGCGTGATTTTATACAAATGACTGACTTTATATACAATGTAGCACATGCTCAGCATTCAGCGTACAGAAATATATGCTGTAGCTTTTGTGTTACAATGCTTTGTCCTTTTTGTGAAGTGTTTTTCGCAAGCGCAAGTGCATATAAAATACTTATGCCAATGCTGTTTTTTTTTTGACTACTCGCAACTTTGAAGATCCCCAAGAGTCCTTTTCTATTTATAAACAAGATAGATCAAGTGTAACATTTTCTGTGGCTGGTAAACGACGGCCTGTGGCATACTTTGTGTAACGCATGTCTATATAAGGAGTTTTTAACAGAAGACTGCGCACTTGCAAACGTCATCTTGGCCCTCTTCGTTCACAGATCTTAGTTTTTCCGGTGCTAACGGATCACAGAACAAAAAAATTGCACTTGGAAGTCCATCGTGCCATCAATGGTTTTTTCTTCAGCCTCTCGTTCATGTAGCACCAACCCAGTCACCATAAAACATCCTTGATCTAATGCAGGTGATACTTTATAAACAATAGAGACTTGGTAGCATTTTTTGACTTGACATGTATTATTATATTTTGAGCTAAACTATACTATTAGAAATGCGAAGGGAAGGTTTTTGAGTTGTTTGTTTTGCTTGGTTAGCTGATTGCTCTGCCGTTGTTGCGTGTATGTGTTGCGTGTATATGTGTAATTGTGTGTACTATGTGCGTGTGCTTGGATGGTTTGACAGGAATATAGGAAGTGTTATAGAGAGAGAGAGAGAAAAGATGAACAGAACAAAATGAAATCTCATGTTTACTGTGTTAACCGCTTGAGAGCAGCTGCTTCCATTGAATTGTATGCTTCATCGGATTCAATATCCCTTGACCAGCCAGTGGATCGTGACTCCAACCAGTGATGCCACTTTTTCGTCCGTTCTTGTTCTATCTTGCTCTTTGCCGCTACTTGATCGTCACCAGCAGCAGCAGCATCATCATCATTCTTGTCGTCAGCACTGCTAGTGGCAGAAGAAGAGATGGGTGGTCGTATAAAGGCATCTTCTGAGCCAATGATGTAGTACATGTGGTAGTTTTCTTGAGAGATCTTGTACTGTAAACGAGACCGGACAAATATCTTGCTCAAGTGTCGATCATGTGGCTTCCAATTGCTAAAGAAAAGAATCGCCATTAGCTGGCTATCTACACACATAGCGTACACAACTACAGAGTTCAGACATACCGTTTTAAAAATGTAGGATGCATCTTGGACGTATCAATTCCATCCGTACAATTTGCCCAATCCATGTAGCTTGCCACATAGTTCTCGTAATAATCTTGTGATGAAGGTTCAAGCATATCGTCATCTTTATCCAAAAGCTGAATCGACATTTTGTGTGTCTCAGTGTTCTAATAACAAATAAATAAAAGACAACAACAGCAATCAGAATCAGATCCCCCAGTATTTGAATCATGGTATGTCCATAACGAACGATTAGAGCGCGAAATCATCATTCAAGATGCTGCTTTTTGTTGAACTTACAAAGTTTACTTTGTACAGGTTCTCATCAGAACCCACCGTTTCCTCTGCACGTAGTCTGTATACTGACAAGATGCGGGGACAGGTGGAGTCCAAATTCTGGTCACTTCGGAAGAGTTCCACCAGTTCGACGCACTTTTCATCCAAGGTCAGCGACTGGATCTATTGACAATATATCATCATAAAGGGTTTTCAGTAAGAATGGCCACTTTTGAGGGAAAAAAGGTTATATGTAATCTTTTACCTGTTTGATAATGGATTGAACCAACTTGTCAATGGTAAACAGGACGTGAGCGTCAGTGACAAAGATGTAACGCGACTTTTCCTCAAATGCAGTTTGATCCATTTCACCATCGAAAAAACGATCGATCAAATCGAGCAAAGCGGTGTAATAGCCGTTCGATAGATTGATATCTAAGGATTGAAAAGAGAAAGATAGGATTGTTAGTCATTGCCTTCAACCCCCTTACCCCTGAAACTTGAGCCCGGATCAATTCACCCGTTTACATATTAATAATCATTGGCTCGTTCAGATATCGATATCCTACCTTCAAAACGGCTAGTATACAGACCCAACTCGGTAGCAACCTTGTTGACCTTTTTGCCCTTATCAAGATCGGCCTTCATCTGTGCATCCAAGGCCTTCATCTTGCGCATGCGCTCATATGTCATCTGGTATAATCGGAAGAAGCTATAGAACGGCGTGTTGCAGAAAAAGCTGTAGACCGTTCGCTTATGAAGGCCAGGAGCGGTAGCAGCGGCTGCAGCAGCAAACAAACGGTTGCCTTCAGGATGATTGCTGTAATTGTTGTTGTTATTGTTGCTCTTGGTGGATCGATCGTCGTCTTCAACAGCCTGAGAACCTCCCGTCGTAGCATCACCCGCATTACTTGGTTGATCATCCACATCCATCGGTTGAGGTGACGATGACAGTCCTTCTCCTGCATTGGCTGTGGCAGCAACAGCGGCACTGCTTTCACGCTCATCAGCTGAGGACTGTTCTTCGGTCTTGATTGGTTTATCTTCGTACGAACCATCGCGAATGTTATTGTTTGCTGTTGCAGCAGCAGCAGCAGACTCAGGCTCTTCGCCTTCAGTATCATCTTCTGGAGCAGGCGTAGCTGATAGATCGCGTAGGGCTGATGGCGACTTGTCGAAGCTGCTGTCATTATCATCAGCGGGCGTACTTTTGTTATTTTTGGTCAACACGTCGCGCAATAGATCGGCTGACGGATCGGCATCATCGGTCCGATTCCGACCGTTCCGTCGTCGAGTTGTGGTTCCAACAGCAGCAGCAGCAGCTGGAGTTCCGCTCGGTGATCGGCTTCTACGGTCCCGTGGTGATCGACTTGAACCATCCGCATCTACATCAGAATCTTCGGTATTGATCGATTGGCCTTCATCATCCTCGTCCGCCGTCAGGTCTTCTTCATCTTCGGATAAGACAGCAAACCCTTCAGGAACCACGTCATCGACATGGAAAAACAGAGGAATAAAGATGTTGACAAATGTTCGGATTTTGCTGCGGTCGCTGCTACTGAATCCGTTTTGTTTCTCAATGAAGGAAAAGATGAGTCGCGTGACGTCCTTGAAGACCTGCTTGTCGTCAAATGTGAATCTGAGTGGGTATAGATCGCGGATGTTTCCCTTTTCGCCCTCCCGCGCCTCGTCGTGTAAATTCTCAATCTCGTTAACAAGGGCCTTGGCTGCTATCGCCTTGCGGTCATTGCTCTTGAAGGTCATGCCTTGGTAATCCAGAGCGCGGTAGAAGTTTTTGGCATCCATCTCACGCCAAGCCTTGTTCCATTCATGCTATCAATAACACATCCAAGGGTCAGCATTCCATTTCTTTGCTTCGTGCCACGTAATAACAGCCTTTTCTCCAGCAAACTATTGTACCTGAGCCTTTCGCCATTCTTCATCCTTCTGTGACAAACGTTTCAACAAGACCGGCACAACTCGAGCAGGATGCTTGTACAGCAAATCGATCACTTCCTTGCCGCGGTCCTCTTCGTACACCTTTTTCACTATGCGCTCGTAGATGGTAACAGATTGACCACCCAATCCAGGACCCAAACGGAACGCTGCTTTCTCTTCAGGAGTCATCATTTCGAGCTTTTTTGCAATGGGCTCGAGCAGAGCAATTGTGTTCAAGTTGGCATCAATGTTGAGATCATAGTCGTATCTATTATAATACAGAAAGCAAGAGCATTTAGCAACATGGATTACGCTTCACTGTTTCCCTTTATTCACGGCGTTTACATGATCACATACCTCTCTTCCTCACAGCGATGCATGGCTTCTTCATATTGATTCTTTTTGGAAGCGACGAAACCGCTATCCTCACTGGCCCAGATGGGATGGGAGACATACTCGTCGTTAAGGACCTCCCAGCACAGTTGGTCACGACCAGAGCATGGTTGGTTTTGCCACTATGTATGTGTGCACGTTGAAAAGTTACAGAAAATTCAATAATCGTGCATATCCAAAAATAAGCCATAGAGGAAGATGGAAAGAGAAAAAAAAACTTACTTCTTTTGGCACCAAGCGATAACTAGGACTGTTTTCGGTCGCTTTGCAGTGGTTCAAATCAGGTTTGGGAATGATGGCAGCTGGCCGGTCGATCACTTGGTCCTTCAGATCCACGGCTACCACTGTCTTGAACCAATCAAACAAATCACGGTCGTTGCCCAAAAATCCTTCCACTTGTTTCATCAACACATCGGCATCAATGATCTGTTGCGTGTACAAGTTGAGCGTCTTTAGGAATTCTTCATAGGATGGCTTGTTGCCAATATGTTTTCGGATCTGTTCGAATAGATCGACTTCTTCGGGCGATATAGTAGGTCGTGCGGGGTCAAAGTATGAAGAGGCAGGATAACCGGCAATCATGTCTTCTTCCATGCCCATCTTTTGTCCCTTGGTTCGCTTTGGCTGCTTTTTATTTAGAATAAAGGGAAGAGAAAGAGACATTTAGTTATTATCCTTTTCCAGTTCTTTTCATTGTATAAAAAAAAGTTGTCAAATAATGTACTCACTCCCGTACGCTTTGCCTTTTTACCCGGTGGCAAATAACCCGAAGTTTGAGGCGGTGTGCCATAGAGTCGCTTGGAGCCTGTAATTTGGGCAAACGTTTAGTATGTTTGTGATACGTAGAGGTGAGATGATAAATGGAATTTACCCATATAAGCAGGCTCGAGTTCGTCCAGAAAGTCAGGCGCCGGCTGGCCAGTAATCTCCGGCAGAAATTGTTTGAACTCGATTAGGAGATCCGGAGCACCGTTGAATAGATACTGGACATGCTGGTACACCTAATAAATACACACAGACTATATCAAACCCGCTATTCCTATCCCTCAGAGACATCACATAACACTCTAGTACTTATAAAAAAGTGTACCTCTTGGATGGGCTTCCGTTCTTTTTGATATGTCTGCAATATTTCCAAGAATTGTTTATAGGTTTCGGGATCTCCGGCATAGCGGTTCTATGTTTAACCGAATGAGTTAGCATGGTTCTCGCTCTTGGAAAGCACAGACACAACAATTTCCAGAGAAAGAGCGCACAATACCTTGATTTTGTTCACGTAATTGATCGCATGGTTAAACTCAACCGGGGCCCTTCGAGTGCCCCCGCTTCCATTCATATGTGAATGCTCCTGCTGTTCATGAGGCGGCGGTGGTGGAGGCGGTCGCCGTGAGCTGCTTGGTGCTGGGATATATGAGCCATGCGATGGCGGATGCATTGGATGCGACATCGGTGGCGGCAACGACTGTGGAGGTGGAAGCGAGGATGATGTCGGTGGTGGAGGTGGTGGCGGAGGATGGTGGGGCATATGACCATAAGGAGTTGTGTAATAAGAACCAGCGGCAGAGGGTGGAGGCGGTTGGGGAGGCACGCCAGCCATGTTGCTCCCATGGATCATATCCTCTCGCCCACCTCGTTGTGATGATGAAGGAGGCGGCGGCGGCGGTGGTGGTGGTGGTAGACCTCCACCAGGTGGGCCAGCAGCATTGGGCGGTCCGGGCGGACCTCCTGCTGCACCTGGTCCTGTCATGACAGGCCGTGATGTTCGTTTGTGCGTTATACCAGAAGGAGTGGTGACCTTGATAATGTCTGGTTCATTAGGATCACTGGAGCATTCGATACGATAACCAGGAGGCAAGAAAGTATTGAAGCCAGAAATCAGATCTGGGTGGCCGTTAAACAGGATTGACACGCGTTCAATCACACCAGGTGTGTCGATTCTAAACAATCATGTCAGTCCATTTGTAGGATTTCGGATATATTTTTTCTTTCTTTTCTCTTGTGTATAGCGTAGGGAAAAGGACGTAGAGGGAAGAGGAAAGGAAGGGTGGGGGGAGAGGATTTCTCATTTTAAATAAGGAAAAGAAAAAAACTTACGCTTGACTTTTAAAGTCCTTCATGATATCCAAAAACTGGTTGTATACATCCGGATGCGCTGAGAATTGAACCTTGACCTGGTCAAGATACGTGAGCGCATCCCGTACGTTCAATGGTCGATATCCTGCATTGGCGTTGCTGTTGCTAGTGTTGTTGCTAGAACTGTTATTGCTACCGGTGCTAGTGTTGTTGTTTGCAGTGGATGTCTGCTGCTGCTGTTGTTGTTGTTGTTGTGATTGTCTAGAAGAAGTAGCAGCAGTAGTGGTTGTAGGAGGTGGTGGTGGTTGTGGCTGCTGCTGTTGTTGTTGTTGAGTCAAAAGCGAAGGAGGTCCAGGTGGACTTGCTGCTTGTGCTCTTGATGGCAGTGGTATTGAATGAGCAGGAATACCACTCTCTGAGAAAGACGACGACGATGGCGGTGGGGGGAGGGACGGCGCGCCGCCGCGCGAAGGAATAGGCGGTAATGACGGTTTGGAAGTAGCGGTGCTACTACTACTGCTATTATTGTTGCTGTTACTATTACTTCTCGTCGATCCAGGGAATGTGCTTGGTGATGGCAGGCTAGGCATAGATTGCTGCTGTGGGACAATGGCGTACGATGGTCCTGAGGTCATTGGTGAAGACATGGACGGACTGCTGCTGCTATGGTGCGAAGACGGCAGCGGCGGTGGAGGGTGGTGAGGGTGGTGATACTGCGGCATGTCGCCACCCATGCCAGGAGGAGGTGGAAGCGGACGAGACGTGGTTGTGCTTGCAAGCGATGACGGTGGTCGTGTTGATCCACTGCTGCTTGTAATTGGAGGCGGTGGAAGTTGTTGGACAAATGACGGCGACGAAGCTGGCGGACCAGAATTCGGTGGCCTAGGAAACAGAAACGTAGAAAAAGTAGCGTTAGGCCTTAGAACAAACAATGTCGCGACTGTGGTGTGTCACAACAATAGGTAAAAAGAGGAGAATGATAAGCAAGAAAAAGCTTTTTACCGTATGTTTGGTAACGGCGGCTGCTTTGGTGAAGACATGGAGTGAAGGAGGGAGGGGGGGGAGAGAGAAGGTGGGTGAATGAACTTGTACTTTCAGCAACCGCTTCTCCACTCAGTGTGCTGTGGGAGAGGTCCGGACCGTCATATCGTGACTGCGACACTCTTCTTGCAGCCCTCAAAGCGGGATGTGAATTCAAAGACAAGCTTCTTCAACGGCTTTCGATTTCAGGTACACAAAAACGCTTGATTGGTTCGATTTCTTGGCTTGTTGCATAAACCGATAAAAGATCAATTTATAAAATAGGTGTTTTATTTATTTCAAGTTGTTCAGCAGGAAATCACTTTGAGCAATGAATAACAGTAGCTAAGGTTATAGCCTACAGCGACTTTATGGGACTGAGTATCTACAATTTGGCAAGGGTTCGGGTAAACGAATACCTTTCTACCGGGGCGACGTAACTCTTGTCAATTTGTTGAACATTGGCACATCCTAAAACAATAAACAGTTTTAGAAGAACACAGAGGCGAAATCATGAATCCATGACTCGTACTTGGCCGAGTTGACGATAAATGACCAGCATACATACCTGACAAGGTCATTGTTAAGCGGAATTCATAATTTAACATGTCGAGAACCTGTTTCACGCCGTTTTCTCCCTACGTATCGTTAGATATCGATGTTAGATCACTTTGGCTACAAGGATAAAACAAAAGGTATCTCATGGAAGAAGATTACCTGATACGCCAAACCCCACAATGCTGGACGACCAATAAACACAGCGCGTGCACCAATGGCCAATGCTTTGAAAACATCGGTGCCTGTACGGATGCCTCCATCCACATACACTTCAACGCGCGTTCCCTTGCAAGCTGCGACAATTTCCGGCAAAACCTCAATCTAAGCGGACGTGTTATGATAAAAAGCTTTACGGCTGGCGGGTAGTAATAGCCATGCCCTTATAAATCTGATGGAATACTTACTGTGGCAGGACATGAATCCAGCTGTCGTCCCCCATGATTCGAAACAATGATAGCATCCACGTCATTCTCAGCAGCCAGCTTGGCGTCCTCTTCACGGAAAATGCCCTTTACCACAATTGGCAACTTGGTGATCGACTTTATGAACTTGATGTCTTTCCACGTCATCCCGGGATACATCTCGCCGTGGTAATAGCTATCGGATCCATCATTGTCCTGATCTTCATAAAAGTTGGCTCTTGACAAGTGCTTCGGTAATGTGAAGCCGCTTTTCAGAACATGCAATCGTTTTCCCAGTCGAGGTCGATCTAGTGTCACCACCAATGCCTTGAATCCGGCCTTTTCACAATCCTTGATTAGCCGTTTGGTCACGTCCTCTTCTTCTTGCACGTAGATCTGGAACCATCGGAGTGCTTCTTTGGGTACACTCGATGCTACTTGATCCTAGACATGACACGATGATAAGGCTATGTGGCAGTGGTCGCTAGCTTTTCTTCCTGTGTTTCTTACCATGGTGTAGTTGCTGTTGGTAGATTGACAGAAGCATGTACCGACAGCTGCACAAGCTAGTTTAAAAGTTACCCAAAAAAAAAAGTTAAAAGTTCTGTCAATAAAGCACGTTGGGGGGGATAGAGGAAGATTATGGACTTACCCCGTGCTGTAGCCTTTTCCCCGTCATGATGCGCAAGTGCATGGTACGCTGTGGGCGCAACGCAAATGGGCGAAGTGATTTTTTCTCCCAGAATTGTTGTGGCAATACTGACTTTTTCAACGTCAACCATCACCTTGGGTCTCAACAGCAGACTGTTGAAAGAAGAAAAGAAGGGTAGTTGAAGGTTGCTGTGGTTAACAAAGGATTGTAGTTATGTAGCGGGGTGAGTACTTATGTACACACCTGTTGTAAGCTTCCAGGTTGCGACGCAACGTGATCTCCGAGTCAGCTCCTCCGACGTAAAAGCCAAAGGCGCCCGGATTCATTGTTTGCCGGGCATATGTTTCGAAATCAGCTATTGAGGCAGGTATGTTATTCATCGCGTTAAAGGGGGGCGGTGGTGTTGCCCTCGCTCAGTATGCTTGAAGAAGAGAAGAAGGGGGAAAAAAGGGCACATCAAAAAGCAGTTCTCCCGAGGTGAGATGATCACAAGACACTCTTCAAACTGCAAAAAGCTTTGTGTAGCCCGAGAATGATTTTAGTACAAAGTCGGTGAAAACGCCCGCATATTGTTCCTTGTGGGGAAACCTGAAACCTTCTTTTTTCCACGTCAATAGGATTACCCGCTAAAGTACTATCGATAAATCTATGCATGATTATTATCCTCACTAATCAGTGAGTACAGTATGAATATAAAATATCACATGTGTGTCATTCTGCTACATTCTGATACAAACGAAGCTTACATAATCAAGTAAACAGGTAATGGATTCGAAAGCCCTTTGTCGTCGTTTCGGATCTTAACCTGAAGTCTCCTATGAGATTTCCCCGCGGATAGGTTGTACAAATCCTTGTATGATGTTGGTCAAACGAGAAAACACAAATGAATCGTCGACATAGTATTAGTGCATTCTGAAGAGAAAAGAGGCATGGATGAGGTTGCTCCAGATGAAGACTATCGAAAGAAAGCAACATACAGAATTGCTTTTATTCTTTGATAAGTGAATGAAGGTGAATCAAGTTCTTACAAGGAGACAAACTGAAAACACGAAAGCGCAAGAAGCTCTTCGTAAAAATGATGCGCTCTGAAGCGCACGCACAGACTATGGCGATCAAGGAAAAGATGGCGCTCCTAGCAGGGAGAGAACCTGGCTCATGTTTAGAATCACATAAACTGGCTTGTCTGGACATGGATAGCTGTCGTCGACATATTCAAGCGTTATAACGTTGCTGTTAAGAAAGGAGAGCCAATTGAAAACTGACTTTTAGTTCTGTGGACAAAAGCTGTGAAAGGTATAAATAGAGGCACCCTATCCAGCAAAATTCTTTTTTTCCTTTTCTTTGACACGTTGTACTTTTGTAGTACCCCTGTAACTACTCCACACAATGGGGACATTGCAGAGGATATTATCATGGGTCCCGCATAGAATCGACACAGATCGCTTGGGTTGGATGGCTTGGAGCAACCTTTTGCAATAACAAGGAACATAAATTTTCATTTGTATTGCTCAAATAAAAAAAAAACCGCGTGCAATGTCATGCCTTCTTTTCATCCCTGCAGTGCCTTTTTTCTGGGGAAGATGGAAGAAGTATGTAAGTGCCATAAAAGTCAACCACTGCCGTCACCGTCTAGAAGGTACTTAGTAGCATATTCGACATCGACTGATGTAGTAACGCGTTTTTGTTCTTGTTGTGTCTGCACGGCTTCATAAAAAGACCTAGAGTATAGTTTGCCTTGGCAAAATTTCATCGTTGACAGTAATAGAATGTGTGTCCTTACTCTGCGCTAGCAAATTCATGGTAAGCCTTTATTTGAACCTCGTGCGCCGAACGCGTGAATCGCAAGGTCTTTCTCTTTTTATAGCTGTCTTGGCTGCCTTATATTGACGGATCGCCGATCGTGTCAAATTCGATTTTGTCTGGCATAACTTTGCAGCTTTTCACCCTGTAATTCTCACGATGCAGATAGAAAACACTACCCATCATGTGTAATAATAGCGTAATGTGAATCAGAATTTGCTGGTGCCTTTTTAGCTTCCACCAAGCTTCCGAGAAATGATCCACGAATATCAAGTCAGCGAGTCGCCGGCCGCTTATATGCCAAAGTGCTGTAGAGCGGATCGAGAACCACACTTTCAAGTGAAGATAACCCATGAGGAGCGCAATATACAACAGTGCCGAATTTCCAATTGTTGCTTTATGCCTGGACTTGTTAGAAGTCTACCGTACTTATTATTGGGATCCGTCCGTATAAGGTGTACTCACACGTAATCAGGTATTGCTAACAATTGTCTTACGAATGATAGTGAAATACTACTTGTTGCGCTAACAAAGAAACCCCTGATTTATTCCACGTCACCCACCGAGGGTGATTTTCGACTAGGATCTTTCATTTGCTTTTGAAATTTCCACGTGTCACGTTAATGGCACTTTCGCTTCTTTTCGCGGCCACATCTGGCAGCCTATACTGCTATAAACAATACCTTTTCATTCGGAAACATACGAGTCTGATGTATCCCCGCTGTACTGATACAGATATGCATCAGAAAATAATGGCAGAACGCACGGGTACATGTAGAGGTGTGCATTATGCATATGATTTTTAGTGCATTACTGAGAGCTTTACAGTAGGTAGTACAAGAGGGTAGTAAATCTTGGATTGAGCAGCGCTAACTGTGACATGTTTATTATTGCTGACATTTTATATAGAATACATACTATGTACTGTAGACGTTACTAGTAGGAATAACAGGATAAGCGAATAATGTGCTATAGCATGATGCTGGTGTATACAAATGCAATTAATCGAGATACCGACCTTTTTCTTCTATTGACTAGTTTTACTATTCTACTCCGTATTTTACCCTTTTATCAAACTGTTTCGCCTTTGTCAAGCTTTCTAACAAGCACATTCAAAATAAGATGTATTGTATTAGAGCCTGTAGTAGTAGCATGAATCTATTTTTATCACTCGTTGTCGTCATTGTCGGTTGTAGTAAAAATACAACTGGGGATGACGACGATGAGGGTGTGAATTTAATTGTTAGCGAGAAAGTATATTTGTTACATAGCAGCCCCTTGATCGATCGTATTTTCCTCTTTGTTCTGAACTTTCTCGGACTCTACGACAATAGCTGATTGGGAGGGCGGGGGACAAGAAGCTCACTATGATGTGTTGCTGCAGGGGACATGGGTAGTATGTACACTTTTATATTGCTGTGTTACTACTATTAGTACCACTATCACTACTATGTACTATCATTTATGGAAGAAAGGAAACGAGCGGATGCGGTGGTTTCCGAACCCTGCCCTGAACTCCTTCAAAGATGGGTACCTCCGGATATAGTAGTACGTGGTGGTATCAAAACTTCATCAGGAAGCGGAGATTGCTGGGTCAAGGACGAAAAAAAAAAAAAAAAAAAAAGTTCTTTTTCTCAAGGAAAAGCGCTACGCTATTCTCTTTTCCCTCCACCCAACCACCCTCAAACTCTCTATGCACGCTTTTGATCCAAAGCCTGATCAAAACCTCTTCGACCCTATTGCTGGCACCCTTTTGCGACGACGGCAGCTTTTCATTGTTTTTCCCTAAATATCCCTGTCCTCTGTTCTATCACACAAAACTGTTCTTTGGCTTGTTTCTAATCTCTACCATTTACTAGTACTCTTTTCTTTCTTGCGTTCTTCTTTACCTATACTCCCTCATTAACCTACCCTTTTTTTGGCTCACACACCCTCTCTCACTCTTTCTCTTCATATCGTCCTTCTTTTTAATTCTGTGTGAATGGTCAACATTAGCGACAAGCGCTTCACTCCCATGGCAACACGCAACGGATCATCACCTCTTGGGCGCATGCTCTCCGTCATTGACTGCCCACACTCGTCTCTTCGCTTTTTAATTCTTGATTGTCCTACCGAATCAACACTCGATTTCTACATGGAACAGTTCAATCGACTCAATGTCGCTGCAGTGGTACGATGCTGCCAACCCACATATAATGCGAATCGTTTAATGGAACGTGATATTCAAGTTATTGATCTTCCTTTCAAGGACGGTGGGCTGGTAAGTTCATGTGAGAGTGAGAGAGAGAGAGAGAGAGAAAAGAAAAAGAAAACTCCTCCTTTTGCCTCGTGCCACTTCCAAATAAAGGAATGATTCTGGGGATGATGGATATTGATGGACAGCAATACTCTTTCTTGTATACAGCCCCCGCCGGTCATCGTGCGCGAGTGGTTATCGCTCGTAGAAAAGACCAAAGAAAAAGACCCCACTCCAACCATTGCAGTGCACTGTGTTGCTGGCCTTGGTCGAGCGCCCGTGCTTGTCGCGATTGCCCTGATTGAAATGGGCATGAAGCCGCTGGATTCTATCGAGCATATCCGAGCGAAGAGACGCGGGGCTTTTAACAAACCTCAGATTGCATACCTGGTAAGTTTCCAAGAAGGGGGGTTTCTTTCATGCATTTCGACGAGTTGATCATTCCAAACGTGATTGTTCTTGTATATTAGGATACCTACAAACGAGTACTTAAATCGTCGAGCAGCACCCACTCGTCACTACGATCGTCGCTGGGCAGAATGTTCCGAATTGGCGGGAGCAAAACCAACAGCGCCAATAGCAGCAGCACCACATTGCAACAACAAACGTGACTATATGGCAGCCCCCGATTGCCTGCTTTACTACTGGCAGTGGTGTTGCTGTTACTTGAACGACAAAAGAATATCATTAATCACATGAATAATAATAAAAACAGCGACAGCAGCAATTTTGCATGTATGCGAGAAAGTTTCGATAAGGGAAAAGGAGGAGAAAAGAAGTGGTGAAGCATAATTTTATATTGCTGGGGAAGAAGAAGAAGAAGATCTCAAAAGATGTTAATATGTAAAGTATTATCATTGATGTATTATTATTATTATTATTACAGACATGCTATATGTATAATGTGTGTGTTTTTCTATGGTACATGATGGTGTTGCTGTTGCTGAGGATGGTGTTCTTCAGAAGGAGTATATGCGGGAGGCGGTGGATGACAGCAACAATGAGCAACTGCCGGTGGATGGCACACGGATGACGATGACGACACATAGGCTGAATCATCATTGAATACCTCCTTTGCCGGTGGTGCCGATGGTCCTGGCCCGTCATCGTCTAGCTGTGAAGCCGGGGGAGATGACGCAATGGCGCTTAGTTTGTTAGGTTCAGCGACGGCTGCAGTAGCTGCTGCTGCTGCTTCTGCTTCTACTCCTGCTCCTACTCCTGCTACTTCTGCTGTTGCGCTTGCTGTACTAGTAACAGCGATAAGAGCAGGCGGCGGTGGCGCTGGAGGGTGTGGCGGTGGCACGACGATGATATCTGGTGCGACAAGTTCGTCACCACTACCGATATCATTATTATCATTGATATTTTCCATCGCATCTTGCCGTCTTGCAGCCTCCTTGTCCAATTGCAATTTTCGTCTTTTCCGTCTTCTTCGCTGTCGATATTGTCGCCAGTGCCAGTAGAGACAGATGCCGGCTCCAAGCGCGAATGGAATCACGAGTCCGCCCGCCAAAGATAGAATAACGACCAGAGCACGCAAATGCTGCTCATCGGATCGGATTTTGAGAACCAAGCCTTCGTCGTTGGCAGCAACAAGATGCTGTTGAAAGATGTATGCGGTTACAATTAAAGCACCATAGTTGTAGTGCATCTGCGGAGTTAAAGAGACCAATATAACATTCGCTTGTTGTTGTTGTTGATGTTGAATATTTCTGCGTTAGGTTGAGTGTTCTTTTGTTCTGTATGTGTTTTTGCTGGCTATTGGCTAATGGAGCGATGTAATAAAAAGAAAAGAGGACCAAAGAGAGAGAGAGAGAGGAAGAAATGAAAAAAGTACGGCGTAAGGGGTTCTAAAAGAAAGAGTGGAAAGAGGTTCTCCCTCCCCTTCATTCTGGCCATGCATAACAATTTCGCATTTTGCCACTTATTGTTCAAACAAAACAGAACGCACCATGCAGCACCATGCATCGTCCTGGTAATAGCGAACAGAAGAGAGCGTGTGCAAGTCCGTCGCTTTCTATTCTCTTTATGAAGCCACCAGATCAAAAAAGGCTGCAGGGATTGTCATCATACCATCATGGCTTTTATATCCCTTTCTGATCTTTTATTTGTGATAGCTACTTTACTAGTGTATATACTCAGTGTGTGTGTGATGTATTGTACCTAGTATATAGTCAATATAGAACACACAACTTTCTCTTGTCATTGTGGATAGGCTATCTCCTTAAAAAGTTTTATTATTAATGAATTACTATTGTACAGAATAGGATAGGATAGGCCTTGTCTTTGAAAATGTATTCAGGGTGATTTGATACTGTTGGAGAGTGAGGGCGAGGAGGATGCTACGCTGATCCGGTCTTCAATATCGGCTCGACATAGTGGGCTAGAAAAGAGATTAGATAAATTCAGAATTAGAATTTCACGAGATACTTGAAATACAAGCTATCTTTATGAAGTTCTGAGAGGGAGAGGAGGGAGAGAGAGAGAGAGTGAGATCGCTTACCACATGTCAAGTGCATCCGCACAGCGTCCACCCCAGCCGGTATGCCGACAGGGCAGCAGCATGACATTTTTAGGTTCCGAGAAACAGATCGTGCAAAGTGGCCCGTCCCATTCATAGCTGCTGCTGCTACTGTTACTGACTGCATCAACATCCACGACCACTCCTGCTGTCGCTCTTTTTCCTCCTCCTACTCCTTCTTGGTGTTGGTGTTTCTGCTGCTGTAATGTATGAGGTTGCTGTTGTTGTTGCTGCTGCTGCCGATGAGAGACAGATGCAGATGTAGTGGTCGTCGTCGTTGTGGTGGTGATTGAAGTGGCCTGAGATTTGCATCGTGGCTTACTGCGTTTCTGCACATAGTGTAGCACTCGGTTTTTAAAATGTTCATCGAGCTTTCCGGCCTCACTGATTCCCTTGTACTTGACCGAGACAGGGGGTGGATACATCCATGGTCGATCGCCAAAGTTGAGCAAGACGTGCTGGTGCGTCGTAAGACTGACGGCGGGGTACAGCCCCAGACTTACTGATTTGTTGTCATTGCTGTTACTGCTGCGACTCTTGCTCTTTCTGCTGCTGCTACTCGTACTCGCTCTCGCTGCTTCATTTTGAAAGTTGCTGTTCCCACTGTTGTTGTTGTTGTTGTTGTTGTTATCACTGCTGTTGAATGGTGGGGGTGGAAGCATGGGTGATGCAGATATGCCCTCAACGTCATCGTCTTCAGAAACGCAATGCTGACGCGCAGGGTGCTCGAACTCAACAGTAAGACCCAGGTCACATCCGTTGATGAAGAAGGTGCAGAGACCATTGTCTAGATCCAAGAAGCTGCCAAGCACGTCGCCTGCGCGACAATGGACGTTGCTATGCGACTGGGGGTACACTGCAGATCCATCCGCCTGTTCCATGAAAAGAAAAGAATACGTGTTTTAGTAAACAGTTTACACGCCCAATACAGCAACTTACCCATACAGCAGTGCGATACGTATCAAAGGCAAAGCCGTTCTATTTTAGACAAGGTATTATGTAATGCAACGATAAATAAGTTAGCCTGTTCTGCCTTTCCAAATGGAAAATTCCCGCATTTGGGGGTGGGATTGATAGTGTGTGGGGGTGTTCTAAGTGCCAAACATACGCAGTCATCACCAACGCCATATCCTTCTTCTGGTGTAAACCGACAACGACTCGTGGCCCAACCAAGCTGCATAATGCCGTTTGTCAATAGTAATGTCTCATAATACCATTTTCCCTTTTTCACACACGCTGTTGCACGTATGGATTCGAAATGGGGTCTGTCATTGCGCAGTTCCAGACCATTACCGCCTAGTTTCCAATGGGCAGTGGCGTCAAACAGGTTCATGATGGCTTTCAAGTGGGAAAGATCCCATGAGCAAGCGAGCTAACGTTGGTGGTCTTTGAGTAAGTAAACACTTTAGAATTTGCTTTAGCATGATGCTCTTTTTACCTGTTGTTCATCGTCGCCTATAGAAGAAAGAGTAAAACGGAAAGTTTAGTTATCCGTATACATGTATCATGGAAGCCTGTAGCTAATAACAAAAACCACCTACCAAAGACATTGTCCAGTGCCCATCGTGAACAATGGGCGAGCTGTACGTAGCGGGTCCAATCATCACGCAACTTTCCTTCAGGTGGTATAAATCCTGTATCAAAGCTGTTGAGATGTGACATGAACTCGGGCCGACTTGGAGGCGAAGCGCGTTGCTTGATATGATCTGACAGCATGGACGACGCGCTTGTTCCGGTGAAAGAATGCACGCTGTTGTTGGTACCCACATGATTGCTATCTGCTTCTGATGATTTGTCAAGATGTCCATCGAGTGACCAGCCGTCGTCAAAACCATCAACGTCGACGTCCTCGTTACATTTTCCTTTGTGCTTTCGGTGAAACAGACGCACCAAATGCATCTTGGTGTCGCGCCACATGGTCTCTAAGCAATACTTGACTCTGCCTGCTTTGAACAATGCTTGGGGATGTAATGCTGCAGGGGCCTTGTTGCTCGTCATGTCGAGTTCTGCTGGATCATTGTTGGAGCTATTGTGAGATAGTGATGAGACGGGCGAGCAGGGCGACATGAGAAATATATGATGGTTGGCTTCTTCGCATTCGTGGATCACTGCAAGTAGAATCGCACGGATATTGCATGGATGTGCTATGATGGCTTCCTTGACGATGCCTAATACACATAAAACTCTGATAAGTACATTTCCAACTTTCTGTGACCCCCAATACAAAAATGCATTACCTGTCAATGCAAATTTTTCCAAAGCATTCAATGCGAAGATACGAACGCGCAAATCCTCTTCTGGATCAGCAAGAAAATGCAACAACAGATCGCCGACTTGATCCGTCCACAATTCCTGGCACAAGTCACCTGCAAACTTTTCTGCCAAAAGCGACCACAGTGCAGCTGAATTGAGCTTGAGGAGTGTACTGGGACCAGCATAGCGTTTCTTTTTCTTGGGCTTTTTCTTTTGTTGCTGTTGGTGGTGTTCTGTGGCTGGATCACGGCATTGTGGACACGGCCGTTTCCATTGCTGGATGGTCACGGGTTGACGACGATAGCGGCGTAATTTGGATGTTGTTGTTGACGGAGCAGCCGTAGTGAAAGAGGATGGTGCTAATGCGAATGGTGTCACCAAAGAAGTCAACACACTGTACAGATGATGCGTGGGTTTGTTGAGCCGCGACAGGATGACAGGTGATACAGCAGCCATGGTTTCGCGTGATGGAAGTGCCGCGCGGTCCACAATGTGGCTGAGGAATGCCATGGCCACTGGGCTTTCCGGCTCAAGTGCCGATGTGATGGTTGCTATGAATGCAAGGTATCCAGAGCCTGACAAGTGGGCAAGCGTAAGTTTCTTTCTCTATTGAAAACGTCTACACTTTGAAGAGAAACTAACCTTCGTATGCCAATTGAAACAGCGTGTCAAGTGCATGAACCATGCGTCGTTCCCGGTCGTAGAATTCTTGGGATGCGCGTTGCTCATCGTCATTTGGTGCAGCATTGTTGTTGTTGTTGTTATAGTCGCTGCTGTCAGTAACGGTAGTGCCGGTGTTGCTTTCGCCTTGGTGATGGTATTCATGGATGTGATTCTGTGCGATAGTAAGAATATGTCGCCATGAACTTTCAACCATGCGGCTGGTATACTCGAACGACGCCGGATTGCTTGCGACTTCACCTAACACTGGCATCTCTTTTTAATTTATCGCAGAAAAAGATTTTGCTTTTTCGGGGCTTCTTTCTTCCAGTAATAAAGTGTTGTTTGTGTAAGGTAGCGCAGTTGCTGTTGCACACGTCTCTCTGTTCTTTTTTAAACGTATATTGTATCAAGGGTCTGATTTTCCAAAGCAGTCTGAAGAAGAGATAAGAAAAAGCGAGAGAAAAGAGGAGAATAGTCCACCAAACCCCCTCGGTGGGTTGCCACAGCGTTCAATTGTTCTCGCTCGTTTCGATACTCTAAACAACCTGAAAACGCCCTTGACTCAATTGAAAAAGCAAATAAAAAAAAAATTGAGCTTCTGCGGTTCGTTGGTGTTTTCTATTGTTTGAGCTTCGCAAAAAACAGTTCTCACAATGGCTGCTGTTTACTGAAAAGATGATAGCAGTTTGTTTGTTTGGTCGATCCTTTTTTTTTTTTGTAATGGGTTGATTATAACAGCGGCAGTGTTGTTTGTACTGTTTGCCACTACCAACCACATGGTCATGATGATACAAATACGCATCTACGATCAGTAAAGAAAACGCCGCCACCTTCTCTCCTCCCTGCCTTCATAGTAGTCATCAAAGACGAACAAAAGTGGCAAACCTCTGATCTTGTCAACAACCAAGGCCCTGGGTTCCCATGATGTAGTAGATGATGACCGTGATGTTGACACACGCATTTTTTCTCCTTTGTTTCTAAAACATTCTGTTGACGGAACGCTTAGTACCACCATCTCATTTACGCACTCACGAATAAAAGCTAAAAAATATTATATCCCGCCGTGGCCGTGTGGAAACACAAACGTTGTATAAGCCCCCTCCTCCTCCTTCTCGAAACCATCATCACCACCCCTCCTTCCATTGTGCCCCGCGTCGTTATCTAACTAGGATTAAAAAGAACCCATTTTAATCTTTTCTTTCTTTTTCTCTTCAATCTTGTTTTTTTTCTACTCTTCCACCATTACTTTTCACACACACACTCGATATACAGATGGCTTGTAACAATATCAAAAACCAAATAATATCACTGGTGGACGAAGACGCTATCGATGAACGTTTGTTTGTTGATGATTACCAACACATATCACCGAGCCGGAGCCGGAGCATCAGCACCAGGTGCCAGCACCAAAACAATATTAATCCAAAACCCAGAAGATGCACTTCATTCACGACGACGACGACGACAAAGAAGACAACAGCTACAACAGCAATTACGGAAACAGCATACAAGAATGATGATGTTCGTCCGGGCCCGGACAGTGTTAATCAGAAGGTAATACTATAGATTTTCTCACACGGGCTCTATCTTAGAATTATACTTATATCCAACATAATCAATTCTGTTTCTTGCTGTATAATTTTCTTTAACTTTCCTGTGTCACCCTGCCAGCTGTAACTGACGCACAGATCTTTTTTCCCCAGACTTTGTCTAGTGCTATTTCGTCATTGCCGACTATTCTAATCACAGACTATGACATTGAGTCCAGCAGCATGTCCGAAATAATCACATCCGAAGATTATTTACCTTCACGCCGCTACTATTATTGCCATAAGAAGAATATAACTGTCGCTTCTACGGATACTACCACCCCATTCTCCCCCTCCTTACTACTCGCTCTCCCTCCCACCTCTTTATCAAATTATCACGCTGGACTGATCGAACGATACCGACATGATTTGTCAGCATTATTACAAAACAGTACCAATAATAGTAGTAACAATAGTTAATTGAATCAATCAGACTGCTGTCATGTATATATAATGTACTGCATCGTAATCAATAGATTATTACTGTATTGTTCTGACCCTGAAAGGCTGTTAGAAAACAAGTGTCAGTAGTTAGAAAACAACGGGAGATATAAACAGAAGAATGCTATTCCTTATTGCAACGTTCAAGCGAGCATTGGATGCCAGTGATGAAGGATTGCGCAGAAGTATAAGCGGAACGATGATAAAAAATAATTGGTTGTATACTTTGAACTGCCTGTTCGACTTGATATGGACTGCTTAACACATGTACTCGCTTCTGTGTGGCAACAACGATGGTGCTTATTTATGATCATCACACACAACCATTCCAGCTGATTTTTGCGTAGTATCATTGATGTATCCTTCGCTCACTTGCTCATAAAAATCGCTAATCACAACGCTCAAGTTGTGCAAAATGTAACAGCACTTTAATAACTTATCGTGACAGAGAACTGTAAAAGAAAAACGCCAAAAGAAGTGGCAATATTGAATTGGGCGTTTTAAAAAGGGCCTGTAGATCGTGCGTTTCTTGTGAATCTCAACCAGTCTGGCGTATCATAACATTGTATACATAAACATGTTAAGCTCCCTTTGAAAGATGGTGCCCAGCAAACCATAAATTTTGGGCATACAATGCAGTGGCAGCATTGTTCAGTTGAAAGGTGTCGCTTAATAAAATCTGTACATAATGATTGCAATCAGGAACTAAGCGTTTTTATGACAGTGCAAGCAGTACGTGCTCATTGAATGCTAGTCTATTCACTTTTCAGTATAATGCTCTGAAAGAATACAAGGCGGCAATCCTTTCTTTTCTATGGAGGCACGCAACTTCACAGTCGCCCTTCTTTATTTCCGCCAATGTACTGCCATGCATCGTTATATGCAGGTAGGCCGATCAAAAGGTGACAGACGGTTTTTTAGGCTCTAAAGGACTCTGGAAGGTTCCGGAAAACCCACTGCAATCGGCTCTGATGAGCTTTGGTGATTATCTTTGCCGAGACAAACTCCTTCTGTAGGTGGTGGTAGTTAATGCTCTCAATCGCAATGACTTTATAATTCTATACGCATTTCCCGGTTAAGATCATAGAGAACCGGGACGGTTCCAGTTCGATTCATTCATGAAACCGACTCGTCATGAACCGACCAGACTCGACGTTTTTCTCGGTTCCTCAGAAGTAGGCTCTAAATAACAGGGATATAAATGTCACCCATCACAAAATAAACAAGACATACAATGAGTCCCTTCTTTCGCATGTTTAACCAAATGACCTCATCGATCCAGCCGACGCATTAGCTCTGATTATTTACCAATGCATATGTTATACCCATTTATCAAGTAGATAAATGGTAACATTGTCATCCAACAATTCACATTACACTGTAAACAGCTCCTTGCTGTAACAATACTGTACTGTAAACAAATAATTATTATGTTGCAACTTCTACTAGATGAGTAAGCACCACATCCACACGTATATTAAAATCAGATACTGCAAACACTGATTTTGCCTCTCGTCGTACTCACTTAAATGCATATAATAAGATTAAGCTATCGTGCGGACAATTATTAGAGGAGCAACCTGAAAATGTGGATGTCAGCGGTGTATATGTTAAAATGAGCGGCTTGCTAGAACTGGCGAGAGAGTTATCGACTGTTGATCGAGACAGTAGCCTGAAAATTCGCCCTTTTCTTCATTAATCGAGTAATTGGTAAATTCTCATCTGTTATTCAACGCTACTGAACTCCTCTCGCTCTCCCGCTGTACTAAATTGCTATTGTATGTCTACTAAATTACCACTGCCACGCCACATAGGCACTCAAGTCTTGACTATTTGGCCACATTGACCACACCACACGACCACATTTCACATAGGTTAAAATCAAGAGTCATAAGAAATGAACCTTGGGTTGGTGATAGACAGCTCGCAATCTCGTGATACTAGTTTTTTTTACTGATTTATTGACGATGGTAGTGTTGTAACACCATATGCGATGTTGCGGTAGAAGGGGACTATTTTTTGTAAGCAATGACTGATGTCATGGGCTTAAATATTGTTCCGTCTCGGTAGTTCCCCGCCCTCGTCCGTATATATGTGGGAAGACTCAGATTGCAAACTATTTTTAATGCTCAAAGCGTTTGGTCGTTACTCTTCAGTTTTAGCTACAGCCACTTTAAGTAGTACTGTTGCCTTTTACACTTACTCAACAACTACCACTGCACAAGCTACAACTATGCGCGCTCCCGTCTTTTTCATCTCTCATGGAGGTAAAGGCAAAGATAACAGCTATTCATGCATAGATTGTATTTATGTCTCACAAACAACATGGTTCCCCAGGTCCAAATCTTCTAGAAGATAAAGAAAAGCCAGGCGACTTTTATACTTGGTTTGGCAAGTACTTGAAGAAAGAACTGAAACCCAAGGCTATCGTTCTTATCAGTGCGCATTGGCAAGGCACAGGCAAAAACGGCATATATGGTAAACCATCACAGCCCTTTTCCTCTCTAAAGGTTTATTAAGTACAACTGCTGAAGACCTTTTTTTTCTTGTGTCATTTCGTAAAAACAGTTGACAATTCAGAAAAGCCAAAATTGATCTACGATTTCTACAATTTCCCTCAACGCTACTATGAACAAACGTGGGATCAGCAAGGTTCGCCTGAATTAGCTGAAAAAGTCATTGGCTTGTTGAAAAAGGTATGGAGTTTTCCTATACCTCTTTCTTTTTCTCTGTTTGTTGCACTGTTATAAATATGACGTACTCTTGTGATATGAGGCCTACTGATTTGTTTTGATTTATATTTAAATCATATATTCAGTCAGGAATTAATGCTTCTGGTCAACGCTATGGAGCGGATCATGGTCTCTGGGTGCCAATGAAACGCGCCATGAAGTCCAACAAGGATATTCCGATTATTGAAATATCAACATTCGGTCATGAAGATATGGCCATGCATACGAAAATGGGTGAAGCGCTTGCACCACTAAGGTATATATATAAGAACGATGTATGGCTCAACAGTATTACCCTGTGATACTAAGAGACAAAAAATGTGTGCGTATGTGTTGTTACCATAGAGATGAAGGTGTTGTCATTATTGGTAGTGGTAGCGCAGTGCACAACTTACGGCTGCTATGGTCCAATATGGACAAGCCATCGCCTCAATTCGTCGTGGATTTCGATAAGGATATGGAGAAGATAGCAGTTGGGTCGACAGGTCAAGCACGAAAAGAGGCTGCCAATCAACTGAGCCAACATGGGGCGTTCCGACAATGCCATCCCACAGCAGAGGTAATGTTGATAGCCGGGAGTAAAAAGAAAAGATTCTGTTCGTGGGATCAAAAGGACAATATTAATTGACAACTTCACTATCTAACATTGTTTCTTATATATTCGAACAGCACCTGGTACCTTTCCATGTGGCGTTAGGAGCTGCAGGCAGCGACGCAGGTGTAAAGCTTCTAGAGGACTACATCGCAACTTTGGCATGGGGATCTTATGGTTTTGGATTGAGCAAGGATACGGTGATGCCCACTTACAAAAATGGTACAACTTTGTTTGCTGCTGCTCGAGACGAATTATAGTGTGTTAGTCGGCGATTTTTTTGTACATATCAACCAGCTGAAACGTCAATTTGTTTATTATCATTAACAAAATAAACACGTAATACCCACATATATTATACATGTATACTTAGTAAACAAGATGGTGAACAACACTACTACTAGTACTAGTACGACAAGAGCAGCGACAACGACACCTGCTGGCGGCTTACCTCCGGTGCCCCTGGTTTTTCTCTTTGTGATAATACTCGCGTTTGTCATAGCCCAATGGAGAAGCTAGTATTATAAAATGATGCTGGTTGTCATGATTTTTAAGGAAAAGGAGACTTCTTCTTCTCTCTTATATTATGTCGGGGCCATTAATAAGGGGTTGGGAAGAGGAGGGGTGATTTGCTGGTTTAGCGAAGAAGTAATACAGCACGTTGGATTAGAGAGTCAGAAACAGGAGTGTGCAAGATTGAAGAGGGGTAGAAAGATTATTGGAAGGAGTTGGTGATGTTTTTTTAGCCTAGCTTGTTAGAAGCATGGCTCAAACCACACACTGTGTTCACTCTCCACAGACATGCCCTTCTCTTATTTTCGTATGTGCGTGTGCGTGTGCGTGGTGTGTGCTTGTGTGTGTGTGTGTACAGTAAAAAAGAGCTGTGCCTAAGTATTGAGGGGAAGTTCGGGAGGGGTGGATTTCTTGCAACTCATCTGGTTTATCCTCTTTCTTTTTCTTTTTTTCCTCTTTTCTCTGCTCCCTTCTTTCATACACACATTCTGTCTATTTACTATTTACATTATTATTACTGGACCCTCTACGCCCTCGTTCATTTGTAACGCTGTAATTTCAAGTCAGGCCCAAATATATACGTTCAGCAGTAGCAGCAACAGTACCTCCTCGAACTTGGGCTGACACAATATCCTCCAATCGTTACCGACACATAATTTAATATACATTACTTAATAATACATATACGACGCATATAACGGCAAACGGTTATTATGATGACGACGGGATCCAGCAATGCTGTCAGCATAAATGATCTAACGGGCATCAACAACCTCACAGAGGACTCACTTGTTACAACAATACGGACAAGATTCCTGCAGGATAAGATCTTCACCCGCATACGCAATTCTACATTGATCGTTGTAAATCCATACAAGGATCTTCTCACTGCATCCATCCGTGAAACGAGCGAAAAATACCTAGCAGAATACAAGGAACCGGCTAGAGAAAATACTCAAGAAGAACAGCAAGCGCCACGGCAATTGGATCCGCATATATTCCAGCATGTCAACCAAGCCTATTTCCACCTACGTCGAACAGGTCAGGATCAATCCATCATCTTCAGGTAAATTTACGGAAAGAGATCTGACATAATTTAGACAGAGAAAGAGGCAAAGGGAGAGGAATTGGATAATATTTGTCATAACATATAGAAAATAAAAACTAAACTATATATCATTGACTTGACGTCGTTATTGTTGCGCATCCTAACAGAGGATTGAGCGGTAGTGGGAAATCAAGTATGCGGGTTGCAGCCTTAGAACACTTGATGACTCTCAGTGGAGGCAACAAAAAGACTAGTCGAGTACAGCAACACGTCCAACGAGCGTTTGCTATTCTTGGAACCTTTGGACACTGTCGAACGCTAGGCAACAATAACGCATCACGTTTCGGTAGCCACGTCGAAATTCAGTTCAACGAACGCGGACGCATGATTGGCGCTAAGTTTTTGGACTATTTGCTCGAACGTTCACGCATCACCGAACCAGGCGACGAGTCGATGTCGAATTTCCAAGTCCTGTACTACCTCGTGCATGACAAGACGTTGCAACTTGGCGACAGCAATGGATCCCAGTTCCGATATCTGTACAAAACCAAAGACACTCCGCTATTCAACAGCACACAAGAAGACCTCTTGGAACTCAAATCCGATCTAAAGTCGCTTGGTGTCGACAAGACGGTCTGGCACAACATGGCACAGATCCTTGCAGCCATTTTGCACCTTGGCAATCTTCAATTTATAGGTGGAGCGTCTATGCCGGGCAGTAATAATAACAAGGAGACAAGTATCAAAAATCCTGCCACATTGGAGCTCGTGGCATTGTTTTTGGGCGTCGAACCAAAAGCTATAGAAAATGTACTATTGTATCAAACCAAAATGATCCAACGCGACATGACAACAGTCGTATTGGATGCCGAACAAGCATCAAAGCAGCGCGATTTACTTGCACAAACCTTGTATTCGTTGCTGTTTACATTTGTGGTCGAGGCCATCAACAAAAAGCTGTGCAAGTCGACATTTGAAAATTTCATTAGCTTGACGGATTTCCCTGGATTCGAGGCGGCAGCAAAGAATAATGGGCCGGCAATTTCAGCAACGTCATTTGATCAGTTTCAGCTCAATTTTGCAAATGAAAAATGGCACCAGTTCATGTTACAGCATACGTTTAATCACAATATCGAAGTATATCGTGAACAAGCCATTGATCGCGATCCGGCCACATACCAATCTACCAGTGCTCAATGTATTGCACTGATGTTGGAAGCAGCAACAACAGCAACAGCAGTAGCACCAGAAACAGCGCCATCATCGGCAAAACCAAGAACAAAAACCATGGAGCCATTCATCAATAAAAACAAGCAGCATCCTTGTCTCACCATCAAACGACCCGATACATTCACGATCCAACATTTTACAGCTCCATCAACGTACAACCGCAGTCAATTCTTGGACAAATGCAATGAGCCAACGCTCAATGCCGATTTTGTCTCCCTGTTCCGAAGCGATGACTGCAGGAATGCACTGGCACAACAATTATTTTTACAGAAAACTGTCAATACCGAGTTAAAAGGACAAGCAATCGTAGCTGCTGAGCAGTCGTCAAAACCACGTCGATCGCCATCAATGAAACGCAAGAGCAACAATAACAAACCAGCAGCAGCAGCATCTGAAGAGCAGCAACAGCAAAAGAAGCAGCAGAATGGTCCACTGCAGCCGTTGGATGACGCCATGGACGAGCTTTTTAAAACATTACAAGAAACCGAAGTATGGTGGGTCCTGTGTCTCGACCCAAACGATTTGCACCTACCAAGCTCGTGCGATGGGAAAAAGATTGCTTCCCAAGTGCACATGTTTAATATTCTAGACTTGGCAATACGTGCACGACACGAATACAAGATCAAGATGGCGATTACAGAGTTTGGAGAACGATACGCCGACATTATCCAGCAAAGCACCTGTGCTGATTTGAATGCTGATCTACGTGATATGTGTGTTGCTGTCATGGGCTCGTATAACTGGAATACAAAGATGATGGTCGTTGGTGAAGAGCAGGTAAATACGGAAGAGAAGGAAGCTCACAGCAACTAGTAGCATTAACTTTGTTGTTAACTTTCAAAATAGATCTATCTTCATGGATACGCATGGATGGTTCTTGAGAACAGATTGAGAGCCATTGAAAAGCGGGAACAACGGCGGGCACGATGTTTAGCAAAAGGCGTTCCATTTGGTATTTTTATAAAATATATGTTGTATTTTATCCTATCATGTATATAGCTAATACGACCGTAACGGTGTATAGATGAAGATACTGGGGACGAAGCAATGTCAGGTTCTGCAGCAATGCTTGATACAGGCGATGCTGGCTCATGCGCCATGAAAGGTCCATCATCCATGATGGATGGAGGATCCATGTACTCGGACGATAACTGCTACACAAACTGCTATACCGACACAGGTTCTGTTTGCAGCGGATCACAAGCGTGCGATGACACAACGACTACCACATTGACCAAGACACCCAGCGACAAATCCATCAGTAACAATAAAAAGGATATCAACAAGAAAGATAATCGACGCAAGACATCCAAGGCGCGTGGCATCTGGGTGTTTTTGACATGGCTATCGACGTGGTGGATACCAGGCATCTTGTTGAGCTCCTTGGGTGGTATGCGACGGTCGGATATCCGCATGGCTTGGCGTGAAAAAGTGGCGCTATGTACATTGATTTTTATTCTATGCGGTGCCATGATTTGGTTTATTTGCTTTTTCGGTCAGCTGCTTTGTCAACATCAAGATCTGTACACGCAGTCGGAATTACAGGCGCATAGCGGCAAAGATAATGCATACGTAGCCATCCGCGGCGAGGTGTTTGATCTAACGTCTTTTGCCCCACGTCATTGGGCGAGCGAGGTAATTCCTGTGAATGCATTGACCCAGTACGCCGGCCAAGACGTCAGTGATCTGTTCCCAGTACAAGTCTCAGCACTGTGTGATGGCAACAATGCGCCTGTACCCAAAGAAGTGACGCTTGAAACACGGATCAATATCACCGATTCAAACGCTGCTTACCACGACTTTCGATATTTTCGCGATGACTATCGGCCCGACTGGTACTTTGAGCAAATGGTGTACATGCGCAAGAACTACCGTCTTGGTTTCATGGGATATGATACCGAGGATATCAAGAATCAAGCATCGTCACCAGTCCAAGTTGGTGGTATTAGCACAGAGCGTCGATGGGCTATCTTGCACAACAACGTTTATGATATGACCTCGTACATGATGGGCGGTCGCGGTATTCGAGGGCCAGATCAACAATCCGCGGACACAACGGCGGCGAGCAACAGTATCGGTGCCGACTTTATTGACAATTCAATTACGGAGCTATTTCGACAACTGGCGGGCACCGATATTTCTGCTCACTTTGATGCACTGCCACTCGACAAGGACAAACGGGATCGTCAACTGACGTGTATGAGAAACCTGTTTTTGGTGGGCAAGGTCGACACGAGAAACTCGCCGAAATGTCTGTTTTCTGAGTACTTGCTGCTGTTGATTACTGTCTTTTTATGCAGCGTCATTCTGTTCAAGTTTTTGGCAGCACTCTGTTTGACGCAAAGCAACAAGTATGATAACGACGAATACGACAAGTTCATTGTGTGCCAAGTGCCCTGCTATACAGAGGGCGAAGAGTCGCTACGCAAGACGATTGATTCAGTAGCTGCACTCAAGTACGACGACAAACGTAAGCTTTTGTTCCTGATTGCCGATGGTATGATTGTCGGTAGCGGTAACGACCGGTCAACGCCCCGCATTGTTTTGGATCTCCTTGGTGTCGACCACAGTTATGATCCTGAGCCCGTGTCGTTCTTGTCGTTGGGCCAAGGCCAGCAGCAGCATAATATGGCCAAGATCTATTCTGGATTGTACGAGTACGCAGGGCATGTCGTGCCTTATATCGTGGTTGTCAAAGTCGGCACTCCCAACGAGCGACACAAGTCCGGCAACCGTGGCAAGCGAGACTCGCAGATGGTTTTGATGCGGTTCTTGAACAAGGTGCATCACGATTCGCCCATGACACCCTTGGAACTGGGCATTTATCATGAACTCAAAAATGTCATTGGTGTCCATCCAAGCTTTTACGAGTTCGTCCTGATGATTGACGCGGATACCGAAGTCATGCCAAACGCACTAAGTCGGATGGTGGGCCATTTTGTCCGTGACCCAAAGATTGTTGGGCTATGTGGCGAGACCATGTTGTCCAACGAAAAGGATACATGGGTGACCATGATCCAGGTGTACGAGTACTACATCTCGCATTATTTGTCCAAGGCATTTGAGTCACTGTTCGGCTCTGTTACATGCTTGCCCGGCTGTTTCTGTATGTATCGCATTCGATCCACCAGCAACAAGCCATTGCTCGTGTCACATGCAGTCATCAACGACTATGCCGAGATTTACGTTGACACGCTGCACAAAAAGAATTTGCTCCACCTGGGCGAGGATCGCTACCTGACGACATTGATTTTGAAGCATTTCCCCAATTATAAGACGAAGTTCACGGCGGACGCAGCATGTATGACCAACGCTCCGGACGAGTGGCCAGTGTTACTATCCCAGCGCCGTCGCTGGATTAATTCAACCGTACACAACCTGGGCGAGCTCATGTTTCTCCCACAACTGTGTGGCTTTTGCTGTTTCTCCATGCGGTTCGTTGTGATGCTCGATTTGCTCAGCACGTTGGTGATGCCAGCTGTCGTGTGTTACCTCGGCTACCTGATCTACCAATTGAGCACGAGCACAAGTCAAGTACCACTTATTTCGATCATCACACTTGCAGGCGTGTACGGGTTACAAGCCATTATATTTATCTTACGACGCAAGGTAAGAAAAAAAATTAGTTTTTAGAAAAAAGAGAAAGAAAAAAAAGAAATTGTGTGCTAATAATTCCATAATCTGACTAGTGGGAACATATTGGCTGGATGATCGTGTATATTCTTGCGATACCTGTCTTTTCCTTTTTGGTACCTCTATACGCGTTTTGGCATTTTGACGACTTTTCCTGGGGTAACACACGTATTGTTCTGGGCGAACGAGGGCAAAAGAAAGCCGTGGGTCCAGAGGAAGGCGCATTTGATCCATCGACGGTCCCGACCAAGCGATGGTCTGAATATGAATGCGAAGAACAGCATTGGGAGAAGGATGACATGTCCTCGTATTGTCGCGGTAGCACCACAGACGGTCCTGGCAGTGTCGTTTCTTCCTCATCGTGTCGTTACACACAGGCAACGCCCTCACCTCCTGCCATTTCGTACACCCCTCGACAACGACGAAGCAATAATGGCAGCAACAATAATAGAAGTAGCAGTATAATACCTAGCGAATCCGAGATTGTGGAAGAAATCAAGCGGATATTGGACACAAACGATCTGATGCTTCTGACCAAGAAGCAAGTCCGTGACACGCTTTCAGATACGTTTGGCATGGATATGAACTACAAACGTGATTTTATCAACAAGAGTATCGAACAGTCGCTAGCCGAGCGACTTTAATTTCCATTGTATGATTAAAAAAACATAATTATTCTTTCATTTATTATTATTATTGTTGCTGTTGTTACTCCTATTGTTAAGATCTACTGGGCTTTTGGGTTCCAGACTTATCACTACCTGAATACGAGTGTCTTCTGTTGCACATGCATGTTGGAGCAAGAAGAAGACCATCCTATCTGCACATTGTTGCCATGCACAACACAGAGAGAGATCAGCGTGTCGTGATCCTTTGTATATTTAATTTATAAAGTAAATTGGAAAGGGGGAGAGAGTGAGAGAGTGAATAAAAATACAATAATAGAGTTGTTGCTGGTGAAGGTGTGTTTTGCAGATGGAAAACTCGGAATCACACTAAGACAAAAAAGAAATATAAGCTACATTTTATATGCTGTTGCTGCTGCTGCTGCTTTTGTATTTTTTTACTCTAATGTTATTTAGCTAATCCAGTCCCAAGAGATCTCCACACGGCCGTCATCGAACTCTGCAATCGCGCCAAAGGCAGCTGGACTCAAATCTATAATTGGGATGGTGCGTGTGTTTAATAAATTTCTTTTGTGTATCACCGTTCCTGAAAAGAAAAAGGGGGAGGACTACTAGTACTTACCAACATCACCCTGGGCACAGGTCGGGCAAGTGTCCGTGATTTCAACAGTGACGCTGCCGTTGGGACCGTTCACCTTGATCTTGCGACCACAGTTGGGGTTTTCGTTGGGGTTACCTTCGTTGGCCATGTCAATGTGGTTCATGGCAGCAATCAGGTCGCTGTCGGTGTTGGTAATGCCGCAGGAACCAAGGCCAGTGTTGTAGAAGGTACCTTCACCAGAGTGGGAGCCACTGCTGCTGCCGCCGCCACTGCTGCCGCCAGTTTCCTCTGCCTTTTCGGTCGTGGTTGTCGTGGTAGGCTTCTGGGTGGTGGTGGTGGTGGTGGTAGTGGTAGTAGGCTTCACGGTGGTGGTAGTGGTGGTAGGCTTCTTAGTGGTAGTGGTTGTAGTGGTCGTTTTAGTAGTGGTAGTAGTGGTAGTCGTTGGTTTCTCCTTACGAACGGTGGTGGTAGTAGGTTCGGGCTCTTCAGTCGTCGTTGTTTGCTTCTTGGCAGGAGTCGTGGTGGCTTTGGGAGCCTCGGTCGTCGTGGTGGTGGCAGATGGCTTTTGGTGAGCTTCCTTGGTGTTGTGGCTGGAATGATCCTGACCATGAGCGGGATGGCCAGCAGCAGCAGCCTCAGCATAGAAGGCCGATGCCTGAGCAGCAGCGACAGCGGATTGCGAAGCAAGAGCCTCCTGCTGCCACTCTTCGTTTTCGGCAGCCATCTGGTCAGCGACGGCCTGTTGGGAAGCAATAGCCTTACGTTGCCAGGCCTCGTGATCGTAGCGTTTCTCGGCGACTACGTTTCGCTTAACAAAGGATTCAGGAATGGGCATGGCGGTAACCAGCGTGGCTGCAACGAGCAACAACGTCGCCATGAAGATAACAAGTTGGTTTGTCATTTTTTATAAGATAAAAAGAAAGGAAGGGGGTTGTATAAAGGATTGATATGGGGGGTGAGGGTTAAAGAGAACCAAAGCTCTTTAAATCACAAAGGAAAGATATACGAAAAGAAGTTAGTAGAGAAGAAAGATGTGTGTTCAAAGAAGTTTAGCTTGAGCCTTTTATACCTCCACCTGGAATTGCTCGTTCTTTTTCTTGGACCGCAATTTAGCTTGTACGACATTTGCCTGCCCTTTCTTCTCTTTCTCGGCTCCATCTTGCGTTCCCGCTCAAGACACTTGCATGTGTGCACAGAGCTGTCTCTCTCTCTCTCTCATCTCCTTCCTTTTGCTGCTCTTAAATTAATGACACGCAGCAGGCAAGAACACCGGAATTTCCCATCCAACAGCTGCTCCCCACTGCCCGGATTAAGCTCCACTTGGTAACGTGGCATACATAAGAGCACCTGTCTCTGTTTAACTTCTTGACGGTTAAGCAATGTAAAAAAAGAAGAGGGCAAATATGCCTTTTGCGTAGAAAAGAGCGAACACCAAACAGCGATTTTGTGTGTGTGCAACACGATATGCAGTGTAATCGGTATATGATAATAATAGCAGTAGATGATGTAGTTGGCAGACAGCCTGGTCGATTTCTCTCCCTTTTCACCCTCCTCCTTTTACATAATGACCTATCTCTCCCTTATGTCATTTTAAATGTAGTAATAGTAGCGGCTACTTTAATACAGTTAAACTTTTCACTGGTGCTAAAATTATATGTGGCCCTGCATAAAAATTGAAACTATTCCAGCAAAGGGCCAGGTTGGACCCGTACTTTATGTAGTCTGTGCACCCATCATACAATAGCCATTTAGTGCTGCTTTATTGTTTGAAAGCTTGATTAGACCAGATGGCGGAATAAAAAGCATGCACGCATCTCACCTTACAAAAAGAAAACTCGGAGTTTTGCACGCTTTTGAGATCTAAAGTGGGAAAAAAGAGCATGGCGCGACGACAATAAACTGCATTTCTGCTTGCGTCCCGGTGGTGGCGGACCTTGGGCAGCATTCTCTTCACTGTACGACCCATCACAAAAGCGTCCGAACCATTTCTTCACCGCCATTACATATAAACACTAGCACACCATAGCAATTGTCATCATGTTGCTACGACTTATTATTACTATTTAATGATGATTATTAAAAAAATAAAGTCCATTACCTGGTTATCAAACTCACTTGATAGTTTCTAGCTATTACAGGAAGTAGACGCTCTATGTTTCTCAGCAACACGTTTGCAACGCTTGGCTTTTTAGTAAGTTTTGTTGCTGCATTTATTTCTTTAACAAGAAAGGGCACATCGGCCTCTTTACCACCCGACCGTTGCCGGTCTAATATTACGCCAAGTGTATGATGTAGCTGAAAATGAAAAGGGACTAAATTTAAACCAAGGTTGGGGAAGTGTATACTATGATACGACTTATCCGATCTGATGGTCCTTCTCATAGTGACATTCATAGTTCCTCTGGTATTATATTCTCAAACTAACCTTCAAGTTGTTTTATAATGAATCGAGTGATAGTTATCATGCTCGTGTACCGTATAACAACAGCTTAGATTATTCACGGTTTATCTGTTTGTAATCGTAGGCTTTGAGCACATTTGCTATGTCCCAAAGATAACAAGAAGCTCAACAGCGTTATAACAGTTACTCATTGATCGTTATAGCATAGAGTAAAGGTCACTGGTCATTAGAGGAAGAGAATATTACTTCCTGTCACGGTGATGCCTCGATTAGAAATCAAATCCTAAAGAAAGGAACTCCAAGATATGTTGTTCTGACACTTGCAGAGATTGTGCTAAGATACCGGAAGGTTTGGACATTTACGACACAGGTTATAAATGTCACCTATAAACACTATCGCAATGCTATATCGGTTGAACTGGAGTAACTATAGTGACTTACTGACTATTTTGTTTCTAACACTGCTTTGCTTGTAAGCTCGACTTTTAAGTAGAGTAGTTATAGGAGAGCTATCAATCGTCATTGCCAGCAACCGATGTATGATGCCAACCCCTGAGATAGTAGAGCGAGAGTACGCCTAATTAGTAGCCATTACTAGACCATTTATATTACGAATTCAAGTCTTTTTGAATAATAATGAGCTTCTTTACGAAAAGCTACAGGACACATACATCAATATGCTCCATCTCAAACTGCAGCCAAAGTAGCCATCGGAAACCATACGATTCAAGGGTAAAGAAGATACAGTACAATTGATAATTTCGGTGACTTTTAGATAGGAAGAGCCACAAATCAGACTAGACAACAGCGTTTGGCATTCCTCTCACCAGAGAAAAGAAAAGGGTGATGACATAAAAGATGCTCAAGAAACTTACCCACCTTGTGAACAGCAAACATTCAAAAATGTTCTTCTGGCAATTATAGAAAATGGCACGGGATTTTAAGCCGTGTACAAACTGGTCAGGTCTAAATGTGTCGGAACCTGTCGTGCCAGGGTCGGTTCGGACACACGTTGCAAAGGAAAGTCGGTGAAACTTAAGAACATTATTCAATTATGGCTAGTGTTCGTTAAGGTGGTTTTAGTGCTCGCAAGTAGAAGCAGATGGTGATGTTATTTACGGGCTCATGGCAAATTTATACGTTGCAGCAGATACAGTTCAAATCATGCGACTTGATGCATGCGCTTAGAACACGCTTGCTATGATTTAGAAAGGGTATCTTGTGTAATACAAGCAGAATCTGTACATAGCAAAAAATACTCGCGCGGCTGGAAATTACTACGTGATATATAGAGTCATTTATGACGTTGCTGCAGGATTCTGTTTTGCTCTCGAATATGCAGAGAATATGTTGGTGAGAGTATTTCATAAGCTATGTGCATGAGTGCTTCAAAGCAGAAATCACATACAAGGGTAATGAACTGGGTGATGAATGATCTATGACTGTAGTTATATTGAATACTACGTGGTTACAAAATTAGTTACTATCTCGAGCTTTGATGGAATATTAACTTGAAACGTGTATCAAACATGATCTAGTGCCGTTACACACACACACATATGCCGTATGCACAGACGCTGGTTATAACTGGCTTTTTTAAGGTTCATGCAATCTCAAGCGTATGTCTGAACGAGAAGATCAAGTAATTTATTCGTGGAATATGTACAAGACGTGTGTAAGTAAAAAAGGTATTACTTGAAAAAGAAAGAGAACAGAAAACAAAAGAAAAGAAAAAGTTAGGTAAGTAAACAGAGCGTGTGTGCGTGAATAGTGTGATGATGTACTTGTAGTTTAGTGAAAGAAGGTGACAATTGAGAATAATGACAATGTGGTGTTGTTTGATAGAGAGTGTATATGTAGAAGTAAGGAGGAGAAGGGGGGGGGTGCTGGGTTACATTCAATGATGATCGGTATGACTGTTGTTGTTGTTATGGTACACGCGGTCTTTGCTGCTTCTGGAGTAATGATCATTCACAAACATCATGATGGCATGGGCAGCAGCAGCAACCGGAGAGCTGGGCGGGCTGGGTTCATCACTTTCGGTTTCGCCTCCAGAAAATCGATCATCATTGGTAACACTGTGAAATGCTGAGGCCGGTTTCTTCTGCGTACGACCATCCCAATCGGGTCTTCGAAGTAGTGTGGTCCGTGTTTGACTACTGTTGCCACCGTCCCGCTCGTCGTCAAACTCATTGGGTTCAATGTTGCTGAGGTCAGGCTGAGGCTGCGACGACGAAGAACCAACCGCACTTAACCCACCTGTATCTTGATCGCCCTCTGTCATTGCAATCGCATACGACAAGAAGTCCAGCGAGCTCTTTGGTTGCTGTTGCTCTTGTTGTTCATGTTCCTCTTGCTCATGCTGAGGGCACATTCGTTCTTCTTCCGCCGTTGTAGTGCTTTCCATATCTTGTGTTTCATCCTCCTCTTCTTGTTCCTCGCTCTGTTCCCGTTCCAATCTCTCTTCAAGCGATGGTTGCTGCTCTTTCTGTGTATGATCGTGATCATAATAAGGTTGTTGCTGCTGCTCCACTCTCGTAGCTCGTTCTAAACGTTTTTGCTCCTTGTCACCAGGGTGGTAGAAGCGGTAGGGATCCCGTGGAGGTCGGGGCTGTATTTGACGCGGTCGTATCTCCATTGGCTGCGAAATAAGCTCGCGTCGTCGAGGCAACTGCTGGCTCTTTCGCTTCTTGTAGGTGTGATGCGCAGGTGGAGGTGATGGGGCGGATAGGGTACGCGTCAAACGCGCGCGTTTCGCTTTGCTGGTCCTCGCGGAAGGCACTTGTGCGCGTTTGTCGAGGATATCCTGTTGCGTGACGCGAGGCCTGGGGATCTCGCTGTACATTTGACGTTGCTTCTTCTTCCACATCATTTCGACGTCAAATAGTGTGCTGCTCTCCCATCCATGGTGCAGTTTGAAGCATGCAAAGTCGAGCCTTGTTTTTAATGACGCCAAGTGCTGTAACGGTTATTGATGTTGTCGATAAGCACGACGCGTAAATAATAAGGTTAGTTTTCGCTTCTTCTTAGCTTATATGCACTATTGCAAGCTCATGACTCCAACATGATGTTTTTTTCTGGATGGCCATGTTTCAGAACAACGGATAAAAAAAAGCTTACTCGAGACACGTCGGTAGGGGATGATGGTATATCGTCAAATGATTTTTCCTGGGACGACGGAGGGGTTACTGGAGCATCTGCTGGATGCAATATCGACGGTGGTGCGACTTGCATTTTAGTTAAGTCGTTGTTGAGTCGCTGGGTGGATTGAAGAGTGGGAAAAGGGAACTTAAGCTGAAAAAGGAACAAAAGAATAAAAGGTCAGGTTTTTCCACGCGCGGATGCAATAAAAAAAAAGGTTCAAAATCAACACGCGTTGCGGAAAAGAAAAGGGGCGCGTGTTTAAAATCCCGTCTCATGTTTTAGTGCGCGTTTCTGTAGTGTCTCCGCTTCCCCCTCACTCTCTCTCTCAGTCCTATACACTCAAGGACTCAAGCATAAACACGCTCCCACTGCCAATGATGCTTTTTCGCTTATTTAATAAATCATTTAATAATGGTGTCTGCCGCCGTAATAATATTATAATGGCACTTGATTGATCATTTTCCATCTTCTTGCAACGGGCACGTACACACAAATGGTCCCATGTTGATCACGAGTTATATCCTTCTATGGTCACCCACTATGTTGATTAATACGTCATCCCATTAACTCGCGTAAAGAGCATCTTTCTGCCGCGACATACACAAATGAAGGCATTAGACTGATGTATCCGCACAGTCTCTGGATGCAATGGTATCTACCGCTGCAAAATACGCGAAGCAAAAAAGAATAAACCTACTATGTCTGAATAGCATTTGGCTTAGTTTTTACACGCTATCGACATTGCTTAGTAGACATGATGATCATTTATTACGTCCAACTATACACAGATATACAATCTATTGATGCATGAGCACTGACGTTATTTGGATCGATAGATATATACAATAGATACGCAAACTAAGATAGTGCAGATTTCTTTGTACCCGCACTATTAGTTCTGTATTAATGCATCAGTTGTATAAGCATCGCGTTTATTGCAATCAAATCCACATGTCTGCACCCCTAAAACAGATAAATGCCTGCAAATATACACATATAAAGATGCTCTCTCTCTCTCTCTCTCCCGCTTGTACCTCTTTTTCCTTCCTGACCTCTTGCAGATCCATGATGCTACCCTTTTTTCCTCTTTGAACTAACCAACCTTTCCGCCATCTAATTGAAAGTTGCTGGCAGCAGAAAAAAGGTCCAAACTCAACGCAATTGAAACAGCAAACGAATAGATAGCTGGTGCCTATTTAACCTCTTCTTCGAGCACAGGACAACGATAGCTTAAAGAACCCGATGTCAATTTTAGCTTAACGATGGTGACCATGCCTACAAGGGAGGAGTCTTATTTCGTTGCTATGCAAATGGTTACACCACGGAAACCTTGGCAACGATACTTTTCCGTTGCTAGGCAATAAACAGCAAAGCCAGTAACGAAGGCGCTTATAAACGCACTGACCAATTGAAGAGAAGGCTTTCTCACAATAAGATAGTTTTTCACTTTCTCGCCGTCATATATATTATTTTTCGAGATTTGCACGACTGGCTTTTGCGTTTTTCTTGTTCAAAAAAATGTCAAGGATCAAATACATTACAAAAAAAAACCAATGGCCGTTGAGGAATCATGATGAGAACAATTACATGTGTTAATTAATGGTCAAAGTAGATGTTCCAATAGTAGCCTTCGCAGAATATCAAATATCGTGAATTTTTCATAACTTTAAAAAAGTCGCGGATAATGCGAGTTAAATTGCGCGACGCGTATGCGTGTATTCGATTCGGTTTGCGCGCTCTTGTGAATGTGGCGTAATCGAAAAAGTAAAAAAAATTCAGGGCGCGTTACGCGCGGGTCAAAAGTCCGAAGCGCGTATCAATTGAAAAGTAAAAAAAATGGTAGAAGTAAAAAAAAAGTAACAACGCGCTAGGATGTGCGTACCCGGGCCCCTAGTTCTAGGTTCCTCTCCGCCCATCTTTACCATCTGTGGGGTGAAGAAGAGAGAACAAAAAGGTTCGATGTGTTTCTTTTGCAGGTCAAGTATTTTATTCCATGTACTAGCACTAATTGATTTTTTCCTTGTGCGAACGTCCTTTTTATTAATGTACAACCTACATTCAATTGTATCGCGCTATCTGCTGTGCCAGTATTGAGGCAAACCGGTTATCATCCTTTGCTAAAAAAAAATAGACTCCGGCCATCGTCATCGTTCCATCTAGTTTTTGCATCCTCTGGCTGTTGTGGTCACTTTCGTTAAGAAAACACCGTTGTTCTCTCTTTCCCATTAGCTTTTACCAATTATATAGTGTGGCACAGCTCATCAGATTGTTGAATCAAACTGATACGGGTCGCATTTATTCCCGCGAAAATAAGCCATGCCTGGGATGAAGCCATCATATCTATTTTTAGGAACACCCACACAGAATTTTGGTGACCAGGACAACAGCCTGTATTAGTAACAACGACAATACCAATGGATTGCCATTTTCTTAAGGTTGATGTGGATAAGGGTATGTCTCTCTTCCATATTTTTTTTTACTTCATTTTATGATTGGTAATCAGCCGGAAGGAAATAAGGTCTTATGTTTTTGATTTACAGCATTTGCGTTTGAAAGTTGAAACTGTATATGCTAGAAGTCAAAGAGAAAAAGAAACGGAGAGGATGATCTGGTAGATACAAATGAGGAAAGAAATAAGAGGAAGCAAAAGATGAAATTACACTCGTTATGAAGAAAAAAAATGTGGGAAGAGAAGGAAGACTACTATATATAACATGCTACTACTACTAGCTTAAGAGCTACGATGTTCTCTCTTAATTATCAAAGTTGTGCAGTGTTCGACCAACCAGATAATTATCCTCACGCACTGTTTGTACCCACGTCTGCCCAAACTTTGCTCCTACTCGACACAAGCAATACACGCCTGCACCAGCTAGTGCGGCAGGATACATGATTTGAATCATTCTGATTTGTCGTCCTAGATCTTCTTCGCCTATAACAAAGAATCATGTTAGCCAACGGTATTGTTAGAAGTTCCTTCTATCTCTAACAACGTCCAAGATAGTATATTACCTAAAAGTTTGATGTTTGCCAGGGCCATTGAAAAGGGAAGGACCGTCATGAGGAGTGTCGCTGCAATGATAGGTGTGATGAATTTCGTTGTTATTTCTCGTATATTAATCGCTCGAACGTCGGGCTGGAAAATCTATTGAATTAAAATGAGTACCAAAAAAGTCTTACCATGTTATACCACTAGCATCTTTATAAACAAGTAGAAAAGCTTACCATATTCACATGATCGCGCCATGGGTTCTCTGGACCCAAATGTATCACTCCATGCATTGTACTCATACATGCAATACCCCTTGTCCACAGGGCAACAACTTCTACCGTCGGTGCTTGAGCTCCGTAGTTTTGCAAAGGCATGATAAAGTAGAGCTCTACAACCGCTCCCAGCATCAAAGGTACTATGATTCCAAGAGCCACACCTAGGTAGGTGACCTTGCCCATCTATGATAGAAAGATATTGATAAATGCATATTTCTATACACACTCCACTCAAGTATTAATAACGAAGGAAAACCTACCCAACGCAATGAGCCTGAAACATAATAGTAGATCCGTCCGAGTAGCAAGCTACTTGAAGCTTGGCGAGTCAAATCCAGTACTGCATCTGCCAATTTGCATATCGACACGATCCCGAGAAGCATCAATGTCGCACCAACGGAATAGGCGTATAAATCATGTACTTCGCCAGGCGCTTCCAGCCATCGCTCAAACACAATACGTCCAAGCGCAATTGGGAGCACAGTAAGTGTACAGATGAACACGCTACAAGAAAGCCACATGGCCAAAAGAAACAAGATCATGCGTTGCTTGAACCGAGGAGGAACGTAAACGATGCAAGTGTTTATCGGTAATAGATTCGGTCCGCCTGCAGCAGCGGGGTGGCCTAATCGTCGCTCGGTCGCATCGAGAATATGTAAAGTTTCGGGATGGACGGGGACCAGCATCCGACGTGTTGGATCAAAAGGAACTGCGTCATGTTTCGGCGCCAGGACAATTTGTCCGTCACGTATGAAAGCGGCTTCGCTGTACTCACCGACAAGTGGGTTCAGGTTGGCTGGTGGATGCAGCCATGCAGCCCATGTCTTGTAGTGCCAGACACCTTCTTCGGACGCGTGTCGTTCTCCGAACAAGAAGGATGTCAGTCGTAGTGTACGAGTAAGGAACCGCATCCATTGGACAGCTAGAGTTTTCAAGGCTCGCTTTGGCTCAAAGTATTTCACTAAGGCCGGGATTAGAATGTGGATTGCCAGAAAGTCGATCGGTAAGGTTGAGAGTGGTTGACTAAAAATGCCGTAATTGATTTAATCTTTCAATCCAAACTATTATACACGTTGCCGCTTGAAGGAAAAAAGCCTGATTTTTCTGCGATTAATAGCAGTAGCAGTAACCATAATTACTTACAGCATGTTCCAACGCAAGGGTAAAATACCTTTGCCTGCGTAACCAAGACACCAAACGAATCCACCCACACCAGCAACGATAACACATGCATATGTGATTCCACTGGCGCCAATCTTTTGCAGCTGGGTCAATACCGGCCGTTCAACGATCTCCTTGATAGGATGAAACTGGGGATCGTTCGGATCGCGAATAAACCAAAGGACACCCGGTCGAACAATTTCACGACACACTGTAACGAGGATAGCAAAGAAAAACATGAACGATGTGCCCAGGAACCAATGTAGAAAGACAGAAGCAAGTGGGTGGGATTGAAGATAGGCGAGTCTGCTGTCAACAGTGGCGTCTCGGAAGAGCGAAAGCGAGGACACATCCATAAGAATGCCACACACAATGGGGAATAATAGTAGCTCGATGGCGATGAACATGGCAACCTTAAGGATGATGCCTTGTTGTTGGACTACTTGGCGTGCAGATCGACCAAAGGTTGCATAGGCTACATGGGCTCGAGACAGGTACCACGAGCTGCCGGTGATGATCACTGCATAGCCTATAATAATACAAACGAAGCGATCGAACGCGGAGTGGCCAGTAGCAAAACCGTGGTATCGTATGAGGGCATCGTGAGCTGCTGGCTTGATATGTTGATCAATCAGTTGATTCATCGCTATTTGGGTATCGCTCCAGTTGGTTGGTATCTTTGCTGCTGTTGCTGAGAACAATTTGGACAATGCTATTTGAATTCCACCATCACTAAGAGCATTGCTCCCGGTTGCGATTGTCGATGAGCTGGTGGCTGCTGTGGTTGTGACGACAGTGCTATCAAAGGGGTATACTTGTTGGATCAGGCGTTGAGCCTTTGTCACACCATTGGCGATTGCTTCGTAAATGTAAGCCGTAGCCTCATGCTGGCCAAGTCTGTTAAATGAACGTTCTTGACTTTGAATAAAGCTCGATACGCATGGCCACAAATAACTCGTGCATATCGTAAAGACGGTGTCCAGGAGAGGATCCGTGACTTTGCGCACGAGCCAAAGCAAACTGTTGGCGGCTTCGAATGGTGTTGCCTGATTAATACCAACCAGTCAGTCAGCCAGCAATGGTTCATTTATCCGCCGTGTCCCTCTTCCGTTTGTGATTTTATTACACGCACGCACACAGATAAACGAGTGTGTAGAGGAGAGGGATGATAGAGTACTTTACCATGATAAATATAATGCCAACAACATAAGGTATCCATACTGCAGCACCGAGACATAGGCTGATTAATAGTGACATTAGTGCCGAATTTTGAGCCAGCGACACATAATTGCCATGCATGCCTATCGCCTCCAAAATTCCATCAATGTCATCACCAAAGTTATCTTCATCTACATCGTTGTCGTCGTTCTCAGCTGCTGGTGGATCATTATTGTTGTTTATGACATTGTTGTTTGGTTGCTGCTGCTGTGGTGGTGGTGGTTCATTGTGATGGTGATGACGATGATGATGGTCATCATCAGCTGGAGCAGGTAACAGCATATCATTATCGTTCACTTGTTCCTCAAACAACAAAGCACGTCGATGACCGGCGGCACGTATGTCAAAATGGTGATCGACATGTCGCATGATCGGAGCGTTAGGGGGTTCTCCACGTGCGACATTTGGGGTGGCAGCAGCTTCTTCGGTATCGCTCGTTTCACCTTCCGAGGAGTGGGAATAACCTGGTTCCATTGAGCGGCGTGTATCAGAGGAGGAGGATGCCGATGATGATGGTTTAGGGTATGGATCATCTACATCCATGACTTCGTCCACTCCACTATTGCCATTTTGTTGTTGTTGATCGAGATTATCATCATCACGATGGTCATTTTGTTGGTATAGCTCGTTTTGCTGTAGCTCATAGATGGCTTCTCTTCGTCGATCCAACGCTTCATCGGTAGGTGCATCGTGTTGTTGTTGTTGTTGTTGTTGTTGTTGTTGTTGTAGCTGATGATATTGCTGTTCATCTAATTCGTCAAGTTGAATTGTTTCGTCCATGGTTTCAACTCGCTCGTCTTCGTCTTCGTCGTCCTCAAGCTCTGCTGGTATATTTTGTATAATCCACTCGCGTAGAAGGAATGCGGCAACAAACGCAATGACGACGATGCAGGTAATAACTTGACCTTCGAAACAGTCTGCCAGAAATGCTCTATTTATATTTTTATAAAAGTCATGAGTTGATCTATCAGCCTACGCGCCACCTTCTAATTCATCCAACATGTCCTCCTCTCCTACAGAGACTTACTTTGAGTTGAAGCTTTCTAGCAACTTTTCGATATTTGCAGAGTGAGGAAACACGGTGGTGATAGATTGATGTGCGTCGTGGAATAAGTCTTGTGCTGCTGCTGTGATTGTTGCTGATGATGCGTCGGAAGTGATCGGTGACAAGGATGAAGAAGATGGCGATGATGATGATGATGCTGATGATGATATTAATGATGCTACTGTTGATGATGTTGTTGATGAGGATGAGAATGCTGCTTTTGCTGTTGCTGTTGCCGTTGCCGTGATTGTAGTTGTGGCGGTGTTAGTAGCATTAATGATGCTGATACTCTGAAAACGACTTAATCGATGTGCCAGATTTTCTCCACTCCACAGATAGAATCGCCAGGTCCATACTGTTAAATATGGCAATACAAGAAGCCAGACTGAGGAAACGATGGCGGCTCGAGCTGCTGTACAGGCAAGGAACACTAGCTTTATGTAGAACTGCTTGACGAACAACGTAGCCGGTAACGTGTCTGGCATATCGGATCGATATACTAAGATTGTTGATCCGAAGTACATTAGCTTCGTATTTTATATACTTTTAAAGATCGAGGCAACAGTAACGAACAGTATAGAAAAAGAAGCTCGCATATATTATTTAACGGCTTAACACATACCTGGAGTGAAAGAAAATGGGTGTTCGCAAAGCTCGCAATACCTACATGGCAATCTCTTTCAGTTTTTTTCCCTTATTTTTTTCTTTCTTCACCTTCTCCCTCTTTTGAGAAGCATTTCTCTTTTTTTGCTCATTACTTCTTTCGGCTGTGCGATAACCATTCTGTTAAGCTGCATAAGATACACATAAACTCAGTCAGTCAGTAACGTATGTGTGGGGTTACAACTGAATACCCGCGGGACCCATCGCCCAAAAGACCTTGAAAAGAAAAAAATGAGCTGTTTACAATTACCAATCCTGATGTACATGGCGAATACTGCCAGAGCATTTGCATGGGTGGAACAAAGGTTGCTCAGGCGTGGCGCCGCAGCGACAGACCCGACAGATTTCTGGTATAGCAAAAGAATAAAACGTGTAGACACCGTATGAAAGACAATGACAACAGTTAACGAAAAAGACAGAGTTCTCGTAAGCAGTCAAACATTTGTCAATGGCAAAGGTAGAAAGTGAGTAGCTGTTCAATTTGCTTCTTACCAGCATCCTCGTCCATGGAAGCTAGTAGTTGGTTAGGGTATGGAAATAAGGGGAGAGAGGGGCACGGGTTTTTTAAAGTCAAGAAAAGATTTGGTGCTGGCTTTAATTAGCAATCAAAATTGGAGATAGGAAAATAGACAGACATGCTACCAGTAGCAAACGAAAGTGAAATAAAGGAAGTGTTGTTATAGCTTTGCTATTTGAATAGGCATTATGAGGGCTGTGTTACAAATTCTTCTTTTTTTTCATGCTATGTGCAAACCAGTAGGTTTCTTCTGCTGTAAATCTAGAGGATGCATGACAGCAACAAACAGCGCACCGGACCTGTAACCACGACTTATTGGATTTGGATGCGCCTTCCTTTGACAGAAGAGCGTGATATTGTCGACTATATTAATAAAGCTCTCAGAAACGAGCACTAGAGGATCAAGTTCATGCTTCTGGACTTTGCTGCCTTTCGTCATGCTTAAAAAAGAAAGCTGTTGGTGTAGAGCATGGTAGCAGCAATCATTAAAGGGTCGATCTCTATTTTTCACACATAAGAGAAAAGAATCGATAAGATAAACTGTAATTTCTTTTATGATAAAGTAATAAGCTATATACAACAAACTACTAGCATCTTGTGATGCTGTACTATAGTAGTAAAAACAACGTAGCACAGCTTACGTCAGGATGATGATGGCCAAATTTTTCATCTATCATCTGTAAGAGTATAAAAACATCGACCATGCTCTAATGTACATAGGTATGCATTTGTAAGTTTATACTACAGCATGTATTTAAAAGTTTCGTAAGATCAGCCATTGTCAGAATGTTTCGACAATAAGGCCGCATCTAAAGAGCGCGCAGCATTAAGAGTTGGCAACAACTGCGCTACTTGACAGCGGACTGCTCTAAGTGTAAATCATGCACCAATACCTGGTGGGTGCGATCTCCTTGCACTTTACGCGTCAAACATTCAATATTGCAGCAGATGATCCTCGCAAGCTAACTAACAAAAAAGTTTTCTGTGTGGTTCTAAGAAATGTGTGATTTTACTCTAAACAAAACAAAAAATAGAGAGAGAGGAATATATACTGGGTGATATCATCAGTCGTATAGGTCTTTAGATATATAAAAGGATGGGTAATATATGTAGTAGATGATGATGGAAAATATAAAAACTTTTCTTTTTTGTGGTGTAGGCAGGGGGCAGGGAAAAGGGTCTTTTTGGAATAAGTAAACGAGTGTGTTTGTGTGTAATGAAAAAGAAGAGACGGGTATCGTTTGTTTGGTTAGTGATCTGGACCCGGATGCAGAAGTTCCGGAAACATGTCGACATGATCGGTCAATTCGCACAGGTTATGTAAGCATCGCATTGGGTATAAAAGATCAATGTAGGCCGAGATATTCGCCAGGATAAAGTCGTCGACGGTAACGTTCCCCATGATGTAATATAGCTCCATCACGAGGTATCCACAAAGGAGCAATGATAGTAGCATTGGGAGCAAAATCGTGATAGGGTCCATGTCGTACACACGCCGTAACCATGGTGAACTAATGCAGATCATCACTGCACTAACAAGACTAAACATTTTTGGACGTATCAGCTTATATGTTTGACTTGCTTCTTCTTCCTTTTCCATACGAGCAACTTACATAGGCTTGGTGCCTGAAAAGCTGTATTGTGATTGAAAAGTGTAGAGCAGGACACCACATAGACCGAAGATGGTCATAAAGATAACGAGGATGCCATCAACATAACATAATTTAGACACTGAATGTGTAATATATGCATGAGTACCGTGCTGTTGTCATCCTGGAAGAAGTACACCTTACTTTATCGCCTCTTCTCTACACCCCACACCCCATAAAAATCCCCACCGTCACAACCAAACAACCCGGAATACGAACCAATATCAGACACGATCGCCGCGATAAGTAGCGAAAAAACGAAAAGTAAACTGACTCGACCCGTGTGTGAGAGCTGAAAGTATCGCATCCATAGCTGCCATGCCAGGATAAACGCTACCAGAAATGTAGGAATTAATGGCATCCACCAAGCGTATTTGCTATGCATATATTATGCGTAGTTAATAATAAGGTTCATTAGGTCCAGTAGGACCAGTATACGTAGGAAAAAGAGAGAGGATAGACAGACAGACACGCTCGACAGCTTCTAGGTATAGAGATATGACCAATGCAAAACCTAAATTCTTACCTTCTTTGTAACCAGTGAAATATAGGGTCGATACGAACTAGGAGTGTTGCTAAGGACCCCATGGCAACGAACTGCACCGTCGTGATGCAGAATGACTTGCGCACGAATACTATGGAAACCCCCAAAAGCTCTGAGTTAGCTTTTCTAGTCCAACGGAGCCCCGGGCTTCAAAAAAGTAAAAGAAAGTTGTTGTTTTACTCATTTGTTTCGCGATGCTGCAGCGGTCTACTGCAATGCCAAAGACGTCAAGGTCATGACCCGAACCGTAACGCTGTATGGTCTCCGAAGATTGGTAATGATAAGTGCTCGGGACGGGTAGAGAGATGGCATTGTACTTGTTGTGGTTGTGGTTGTTGTTATTGCTGCTCATCGCCGCTCAGGGACGTTGGAGAGTTGGGGTGAAAGGTAGCGAGAGGTTGTATTGGTTAATTTTGTTGTCCTTCTTTTGTATTGCGCCCCAAGTAGTTTGAATATGCATAAAGAGGAAAGAGAAAAGAGGAAGAGAAAAAGATGGAAAGAGAAAAGGTGGAAGCTTTTTTTGTGTTTGTGTGTGTGTGTGTGTGTGCACCTTCCGGCATGCCTGCAAAAAAAAAAGCTTTGGTGCAACATTGACACACAGTATCGAGTGTTGAGCACATAGCATTGACGAAGATAGAGAGAGAGAGAGAAAAAAGGAACCTTTATTTATCTTGTCTATGAACTGCACTACGTATGAGATCATGAATACCAGCCAGTCGTCTCTGTCTTCTGTCTACCCGTATGTCCATGTCTATCTCTCTCCCTTTATACATAACATACTTTCTCTCTCTATGTATATTAGCTCTCCCAGACTCCTATTTTTTTTTGTCATGGTAGAAGCTATAGGCTGTCTTTTGAATTGTGTTGATAACGAGCTTCTTTTTTCCCTCTCTTCTTTTTAACTTTTATTATTACTTTTGCTTCACACATACACATGGGAACCCAACAACGACCCAGCACAGGACCTACGACATCAATGCTGAAACGCTGGCACAGCAAACGGATGGCCGGACTACACGAATTACCAACGCTAGAGCAAGTGCTGCGACGGCAAAGTCGGCCTCCGGTGTGTTTGTACAACTACTACATTGTTCTCCGCGACCGTCTCGAGCTCGAGACGCTGCTCGACTTTTGGCTGGATGTGCAGCAAGCGCGCGTATTGCATAGACGGTACTTGAAACAGCAACAGCAACAACTACAAAGCAAAAAGTCATTCATCACTCTATCGCCCACGCCATCGAACTTATCGCATGAACAGCAGTTGACCCACTCGCTATTGCTGGCATCATCGGCGCCATCCGTTGTCACCGAGACGCACATGGCGCAGGTGGTCGAGCGTATCTATTTGCGTTACATTGTGCCGAGTGCGGAAAAGGAACTTTTTCATCTTCCGTTGTCGATGCGCGATGCTATTACTGAAAAAGGTCTTGCAGATGACCCGGTCGTCTACAACCAGGCACAGAAGTATGTCTATCAATTGCTGCAGGCAACTTGGCCCCAATTTCTGCAATACAAGGTCTTTATGAACCTCACTCTGCATCAACAGCTCGGTCGCGTTGCCGTGGGTCTTGCAAGTCTGCTTATCGGCTTTTCCATCGAGTTCTCGTTGATCTTTTTGAATTTTCAACCTTGGCATTATCGACTATCGGTAAGCAGATAATTACGGAATGTTTTTTATGCTTTGTGCGAGGATGAGTCCGTCAAGAAATTGTTTAAGAGTCAAAGGTGGTGAGGGAATGCTAATAAAGAGAGAGAAGACCTGCACTCCTAACTATATAACACGGGGTAAAATAGGGCATCGTACCTATCTTGTTCGGAGTGTACTGCTTGATCTCGGGTTTGACAGGAGTAGATCCGATATGGGTGCTGGCGTTCAACGTCAGGTAATTAAGGAAGGATCTGATGATGTCTTACTGCTATTTGCCCCTCTCCTTGGACGTTTTACTAATATCGTGTCTTCTTTTTCTCCTCACATCTTCTTCACACCCCTGATGTTGATTACTGATAACGTGAATATATAGTGAGACAACCACATTTCATTTTAACCGGATACAACAGCCCAAGGTCAGAGAAATTCTGGTAGCTCGGTCTGTCATCGTGCTGAGTATATGTTTGCTTATCACGATCATATTACTGGTGTTATTTTGTGCAGTGCCAGGGAAACGACTGTAATAGCCTGACGTACCATAATACTTCACTGCATATATTCACAAACATCGTATACTCCTCGCAATGTTTTTTATTAACGTGCACATATACACCACACTATACACATCTCTTTTTAAACTTTCTATCTCTCTGCTAATATACTATTATCACCACCGTTTTTGTTGTTTTTTAAAATCAAACAAAAAGAGTATGCAAGGATCATTATTCATTACCTTCGATCTGTTGATAGCGTTGTAATACCACCTTCTGAAAAGCGTTAAAGACAGAAGTATTTACACTGCAGTAATTAATAGTGCTCATGCAAATAAAGGCTCTCCTAGCATGTACATAGTCAGACATCCGGATTTATTACTCGTTCGCATACGTGCCAATCTTCTCAGGAACAAAAAACACCGAGAAACACAACAATCCAAACGCATCGATAGCCAATAATACAAAGAAAAACGACAACCGTACAAGAGGACGACAACATCGTCGCCAAGGACAGAAACGACAAAATAGACCATCAGTGACAGCTCTCCTTCTTAATTACTTTTATTAGGCTTGCCTTCTGCAGAAGTACAAAACAGTCTCTGAAGGAGTGATTCATGATGCGCGGAGAAAAGGTAACTTCTGTGTGGATAGTAAACTAGCGCAAATAGACGAGATTAGTAGGGTACATATTACAACAAATTTATTAATTAACAGTTTCGCATGGATGGTTCGACCCAGGGTATGTCGATGATTTCAAACGCGTGTTCTTCTGTCTTGACAGGTATACGTTCTCGTGACGAATCCTTGTATATGCCTGAGCTCTTTACTGATAAGCCTTTTTCCTGTTGACAGAAAGAGCAACATCGTAACATATTAGAGCCAAAGAGAGATGAGAAGTGATGGATTTTAACACGAAGCAATCAAAGTACAGCAATGGTCGCCTTTTTACCTTTTTGGCATAATCTCTGAGAGATCGCTCAAACTGCTGAGAACCACTCCAACCCAAAACCGCACACGCATAATCATCAAGTGAAGTTACTATAAAGTCCACCTGTCTCAGAGTTTGTGTTGACGGCTGCAAGAATGCCGTAAAGCACTAGTTATCAGGCATAGTTAGTAGCGATTATAGGGTTGTTTGTATATCGCAGGAAAAAGAGAATGTAAATACACACCGTATCCAGTCTATCCATATCTCCACCACTACTGCTATAGTGAGTTCCAGAAGAGCCCTTGCTGGCTTTGTCCGAAATAAGAAGGACATGTTTAACGTAGCCTGTAGCATACATTTGCAGTTTGCTTAGTCACTCTTACGATCGTAAAAGAGTACCTCGCCCTGCCAGTATAATGCAAACCTTGTTCGATCATACGATCGACTATCTTCCGTATAAAGAGATCGGTACCGTGCTTCAAGTGATGACTAGCAATGACAATATCCAAATCGCCGTTTTCTTCTTTTCCTCGTCTAGTACGTTATTCAGCTCAGTACACCATATATCTGCTTCTCACTCAGTTTCAAATATAACAGAACAGAATGCTCAAATTCAAATTGCTTTTACCTGTAGCCACCCACAGGTGTAGCGAACGCTTTTGAATCGATTTCTTTGACTTCTTTCTCCACAATGTCGATAAGCTCTTTGACATCTTGTCGACTCATACTAGTATACATTGATACAGATTTTTGAAGAAAATAAACGTCAAATGAATTATGGGCTTGAGAAGGCTATTGAGTGTGAAAACTTACGGTTGCTCCAAATCAGGTAATAATTCGATTCCTAGCTTCACTACCTTAACCAATTTGGCTTCATTCAGCACATCTTGAAGCGTACGATACCCTTTAGCGTACCATAGGTTAGCAGTCGATGGACCCACGCCTATCAAAGGATATGTGCAATTTGTTCCAAAGTTAGGCTTGCATCGTCACATAAAAACAGACATGCACAGACTACACAACAAGAACAAGTACCAAACACTTTGTTAAAAAGAGTCAATGTGCGAAACTTTGTATCGCTCAACAGGCTTTCGGCATCTGGAATCGTGCCAGTCTTCAAATATATACGAATCAAATCAGAGATCTTTTTGCCGATGCCTAGATCATTTCAATACTATTAGGCACTAATTTGAGGAAACTTTTATCTACTACTTTTTTTTTTATTTTATTTACCAGTAATTTGCTTTGCCTCGTCAGCAGACTGTATCTTTCGTGGATATGCCTGTTGTTAGAGACCGAGCCGAAATAAAAATGACAAAACCAAAGAAATGAGTAAGTACTATGTTATAAGCCATTACTCACCCTTCAAAAGAGCCAGACATCCCTCCCTCCTGTTCACTGTTTAGAATGACAATTGTCATACCTTGATAGCCGCAATTGCATGCCTGTAGCTCAATGCATTCTTGTCTTGCATATCCATTAAGCGCTGACGTTCCAATAGTCGTAGTAAGAAAACAAGTTTTCCGTGATGTCGTGCATTAAGTGGTGTTTTTCGCAAACATTCGTATTTTGTATTTAAGAAACCTGAAGCAAGATCGCCGTCAACTTTGTAGTAATAATGTTTGTATGAATAATAGAAAATTTAATGGATTTGGAAGATAGAGAGAAAGAAATGTAGGTATTACCATGATTTTCTGAGGTTCTAAAGTATCAAAATGGTCAGTCAGTTCTAAAACGTAAAAACCATAAACACTAAGATAGACAGCTATAACTTACGCTTCGTCCTGTTCTTCTTCATTATCAAAGGATGGGAGCGGATCTGGAGGCATATGATCATATCGTCTGTTTAAAACTTCTTCTGACCGCGCAAGCCGAATTGATGGTTGCTCTTGTTGTTGCTGTTGTTGCTTGGAGGATTGAGTGTCATCCTTCTCATCCTTGGCTCCAGGGTGACCCATTTGGATCTGATATGTATTCATAGGTATGTACTCGTGTTTCTTCAGACTGCAGTGGAAGGTGGTTAGTAAGTCACAATGCAAAACCTTCTGTCAACCAAAGTATATAATCAAGTTACCATTCCTTTAGCCACTCGATTTTGACAACCGGTACCTGCGATGTAGTAGTAGCGTAGGTTAAAAGACGTTTATTGTGACCGATTGATCGTCGTAAGCTGTAAGGGAAAACTCTAAATCTATCCACTTACCGTATGGTTTTCCAGATGTCTTTTCACACGCGAAGCAGACGCTAGTGCTGTTAACATTACATTTGCGCTAGCTTGATCGATACACACTTCACCACCTGCATATGATGCAAAGATAACCCATGTATGAGGCCAGATCTTCTCTCGTCACACTAACCATGCTTTACGTACCAGATTTTTCTAGACCGTGCTTCAAGGATTCAATTTGGTATGGTTCTAGTTTCAACGGTAGAAAAAATGCTTTGATAGTAGCCAGCGAATCATTTTCACCACCCATGACTCTAATCTGTTCGCTTTTCGTTAGACGGCAAAGAAAAAAGTGGGGAAGAAAAGAAAAAGAACGAAAATTCTATTTCATGCAAATTCCGTGGATTCAAACCACTTGATTCTAAAGTCCGTACATGGATGTAGTTAACTGCATTCATCCCCCCCCTGACGAACCGGGCAATCAAGTTACGACATAGAAGATTACTTTCAGTTTGGTCAATGTTGATGTCATTTTTGCTGCTGGTAGAGAGAAATTACGTTCTCGGGGCATCTAGCAGATTCGGCTATGCAGCATATCTACCTGAATTGCTATACGCTCCGAAGACATTGCTTTATTATCTATCCAACTACTGCAGTGACATCGAACAGCCCTAAGGAAGAGAGACTGTGTGGTCCTTTTATGCAACCTAAGATTTGATACTGTAGAGAGTAAAGTCGATTTGTTTAGAGTTTCGTGAAACGTTATCAAATAAATGGGAAAAGTATACCTCGAAAAAAAAATAAAGAGGACTGGCGTGCCAGGTCTTCTCTTTCTCTTTTACTGCTTCCTTTTTTTCCCATGACACCGTCTTCGTCGGCCAGCGCGAGCGACGGAAACGCATTTGCTTGGCAGTTACTTCAGCATAGCGCGTCAGGTAAGATAAGTTGGTATTGAAGTCACCTCGGGCAATTTTTTGACAGCCCCACTACTGTCACATTCTACAGGTGGTGGTGAACCAAGAAGGCAGCACACAAACGCATATCATTATCAACGACAGCATTACCACCATTATCAGCAGCAACAAGGCACATCATACCATCAGATCCAACCGCAATACTCTAACGATCCGTCATATTATTCACCAAGCTACCATATTTATGGCGACTACTCGGTGAGAAAGATGAGAAAATGATTGCCCCAGAAATTTCAAGAAGAAGAAAAAATTTTGACAACTCACACTTGTTTATTTTGTTTCTATAAAAGCGACCATGTGACCAACAACAACAACAATACTGGTATCATTCTCACCCTGCAACTGGTACTGCTGGATATGCGACGTATGGATATGTACAGCACAATCAACTGCCACCAACAGAAGAGCCGCCGCCGCCTCCTCCTCCAAGTACTTTACCTAAAGATCCTGTGCCGCCTCCACCACCACCACCTCCTCCTCCTCCATTGTCTGAACCATCTTCGCCCGAATCCCGTTCCCCACAGTCCGCGGCTTGTGTTACTGGAAAAACCGGAACTCCTTCCCCGAAACCGGCGCCACAGCAGGAGCAGCCCTCGAAAAGGTTCGGCCGGTTCATGGGCAAATTGTTGCTCGTCAAAAGCAGTAGAAAAAAGCCAACAGCAGCCAGTGGGTCACCGGCATCTCAAAACAAGTCGCTCAATGGTTACTTTCGCACGCAAAAAGAATCGTCTACTGCTACTACTGCTACTGCTACTACAAAGACCGTAACAACAGGAGACGACGCCCGGAAGCCGTTGTGCGTTTCAGATTCAACTACCGATGGTGATCAGCATGAAAAACTTGTCTCACAGAACTGCATCAACGACGACGCCAATAGAACAGATGCGACTTTTTCGGTTGAAGCTAACAACAATAGAGACAATGTTATTTCCAAAGCTCTGCCGCTAATATTATCGTCATCACCATCATCAGCGATAGTACTGCCATTGTCGTTACCGTCACACCAACAACCACAACCGCATCAGTACACTAGCAACAGCCATGATAATGATGATCTGCTTTTACTCGAGGACGATGATCTCAGCTCGCTCAGCTCACTTCAAAGCGAAGATGACGTCTTGGGTCCGTGGAGTGAAGATATCACGCCCATGTGCACGGAATGTGAAGCGTCGAGGGACGAGACATCAGGACCTATTGAAACTGATTGGCTATGCTCCCATTGTAAGGACAAGTGGGTCGACCACACGAGCGCATGGCTTGGACGGATTGCCGAAAAGAAACGTTCCAGTAAAAGCGATACAGAAAAGAAGCAAAAGAAGCAGCAGCAGCAGCAGCGACTAGCGGCCATAGTGTCAGTCGTGCCTAAAACGGTACCTCGCCAACACAAAAAGCAGCGGCGTACAACAGCAACGAATGCTTCAGCTACTGGTCTTAAAAAAATTAAAAAAGTGAAAACGACGACAAAGACTGTTAAAAAGAAATTGGCACCTGCTCCACCACCGACCAAATCGCAGACAGAAAAGTATGTAACCACTGGTGCCTTCATGACGCGCAACACAGCCAAACAGCTTGCAGATCCGGAAAATGGATTTCATCCGAATCCATATGGATTTGCGCGGAATCAAAAAGTTGAGGTGCTCAATATCAACGGCCATTGGTATCGTGGCGTGCTTACAGTGATGAAGGCATCCAAAGTCAAAGTGTCCTATATGGACTGGCAAGATCAGGAAGAGTGGATCAACATGGGTAGCCGCCGAATTCGCATATATAGCGCTGCTGCCGAAGTTGAAAATAACGATGACGACGACGATGCGGAAGAAGAAACCGAGACCAATGTCGATCAAGAAAAAGCTAGAAAGAGTACAGGTACATTGTCTGGTGCTCAAGGTAATCTTATAAAGAGAAGCATATATACTACTACTCTACAGATTATTGAATGGGAATTATTTGTGCGTATATACAATCTTACAGAAAAAGAAGTTGAAGATGTTTATGGTGATCCTCTCTTACCGCAAGCCTCGAGTGGCGTTCGTGCCGACGACTATGTCAGCGCAACATTGGATAGAGATCCCCAGCAAATATTTAATGACAACGAGGTCTTTTTGACGCGTCGAATGGCGCGAGAACTGACAGACGAGCACGGATTTCGAGCCAATTCATTTGGTTATCGTTATAATCGTGCAGTTGCGGTGACATTCAAGGCTGCCCGGGGCCATAACAGGAAAATTGAGTATCTGGGATACTTGCGCGAAATGCGAGCGAGTCAAGTGCGTATATGGTATCCTACACTACGCCAATCGGATTGGCTGGTGGTCGGCAGTCGACGTCTACGTTTACTTAATAGTGAAGAAGAAGCGATGCTCAAGGAGCAGGCAATTTCATTACCTTCTCAGCCCGCTGAAGATTCCAGACCTGACGAGCATACAAAGCATATTATCTCCATCGAAGCAAGGCTTCATGAGAAATCCAAATTTATTGCTGCGCAAGGAGAAGCAATGCCAAGCAAAGACCCAGTCCCTAAAGTGCCAAAGATTGTACAAGTTGAAAAGTCAGGAGGAGCATCGAAGATTGTAGCAGAGCCACTACATAAAGTGCCATCACAGCCAGACGAGCGAGCTGTTCCAGAACAGCAGTCACCACTGGTAGAGACAGATGCATCAGTAGCACCAACCCTACCGCCTCCAAAACGGAAACGTGGCCGGCCTCGAAAGTATCCACTTCCAGATTCACTCGCGCAACAAGAACAGCCAGCAGCTCTAAAACAACAGAAACTGAAAATTCAAGAAACACCAGCTGCTAAAGCTACAGTTACCGAGCCAGCACAACGAGCAGAATATGAGGAAGATGAAAGCAGTGCAGCATCAACGGAATACGTGTTCAAGACAACAGGCGCGTTTGCCACACGCCGGGCGATGCGTCAGCTCAAGGATGAACACGGCTTTGTTCCAAATCCTTATGGTTACTCGTACAACCAACCAATCGAGATACTAAATACGCGTACGGCTAAAAACAAGCGATTTTGGGAGCGTGGACACCTTACTGCTATGCGACCAGGTCAGGTCAAAGTACGTTATGATGGATGGAACGAAATCTACGACGAATGGTTTATGGTCGGTAGTCGTCGAATTCGTCCTGTATCTCAAAGCGAATGTGTTAGTAGCAATACCAATACCAATACCGATACTGCTACTGAAGACTCGGCAACGGCATCAACAGCAGCGGAAGCATCGCCCACCGTAGCTGTACCAGCGACATCATCGGATCTTATGGCACCTGAGATGAACCCAGAACTCAAAGATCTGGCGAAAAAGAAACGCAGGCATCAAGTTCTCGGTCCAGAAGATTATATACAGCTGGGATATCTGATACCTACTGATGCACCAGTTCCACCACGACGTGGCCGACCGCCGAAACCGAAAGCTTTTGTTGCCACTACTGCAGATACTATCCTTAATTCAGAAAGAGCGTCTACCGAAAGTGCAACTTCGACTATGGCTGATATACAAGCAGCATCAGAATCATCAGAAAGTGAAGCTAGCGATTATGAACAAGATCAAACTGACGACGCCAATTTCGTACAGAAACAACAAAAGAGGAGAAAAAGACAGCAATTTACAACAGTTACCGCCAACCAAAAAAGGAGAAAGAAGAAACAACCGGCCAGCACCCTGAAAGTATTAGCCCAAAAACATGAAGAAGAGCTGCAGCAACAACAACAGCATAAACCTATATCACTGCGTCGTGGTGGTGGAGGTGGGCTGACAAGTGCGGACGATCATGGCTTTATTGCCAATGTTTATGGATACGATTATATGCAACACGTCCAAGTGCTCAATCTCGACAAAAAATGGTACGAAGCAAGACTTGTTCGGATGAGTAAGAATCGGGTTCTGATTCATTATTGCGGGTGGATCGACAAGTATGACGAGTACATACCGCTGGGAAGTCGACGCCTGCAGGTCATCGAGAATGCTCATGAGGTCCTATGTGCCGAGCCCGAGTACAAAGAGCGGTATGAGACGCTAATACTTGAAGCCAAACAACGACAACAGCAACATGAAGAAGGAGACGACTTAATCCAAGAAGGGCAACATCAGCAAACATCGGCAGCAGCAAGACGTAATAGCCGTCGACGAACCTTATCGGAGGGACCATTTGATGGATCCCTTGAAGAGATTGAATATCACAAAGAAGATGAAAATGGGCCTGGATTCGAAGGTATAGAAATAAAAAGCGTCCTTGCTGATACTTGGTTTAAGTGCAGGCCTATAATTAATATTTAGCAATAGAAATCGATGCATGGAAAGTATATTGCAACCAATGTAATGTTGTGATCAAACAATTCCGCTACTATTGCACGTATTGCGAGACGCCATCCGAAGGGTATGACTATGAAAGCTTTGAGCTATGTTTAAGGTATATACACTGCTTTTGTTCTCTTGCTATTTGTTTCGTAATGATAATAAGAATACCAGCTCTACTTACACTTTCCTTAATTTTGTTTAACAATAAACAAGATGCTTTGATCAAAACTTTCCATTTTGGCACGATCATCCTCGCTCCAGCTTTGCAGTCCAAGCGGTCATTAATGCCGAAATCGGACCCATGCCAATCAAGGGCGAGCTTGTTACTGTATGGGAAGAGGACGTGATAGACGTTGCTCCGACAAACGCCAACAGCAACAACGACAACCACGAGGATAACAGCGACAAGAATAGCGGCGATGGTGAAGGCAGCAACGGCACTGACAAACATCAGATTGTTGAAGAAGCTAGCAAGGTGTTTACAGGCGATGCATCCATAGAAATCGCCGAGCAAGGCTACAAATACTTGAAACGATGGCAACGACGTAAGGTGTGTGCATTTTGCAATGACGACGACGATACATCTAGTGAGCTTGGAAGCTTTATCGGACCATTTGTTATTGCAACATACAATAAAAATGGGGTCGAACGTAAGCGACAGTTCTGGGCTCACGATGCATGTGCACGCTATTCGCCCGAGGTATTCTGTACGCCCGAAGGCAAATGGTATAATGTAACTTTGGCACTACGTCGTGGTCGAGGCATGGTATGTAACGTATAAAAAAAAGAGAACTGATTAGCAAATGAGTATGTGTGTGGGTGACAAGTGGAGTGCAAAAACTCATCAGTTGAGCAAATTTGATTTGTATAGCGCTGCTATAGCTGCAAAGAAAAGGGTGCAACCATTGGCTGCTTTGATTCTCGATGCAACAAAAGTTTTCACTTGCCTTGTGCCCAAAAACCCGTTAGTTACTTCCGCAATGGTGTGATTTTCTGGTGCCCTACCCATGAAGCGTATTATAACAAAAAAGGTAATAAGGGATAGAGAAAAAAAGTGCTAATCCGCATCGGAAAAATTCGTTAGAAGAAGAGGGGAAGATGATGAAGAGCAGGTTCTCCGAGATTTCTGCGAATTCTCTGTTAATCCCTCGTTGCAAATGCGATCCTAAATTTGCCGAAAATTTGTTTCACTATGTCTTTAGATACATACGTAAATATTTTTAAATGCGATGGATGTAACAGGCAAATGGAGGATGAATCATGGTTTACATGCTTGCCATGTGCATCCGGTTATTTTTCGTCGTTCGATTTGTGTGCTGAGGTATGTGAAAGAGACCTAGAACAAAAACCACTTCTCTAATCGACCGAAAGCCACAATCGACAACCATCACCTCACCGTATCGATATTTATTTTTAACTATATTAGTGTTTTGGAAAGCTACCAGAGTATAACCATCCACATGATCAAGATGATTTCGAAGAAACATGTACGTTGTATATTGTCTTCGATACACATACCATGAATGCCGATCTAGGAGAATCAAGCCATGCTAATCTGTACTATTGTACATACGTGCATCCTATTTGCAATGTATACAAATAGCGTTTGCAATCATTAAGGAAATGGAGGCGGAAAAGGCACGAGAAGCAGCACGGACCAAAGAGCTATCAGCAGGTAAAGAACCCCCGAACCAAAATGTGGCGCACGTGCGGCTAGAGTATTCACCTTATTTTCGGTGTTACCAGCAAAACGGAAAAAGTCTCTGTTTCCACGGAGACGACGGAAACGAGCAGGTGATGCGCCTGTCACCACTTGTTGCTACTGTGGCACAGAAGATGCAGAAGAGTGGCGGAAAGGTTATGATGGAGGTGTGATCATGTGTCGCCCTTGTTTTGAAGTTGCATTACTTGTCGACAACAACGATGGCAGTGGAAACAACAACAGTAACAACAGTAACAACAGCGATGACCCGACCACCTTTCCCGATGATGATTACGATGCGTGTGGTGATGGTGGCGACACATATGTCACATTGATTGAAAACTACACGCATAAACCGTATCTCACACGCGACGCACTTTCGTCTACCAAGTTTACTGCCACGGCAGGAATTCGTTTAGCGACGTATGAGCCTCAACCTCATCAACTGTTCTCGCTTGTGTTTGATTCGACGTACTTTGACATTCCTGGTCGGGCACCAAGATGGGCCTCGCATTCAGGAACAGACTATCATGGTTAGTCATTAAAGTAGCAAATTGGAAGAAGTCTACCGTGTTTTCTGTAGTACTGAACTCAAAGAGTTTTCTTAGGAACCTGGCTACCTCAAACCGTACGCAGGTAAATTTAACTTTTTGCTACTACTATGCTTTTACAGCAGACAAAGAAGGCTCTGTATATGGTTCTAATATGACATCTGATCTAGAGCTATCCTGAAACACACTGACAAGGACGAGCGTGTGCTATCCAACTTTCTGGGACGGGGTAGGGAGCTTAAATTTTTTATTCATCCGATAGCGATATGATGATCACTTGAAAGTAGGAAGAATTAAGGGTTATATCACTACTAGGAACGGATGCGATCGAATGCTTTTTGCTACAGCGACGGTGCTGTGGAGTCGATATTAACCCAGTGAGTTTTTTAACTTCTTTTCGCATAACTTAGCGCTGTGTTTTGTGTTTGTGTCATAATGCCGAAGCTTAAAGTTCCTATTTTTAAAATTGTACTATGTGGTGCAATCTATCTATAGGCTGCGGTTGCATTGTCACAGCGGAACTGTTGTTTCGAAATACCACCCGGATTGACGTCTGCTGAATACCGACCGATCGTCGCACAAGCAGATTCGCGTCATCTCACGGGACCGCTGTTTGCTGATGAATCGTTCCATCATGTCTTGTCTCATCCGCCATACAAAGACTGTGTAGCCTATTCAACCCACTTGGATGGTGATCTGTCACGATTTACCAATATTGAAGAATTCAAGGAAGAATACATCAAAGTCGTTCATGAGAGTTGGAGGTAGGTATTCCCTCTCTTCTTAACGTGGATGGGTTTCGGAACCTTATAAAAATGTTGTCAATGATGATTTTTTCTTAGAGTATTGAAAATGGGACGGCGACTAACGCTTGGCATCGGTGATAATCGGGAGCATTGCTTCTACATTCCCGTCGGTTATCATTTATTACGACAATATATTGACAATGGCTTTGAATTGGAGGAGTTGGTAATTATTGATCTCGTCTGATTGATCCCGGAAAAAAAAGTGCTTCACAACAAATGTTCTAAAAAAAACTTGCTTTTGCTGTCACATACACAAAAGATCATTAAGCGTCAACGCTATTGCTCAGCATTTGGGCTGGGAACCTACTTGTGTGTCCAATTCGACTTTTTAGTGTTTACCCATGAATTCATCGCGACGTTTCGAAAAATTCCGCGGGAAAATGTGAATCGCATGATATCACTGAAAGGTAAACGAGGAAGAGAAAAAAGTTATTTTTAAGAAAGTTTATTTACAGATGATGGATATGTTTGTGTAGAAAATACTGTCGATCATGTGCGAGTAACAAGAACAATGCGAGGAGTACCATCATCTGCTATTGCTCGCAAAAGTGTCGTCATGGGAACGGTGTGGGTTTTCAAACCAACGGAGCATTATCGTTTCGATCGGCTTTGCATGTCTCGCATGGTGGAACGATTTGGCCGCGATGATACCAATTGGATCCAAATTGAACTGAATTTCGTGTCGTCGTATGAGGTATTTTGCTATCCCGCGAACGATATGTACATGCATACATACTATACGTGACATTATCGACTCATGGTTTCTCTTAATTTTCATAAGTTTTATCAGCCAACAGAAAATCACACTCAAGATGATGATACCACATTGTCAAAAGAGCGAGACAAGAATGGAAAATCTGATGAGGAAGGAGCCCTGCTTTCTGAATACGAACAGCAGCGGTTAAAGCGGATCGAAGAGAATACTCGCACTCTCATTCAATTGGTATGTATGATCTCTTTAAATACTGCTGTTAAATTTATATACTTTAATGTATGCTGATAGTCACTGATTTCACTATTATTTACAGGGATTGATATCCGAACTTAGCGAAGAGTCGACAGACATAATGCACTACGAAACTATGATGAGTAAGCCACCCCAGGTTGAAAGCGCTCCACTACGACTAATGGTCATTGCCCATCTACCACGCTTGTTGTCGCATCACATTGGAATTTATCGCCAAACACTAATTAAGCTTGCTGCTGAAGCTGTTGAAAAACTGGCACCGAAGGGCATGCTTATTATTGGAACACAGGATGTGCGATCACCCGACGGCAAGCTATGGCCAATGGGCATGCTCGTGATGGAAGATATCGAACGCTCCGTCGACCCTAGCACACTCAAGCTGAAGGAAATGATCATCGCTGTACCAGATGGATATTCTAAAAATCGACACCGAGAGCCAAAGCCAGAAGATCAGAATATTCATTCAACAACAGATGGTGGCAGCACTGCTGTTAGTGATATCAACGGAGAGGAAGAATCAGTCGTGGATGTGGTTGACGAGCACTTGCAAATTGTGCATGCCACGTATTTGGTGTTTCAGCGACTTTAAGAAGCTGGTGTCTCGGAAAAGGAACAAGAGCAGGGGCCTGGTTATCGGTTTTTACAGATCTTCGTTGCACAAGTTCTTAATATAAACTGCTTAACTTTCTATTAATACTAAGAGTAAAGAAAAAAAAATAAAGTTTCTCTTCCTCACCCATCATTCTTCGTCCCACGCCTCGTACTATCCATCTACACTCTTTCCCTACTCCTTCAGCTTTGGATTTCCCATGACATTTCAACCAAACAATGTTTACGAACCATGGCGTTTCGAATATGTATCGTATAAACTGATCAAGCATAATATTACCCAGCAAGTTCACAATCACGGTTGGCTCGACCGAGACGAATCCAGCTTTACGGCGTTGCTTTGGCACGAAGCCGAAAAAGTCGATCGATTTATTACACAGAAACAGCGCGAAATTGAATCAACGCTTGCCCATTGCCGCCGTCGTATCGAGCAGCACCACAGCAACAACCATACCAGGGAGACGCTTCGCGACGTTTACTGCGAGCTCCAAGCATTATGCGATTTTGCACGGCACAACTCTTTGGCACTGGAGAGCTTGATCAACTATCACGACGAGATCACAGAGCGCAACCAGAGACCACTGCTCGTCGATATTATACGGAAAAGACCCTTGGGACGCCAACAATTCGACTTGACGTTGATAGAGGTTTCAAAGCTCATGGATACCGTTACCGAGCAACAAGAAGAGCAAGTATATCAACAGCAGCAGCCTACAGCAGTACATTTCTGGGTCCATCGAGATAATATCAATCAGGTTCTGGCCGTGTTACACTTCCATCTATCGTCCAGCATCAGCCGGCCGACGGTCACATATTTGGACAATTCACGATACGAGTTATATCAAGGTCGACTTGAGCGCGACGAAGGAGCAGAAGAGATTCGGCTAAAGCATTTTACTAGTGCTGCCAAGGATGTCTTTGTGGAACGTGAAACATACCACGCACCGTGGCTGAATAGCCAATCTGTCACTGACGGCTTCCGACTAGACTCACCAGACAAGGCCGACCAATTCTTGTCGTCTCAATACACCGCCGACGAATGTGTCCGAGATTTATGTACCACTGATGCCGAGCGCCACACATTGGGATTCATTGCGTCAGGGATTCAACAGTCCATTAACGACAAAAATTTGCGACCGACGATGCGCATGACCAGTGAACGAGCCGTGTTTCAAAATCAAGTCTTATTTGACACAAATATCGTTTTTATCGGCGACCATACCTACGAGATGCCACACGCTGTTCTGCAGACCACTTTGACTGGCAACAGTGAGCAGCAACACCAGCAGGAGCCGTGGCTTAAACAGCTACTTGACGATGGCTTGGTGTATGAAGTACCCTGTTTCTCATTGTTTTTGCATGGCATGGCATGTATGTGGCCTGAAAGCATTCCATGGCTACCGTGGTGGATGGACGAGCTTGATATTGATATTCGCGATTCCCGCCAGCCCAAGGGGTTCAAGTCTGCAAGCCAGTATGCTCATTCAAGGAGTCTTAGACCAAAGGAGGAGCCTCTTGGATATCTCAATCATGAGCTCGAGTATCCTCGGCTTCCGTTGCATGAACGACCTGCCATGAAGCAAGAAACGTTCCCTGCTCGTCATGAAGCTATCAATATCGACAGGGACTATTTCAGCGATCCAGTATGGCAACAGCATCAAGATCAATTTTCTTCATACGACAACAACGACAACAATGACTATGACGATGCTGAGCAATATCAGCGACCGCAACGGCAGATGGGATGGAGAAATCAACGACAGCAACAAGAAGACGATCAAGAAGGCCAGACATTGCTTGGTAGCGGCGACGAGAACAATCGCGAAGAACAATCGAGCAATAAAAAGAAAAAGAACAAAAAGCAAAAGAATCCCATGCTCGAACCGAAAGTGTTCTTTGCAAACGAACGAACATTCATCCATTGGCTACAGTTCTCTGCATTGATTCTCGTTTCAGCGCTGACGCTTCTTAACTTCGGCGACAGGATCAGTACCATTGCCGGCGGTGTCTTTTTTGGTATTTCAATGGCTATTGCTCTTTACGCCTTTGGGCGGTATCGATGGCGAGCGTATCAGATCAAAACTCGGCCGCAAATACGATACGATGACATTTATGGGCCAATTGGGCTGTGTACACTGCTTGTTGGCGCGGTGATTGTAAGTCGGCGTTAATGGGAATATCTAGGCGAGACTTCTTGTACTTCCATGTGTATTCATCATATTTCTTTTATTTTCAGTTAAACTTTATTCTACGGTACCAGCATCCAAGCCCAAGTGATTCGTGGCTAGGAATCAACAATGGTACCCGGCAACAGCATCTCCAGCAATAAGAAGGACTGTAAATCATCATTTTTTAGTACTTTCATTATTATATAATTATTATTAGATTCTTTATTGGCCGTTTCCATGTATGTTATGTTTTGTAAAGAAACATTCTGTAGTTGCTAGTTGTTCTACGTGTGTTACAAACATGAAAAATGTTCCACACCACCCCAGTATATTTAGTGCAAAGTTCTAAAGTTAAAAGCGATCGTCGTTAAAATTAGAATAACCGGAGTTGGGAGAAAGATAGGTCGTGTGTGATGAAATAGATCAGAGAGTGTGACAACAGGACAGTATGTATCTTTTCATGATCTGTAAATGAAATAATGCTTCGCACCGGGTAAAAATACGCAGGGACATGCTGAGCAAACGTAGCAAAACATAATCATGGCAGTTAGAGTGAGATGATACTCATCGCGCGTGTCACCACGCGAACCCACATGTGGAATAGCTTGCTTATAAGAAACGCAAGCAATAGATGTACCCCATGGCACAAGATATTAGGACTGTAATTATGAGGGTGTGTGTGTTGTGCAAATCAGCAATAAAGGGAGGATAATAGCGACAGGAATTTTTCTTGCGGATACCGGTTCATGCCGTCTGTGGACGTCTCACAGTGTCTGGCTCTATTTTTTTGCCTTGACGACTTTTTTAGTACTGTGGCGAAGTTAAATAGTAAGAAATCATTTTCAAACCCGAACAAATAGTCTTCTATTTCTATCAGCACCCGTCATCATTAGCAGCAGCACCATCACCACTGCTTCAGTTGTTACAAAGACATAAGATCCTAGTCCCGTGTTCTTTTTTCTGCTTCTTCGTTTTCTTTCCTCACTCTTTCTCTCTCACTTGCACATAGAAAGACACATCGTGCACTTTACTCTTTTCTTTCTCTCTCTTACACTCACAAAAACTTAAACAAATGAAATTTGGTGACTATTTAAACGAGCAAGTATTTGCGCCGTGGCGCCATTACTACGTTCAATACGACTACCTTAAATATGAGCTCAGAAAGCGCCAGCTCAGTGACATGGGATGGACTGATGAAGACGAACAAGACTTTATCCGCATTCTTGAGACCGAACTGGACAAGGTGTATGACTTTGTTACTGCCAAACTGGTCGAAGTCGAAGCAAGAATTACATACTGTGAGCGAACATTACGGATATCAAGTACCTCGCTCAAGTCGCCGCCATCTCAACGTCAAATGGTTGATGATACCCTGACCGAAGCCCTGTTTGATATCAACGATCTGGCCAAGTTCACTCGACTCAATTACACTGCTTTTCTAAAGATCCTCAAGAAGCATGACAAATGGACCCCTGGGTTTCCACGCCTACAGCAAGAATTTATCCCCAAGATGCGTGCAAAGCCGTTGGACAAGCAGCGATTCGACGTACCCATTATTTACATTTCAGCGCTCCATGATATTTGTCGCAACACAAGAACACGTTCTCCCTATGCTCAAGGCAGTGATGACGAAGGCGAAGGGGGTGGTGCCGGTAATGGTGGTGGTGGCGATGTGTTTGAGCGGGCCACAGCCAAGTACTGGGTTCACCCAGACAATGTCACTGAAGTCAAGGCTATTCTGATGCTCAACTTGCCTGTGTACCTTTACGACAGTCCTGATGTCAAGCAATACAAGGAGAGCGATTCTTCCATCTCGAGTGTTTACATTGACAATTCACAGTTTGAGCTGTACACCGGCCGTTTGCAGCGAGATGAAGGTGCAGAAGCAATCCGCATTCGATGGTATGGAGATATGCATGCTAACCCGGTATTCGTCGAGCGAAAAACACATCACGCGCCATGGACAGAAGACTTGCGATCTCTCAAGGAACGTTTTGCTCTGGACGTCGATAGAGTCTCTGGTTATCTTTCTGGCCACCCCTATGAAGGCAAAGAAAAACACATGTTTGTAGCCAACGGCGTACAAGAATCAATCAAGTCCAAAAACCTCAAGCCGACACTACGTGTGTTCTATCATCGAACTGCATTTCAAGTCCCCAAGGACCAGCGAGTGCGCGTCAGTCTCGATACAGACTTGACGTTTATCAAGGAAAATAGCCGCTCCCATTGGCGTCGCCCCGATGTAGGTATTGACCACCCGTTTCCGTACTTGGAAGATGACGAAATCCTTCGGTTCCCCTACGCTGTCCTTGAAACAAAGGTACAGACGCATCTTGGTCAAGATATGCCGGATTGGCTCAGCCGACTTGTCGACTCTCATTTGGTGCATGAAGTTCCACGATTCTCGAAATATTTGGTACTTGTTTATATCTTTTTTCTTCTTCTTTATTTCATTTTTTTGTATGACCACTCATTGCCCCTTTCACTCCCCCATTATAATTCAGCATGGAGCGAGCACTCTGTTTAGAGACCAAATTCCACTACTACCTTGGTGGCATTCTGAACTGACGGTGGATATTCTGAAACCACGCGATACCAACTTTGGGTTGTCCCGATCAGCATCGTTCAAGCCGCTGATGGATGGCCAGTATGTCTTCAAGCGTGCCATGGATACCGAACATCAACGTATACGGGTTGTCTCTATGGTTCCAGAGGAGTCCCAGAACTCATCGCCTACGAGCAAGCGCTCGCTGATCACAAGTTTGCTACCCCAGAAACAGCGATATCATCCAGTGTCTTTTGGGACACCTGTTGATGCTGATGACTATGATAGCAATGAGAAAAGACGACTAAACGACAACACCAAGCCTAAGAAAACCGGATTCATCGCAAAATGGCAGCAGCAATTCTCGCGGCGCAAACAGGCAATGGCTTCCGGAAGCAATAGTAGAGGAGCGGTGATTCCATTACGCAATGTCAAGGTTGAGCCCAAGGTATTCTTCGCAAACGAGCGTACGTTTATAAGCTGGCTCCAATTTTGTGGTCTACTTCTCATGGTGGCTCTGAATTTGCTCAACTTTGGTGACGAATCAGCCAAGATTGCAGGCAGTGTCTTTATTTGTATTGCTGCACTTGTTGCTTTGTATGCATTATATCGATTTGAGAAGCGCGCATGGTAAGTAGATCCATCACTTTTTTCTCTCTGCTTTTTCTGGGGATAATAGTGTGCAAGATTATAGATTTATTCATCAAACCAAACACTGGATGTTTCTTAGGATGATCAATCGTCGTGTGGCTGGACGTTACGACGATCTCTGGGGCCCTGTTGTGCTCTGCGTTCTTTTGGTTGGAGCTCTCATCGTTAACTTCTATCTCCAATTTGGTAATTGATAGCAAGTAATAGTAAAAAAACTTCACTTTGCCAAGCCTTATTTCATTTTTTATATATTAGCTTTAACCATGGCTCAGATCATGTATAGATGTATATGTTATTCTCTCGATATATTATATGTAATTGCAAACTTTCGCAACTGTACAAAATTAAAAAAAAAACGGGATATATAGTCCAGTTTCTCGTAGTTTTTGTAGAAATGATTTAAATTAATATCCGCTGGAGGAGATTCTGGTCTATTAGTAGGAATTTCTCTTTCTTCAGCATCTGAATTTAGATGATAGCCTAATATTGTACCACTTACTCCTAATCCTACGATAAGCGTTAACATTCCAATAGATGGAAAACCTCCTTCTAAAAAACCAATAAAAGTAGCAGCAGCACCAAAAGTTCCAATACCATAATTAAAAGCTCGATCAATTCTATCTCGTCCATCTGTACAAGATTGGTTATTAATTATTATTGGTATTTGGATTATTTCTTGAAGAATCAGTCGACGAATAATTATTATCTGATAAATTATTCTCAGATGAATTAGTATTTGTACTATTTCTTCTTTTCATGTATATGATAAATAAACTTAATAAACCTAGTCCCATTTCGAACATGCGTTGAGCTAAGAGTAGTAGAAACCGAACTTATGATCATCCTTGTAACGTGGGTCAATAACCCGGACTCATCGACCAAAAGGTCCAGTCATGCATCGCAATGTCTATTACACATTTTGCCGAGTCCTTTGAAGAGATGTTTCCTAATCAAGAAGCTCATTTCAGTATGCTATATACTATTCCAATACAACAACGTACTATTTTCTGTTAATAAGTAATGTTGTTTTTTAAATACTCAATCACATAGGTTTCGGCATCGGCTTTCGATAGATGGTCCTTTTGCTACTTATTGTGATGATATGCAGTGTAAGGATACCCCTTTTTAGGTAGTATGGATGTTGCAACGAGCTGTCAACAATAATGACAATGGCGTTATAATCATTACATAACAACACACTCGACAGTATTACATCAGCTCAAGAAAAAAGAAGCAGGGATTATGTCTGAGCTTCAGGTACACCGACCTTCTTGGTGACCCAAAGCTTTCCGGCTGTCCTCTGCTTCAAAATTCCACTGAGTCTTCCAATCCGCAAAAGCAATAAACTTAAAGAACTGTCGGCCTTCAACGATCTGAGAGCAATTGCGCCAGGGCCATCACGAGCATTGGGGAAGTCTCTGTCGCCAGTTTTTCACGAGCACCTGGAGAGCCTTAGCGTCAATCGGGCTAACTGTACAGCAATGCTGCGGGACACCATAGTGGTCACCCATAACGACGAATAAGTTCGTGATATTCACTGTACGTTCGCTACGACTGTGATTCATGAACTGTACCCTCAATGCTGAGATAGTACAGACTGTCTAGTGTGCTTAAGGAGCACTAAATTTGAAAGCAAGATTTAGCCTAGACACTTTTGCCATATATCTTTGCTGACTGGATTTGTAGAGCACTCTAGAGCATCTACGAAACAAAAGAGTAGCTTTGTCCCCTGCGTTTTATTGCTCTATTCACATCTAGTTATTAAAAGAATAAGAGTTACGAGTTAGCTTTTGTAACTCAAAAAAAAGGAAACTCGGCCCTTTCCATATATTTCTACCCGCACACGGAGAGTGAGAGAGAGAAAGCAAGTACTTACGCAAAGCATTCCCCAAATTCATGGGGGACCTCGGCCGCACTTTTTACCCGTGGGCACGGGGAATTTTAGAATGAAGCAGGACTTACGCCCGGAGGCTGCCTGAGTAAAAAAAAACAGCGTGAGACGATGCAACATCCGAAGATGGGTCGAGACAGAGGCTACTTGGAACTGTGGAAGAAAAGCAAAGGGGGAGGGGAGAGGAGAAGGATAAACTATATAAAGAACGCAATAGACGCTTTTAACGACTTCCTGGGTCAGAGCAAGGGGAGGAGGGGAGGGGGGATAAAATATACAAAGAAGCAATAAAGATATAATATGTGTAGCAAAGAAGAAGATGAGGCTTTTAACGACTTCCTCAGGTTCAAGTCAAAGCAAAAAGCACACGCCACCGTCCAGATGGATGGATAGATCTTGACCACAGCCGATGGACTACTTGACAGGTCGGCTTCTAGGAGCAGGATGGCAGTAGAGCATCAATCTTGACCAGCATGGAGGTTTCTGTGCACTATCGCCATTCCGAGAAACAAAAGAGACGAACAATTAATGGGAAACTGTTAAAGCACACACATACAAGATCCTATTGTGCTACGTACACTTACCCTACTTCTACGACGACCACAGGAAAGCCGAACACCCGAACAATGTAGAGCAGAGAATGACAGGCAAGACAAAAACACTTCTTCTAGCTGGAAATAAAGATCATTAGAGGGTTGCACACACTGTGCTATCTTTACTTTTTGACACGGCATTACCATCCTCCTCCATACCACGCTAGATCTAGCTATACTTACATTTGTTTTGTCGTTTTACAGCAAAGTTATAGACAGAGAAAGATGGGGTCTAAGCCAATCCAAGTCTAAACAGATCACCGCAGAGCCATCCTCTATTAGAAAAAAGAAAACATCGATGAGCAGCTGCATACACTTTTTGACATGTCACGGCAGACATCTTTCTGGTTCTTCAAACACGCAAAGACAAACACAAGCACAAAACTCTTTCCGGCTATACTTACTATCATGACATCCTTGGCGTGGAGGAAGAGAGCCTTGAGTTAGAGAGAGGAGAAGCAAGAACGGCACGATTAAATCTGAAGAATAAGAGAAGAAAGGGGAGGAGAGATGAAAAATTTTTGAGAGACTGCCATACTGCACGCTGCTGCGCACACTGCACACTTTTGACACGTCATCTCCAGTACCCCCCCCCCCAACAGACACTCGACTTCTCTTCAGCTCATGCTGACATTTCATTCCCTACGGTACTTACAGTTGTTGCTTTTGCTTAAGGGTGGTATGCAAACACCAAGCCGAACCAACCGTATCAAAAAGTCAGAACTCCTACAGTACTGTAGTAGCAGAGAAGAAAGGAGGATAACATTAGCGGCTGTGTATGCTGTACACACACTTCTTTGGACACGTCAAAATTCAGATCTTCTTTCGTATATCACATCCACATGCAAAGTCTCAAAGTACACGTCACTCTTTCCATATTGTACTTACACTTGCATTTGTGCTTTGAGAGAGCCAACGTGAAAAGGGGAGAAGGACCAGGTTAAGACGAGAAGAAGATCTGTGGCAATAAAGAAAGAAAGTGAGACAAACGGATTTTGAGAAATTACCGTATATGATACTCACACCGGTTGCATACGCTCTTCTCACTCACCACCATAAACATATACTCTCCGATCCTCTAATTCGTTCCAATGATACTCACATTGAATAGCTTTGGTTTAGAAGTGTTGAAGAGGACGAAGAAGAGCGGCATGATTGCTGCGGCCGCGCGGTTATATAGTAGTAATGAACACACATGCTACGCGGCATTTGAGCTAGTTCATTCTATCCAATCAGATTACTCTCTCACGTTTATGACGCGCCGAGGTGTGTGGCTCCTCCAGATCAGAAAATTTATTCTACATGAATGTATGACTCTGTGAGTAGACGGGTATCGCATCGAGGAAAGACTCGAGGGGTAACCGTCCTTAACACGATATGAAGCTCACTTCAAATCCTTCATCATCTGAGAAGTGCCATCGCTTTAAACACGCTGAACACAAGTATCAATACAAGTATCAACGTATTCACTACACTATGTATACAGGAGTATCTAAAATCTCATGAGACATGACGATCCCGCGCTTGCCAATGTTCCATTTGGTGGGAAAATCATGGTCTTTGGTGTTGACTTTCGCCAGGTAGACAACATTGAATACTCTCTTCTACTTTGCATTCTTTTGTTATTAAGCGGTAGTACTCACAGTAAAGTATCTGATAATAGGTCGTTCCTGTGAAGCCAAATGCGTCGCGCTCGCAAATCGTACAGTAGTACTTAAATCGCTCATCAATTTGGCCTAGTGTCACTGTCCACCGCCTTGAAACCAACATACGCGTCCAACAAGCTGTCAAAACCAATGACGCAAACGAGCTTGGCCAGTCTATGCAATATTTACTTTGCATTGGTGATTGTGCTGAGCTGTTGGTGCCAACCACTGATGACAAAGTCCGGCTTCCAGATCGAATGCTCATGCCATATTACAACATGTACGAGCTCATAGAAACCATTCACGGTAACCCCAACGCACCACACGTGGATCGTCAATACCCCATCAGTCGCTCTATCTTTACTCCAAAGAATGCCGACGTTACAGCAACCAACGATTTGATACTCGATCATTTCCCAGGCACTGTACACGAATTCCAGAGCGCTGATACAGTGGTTGGTCCCGAATATTAAATCACATACCCACCAGAGCTTCTGAATCAATGAATCCATCCGATTTCCCACCACACTCGTAAAATCTCAAAGTCGGTTGCCCAGTCATGCTTTTGCGGAACTTGCACACCATAGTGGTCTCTGCAATAGGACACGGCTGATTGTACGTTTTTTCCAACGATATGTACTTGAAGTTGAAATAGCCACTGGACCTCATGCTGGCAACATCTTCTTAATCCCTCGCATAACACTCACACCTTCACTAACACGCTCCCCCTTCTATTTAAACGCACGCAATTCCCTATTCGCCTGGCATTTGCAATGACCATCAATAAGGCACAGGGTTTCAACACTGTTGGCCTCTACTTACGTGAACCTCCTTTCACTTACGGTCTACTTTATGTAGCCATGTCGCGCGTCCACACCCCTTCTTCCATCAAAATCATGCTAGATCCTGAGAACTCAAGAATCTCGGGTCAGCAAGGCCAAAACACCCGAAATGTTGTGCTCCACGAAGTTCTTCTCTAATTCGTTTTGTCGCTTATCCTCTTTTGCCTTCTTATAAATATCACTACATTATCTTTTTCTATACTTATTTTCGCGTTGCATTTAAGCTGGATATAGTCAAGTATCCAACTTTGACGACTTTCTATAATAGACTACTTCTCACTGCACAATGATATTGCTTTTGTTTTTGTAAACAGACAATAAGCATCTAATACCAAAACATTGATCCAACCTCGTTCCACAGGGGGGTTTGGGGGTCAAGGGGGGAACCCCCTTGCGACGCGTTTCCGTTGAATGACACGGAGCGAGGAAGGACCGCTAATAAACAACAAAAAGCAACCGTTCTCCCACTCTCTTTAGCCTTTTATGTAATTCGAATCATGCTTAAAGTGTGGTTGGATGGACGTCTGGCTTGGCAAAAATCAGTAGCATCGAAGTAAACTTGCTCATGCCAATGCTAATATAGCTGTCAAAATTCTTGCTAAGCCAAGAAAAGATCGAAAATAATGCCCCTCACCAGTAGGACCGATCGATTTATGGACAGCAGCTTACAAGACGACCATGCTCACAACGTCGTACTCGAAATGTCGTGAGCTCTCTCTGCTTCAGAAAAGTACATTGCCTGTACTTACCTTCACCACTGACAATGTGTCTAGCACTTGTGCGGCCTCTGGAATAATAAGTAAGCCAATATTTCAATTTTTGGAATAGATAAGAGACCACTGAATTACTTTATCCTGCCATTTGATTACATAAAATATATCCTGCTAGCTACTTTTACGGCATCACACACAACGAAAAGGCACGGGTAATGGCATCCGGTGGCACTTTATAGCTATGGATAGTTCTGCTGAGCTAGTACAGATTTCAAGTCTAATAATGAGAAGCATCATCGCGTATTTCCCGAATTTTGACAGGACATGCAAGATAATACATACATCACATCAGAAGACCGCACACTATAACCAGCAGTTTCACCTGTTGATATTCAGCGAATACAGCAGCACATGATAAACACAAAGTAATTAATGCATATAGCAAACAATGACTACCATGATCTATCTGCCCTTGCGAAAAATGAATAATTAGGAGATGCATTCCCTACTCCAAGCATTTGAAGCTATTAATATCTCATGCAGGTTTCGAAACCAAGCACTGTGTGTAACTCTAATACTTTCGGTTACCACTAGTGCCACTACTACTATTCTACAACTTTTATTTCCTTGTCTTTTATATATTAGTGTGTGCATAAAGAATGGCCGATCGACGTTCAGTGCTTTGCACTGCCATCTTTACACCCATTGTTTTCATATTACTTATTCTCGGTTGGCAACGAGGTGGGCTCAAGGACGACGAGAATCTTGCCCCTGCTGACCCACCACCAGTGTCTCATACAAATGAACCCATTATTGCCGGCTACTTTGTAAATTGGTAAGTAGTCAATCGTCCGCTTACAAACAGACTTTAAGCTTTTCATGTTTTTTTTTATTTACATTGCTTGTAAATCAGGGGCATTTATGATCGAGAGTACAATGTTGTTGATTTACAAGCTGACAAGCTTTCTCACGTGCTTTATGCATTTGCAAATCTGCTTGACGATGGCACAATCGTTCTCGGGGTAAGCGGTGGTGTCTTTGTTTTACTTTACACTACTTTGACTTTCAAGGCAGGAAGCTTATGTCGTATATATGTGCCTCGCTTAGGATGCTTGGGCTGATACGGATAAGCACTTTCCCGCAGGTGAGTTATCAGAGTTGTAGTAGTAACAAGAAGAAATCATGCGACAAAAGCAGGTCCCACTAATAACACAAGCTGGGATGCAATTTCACTAGGTCAAACCATTAACAAAAAAGCAGACGACTGGAATGAGGGAGGAGACAATTTATACGGCAATTTCAAGCAGTTGTATCTTTTGAAGCAAAAGTATCGCCATTTGAAGGTCTCCCTGAGCGTGGGCGGATGGTCATGGTCAGGCAACTTTTCGACAGTTGCCAGCAATCCTGAAAAGCGCGCTCGGTTTACTGAAACAGCAGCATCTTACGTACAAGACTTGGGACTTGATGGCATTGGTAATTCCAAAAGGACATGTGTGGTGACATAGATCTCGAGTAAACTTGTTGTGCTAATATATATAAAAAAAGACATCGACTGGGAAATGCCAAAGAACGATGCCGAAGCAGTGTCTTATGTAGCACTTGTCCATGATTTACGAGCCGCACTAGGAACGGACTATCTCGTTTCCGTCGCTGTGCCTTGTGGACCTGAAGATTACAAGAAATTACACTTGCCAGAGATGGCATCAGAAGTAGATTTGTTCTATTTGATGGCATACGACTTTGCTGGCGCCTGGGATCCAGTGATTGGACATCAAGCGGCACTCTACGGCGGCGTACTGAACGACGACAGTGCCGTCGAGTACTATATCAAGTCTGGTGTTCCAGCAGAAAAGATCGTCCTTGGCATTCCAGCTTACGGTCGTGGTTTTTCCAACACGGAGAATAAGGTCGGATCGTCATTCGATGGAGTGCCCTCGGGTACTTGGGAGGCTGGTAGCTACGACTACAAGGTTCTACCAAAACCGGGCGCTACCGAACACTACGACGCGGATCAGGTTGCATCTTACTCATACGATACAAAAACACACGAATTTGTCACCTACGACAATCCTGCTGCTGTCAAGGCAAAATGTGAATATGCGCTGAACAAGGGCCTTGCAGGTGTCATGTTTTGGGAACTAAGTGCCGACGCCGAGACACAGGATCGCAGCTTAGTGCATGCTGCATATACCGCCTTTGAAGGCCAAGTGGACGCTTCTTCCAACCATATCGAATACACTTTAAGCCGATATGATAATATCAGAAGCGGTATGTAAAATTTACAAGAGAAACAAACTATAAGACAAAACTTGTAACTTTGTACTACAATACCGGACTTTCGCAACGGCTGTTGTAATTTAGAACTGTCACTCGAAAGTTCACGTCATATTATAATAAAGAAGGCACAAGCCGTGTAGGACACAAATATTTCCTTTTCCTTGATCTCAAAAATGGACATAAACTACTTGCTCAAATAATTTCAACGAAGTCATTCAACAAGCAAATGTTCTCGATGGGGAAGTCGAGCAAATAGACCGGATCTCTTCGAGTTTGTCGAACAAACATAAACAGCGTTCTTGCGCTGTCGCTAAACGCAAAGGCAGTGGTAATTCTGTCCCTGGACGGTGCCCTGGACGGCGTGTCAAAATTCGACGCAGGGGCTCTTTTTCAGAAACTGCTTATGGAGGACTACTTTGATGAAAACTGCAAATATTTTTCAACGTCGGTTTCGTATGCGACGCGAGCTATTTTTACGTATTGTCAATGTGCCCGAAACCAACCATACGTATTTCCAGCAAGACGCGACGCTGCAGGCAAGCTTGGATTTACAGCTATCCAAAAAGCAAGTGCAGCAATGCATATGTTGGCGTATGGAGGAGCAGCGGATGCAGTCGACAACTATTTTCGATTGGCTGAATCTACAACAAGAGAAACTTTGCGACATTCCTGCCGTGGTGTGATTACTTCGTTTGGTGAGGAGTATTTACGCTCTCCCAATGAGGACGACATCAAACGTTTGCTTGCCTTTGGTGAACAGCGTGGATTTCCCGGCATACTTGTTTCTGTGGATTGCATGCATCGGCGTTGCAAAATTGTCCAACTGCTTGGCATGGCCAATTCACAAGTGGCAAGGAAGGTGGCCCCACCGTTATCCTTGAAGCCGTCGGATCCCAAGACCTCTGGATATGGCATTCGCTCTTTGGAGTCCCTGGCTCCAACAATGACATCAACGTGTTACATAAATTCCCGTTATTTGACGACGTTGTTTATGGACGTGCACCATCAGTGAAATACACTGTTAATGGTAATAAATACTCCATGGGATACTATCTGGCCGATGGAATTAACCCTCCTTGGGCAACTCTTGTCAAGAGTATCACGAAACCTTTAGGAAACAAGCAGAAGGTACTACTATTGGGCCATTTCAATTGATTCTTCGCTATATGACTAATCTTACACAACATAATAGTACTTTAAAGAAAGACAAGAGTCTGTCCGTAAGGACATCGAACGTGTTTTTAGTGTTCTCCAGGCACGCTTTGCCATTGTCCGGGAACCTGCGCTCTCCTGGTCTTTAGCTGAGCTCAGCAATATTATGAAAACATGCATAATATTGCATAATATGATCGTTGAAGATGAAAGAGACACATACGCTTACAACAAGAAGGAAACGTTTGATTACGAACAGGCATCCTTCATTGTCTCACCTTCTTATTCGCGCGATAGTAACGCTATCGACCATGTCAAAGACAGGGTAGATGGTTCCATTCACCGCAGACTGCAAGATGACCTCACCGAGCATATTCGGCAGTTGTATGGTGAAAGCAATGAATAAAAATTATCATTTACTTACCCTTAGTGCAGTACCTATGCTTCAACTTCGTTTATTCTTCGGAGGCATCCTCATCAGCGCTTTCCTCCTCCTCCTCCTCCTCCTCCTCCTCCTCCTCCTCTTATCTTCTTCACTACGCCCTTCTACTCTCCTATTGCGTCTGTTGGCAATAATCTCTTGCTGCAGTGATTCATAATTCTCACATTGAGCAGCAGACCACGTTGACATATCCACGCTCATAATTGCGTGTGTGCGCATCCACTCCACGTGGTCAGCTATCTTCTTAGCGCTACGAGCAAGCTTCGCGATGCTTCTCGCCCTTTTTTCGCTGAGGGCGCATTGAACACGAGCCGATTCAATTTGCACCTTCTCGAGCTCATCGTCATCCTCTTCAGTGCGGCGCCTTTTCTGGGCCTTGGCTTGCTTGCGACCAATTGGCCTCTGGTCCAAATCGCCATCTTTGTTGGGGACGTTCTGTTCATCGTCGCAGAACGCCTTCCACTTCTGCTGGTCCTTCAAGGCCTCCCAGCAATGCTTTAACTTGAAGGCCTTTTGATTTTTGGGAGCTTTACGCTCATACCCCTTCAAGGCTCGGTTCCACCAATAGATATGCTAGATTTTTCCCTATCTCAGAAATACGGTAACGCTTATTATTTAAGCAGTTACCTTATCTTCTGATGTCTCACCACTTTTTTTTGTCCGTTCGATTTCACTCCAGGCTCCCAAGAATCTCGAGACAACCATTGAGATAATATTGGATTTTACCCACAGTCCACCCAATGGGATTGCCACCTTTAACAAACTCATTGAAGATGCGCGTCCAGTATCTTTCTTCACTGTGATCGTTGCCCTACATCGCGATCGGTACTGACTTTCAACCAAGCACTGACCAGCTGGAGGTCTTCTTCTTTGTCCTAGTTTTTGGTATGTGGTTGCTTTACCGAATCACTAGCGACAGAAGCGTTGTTGCTTGGAGCAGGGGAGGGAGAGGCAACAGGAAGTGGGGTGTCAGTACACAATTTTCAATAATTGGAAGTAAATTTAAAAGATTCAATAATAGTAAAACAGTTACAAAAATAACAAAGGCAGACCATTATTATCTACAATTTAAAGTTGCTTGCTTACTAAAAAATATAAATCAATTTGTAGAATTATTCAATATACCTATCTTACCATATCATAAACTATAGGCTAGTGATGATTTTGAATTTCCTATTGAAATAAAATTAATTGATATAGTAGTTAGTAATGAGATAGAAAATAAAAAAAAATTAAATGAAATGATAGAATTACAAGATAATATTCTTAATTTAGATATTGAAAATGATTGCCGATGATTATTCAGCAGATGAAGAAGAAACTAATAAAACTGATATAAATGTGATTTAAAAAAAATGATCAAGGAAAAAAACGGAAAATAGGAGCAAAAACTACTAAAACATATAATACATATAAAATAGAATCAACTCAAGGACATGAAATAAAGAATAATATTATGAAATTTAATGTAAAATGGAAAGACTATCCTGAAAGTAATAATAGTTGGCTTACAATTAATAAATTCAATTAAAAAATTTTACTTTCTAAATATTTACATGAAAATAATCTTGGTTCATTATAAATGACTATATATTATAGCTATAATTATATATAAGTAGTTACTGTGCCATTTAATTATAAAAATGTAATTTCTATAAAAATCAGGAGAAAATATAACAATAAGACCTTAACGATAAAAAGTTTTTTTTTTCTTTCTAGCAACAAAGAAAATTACTATTGAAGGAGTAAAATTAAAGATTCTATAAACAATTTACAATTGTAAATTAATTATAGATACCTTTAATTAAAAAAAACAATTTCTTTTCTTCATCTTAAAATTTGCTACTAGGTAATAAACTAAATAATATTATATTATCACTCTATTATTAATTATAATTAATATACAAAGTTATAATATTCTTTCTACTATATTGCTATTAGTATACCATCAATAGAGTATTTGCTATTGTTGTATCCAATATGATCAATAACACATATTCTTTAATCGGTCATTAACGATTGCTGTTATTCCCCTCATAACCTCACTTGTGCAGACATTTCTTTATTCATACACATCTTAGTGAAACACTGATCAGCTATGCTCAGGAAGAAGTTGTCATTATTGGGATCACGTAATTCACATTAGCTACTATCTGAGGCATTTACCCGGATGTACCTTTTACTCACGCATCATACATTACTTAATCCTATATGGTTGATTTATAACATCAATTCATTCGTTCAATGCACACGCTGTAGTAGTTGCTAAGGATAAGCCATTTCTTATAAATAGTGAGAACTTTTTGTTATCATAATAAACCAGTTTCAATTCCTTTTAGGTCTCGTTGACTTATTCTGTCTCTTTTGGTTTATTGGATATTACAGCTATCACTATCTAGAGTTTTTTTCTTATTTTTTGGTCTTACAAAGATTTATACTTCCACTTTTTTTGGTCTACACAAGGACTTACAGATTGTAAGGAAAATCTGAAATTGGTGTGGGGAGAAGTTTGGTCTACTGAAGGAGTGAAGATAGTAGAGGGGACATGTGTAACGGATGTTTAAACTCCTATATGTAAAAATTTGGTCACTCGAGCAGCTCTGAATAACAAATGTCTGTCACTGGACAATTGAAATTGATGTTATTGACTAATCAAAATTAATTTTGTACTTTCTCGATTATATTTTAGTTACTTAGAAATAAGCAATTCGTGTGATCTCTTATTGTTTTCTCTTTTTTTCTTTCCTTTTTTTTCAGTTGTAATTCTCTTGCCCTGAAAATGTTAACTTTAGGTCAAGCTTCCTGCCTTGTCCTTGGATACAAACCCAATGATCCAGAAGAGAGAAAAAAGGCAAAAGAACATCTAGAAAAAAGTGGCTTAATTGCAGTACACATACATAATCACGATCCTTTTCAACTGATGGCTATTGGTATCAATGTACACAAGCGAGATCCCTTCAAATTCATAAGTTATCCCGATTCTCCAACAATGCCACCTACAGATTTACCTGATAACATTGATGATCACGATGGCAATGACAACAACGGCAATAACGACGATAGCAACAACAGTGACAGCGACAATAGCAACAGCGGCAACGATAGCAACAACAATGGCAGCGACGATAGCAACAGCAGCATCTATAAAAATAATAATAGCAACAACAGTAACAAATACAGGTCTTAAAAACGGAAGCTTGATGACACGGTTATACCATTCTGCAAGGATCGTCTGCTGAATCTTATGAAAGAAATTGCCACTGATGAAAATCCTTTGAACGACAATTGTTATTCCAAACAATTCCTAACTGCAGAAGATCAATACCAATCAATGTGCTGTGTGTTCCCGCGTCTTTAAAAATCATTGTAGCGTAAATCAACTTCAATATTGAATTTGGACAGGCAAAGATCTGGGGAGAATCAGCACGCTCACGAAAAAATCAGCGAAAACCTGGACGAAACTTATGGGTGTTTGATGAACAGCTGAGGGGTAAAATCACTTCACTAAATTTTGGGTTTCCATATTTTAACAATCTATTCTGTAGCGTTCGCGAAGGATACTTCTGACTCAGTCAAGGCATACTGGAAATATTTACAACATGATACCAAATACATAACAATTGGATACGCACATAAATCGCCAACTGACGAAACAAAAGAATCACGAATACGTTTATTACAGTTAGTGGTGAACAAACTATACTTCTGCAGAAAGTGCAAAGAAGTATTCATGAGCCCAATTTGCAAAGCAGACCAACCAATATTAGAAAGAGACTCGCCAAAGCAGGATGATTTACTGCTGCATTTAAAAGGATCCCATAGCGATATCTTAGGTACATCAAGGTTCAGTATAATAGTTATAATAACTGAAGATTTCCTATAGATTTAGTTGCACGCATTCATTTCAGCCAAAAACCTTTCTGCCTTGTCATCATTGACTACGCCGGGCTTTCAACGTTACTAAATGATATTAACATTTTTTTAGAGTAAGTCGAAAAGAATACTGATTGCAGCAAGTTTTTTCATGCTAATTAATTTGAATACTAGACAATGCAGCAATATCAAGGAAGTTGTTGTAGACCATGGCTCTTCGTTTGAGATCTTATCACGTTTTGATCTTTTGAAAAATTTGGATCTGGAAAAATTTAAATGTCGACATGCCAACGTTAAACGATCAAAGTAATTTTTTTCGTGCTAATGGTTTGTCTAATAAAAAATGAAAAAGAAGTTGTTTATTGCAAGTTTATTTTCCCTTTTTTTTAGAAAAAATAAAGTGCTTACGCCGCAGTAATCCAATTTGATATTGTAATGACAGATTGATCTTTGGGAAATCTGAAAAGAATACAATTAGGCTGCTCTCATTGAAAATATGGCATATGTTATTTTGAATGAGAGCAACCATTTTTCGATGCAATGGCTACTTTTCATCCATGGTGTGTATGTATAAAAAAAACACAACTGTCCACGATGCTATGAACATGTACTGCCAGATTTCTCCCATCATTTGCGCGCAGTTGAAGTGTCCTACATCTTTTCTCAAGTGTCCTACATCTCTCTCAAGTGTCCTACATCTTCTTTCTCAAATATCCTACATCTTTTCTGAGGTGTCCTACACTTGGTACTCTTAAAAATACTTGCCAATGTTGTATGACCTATATAAGAAAATATATAATAAAGTTAAAATTGTTTGTTGCTGATCTGATTGTAGCTTACCAATTTCTTAATCGCTGTGTTATTGGCTTCTGGTGTGGCTGTCGATGCCATTACATAGGCTCCTTGTTTCGACATTTATCCCAGCACTTGTAAGAATGCGAAACAAAGCCTCTGAAGTGACTTTTCTCCATACTTTTGTAGGCTTCTGTAATTCTTTTTGATAAAGTGTCTTCCTGCAAAAACCTATGGCGCTTAACCTTACTCTTTGCCACTGCCCAGAATTGTTCTATTGGGTTAAGCTCAGGAGAGTAAGTAGGAAGATACACACATTTGTATCCTCGATACTCAATATACTTCTTTATGTTTTCATGCGTGTGAATGGGTGCATTATCCCATGACTATATAATGGCCTTTCATATGCAAATGCTTGTCCATTTCATCGAGAGTCGTTTTTAAGAAACTGATGTAGTAGTGGCCTATGACAGTTCCTGGGCTTATATATCCATCAGCTTTTCTCTTCTTAACAGGTCTTGGTTTTTTCACGTCAACTGCAATCAAACCTGAAGCGGAGATAGCGCCCAATATAGACGTTGTATTTGCTCTAGTAGTGGGTCTGGTAACAATGGCACGAGAAGAACCTTTTTTGGACCAAGCGCGTGAGCGTTTCATATTAATATCAAACGCAGACTCGTGGCTGCGACATTGCTTGTTGGAAGCACTGTACCTTATCTTCTGATGTCTCACCACTTTTTTTTGTCTGTTCGATTTCACTCCATGCTCCCGAGAATCTCGAGACAACCATCGTTATGATGTTGAATCTGTATTGGATTTTGCCCACAGTCCACCCATTGGGATTGCCACCTTTAACAAACTCATTGAAGATGCGCGTCCAGTACCTTTCTTCACTGTAATCGTTGCCCTACATCAGGATCGGTACAGACTTTCAACTAAGCACTAACCAAGTGGAGGTCGTCTTCTTTGTCCTAGTTTTTGGTACAAGGGTTAACTATTAATATAGTGATTAAAAAAATTTAATAAATTTTTTATAATCTATAATTTCTTTTTATATATCAAAAAACAAAAACAAATTATTTTTTTTTTCTTTAAGTCCTTGAAAATATAAATCTTTGATTTATATTTAGCGACTAAAAGGAGCTATAAACCGGGGGTTTATCCCCCTTTAAGTCTTTTTATTAAATAAAAAAAGAATTTATTCTTTTTAGTGAAATGAAGTTTCACTCTTTTTAATAAATTAAAAAGTAAGAAGCAAGGCTTCGCCTCAAAAATTGTAAATTTTTGATTTAAAAAAAGACTTGAAGGGTCTAAAGACCCGAAAAGTATTAGCTTCGCTAAAATAAAATAAATTTTATTTTTTAGACTTAAAGAAAAAAAAATAAAATAATTATTTTTGTTTTTGCTATTATTATTATTAGAATAATAAAAATCTAATCCTAGGATTATATTTTTTGATTTTTTAAAAAGTAATATGGAAATATAAAAATATAAATTCTAGAATTTAATTTTTAATATTTCTCAAATGAGATAAGAAAACATAATAATTTTTTACAATCTAGTGAATGAAAAAATTTTATAGTTTTCAAAAATATTTATTAATAATGTTTATTCTTCTACGTGGTTGCTTTACCGAATCACTAGCGACAGAAGCGTTGTTGCTTAGAGCAGGGGAGGGAGAGGCAACAGGAAGTGGGGTGTCAGTACACAATTTTCAATAATTGGAAGTAAATTTAAAAGATTCAATAATAGTAAAATAGTTACAAAAATAACAAAGGCAGACCATTATTATCTACAATTTAAAGTTGCTTGCTTACTAAAAAATATAAATCAATTTGTAGAATTATTCAATATACCTATCTTACCACATCATAAACTATAGGCTAGTGATGATTTTGAATTTCCTATTGAAATAAAATTAATTGATATAGTAGTTAGTAATGAGATAGAAAATAAAAAAAAATTAAATGAAATGATAGAATTACAAGATAATATTCTTAATTTAGATATTGAAAATGATTGCCGATGATTATTCAGCAGATGAAGAAGAAACTAATAAAACTGATATAAATGTAATTTAAAAAAAATGATCAAGGAAAAAAACGGAAAATAGGAGCAAAAACTACTAAAACATATAATACATATAAAATAGAATCAACTCAAGGACATGAAATAAAGAATAATATTATGAAATTTAATGTAAAATGGAAAGACTATCCTGAAAGTAATAATAGTTGGCTTACAATTAATAAATTCAATTAAAAAATTTTACTTTCTAAATATTTACATGAAAATAATCTTGGTTCATTATAAATGACTATATATTATCTTCTATTAAATAGAGCATGGTCCTTACGATTTCAATCCCAGCTAAAATCCAGATTTGGAAATTTCACTTTGTAACAGCCATGCTTTTTTAACGTTACACATTCCTGAGAGACTTGGGTAAACTTCAACTTTGTGCCGTCTTCCTAGACTATTACCACATTACATTTCTCAATATGAGTTCCGAAGAGGTGTGCTACTTGATTTCATCTGCCATCAATGACATTTGAGGTCTTTCTGTAAAAATCGTTGAGCATTTTCCACCATTAGCCGGGATTCTGACAGACTGTTCTAGATGAGCTACAAATTTACTAACTATTTTTTTCTGCATATTTCTCGACAAAGCAGTCGACCGATCATGCCTATCACTGTAGCTCGGATCGCAATGAGCCATGTCCAGTGCATTCTCGCAGTGTTTCAGTAGAATAGGCAACGCATATTTTAACCATGTGTATTTAAATATTACTGCTGCAGCTGTTTGCTTACAAAGCTACAGATAGTTCGTTTTTGTAAGAACTTTTGCGCCTACGTTTTGTATCTGTGGCTCGAGCACCCATCGTAGGCAGTAGGCGTTATCATAGAGAATGCCCACTTAACCCTATCAACGTGGTACTGTGTACTTACTAAATTTTTGAAAAGATTACAAACAAACCTCCTCCAATACTCGCTATAGCTACTACCTTGCCACGATCACCTGTGCCTATGATCAACAGTTCGCCTCCACCAACTTCTCCTGCTGTCGCTGCCCCACCTTTTAGAGCTTCGGGTTTAGAGTGGGGCAGCGCCCTAACGGGAGGGTCAGCGGGAGGGAACGTCCTGCAAATATAATTATCAATGTCATATTAGCAAAAGCATCTAGATCGTAACAAATAATAGAATTTCGGGCCTTTGCTTTGGTAAGTAAGTAGGGCGAGCAAAGCGAGCTTTGTTTAGGGTGTACGGTCACATCTTTAGTAGGTAGAGCAAACAAAGCGTGCTTATTTTAGGGTGTAACAATCACATTTTTAGTAAGTATGATAGAGCGAACACAACGGCCTAGGTTTAGGGTGCAACAATCACACCTTTTATGATGTCCTAGAATTTCTACCTCAACAATTGTCCAATACCCGTTTCAAGAGCAAGAGAATTCCACCTCTAAGATTCTGACCTGTAAATTTTACGAAGAAACTGAACACGATCTGTTCAGTTGCGAGGATTGCCTGGGTATTGGACATGAATCGTCTGAGAGTTCGGAGTGCATTAACTCAAGTAACTGACACAGTAATCAGCTACATAATCTTAATCTGAAAGAGGTATTGCCTTCAGGCATTTTTAGTGCAGTGACGACAATGAAAATTGTAAAAAACACCATTCTCACTCCTGTCAAGCAGAACAAATTTTCAGCATTGTTTGAAGGCAAAAGGGGGGTTGGTAGGGGGCATTGCCCCCCACCCAGGGTCTGGGGCAGAGCCCAGTAAACTGGTCCCTGGAGGACAGATGCTGACACGCAGCGAAGCGGAGGGGCTCACATCGTCCGGAAGCGAAGTGGAGGGGCTCACATCGTCCGGAAGCGAAGCGGAGGGACCAGTTTATAGCTATAATTATATATAAGTAGTTACTGTGCCATTTAATTATAAAAATGTAATTTCTATAAAAATCAGGAGAAAATATAACAATAAGACCTTAACGATAAAAAGTTTTTTTTTTCTTTCTAGCAACAAAGAAAATTACTATTGAAGGAGTAAAATTAAAGATTCTATAAACAATTTACAATTGTAAATTAATTATAGATACCTTTAATTAAAAAAAACAATTTCTTTTCTTCATCTTAAAATTTGCTACTAAGTAATAAACTAAATAATATTATATTATCACTCTATTATTAATTATAATTAATATACAAAGTTATAATATTCTTTCTACTATATTGCTATTAGTATACCATCAATAGAGTATTTGCTATTGTTGTATCCAATATGATCAATAACACATATTCTTTAATCGGTCATTAACGATTGCTGTTATTCCCCTCATAACCTCACTTGTGCAGACATTTCTTTATTCATACACATCTTAGTGAAACACTGATCAGCTATGCTCAGGAAGAAGTTGTCATTATTGGGATCACGTAATTCATATTAGCTACTATCTGAGGCATTTACCCGGATGTACCTTTTACTCACGCATCATACATTACTTAATCCTATATGATTGATTTATAACATCAATTCATTCGTTCAATGCACACGCTGAAGTAGTTGCTAAGGATAAGCCATTTTTTATAAATAGTGAGAACTTTTTGTTATCATAATAAACCAGTTTCAATTCCTTTTAGGTCTCGTTGACTTATTCTGTCTCTTTTGGTTTATTGGATATTACAGCTATCACTATCTAGAGTTTTTTTCTTATTTTTTGGTCTTACAAAGATTTATACTTCCACTTTTTTTTGGTCTACACAAGGACTTACAGATTGTAAGGAAAATCTGAAATTGGTGTGGGGAGAAGTTTGGTCTACTGAAGGAGTGAAGATAGTAGAGGGGACATGTGTAACGGATGTTTAAACTCCTATATGTAAAAATTTGGTCACTCGAGCAGCTCTGAATAACAAATGTCTGTCACTAGACAATTGAAATTGATGTTATTGACTAATCAAAATTAATTTTGTACTTTCTCGATTATATTTTAGTTACTTAGAAATAAGCAATTCGTGTGATCTCTTATTGTTTTCTATTTTTTTCTTTCCTTTTTTTTCAGTTGTAATTCTCTTGCCCTGAAAATGTTAACTTTAGGTCAAGCTTCCTGCCTTGTCCTTGGATACAAACCCAATGATCCAGAAGAGAGAAAAAAGGCAAAAGAACATCTAGAAAAAAGTGGCTTAATTGCAGTACACATACATAATCACGATCCTTTTCAACCGATGGCTATTGGTATCAATGTACACAAGCGAGATCCCTTCAAATTCATAAGTTATCCCGATTCTCCAACAATGCCACCTACAGATTTACCTGATAACATTGATGATCACGATGGCAATGACAACAACGGCAATAACGACGATAGCAACAACAGTGACAGCGACAATAGCAACAGCGGCAACGATAGCAACAACAATGGCAGCGACGATAGCAACAGCAGCATCTATAAAAATAATAATAGCAACAACAGTAACAAAGACAGGTCTCAAAAACGGAAGCTTGATGACACGGTTATACCATTCTGCAAGGATCGTCAGCTAAGGGGTAAAATCACTTCACTAAATTTTGGGTTCCACATTTTAACAATTTATTCTGTAGCGTTCGCGACGGATACTTCCGACTCGGTCAAGGCATACTGGAAATATTTACAACATGATACCAAATACATAACAATTGGATACGCACGTAAATCGCCAACTGACGAAACAAAAGAATCACGAATACATTCATTACAGTTAATGGTGAACAAACTATACTTCCGCGGAAAGTGCGAAGAAGTATTCGTGAGCCCAATTTGCAAAGCAGACCAACCAATATTAGAAAGAGACTCGCCAAAGCAGGATGATTTACTGCTGCATTTAAAAGGATCCCATAGCGATATCTTAGGTACATCAAGGTTCAGTATAATAGTTATAATAACTGAAGATTTCCTATAGATTTAGTTGCACGCATTCATTTCAGCCAAAAACCTTTCTGCCTTGTCATCATTGACTACGCCGGGCTTTCAACGTTACTAAATGATATTAACATTTTTTTAGAGTAAGTCGAAAAGAATACTGATTGCAGCAAGTTTTTTCATGCTAATTAATTTGAATACTAGACAATGCAGCAATATCAAGGAAGTTGTTGTAGACCATGGCTCTTCGTTTGAGATCTTATCACGTTTTGATCTTTTGAAAAATTTGGATCTGGAAAAATTTAAATGTCGACATGCCAACGTTAAACGATCAAAGTAATTTTTTTCGTGCTAATGGTTTGTCTAATAAAAAATGAAAAAGAAGTTGTTTATTGCAAGTTTATTTTCCCTTTTTTTTAGAAAAAATAAAGTGCTTACGCCGCAGTAATCCAATTTGATATTGTAATGACAGATTGATCTTTGGGAAATCTGAAAAGAATACAATTAGGCTGCTCTCATTGAAAATATGGCATATGTTATTTTGAATGAGAGCAACCATTTTTCGATGCAATGGCTACTTTTCATCCATGGTGTGTATGTATAAAAAAAACACAACTGTCCACGATGCTATGAACATGTACTGCCAGATTTCTCCCATCATTTGCGCGCAGTTGAAGTGTCCTACATCTTTTCTCAAGTGTCCTACATCTCTCTCAAGTGTCCTACATCTTCTTTCTCAAATATCCTACATCTTTTCTGAGGTGTCCTACACTTGGTGCTCTTAAAAATACTTGCCAATGTTGTATGACCTATATAAGAAAATATATAATAAAGTTAAAATTGTTTGTTGCTGATCTGATTGTAGCTTACCAATTTCTTAATCGCTGTGTTATTGGCTTCTGGTGTGGCTGTCGATGCCATTACATAGGCTCCTTGTTTCGACATTTATCCCAGCACTTGTAAGAATGCGAAACAAAGCCTCTGAAGTGACTTTTCTCCATACTTTTGTAGGCTTCTGTAATTCTTTTTGATAAAGTGTCTTCCTGCAAAAACCTATGGCGCTTAACCTTACTCTTTGCCACTGCCCAGAATTGTTCTATTGGGTTAAGCTCAGGAGAGTAAGTAGGAAGATACACACATTTGTATCCTCGATACTCAATATACTTCTTTATGTTTTCATGCGTGTGAATGGGTGCATTATCCCATGACTATATAATGGCCTTTCATATGCAAATGCTTGTCCATTTCATCGAGAGTCGTTTTTAAGAAACTGATGTAGTAGTGGCCTGTGACAGTTCCTGGGCTTATATATCCATCAGCTTTTCTCTTCTTAACAGGTCTTGGTTTTTTCACGTCAACTGCAATCAAACCTGAAGCGGAGATAGCGCCCAATATAGACGTTGTATTTGCTCTAGTAGTGGGTCTGGTAACAATGGCACGAGAACCTTTTTTGGACCAAGCGCGTGAGCGTTTCATATTAATATCAAACGCAGACTCGTGGCTGCGACATTGCTTGTTGGAAGCACTGTACCTTATCTTCTGATGTCTCACCACTTTTTTTGTCCGTTCGATTTCACTCCATGCTCCCGAGAATCTCGAGACAACCATCGTAACGATGGTTGAATCTGTATTGGATTTTGCCCACAGTCCACCCATTGGGATTGCCACCTTTAACAAACTCATTGAAGATGCGCGTCCAGTACCTTTCTTCACTGTGATCGTTGCCCTACATCGGGATCGGTACAGACTTTCAACTAAGCACTAACCAAGTGGAGGTCGTCTTCTTTGTCCTAGTTTTCGGTACGTGGTCGCTTTACCGAATCACCAGCGACAGAGGCGTTGTTGATCGGAGCAGGGGAGGGAGAGGCAACAGGAAGTGGGGTGTCACTGGCCAAGGCCAAAGGGTTGATGATGGTGTTGGTGTTGGTGTTGTCAGTGGTCATTATTTAAGGAAAAAAATAGGGAAGGAGAAAGTTTAATTTACAAGCTTTCCTGTTAGCTTTACCATCTTCATTGTAAAGTTTACAAGTCCTCAATTCAACAACTGGATTTACAAGAAACGTTGTGAGAACAGACTAACTTGGTTGCTAGGTTACAGTGTGGTAAAATTAAAGTCAACAGACCATTTACAAGCACCGCTGCGAGTGCTCAACAATAAAGTTCTAGTTCTGCTGTCCCCGCATAAATGCACCAAAAATGGCAATTGTCGGTGGCTTTGTACTTGCTGTTTCCGCTCCTTTTTTTTGCCTACTTCTCACCTCACTAACTCCAAACCACCTACCATGGAGTCCAAAGACGGACACGACGATAATGCAATGTCAAGCTCATCGAGTCGGACGGAGTTTGAGGCTTATAAGCCTAAACCCGAGCCTGATCTGTGGACTCTGTTCAAAAGCCAAGTGACGACCAAAGAAGGCTGGTGGGGCGACTTTGAATGGTTTAACATGTGCATGCCTACAATGTTTGTCAAGAAAGAAAAGAGACATACCCCTTTTTGGGGTTTAAACAGCCGATTGCCGTTGGGTTTGGCAGCTGTTATGGGATTTCAACATGCCCTTGCCATGGTTTCAGGTACTTACCATATATAAGAAAAAGAATTCGGATATGGGAAAGTAAGTTTTAAAGCGATAGTTTTAACCTTCTTGTATATCTGTTTATGCAAAACTTATATATAGGTGTTGTCACGCCGATCTTGATTATGACCGGTGAAGGCGCCACGTCGCTCAACCTGGAAGCGAGTGATCAGCAGTATTTGTTGTCTGCTGCATTGATTACCTCAGGCATTTTGTCGATTGTTCAGATTACTCGGTTCAGACTCTTCAAATCACGTATGTCGATGCACTAGGAGTTCTATGTTGATAGAGCTGCTTCAACTTGATACAGATGAGTGGATATTTGGATCTGGAAAGTTCTTACAAAGCCATGATCTTGTATAGAATATTACTTGGGCACTGGTTTGCTCACTGTTGTTGGTCCCAACTTTGCAGCTATTGCAGCTGTCAGGTAAGAAGAACACTGGACGGAAACGTTGACTTTAGTGTTTTCGAGTATGTGATCTGATCATCGCTGTCACTTGATTTACCGCAGTGCTGTGGTTTCCAACATGTACACCACTGGATATTGCGAAACGGCCACACTCGACGATGGGACAACTGTGTATCTCCCATGCAGACATGCTTGGGGTGCTATCCTCGGTACCTGTAAGTGTTGTCTTTTCTGTCAGGAATAGAAAGTGCAGTTTGGATGGTCAAGTCGATAAGGAAAGGACTCATACACGTTACATGTTTTCTCCAGCCATGGTATGCTCTTTGTTCGAAATCTTCATCAGCTTCTTGCCCCCGCGTGTCATCAAGAAACTTTTCCCTCCCATGGTCAGCGGTGTCACCATCTTTTTAATCGGCTGCTCTGTGATCAGCACTGCTCTCAAGGATTGGGCTGGCGGATCCGGTGCTTGCGTCAACATGCCAGAGTCTGGTCTCTATTCCATGTGTCCTGATATCAATGCACCTCATCCTTTGCCCTGGGGCAGTGCCGAATTCATTGGCCTGGGTTTCTCGGTGTTCGCTACAATTGTTTTGGTCGAGAACTTTGGTTCGCCCTTCATGAAGAGTGCTCAGATTGTCATTGGTCTTATCGTCGGCATGATCATCGCCGGTGCATGCGGTTATGTTGACGGTTCATCCATAGCCTCTGCTCCTGTCGGTACCTTCGTTTGGACAACAACGTTCCCTATTTCTATCTATGGTCCGGCGGTTATTCCTTTTCTTATCGTATATCTCGACAATATCCTCGAAAGCATTGGTGACATTACTGCATCGTCAGATGTTTCCGGTGTTGAGGTTGATGGTCCTATGTTCTCAAGTCGTATTCAAGGTGGTTTGCTCGCTGATGGTGTCAACTCGCTGATCGCTGCTTGCATGACCATTTCTCCTGTGGTAAATTTTCAACGGCCGATGGTTTACACAAATTTACTTTTACGAGAGTGGTTCTAAAAATTGACATTCCTATCACTAGGTTACCTTTGCCCAAAACAACGGTATCATCGCTTTAGTAAGTTTTCAGTCAGCCAAATCTACGCCCCCAACATATATAAATTTACGTAATGCTTACTAATTGAATTCGGATTCATCATTAGACACGTTGTGCTAATCGTATTGCTGGCTATTTTTGCTGTTTCTACATCATCTTGTTTGGTATTCTGGGCAAGGTATCGGCTGTCTTTTTGGCAATCCCTAAAACGGTAAGCAAACAAAGAAAGAAGAGTTGGAAGGGAGAGATCATACACTTATTTGTATGTAAGCGCTACGACTAACGTCAAACCTGTTTCTTTATCGTACGACGCAATATAAGATTTTGGGCGGCATGAATGCGTTCCTATTTGCCAGTGTGACCGTCTCGGGTATCCGTATTCTCGCTTACTTGCCATGGACGCGTCGTGATCGATTCATCGCCACTACTTCATTGGCCTTGGGTCTTGGTGTGACGCTTTGCCCTGGTTGGTTCTCACATGTCTTTACCTATCAAGGTGACAATGAAAGCTTGCTCGGCTTCCTCAGTGCTGTTGAGACGATTGTCAATACCGGTTACTGTATCGGTTCGTTGATGGCCATTTTCTTGAACTTGGTTGTGCCTCAAGAATGGGGTCCCGAGACCATGCAAGAAACTGAGGAACAAAAGAAGAAGGAGTTGGAGGAGATACGCGAGGGCTTTGTGCGCAGCAATGTCTCGGATGAGCAGGTTATCAAGCCCGATCCCGTCAACATCATTCCTTAGAAACTTTAACTATCTTTAGCATTTTTCTATTAATCTCTCACCTTTCCCGTTTCTCTTTAATTATTTTTGTAAATAGCTTATACTTTAGAAAATCATCTTTTTAAAATTTTCCTCATATCTAATTGCCTAATAGAAGTGCGGCTTTTTTCGCCTGTAAACAAAACCTGTTTTGTCGCGTAGACACCTGTTTTCATGACTGCATATGTCGATACCCTTTTACCGCATCTTAAGAAGTATCTCTAAAACTAGCATACCGCTATAACCTCGAAAAATCTGTAAATGTGACAACGGTCAAGTGATTTGAGGTCGTACTGGGATGCCCTAACATTGTGATAAAGCGATGAGCGACTAAATTGAGCCAATACCTGAGTTCAGAATCTCATGCAGAGGCACCTGGCAAGTTTGGTGTATGCAGTCATTGACATATGCTGGATCAGTTGAAGAACCGTGTTGATGCATTTTGTTACTTTTCTATGTACTGACCAGTGACAGAAGATCGTATTTTCACTGTGCGTTTAGACGGAAAAAGTTACATTTACGTTAAACAGGTCATACCGGCTACCATAAAGCTTAAATTGATCTGCCCTTCGAGTTACACGCATTCAAAGAGCCAAGTGTTCTGCGATAAAGTCATCTGCTTCCTATTCTTTAAAGATATTGGTCTCCATTGTCAAAACTACCTTTCCATTTTTACGGACACTCAATGAATGTTAATCAGAACCCGTCGACATCAAAGAAAATAGAGGCCACCAATTTGATAATTTATAAAAAAAAAAAGTAAGCAAAGGATAAATACATGTGATGAAGATAGGTCAACGAAGCATTTCGTAAAGTAGAATAATCAGTATACTTTATACACCATTAGACGGCTCATGATCAAGGTCGGTACAAACGCTTCAAAAATGATAGCACCCTAAAGCATTCAACAAGGTCACAATGGGCCGCTTAATCAACGATTACAAGTATCTGGAGATATGAACAAGGATCGATGGCGACAGCATCGCATAGATATGATGCAGCAATCGGTGTTTATACATCTTCAGCTGCTGATTTCGTTCCCTTTCGGTTCGATATCAGAACACCCATCCTCAATATTATTATGTTGAAAGAATTGCTCCAACAAGCTTCAAGAAAACGGACGACACATCATCAAAAACATAAACGGAGGCTTTGAAGCAAGCGATTGAATATCGATCCGGGATAGTTTACTGTCAACAACATAAACGCATGCTGTTTTTGGCTCTCGTGTATTGGAGGTAAAATGTATTGGGCGCAATAATCAAGCTAAAAAACCAATACCTTAATTAGCGAGATCAAAATTAAAGTTCACCTTTACCGTAAGTAAAGCATCATCGAAAACATGATCATGCGTATAAGCTTTCGCTTCATCAAGCCCCTACGGGGACTCGACGTTGTTCACGGTTGGCCAGCTCGCATACTTCTTTCATCATACAGTGCGAATCAATGACAAAGAAATCGCCGCCTGTAGCTTTGCCTTTGTCCGTTGGTTCAAGTCGAACACTTGCAACAATGATTTTACGTCGGCAGGCTTGCAAATCGAGCGATTCGACCCAAAAGCGAGAACTATACATGTACTGTCTTTGTACAAAGACCGCTTGCCCCTAGCTACTGCGAAAATAACAGGTATTCATATCTTTGTCTATACACTCACCAATAGAAAATATGTTTTGAGAGAAAGCCGTTTTTTCCGTAAGTGCTTCTTATAAAAGACTTCATGACATATAGCCCATGTCTCTACAAATGTCTTTTTCTTATACGATATTCTACTAGTGTTTTATATGATGGACTCTTGGTTTGTTTAAGGATCAGTAGTTCCACCAACAAGGCGTTTAGCATTAAAACAAGCAAAGCGAGGTACAGGATTTTGGATTTTATTTTTGACACATTCTGTTTACCAAAGAGAACAACAGAGGGTGATAGTCATCAGCTTTGCGGGCAACATGACACAGCAGCGAGGACGACAGTAACAACGACGAGGAGGAGGAACAAGACACAATGATTGTCATTGTCGTCGCACAATATCTGGTTACTTTAATAACTGTATACACTTCTTTTACTGAGGTTGCTAAGTATCATTGGGGTAATGCGCAGCAACATGTTTATTGTACTTCCTCACGACTCAGCAACAACCTCCACCATTACACTCTTACTCATGACCACTATCATATTCACAGCACATCCGCAGCAATACCTGTGTATATTATTAGTTATGGAAATCAGTATAAATATGGACCATCTTTTATGGAAAAAAATATTATCTATCTACTCGTCTATCTTCGTAACTTTACCTTCGTGGTCTTACTTCTTCGTGGTTATTCTTTGTGGGTCGTCTTTATTCTTCGTGTGTCGCAGCATATTTCTCGGCCAGAAACATGAACCATGAGATTCACGAACGAATAGCGTGTATCGTACGTGTTCCTCTTTTATCCTATGTGCTTACAAGAAGTTACCACACCAATCGCGATAATACTTCTTCATAACATACAAAGCACCAATCCCTTTAACTCCTTCCACGATTATTCATCAACCTTGCATCCGATTTGTAATCATATTAGTAAATCGATATTGTATAAATGTTATTGTATATTAGTTGATCAAAAGGTATAAATACCTTGGATCAACAATCATAGTAATAAAGGGTATCTATCAACTACCATATTCTCTTCTTTGTGGTTACTTGTCAGTATTACTTCTTCGGGGTCGTATTCCTCTTCGTGGTCATCTCTGTGTGGTCTACTCCTGTGATTTCTGTCTATAAAAAATACGGCAGTGACACTGTTAGGTGTGGACAGGAACAGGACAAGACAAGAAGGAAGCCCAAAGGTAGGAGACCAGATGACGAGGAAAGAAACAAGGAACAAGATATACGAAGGAAATAAGATAACAGACTGATGTTTTATTATTCAAAGACTATGGTGTATATATATCTTTTACTAAGGAATTTAATGATGTGAATAAGTGGAAAGATTGGTATTAAGGTTGATAATTAGGATGATGATGATGATGGATGATATTGTTACTTGAGGAATTATGTGATCATCGAGGTTGACGATGATCACTTAGTAATAAGGTCGACGAATGTTCGTAACAGACACTGTATGTTGTTGTAGCTATAGTTTTCAAGTTTTCATGTAACACATACTTCCTGTTTGGATTCCATTCCCCTTTTGATACACTTCTTACCTGCTGCAGTCTGCCGCTGCTTTCTCTTCTGTCATGCAGCCAACTATTACATCATTGCTTGCTGCACAGCTGTGCTTCGCAGTAACTCTTGTCATCACTAATTATATATTCATAATATCATATTATTATTATTTATCATTACCACTGTAGCTTAGATAAAATGTACAAATATCCCCTCTCGCCACACATAATTAACATTATCTCTCAAGTCGTCCTTTATTATTCCTTCGTTTGGCCACTGACTGATGCACCAAAAGTAGCACAACACAACAAAAAAAAAAAAAAAAAAAAATTCACGACCCCTGAAAAAAATAGAATTTGAATTGTCTCAAATAATGGAGACACCGAGGATCGAACTCGGGATCTTCTGCATGCAAAGCAGACGCCATACCACTAGGCCATATCCCCCAACTTGCTGTTATTGATTTTATAACAGACATACTCTACACTACACTTCCAGCTTTTCGTCGTAAATAGTAGTAGTAGTAAAGAATTGTTCTAGCCATAGTTTTGTTGTAGTAAAAATAACCAGCCTTTAATTATTCTGTTTTGGCGGCGCAACACTTTTGCCAGGCAGCAAACAACTACAACAGAATTCCACTATACTAAAATACATTGATAATATATAAATATACAAGCTTATCCACCTACGACTATCTGTCGTCTCTACTCTCTACGAGCCGATACCATCACCTACAACACACCATATTGTGGCAACGTCTCCCTTCTTAAGAGGTGCCATTTGTCAAGAAAGAAGTCTTAGGAATTAATCCTCAACTATTAATAAAAAAAATAATTAATTATTTACAGAAAAATAATAGATCTAAATTATAATATAAAAAATAAAAGATATAATAATGATTTTAATATTTTTAGATATTTTTTTTAAATATTTTCTGAATTTAGGTTTCTTATAACTGTGGTTGATTTCTAAGATTAAGATTAATCCTTTAAAAGTCTGATATTATATGATAATTAGTAGCAGTGCAACAACAGTAGTGAGTAAATCCCTCCTTAATATGAGGACGAAGGACGAAATGTTACTTATTAATGATATTTAGAGATATAGGATGTGGACTATGGGTGGTTCACACTTACATGAGTGGATAATTAAACCTAGCAAGTTTACTTGTTATGGTTTAATATCCCTTATCACATAGTATTGGAACCTATATACTGCTGATTTTGAAACTACTTGTATTGGCCTGCATGCTAAATTACTCTTTGCTTGCCTTCCTACACTGGGTGTCGATCCAATTGTTTAGCTCCCGATGCAATACTATCATCAAAGTCGTCTCATACATTGGCATCTTGGCTGGATGCCGAATGGTTGTCTGGAGGCAATCTGCCACAATTGCTCAGATCACCATCACCTATCTTAGGACCATGTCATCATCTATCTGTAAGCATATGTGTATCTACAAGTTCCTTTTGTAATCCTGGATCCTATCTCCTTCATACTTAACTCGTTACTAAGAACTTGCCCTCACAGCAGCATCACTAAACATTATTGGCGCTCTTATTGGTGCCGACTAACCAGCTTACTCTGAGACAGCGATTGTTTATGCCACAAAGATGACTTATTCACCAAAGACACTGGCATTGCCACCACTGCATGCGACGACTTTTTGCGGTGGCTTGATCAAACCAATGGGAGTTAATCCTTAACTGTAAATCCTTAAAAGGTTTTATTAATTAAATTTATATCCTTGTTTAAACATGTTTAGGAAAAATAAAAAATTATATTATAATTTTTTTATTTTTGAAATGTTTAAGATGTTTCTTTTTTATTTTTTTTAATTCCTTGAAAGGTTTAGGTTTTGTATAAACCTTTTTAAACCTTTTAAAAAATCCTTTTATAATAAATCTAATACAGGCTAGGAGGTACGACGACACCCAGTTCAATAAAAAATCAATGAAGTTAGATTTTTCTTAGAACACTTAACAGTATTAAGAATAATAAATAATTAGTGGTTTACCACATAATTTATTATTATGAAATAATACTTAATGCTGAATCACACCTATCTCTTTCCTATTCGCCCTCCCCTACACCTAACTACTTATACTAGTTCTTTACAAACAAAAAAAAAGAAAGAAAAGAAACATATTAAAAAAAAAGATTCCCTATCCCTTGCCACTTTGTAGCTGCAAGCTCCCGCCCCACCTTTCATCTCTCTTAACCTTGTGCACTCTTGTAACCCTAGATACTCCCCTTTTGTTTTCTCTCAAACTCTGTATCATTTTACTCTACATTTCCCCTTTCTGACTCTGGGGTTTTTGTTCACTAGTCACAGCGACCGGGCTTTAGTGAGTATGCGATTGGCGAAGCGCTTATATGGCCATTTAATAAAAATTTATAAAGTTTGAACCATACAAACGAACACACAAGCAACGAGTAGAATTCAGGATCCAACAGCATTGCAATTGTAGCACATTATATGGTTGTATCATATGCCAAACGAGAAGACACTTTATTAGAAAAAGATTATAAGTAGCCACATTATCACAAGCAATAAAAAGTATCTTTTAACAACCCTCTATCCTCTCTGATTACCCTTTGTTCTTAACCTTTCTCATTGGCTACGGATCCACCTACTAAAAAGCGACTCGACAGTAGTACAACATCCGGTTATTTTAATAACCATAGATACTTCTTTTACTGTGGTTGCTAAGTCATCCTTGACGTAATGCGCAGCTACTTACTCTTGTACTTCCTTGATGCGCAACATCAATCATCAACATCATCACCTTTGTCATTACCACGATTATATATGCAGCATCATTTGTATATTTTTAGACTTAGAAAACAGTATAAATATAGGTCATCTTTTTGAATAAAACATCATCTTTCAGTTCTTCTATTTCTTTGTGGTTACCTTTGTGGTCGTCTGATCCTATCTACTGGAAAAAACGGTGTGTATTAAACTAATATTCAACCATTTTTACACGTTTAATATCAGCATGTATTTAACTGATATTCAACTAATATTCAACTCTTTACGTATTCAACTGATATTTGACTAGTATTCACCTAGTGTAATTGTTGTTCAACCCGTTTAACAGCAATTCCGCTTACCCACCATCATGAATAAGTTCGCCAATTGAACTTCAACCATACTGCATATGAGGATGGTCGTGCTGTTTCTCAATATTCTGTGTTAGAGCAACTCAGTTTCGCCACCGTGCCTAAAGCAACGTTTTATTTATCCCTCCCTATAAAAAAAACTGAAGTCCACAATGTCAAATTCTAAAGATTGCTGTTGCCATTGCACAATCAGCTGTGAGAGCAAAAAAGAAGAGGTGCTTCAAGAGACAATAGAGAGGCTACGATTTGATAGGCGCCGTCTGTTATAACGCTATAACATCATTAACGTTTAGGCAGCATATACATTGTTCAAATGTTGTTCTTTCTATTATTATTTTTCTTCTCACAAGGCGACAAGAGGAAGAAGGCAGTAATACTTTTATTGACGGGTATTACTAGAGACATTCCAAAAAAGTGATTCGACACTCCATTTTTCCTCGAATAAACCAAATAGTTGCACAAAAATAAACAGTTGCTCTATAAATATATCGCTTGATGGACCTTCTGATGTTGGAGTGCAGGATGTAGACCATAGAGAGTAGAGTGCAAAATGGAGTGCTAAGAGCGAAATAAAGCTTGAGTTGATATTTTATCGATTTTATCATGGACATGTATATTAAATGTTAATATTAATATAAAAGGAATAGGAGAAAATCGATAATGATATGTGAAAGCATCACACAGATGCATAAGAAAAAACTATTTATAAAAATTGTTTCTTTCTAAACATTTTCCTCAATGTTGACCTTTTTGATGTCCAAATATCTCCAAACGTTTTCGCGCAAAACATACATGTGACCCATCTTTTCACAAGCTGTTACAACCGATCGTTCGATAAAAGGCCATTGTAGTTTCTTTGCAGTTTTCATTTCTAATGTCGCCCAATGACATCCTGAAACGAACTGCATGATAAGAGGTAACGGTCGAGCATTCGTTCCTGGTCCTTCAAATGGTACAAACAACAATGACGCCGTACAGTACGTTCCATTTTCGTTTTGTCATCTCTGTCTGGATACACAGCAATAGGTCGTCTGTATGTATCAGCAGCAAGTTGGGCACAACTAGGAGTGTAGTAGAACCAATGCTTGCTGGGGCATCTTGGATATTTGCCTTCAGTGTTGCGGGTGTAGTCAAGGCCAAAAGCGATCGTCTCCTCGAGGCGAGCAAGGTCATACATGCTGATGAAATACTTCGAATATATGTCCTTGTTTTTGTGCAGGCACTCTAACATTTCCTTTTTGACCGTCATGAATTGTTCTTGGTCTCCTTTAACGCAATGCACGATGGTGCGGAAGCCACACCAGCCGTCAGAAGCAATATTAACTGTCCCATGAATGCAATCCCTCGGAATATCTGGGTAAGCTAAAAAGGAAAAAGACTCTGGTTTAGGTTCGGATATGTACAATCATATATACATTTATTAGTATAAAATGGGAATAGTACATATGACGAAGAATTGTTCTGAATACAAAAAGACAGACCTTTTACGAGCACGTTCCAAATACAAAGTTTCTTGATCCCTTTTCGATGTTGAAAGGACATAGTCGTCGTGTTGTACTTCGCTGGTTTGAAGGGCCTTTTTAGGCTTATCGTCACCAGCAGCATTAAGCAGCTCTTCTTTCTTTTCGGTCTCAAAAGACGATGGGATCCTTTTGTTCTTCGTATTCTTGGGCCTTCCTTTCGTAGCAACTGGCTCGGAAACGTGACTTCAGTGAGATCAACAGTCTCAACGTCTTCCTCAAGGATCTCCTCAAAACGGGATAGCAGTTTGACTTTCTCTTGTTCAATTTCCAAAGAAATAATTTTGTTCTTTACATTTGAAACGAGCTTCTCCTCATGGTGATCAACTAATACCGCTGGGTCTTTAATTTCAAAGAGAGCTATATAATACATTTAGGAAGCACATTCATATGAAAAGGTATTGACAACATGCTATTGTTACTAGATGAAGCTGTATAATAGTACATATCTGAATCATACTGTAGAAGCCAACGTTTGAAAATCTCATTCAAGTCAACAGCAGGACTGTTAAGGTTGATCATATGCTGGCATGGTAAACCGAAATTGATTCTACTCGTGCAAATATGATCCAATGTGTCGCAATTGATTTGGTTGCCTACTTTTTTCCACGCATGGTCAAGCTCCTTTCGAATTCGGTTTAAAGCAAAGAAACTGACATGGCCGAAAAGGTTTCTTACAGCTGCACTCTGACGCTTTGTGAAAAGTGGAGTGTTGCGAAGCTCGTTTATGAAGTCCATCTTTTCTTTTTTAAACTTTTAAGCATCAAAGTTAGCTTATTTGCATATCGCTACATAAAAATTGAATAGCAAACACTGGAGATGAGTGAGGATATAGAATTCTTACTGTCTTCTTTATGACTTCGTTAATAGCTTTAAACGTGCGATAGAGGCTGCCCGTCGTTTGCATAGTATCTTTGATGATCCAATGAGTCCCTTCTGTTCGTGATGTGGTTCGCACATTAAGGTTGAACTGCTTTCCAGCCTGCGGTGCAGCCCATTTATCCTTGTAGGTGAGCACACTAGATGTAAAATAACGCGAGGGTACAGTGAGTTAATTAAATCACCCTTATCACATACTTAATCTACATAATTTCAAGCAAACCGTTACAAAGTAAGAGATACATACCTTTCGAGATACTTGATGATTTTTGTCTTACGGGCAACTGCGATTTTGTTTCTTTTTTTCATTTCCCTGTCTTCCCTTTTTTTGTTTCGCAGTACCTCTTTTTTTGTCGGCTTCTTTTCTTGTTCTTCATCTTTTTCTTCTTTTTTGTTCAGCTTCTTTTCTTTTGCTTCAGCCTTTTTTGATGTCTTGTTTTTCTGCCTGTTCGATCATTGCTGCTGCTGCATCCTCCGCTAGTTGGCGATATTCCTTGATTGCTTCTTCGAATTTCTCTTCGTCTTTGTACTTGTAAATCAAGCAATTCACAACGCTCTTGACTTGCTTGTACTTCTCGCTTTTCTTCGGAAAGCAGCCACCGAACTGAGAGATCAAATGCTGCGCCATGTGCCAACCGCATAAAAGATGAATCGATTTCGGAAAGATAGTATCGATGGCAGTGATGAGCGCCTTCTCGTTGTCAGTAATGAAGATACCGACATCACCTTCGGGCCAAATAGTATCACGCATGGTCCTCATAACCCATAGATAGGAATCGGTTTTCTCATTGACGACGACTGCTGATGCAATTAATATATTGTGTAGCGACGTCGTACCAAGGTTACTGATCCCAACAACGTTGATTAGCGGCACCTTGCTATCGTTCGTTCCATACGTCGCATCGAGACTGATGACTTCTTTAAATCGCCTTGCTTTTTCCAAGCCAACTTGATGCGTAACGAACAATGCTTCCAATGTTTCCGTTTTACTATCTATCCAATATCTTACGATATATTGATTGCTGACCAAGAAGCTGAATAGTTTGCTGAATGCACCAGATTTGTCGTCCTTGAATATTTTTTGGCGGAAATTGTAAATATCCTTGATCGTCACGATTGTGCCTTCGTCGTTGTTTTGTAACTTTTGACAAATCTTGGCTGGTTTGATAGAGTTTTCTGTCATTGACAAGATGCGACTGGCAATATCAGCTGTTGGCTTTCGATATTGATGGTAAGTTGCTGCTGTGTTACTGTCACATGAATGATTGTGGCTGTCGGCGCTGCTGACACGTTTCATCACCCCTTTTTTGATTTCTGCATGTATGAACCAAAGAGCTCCCAAGCACAACCGGTGCTCTGTGTGGATACCAGTCTTTCACGTTCATCATCGTCGATGTCATGACAGTTCCTGTAGACACCCCCATGGACACAGTGGATGTAGATATTTCGACTGTTGCTGCGCTTGGTGGATGTTGCAAACTGATTCTTTGGGGCCATCTCTTGAACCTTTGGTCGGAGCTGATTTTTCGAATCATATTTGGTGCCAATAAGATCGACCATGGTATCTGTTCTTGTAGCGTTCATTTTGATAGAAAAGGGAGAGAGGAAGAAAAGGGGATTTATCCTTTTTCTTTTATAAACTTGTCAACTTATATAATAGACACTTCGTAGCTTTATCAGTTATGGTAGTAGTAAACAATTTCATAAGCTCAACGCCTACGACGCCATCATGGCAATTGCAACACTCCAAACACTCCAAACGCCTACAACGCCATCATCATGGCGATTGCAACACTCCAAATACTCCTCTTCCTTTAATAGTCCTTTGTTAGTATGGTCATAGAGCAACTATTTATTTTTGTGTAAGCTTAACTATTTGGTTTATTTGAGGAAAAATGGAGTGTCGAGTCACTTTTTTGGAGTGTCCCTAGTAATACCCTAATTTTAAACATGTTAAATTCTTCATAGTAAAAATGAATTGTCGTGGCAGAAGGGAGTTTTGCGTCAGCTCGACGTCGAAACAACGTTAAATGTAAAAATATAAAAGAGACAATGGTATTTTCACCGTAAGCCATATTTTAATGAAATTATCTAAATTATATCCTTGGTCTGACCAAACTGTATTCTGCGATAAGATTTCAATAAAGGGTTGTTTCGTATTTGAACTTCAGTGATTGTTACGTCGGCTCGGATATATTTGACGTTTTTAATGATATGCTTGCCATTGAGTTTGATATTCCTCAAAACATTTCGCCAAGCCAGGTAATACGGGTGATTTTGATGATGCTGCTCCAGGTATGGCGCTATCTCCGCTTCAGGTTTGATTGCAGTTGGCGTGAAAAAACCAAGACCTGTTAAGAAGAGAAAAGCTGATGGATATATAAGCTCAGGAACCGTCACAGGCCACTACATCAGTTTCTTAAACACGACTCTCGATGAAATGGACAAGCATTTGCATATGAAAGGCCATTATATAGTCATGGATAATACACCCATTCACACGCATGAAAACATAAAGAAGTATATTGAGTATCGAGGATACAAGTGTGTGTATCTTCCTACTTACTCTCCTGAGCCTAACCCAATAGAACAATTCTGGGCAGTGGCAAAGAGTAAGGTTAAGCGCCATAGGTTTTTGCAGGAAGACACTTTATCAAAAATAATTACAGAAGCCTGCAAAAGTATGGAGAAAAGTCACTTCAAAGGCTTTGTTTCGCATTCTTACAAGTGCTGGGATAAATGTCGAAACAAGGAGCCTATGTAATGGCATCGACAGCCACACCAGAAGCCAATAACACAGCGATTAAGAAATTGGTAAGCTACAATCAGATCAGCAACAAACAATTTTAACTTTATTATATATTTTCTTATGTAGGTCATACAACATTGGCAAGTATTTTTAAGAGCACCAAGTGTAGGACACCTCAGAAAAGATGTAGGACACTTCAGAAAGATGTAGGACACTTGAGAAAAGATGTAGGACGCTTCAACTGCGCGCAAATGATGGGAGAAATCTGGCAGTTTATGTTTATAGCATCGTGGACAGTTGTGTTTTTTTTTTACATACACGCCATGGATGATAAGTAGACATCGCTCTCATTCAAATAACAAATGTCAGTCGCTGGACAATTGAAATTGATGTTATTGACCAATCAAAATTAATTTTGTACTTTCTCGATTATTTTTTAGTTGCTTGGAAATAAGCAATTCGTGTGATCTCTTATTGTTTTCTCTTTTTTTCTTTCCTTTTTTTTCAGTTGTAATTCTCTTGCCCTGAAAATGTTAACTTTAGGTCAAGCTTCCTGCCTTGTCCTTGGATACAAACCCAATGATCCAGAAGAGAGAAAAAAGGCAAAAGAACATCTAGAAAAAAGTGGCTTAATTGCAGTACACATACGTAATCACGATCCTTTTCAACCGATGGCTATTGGTATCAATGTACACGAGCGAGATCCCTTCAAATTCATAAGTTATCCCGATTCTCCAACAATGCCACCTACAGATTTACCTGATAACATTGATGATCACGATGGCAATGACAACAACGGCAATAACGACGATAGCAACAACAGTAACAGCGACGATAGCAACAGCGGCAACGATAGCAACAACAATGGCAGCGACGATAGCAACAGCAGCATCTATAAAAATAATAATAGCAACAACAGTAACAAAGACAGGTCTCAAAAACGGAAGCTTGATGACACGGTTATACCATTCTGCAAGGATCGTCAGCTAAGGGGTAAAATCACTTCACTAAATTTTGGGTTCCACATTTTAACAATTTATTCTGTAGCGTTCGCGACGGATACTTCCGACTCGGTCAAGGCATACTGGAAATATTTACAACATGATACCAAATACATAACAATTGGATACGCACGTAAATCGCCAACTGACGAAACAAAAGAATCACGAATACATTCATTACAGTTAATGGTGAACAAACTATACTTCCGCGGAAAGTGCGAAGAAGTATTCGTGAGCCCAATTTGCAAAGCAGACCAACCAATATTAGAAAGAGACTCGCCAAAGCAGGATGATTTACTGCTGCATTTAAAAGGATCCCATGGCGATATCTCAGGTACATCAAGGTTCAGTATAATAGTTATAATAACTGAAGATTTCCTATAGATTTAGTTGCACGCGTCCATTTCAGCCAAAAACCTTTCCGCCTTGTCATCATTGACTATGCCGGGCTTTCAACGTCACCAAATGATATTAGGATTTTTTTGGAGTAAGTCGAAAAGAATACTGATTGCAGCAAGTTTTTTCATGCTAATTAATTTGAATACTAGACAATGCAGCAATATCAAGGAAGTTGTTGTAGACCATGGCTCTTCGTTTGAGATCTTATCACGTTTTGATCTTTTGAAAAATATGGATCTGGAAAAATTTAAATGTCGACATGCCAACGTTAAACGATCAAAGTAATTTTTTTTCGTGCTAATGGTTTGTCTAATAAAAACGAAAAAGAAGTTGTTTATTGCAAGTTTATTTTCCCTTTTTTTTTAAAAAAAATAAAGTGCTTACGCCGCAGTAATCCAATTTGATATTGTAATGACAGATTGATCTTTGGGAAATCTAAAAAGAATACAATTAGGCTACTCTCATTGAAAAGATGGCGTATGTTATTTTGAATGAGAGCGACCATTTTTCGATGCAATGGCTACTTTTCATCCATGGTGTGTATGTATAAAAATAACACAACTGTCCACGATGCTATAAACATGAACTGCCAGATTTCTCCCATCATTTGCGCGCAGTTGAAGCGTCCTACATCTTTTCTCAAGTGTCCTACATCTTTCTGAAGTGTCCTACATCTTTTCTCAAGTGTCCTACATCTTTTCTCAAGTGTCCTACATCTTTCTCAAGTGTCCTACATCTTTCTGAAGTGTCCTACATCTTTTCTCAAGTGTCCTACATCTTTTCTCAAGTGTCCTACACTTGGTGCTCTTAAAAATACTTGCCAATGTTGTATGCCCTACATAAAAAAATATATATATAATAAAGTTAAAATTGTTTGTTGCTGATCTGATTGTAGCTTACCCTTTTCTTAATCGCTGTGTTATTGGCTTCTGGTGTGGCTGTCGATGCCATTACATAGGCTCCTTGTTTCGACATTTATCCCAGCACTTGTAAGAATGCGAAACAAAGCCTTTGAAGTGACTTTTCTCCATACTTTTGCAGGCTTCTGTAATTATTTTTGATAAAGTGTCTTCCTGCAAAAACCTATGGCGCTTAACCTTACTCTTTGCCACTGCCCAGAATTGTTCTATTGGGTTAGGCTCAGGAGAGTAAGTAGGAAGATACACACACTTGTATCCTCGATACTCAATATACTTCTTTATGTTTTCATGCGTGTGAATGGGTGTATTATCCATGACTATATAATGGCCTTTCATATGCAAATGCTTGTCCATTTCATCGAGAGTCGTGTTTAAGAAACTGATGTAGTGGCCTGTGACGGTTCCTGAGCTTATATATCCATCAGCTTTTCTCTTCTTAACAGGTCTTGGTTTTTTCACGCCAACTGCAATCAAACCTGAAGCGGAGATAGCGCCATACCTGGAGCAGCATCATCAAAATCACCCGTATTACCTGGCTTGGCGAAATGTTTTGAGGAATATCAAACTCAATGGCAAGCATATCATTAAAAACGTCAAATATATCCGAGCCGACGTAACAATCACTGAAGTTCAAATACGAAACAACCCTTTATTGAAATCTTATCGCAGAATACAGTTTGGTCAGACCAAGGATATAATTTAGATAATTTCATTAAAATATGGCTTACGGTGAAAATACCATTGTCTCTTTTATATTTTTACATTTAACGTTGTTTCGACGTCGAGCTGACGCAAAACTCCCTTCTGCCACGACAATTCATTTTTACTATGAAGGAATTAACATGTTTAAAAAAACTAAAATTAATAATCTATTTCATTGCCATCTTCATTAAAAGTTTCTTGCCGAGACACTCTATACCATCTGACAGCTAGAATTCTTGCCTTTTTGATGCCGCACACTAGAAAATAAAGTTATCATGATAACGACAGGTATTGATTTTTCAGAGAGAAAGTCTTCCTCCGTATTTTAAAATTAATATTCACCAATTTTAACTCATTTGATATTCTGATGTATTCACCTTGATACCTTATGTCTAGTATCATAGACAGAGTTGTATGCTTTATTGTAGTGGAGATGATAATAGACAGAGTCAATAAAAGTCCTTCCTTTTCATAGAACCTCTGTGCTCTGTCGGCTGTTTTTTCCCTGACAACAACGTTGAATTTCCCACCTCCTCTTTGCACCATCAGAATACTATATAGTAAAAGTATTTACACAGCTTGAATCTCTGCAATGAGTAAGTATATTTCTATAACAATTTGCACTGCAGTTCTCAAGAAGTGCTGCCAATAGCATGAAATACAAATCGCAGTGGTGATCTAAATGGTATACCATCATCATGGGCCGGTGGCAATCTATGTGTCTTGACTCTGGATTCCTTCCTGAGAAGAGAGCACAGGGGACAAGGGTGGATGAGACACCGGTTGGTCATCAATTCGAATAAAAGCACAGTTGAAACACGGCTGACGAAGATACAAGAGAAAACTTTGACGCGATTGTGTCTATTTGCGAGTCTGCCTGTCCATCACACCATACTGTCTCTGAGAGGTCCAACAAACATCTGATACTTGAATACATGTATATCTCAGCAAATTGCCGAGAAATTGCTCACAGCTTTCCATGAACTCGATATATTCCTATTAACTCAAATCCATCGTCGCTGTTTTTTTGTTTGTAAGGGAAAAGCTAATAGAAGCATATATATGATATTATATAAAAACAATTTTTATTGTCGCTTAGAACGAGGTACTCCATTTTTCGTTTGATAAAAAGACCGTTGTCGTCAACGGTAATTTATTAGACAAATATTGCATATAGTTCTCAATGACAACAGGGCTGATATAATCAACGCCTGCTTGACCAAGTTCTACCTCCTCTTTTCGTCAACAATACCGAAAACATGCATGTTCAGCAAAGCCCTGACTCAACGACGGTCACTCAACTGCAGCAATTTGCTGATTATCTTTAACGTGTTGATAATGAAGGACGCAAGCCAGGTACCATAGTACCTGAATCTGATACCGCGACAATAAGATTGTCATCCAAATTATAGTACATGGCTCTTCTTATCTAACAATATTCCCTTGTAACAACTCTCTCCACATTACTCATCTCTAAAACCATATAATCAGATTATTTAAAGAAACGCAATCACAAATGGTAATCAGCTGACCCTATGTTTCTTATGTCGGTCACCAATGTGCTGTCGATATGTATTCTTAGGGTGGATATCGACCGGCAGTTCTTAGGTCCTTACTTATCGACTGAATTCGACTTTGGGTCGATAAAGTTGAGACCGAGATGGTCAAGGTCGGGTTCAGCACCTTTACTTAATCCGCCAAATATATATGATTGGTATATAAATCACGTATTATTTTGTGTCTTTTCATATAACAGCCGACCAATAAGACGAATCAGAGAAACCATATATTACGGTATGATATTAAGGTATATTAAGGTATATTCAAGTACATTTAGGTTTTTCAGGTTTAAAAAACCTTAATATACCTTAGTTTGCCCGTTTCAGTTTTTTTCAGGTTTTAGGTTTTTTCAGGTTTTTTCTTTCCTACAGCAGTGTATGATCTGGCCTCTAGTTTAAACGCTAAATGAGTTTTTCTGTATACGTGTGGTTTTCTCGATTCGTCAATTTCAAAATGCGTTATTATCAAAGGCAGAACGCATTCATAGAACCCGTGGACGCTCAGATCACATAGGATGGTTATGTATTTAGATGATCGATGTCAGGTTTGCAGAAGAAAAACATATACCTCTCTCCATGATCAAGAAACGTTGCAAGCCTGTGTACAGTATATCTACAAAAACGACAAAGGAAAGTGTTCAAAGTTACAGATTGCACAGGCCCTTACGTACTCATTCCCCGGTCTGACCAAATAAAGCGCACTTGTCTATAAGTAATGCCACATCAGAACGCTACTAGAGACGTAGGCCATGACGGCATCGCTTGATCTCTCGAAAAAACTACTGTACTAACATTATCTGCCTGATTGTTCCTGTTGTGCTGATGTCATACGCTTTAGTTATACCACATTACTCTGAAATGACGGTGATATTGCACACGATTGAAGTTATCGCGGGGGATATTGGACTAACTCCAAGGTCACTTTTCAGATGCTGGTACGCCGTCAGACCAGATACGCGGTTGTAGCCAAGCGTTGCTTCTAGATGATCAATGTAATGCTGAACAAGATCAAGATCCGCAGTCTAAATAATCGATATGCTGCAGAAGGACAATATGAAGCAATCATTATTGGCTCGATCAACAAACATGAATTATCGATAACGACGGTGGAGGTTCATGATCGTGATAACATAACGAAAATCATTACGAAATCCATCCAACGTCGATGCTTGTATACCTTCCTCCACATACCCCAAACAGCACAAGTACAATAATTTCAAAGATAAAAGATAATAAAGCTGCAAAAAGTAGAGCGTTTAACAAAAAGCTAGTCTATTGTGGAAGTATATATGGCTGATATCTATTTCTTTCCGATTTCATTTTCAGGATGTGAGTATGCTTGGGCAACGAACTTGCTATGGCGGCCGGTCGCAACTATATATAGAGTCAGACATTTCAATACAACCATTTTAAAAATCGTAGAAAACAGTATATTTGATGTCATTTACCTAAGCGACCATTGGATGACAAGTCTACGCTGGTAAATGCCAACGTTTTGCCGAGCTTGTCACAGCGACAATCCTACATTGTAATGTTTATTGTTAAGCGACCACCAATCACAAATGAACATGTGCCGAGAGGGAGAGAGAAAGAGAGGGAGAGAGAAGCTTACCACATTGACGACCTGGCCTTCCTTGACTCCAGAAATATAGCTGATGTTGATATCCGTGCTCACACCGGTGGCATACATTCCCTTGGAAGCCAAAGCCAAAGATCCACCGACATCGACCTGGTAAATGGAATTTTCAATTTTTATTAGGTATCGTCATAAGAAAATATTAAGTGCTGACTGACTTACCACCGTGGCGAGAAGCCCGCCGTGCACCGACTTTAACCGGTTCTAGTCAAGGTACTGGATGTGTTGGTAACATGGTTATCTATTTCAAGTTGCATGACAATTTCCATAATTTACCAAGTGTTGCTTTTCAACGGTAAACTCGGCACGCACTCGACCTTCTTCACTATCGAGAACTCTAAGCTGGTAAACATTAGTTAATGGTCGTTGGATACAGCCACGTGATTGGATGATCCGCGTGATTGGATGAACCGCTTACCCCTGGGAGAACTAGCATGTCATAACCACCCTCGGTTTGAAAGCTCTACAAACAAGTTTGGTGATTTGCAACAAGAAAAATAGAAAACAATTAACATCATGAAAACCAGCTGATTCGTCATTATGATAATATGCGACATGATTTCACCTTGAGGACTTTTTGAACCATGCCCGGCGATCGTAGAACAGCAGTAGGAATCATGTTTAGATAAAGTGACAGTTATGAGAAAACCAGGAAAAGGTCCCACTGAGGAAGCGACGACAACTCGGAAAAGTGTGGAGCGGTTAAAGTTTTTCCCCTCAGTTTCAGCTTTGTCGTTGTGAGAGGGGAAACACAACTAAAAACTTTATCTTATCTTTTAAAGTTGTTCAGTTCAATTTAAGTTCTTCTACGTATTTATACTGCTTAGGTATTGCTAAGTCGTAGGAGAAGTAGACCTTGGTATTTGGCGTATTTCGGTTAGGAAGTAATTTGTCATTGGCAGCAATTTTTAAAAGTGGATGTTCTTTTTAATTACTACCGTATGTAGCTAATCAAAACTGCAGTGACAGGCTGCCTTATTATTACACAAGATAGAGTGTATCGCGTCCAGTATCATAATGGCGAGTAAAAGTAAGGCGATGTCCGCAGCTGGCAGCTCATATAGCCGATACAGTAAAGGATGGTTAGCTGTAAATTTCCACATGCTGTCAACGAGATGATCGACAATGTCATAGTGTTGAGACTGATGGTGTCATCGTGATAGCTTATCATAAACCCGTTGATGAGCTGCACCGGTGTGATCATTGGATGATATGATGGCGATAGTCGACTTGGAACGCCTATTAGCTATGAAAGTTAGTGGCCACACAGCATCGTCTCCATCGGTATTCATGTATTCATCACCAATCTTTCCTCATCTGCCACAGATTTCTCCCAAATTTTGCTCTATTATACGACCGTGTAATCTCTCTTTCGTCGGTCATGCTTTTATTTAAATTGATTTCTAATGACCGGCTTCTCCTTGTTGTGAATCTGCTCGAAACCTTCGGGGGTACCGGGAATCTTCTTTTCCAAGCCCTGCGATGATGGTAACATTTCAGTTAAGATAATTTGACCAACAGAAAAAAAATCAGGTATCTAGCTCACGGTCACCTACCAGCTTTTCAAATACACAAGTGTTAAAGGTACGTTCAGGCTTGCGGCAGGAATACAGCTCTTGGTTGTGGTTTTCCAAACATTGCCAGTGGGCGTCGAACTCCTTGCCACAGTTCTCTCGCAGCTTGGTGATTCTATTACAAGTTAAATCGCGTCAAATCATTTCTTCTTTTTTTTCTCTCTCACTGGGCGAAGACCAAAGTCATTCGATCTTTGCAATTCTAAAGTTCTTACAAATCAATGGCGCACCGGGTCACCTTGCGACCCTCCTTGAGGCAGTGCTCAGGGTTGTTGTTTTCGGCCTTGCAGAGCATGAAATCCTCATTGTATTCCTTGCAGTATTGACCAATGAAAAATGACGCGCTCTTTAATGGTGCTGATGTTGCACCAACTTCGTCCACTTTGGGGACGCTTTCAGGGAGAGGGGTGGGGTCAACGAATTCGCTTTTGGTGAAGCCGGAGGATAGATGGGTCGCCATGGCACGCTATTCAACAACACGTTAAACAAAGCTTAAAGAGAAAACAAAACGACTGGCAGGGTTTGTTCGTGGAACCCTGTCACTTTTCAACCACCCCATATTTGACGCCTCTTGTCTTTCCACCCTTTTCAAAAGCTCGTAGCCTCTATGTATTGATACTTACCCTTTTATAACTGAGTTGGGTTTACACAAACGCCTTGCTATCCTGGAACTTTTTGTTGTGCTTGTGACTTGCCTAAATGCTAATCTCGCGGAGTTCTTTGCTTCGTGAACTTCGTGCCGGAACACTCTTGCACACATTTCTTGGCCATAGATGATGTATGTAGTGCCTTGTAACATGGTAAAACTGCTGCTCAGATATTATATCCTTTACATACGTACAATGGGAATAAAGCTGTATGCAATTGAAACTCTAAAAAAATTTAACGCGGTATTGCTGAAAGCACCAGATGTAGTTTTTCCTTTGTTCTATGTGCGACGCAACCACTATAATAACGTTAAAACATGCCAGATAAGCAATAACTGTTTATTTAAAGGAAAAATACGGGAGGATAATGTACCATTTGTGGTGATGGTGAATAGTTGCCTGGAGTCATCCATCCAACTGTCGATTTTTTTTGTCAAACGTACTCCGCGTTGCCTTGACTTTGAACGACGTTCTTTCTTTGCCTCTGGATATTATCTCGACCGACCATGGTGGTGCGTCAAAAAGAATTCCCGCTGCTCTGTTCAGGCATCCTAACTCTCTCCTATGCATTCAGAAATTAGGGCTTTACTTGAAGGTTAATCTCGAGAACGTTACTGATCTCAAGCCAGTTCATGAGTATGAGTGGCACTTTAAGGTTTGTGACAATTAAAAAAGGTGGAAAAAGTAGCAACCAAGTTCACCTGCGTTCCCTTCGATGTAGATTCAGTGTGGAAGTTGCCGTGAAACAGACGAAAACTGGATCTCATTCAACCCCCATGTAAGTGAAAAACACTAGAAAACTATTTTATATCATATTGTTTGTCGAGGTATCTGACGCGTGTCAATATATTAGGATACCGTGGATATGCCTGGATCCAGAGGATCTGCTAATTTGGTGATGCGTTGCAAATTTTGCAAGCGCGAGTCTAGTGCCCGTAAGTTAGCTACTGCTTATCAATAGTATCAAAGCTTATAAAGATATCAATCTATCCAATTAGAGTTCGAATGCGGCATTCAAGCATATAGCGCGGAAAAGAATAACGCATTTCAAAAGATTGCCTCGTTCGATTGTCGAGGATTAGAACTCGTCGACTTTTCACCAAGAGTATGCGTCTATCTGTGAAATCCATGTTACGTTTCCAATCTGAGCAACCATTTAACGAGCTATCTCTAGGATCCCTGGGTTGCTGAAGGTACTGAATCTGGCACCAAGTTTGAAGATATCGATTTGAGCGAAGGTGAATGGGCCGAGTATGATGAAAAGGTAAAGAGAACGATGTAGATGTATGCACGTAGATAAAGAGGGATGTTGTTTTAACCAGAATATGAGATATAAAAAACCAGTCAGGAGAACCTGTTGGCATTGCCGAAATCGAAGTCCAATTCAAGAAGGAAAAATAATAATACAGAAATCAGGGCCTTTTATTACACGTGTGTAAAATTACAAAAAGTTTATCATACAGGGTGAAATGAGGAAAACGGAAGTCAAAAGTTTATGCAATGTTCATTGGGGTCGGTGAAGATGAACCATGGAGTTTCGATTGGATGTGTATGAAGGATTGGTTGAAGACGTCAGAGATAAGTGCATATCCGGGAAGTGGATACCTTTCATAAATGTCAAGTTCATGCACTTGTTGGGTGGTCATGAGTGATTTAAGCGGGGACAAGGAGGGAGGGATACGATGGCCGGATGGAAAGAACGAATTGGTATGATTGAAGCAATCGTGAAACAGACGTTGGAGATCTGCAGAAACAGTGGTTTCTGCGCATGATGCGACTGCACTTAAGGCATACATGACATTCACCAGCATTTCAAAGGTCACTGGCGGCGGCATTATGAATGAAAGCGTGAGCATGATGATCACAGAAGACGGGGTAAAAGAACAAATGAAGAACAAACACTTACACGGTGGCACATCATCATCCAAGGTAAACCTTCGTTTGATAACCAAAAGTACGATTTCACAAGACCGCAAACAAGTTGTCATTGCTCGTTCGCGCATCATCATTAGGATGTCAGCATTTTCATGTGTTTTTGCAGGCTTCAACAGACATGAGTTGACAACTGTTGGTAGAACGTTTACGACCATGAACATGGTCAACTTCATCATGCTGTCACATTTTGCCACAAGTTCTTTGGCATCAGGTGGAAAGGGATCTTCAGACAGTCGCAAGTGTTTCGGAACAGAGCTCCACCATTCTTTGATCTGATCAGTCAGCCGCACAATAACTTCAATGCTAAGTTCGCCGCCTAAACCAGTGAGTATTCGCTTGATTTGTGCCTGGTTATAAAGAAAGAAGTGTTAGTTTATAAGGCCAGCATTGAACGAGATTAGATGCAAAACCTGGGGAAGAAATAAAGTCAAGTTTACCAACAGAGTAGCCATATACGGAGACGTAGAGAGTCGCAACATATGATTGTACATGCACAGAAACTGAGCCGTCAAATCGTCCTCATCATCTGCGACTACCACACGAGTGATCGTTGGCAAATTGTCATCGACCTTGTCTTCTATCATCATGTCTAGGATCCGCATAAACGACTCGGCAAATATGAAGTTCCGTTCATACACGACACTCATTTCCTGGGGCATTTTTTTGCTGGTATAAAGTGGATAGAGTTCCTGGCAGAGCAGATACGCTATCGTTGAAAGCCGACGGGCTTCGGTGAACTGCAGCAGCACAAACGTGGTGAAATGCTGGGTTAACGAAATCACAGTAATGGTCTCGAGTTTGCGTAGAGGATCGTCAAACATGTCCATAAGCATCTCTTTGCATTTCACGTAGAAGAACTCGGCTAATTGACGCTTTTCGACAGCTGTGTAACCGACAATTCGACGAGGACTACAGACGGTAAGCACGCACACTGCAAGGGTGATTGGACATGACATTGGATCTTTAAGACGGCGATAATGTGAGAAATAGGATGGTGCGTGAAGAAATGGATGAAAGTGGTGTTGTTGTTTCATATACAGGGTGACCAGTTGGTCGATGATAGCACGATGGTCGTAAAGAACGGGAAGGCGGTTGATGGATAAAGGCACCAACGGCCGAGTCAGACATTTTTGTGAGATTAACCGTAGAGCTCGGATCACCACATTTACGGATATGCTTTCAAACCGGACCGACTCTGCTTGGAAAAAGTTTGCGAATGGTGACAGGTACCGCAAGGACGCTTGCATGTATTTCATCAATTCGTCGACGCTTTTAATGCCCGTTTCTAGCCGGAGCTTGCCATCTACGATGCTTAAGTCCCACTCAGGCTGTTGCTGTAATAAAAAGCTGTCAACAAGTTCATCCTGTGCTGGTGGTGGTTGTGGTAGTGGTGGTGGCGTTGGTAACGTTGAATAACTTGAACATTTCTGTATGCTGCAAGTGTCGGGCAGTGGTGTGGCCATAGTATATGGTGTTGACTGTTGTATATAACGTTCGATCTCTCGCATTTCTTTTTCCATTATCGATATTTGGCTGAGCCAGAGCTGTATTTCAGTTGTGCCGTCTTCTGCTGGTAAATCGTCTTCATCGGTGCTAGGATCTTCAAATGGGGCACAGTCAAGTCCCAGCCTCGCGCATCGAGTACAAATGGTTGAATTTTCTTGCCACACACATCTCCTCCGTCGTTTTTTGCAGTCTAATGTTTTATCAATACAGTGGGTGCAAGCAGCATTGTTCTGAATGAGAAAGAAGAAAGACGATAGACCTTGGGGCTAAGATATAAAGTGTTACCTCGGCAAGGAGTGTTGCGTGGCATAGGAGGTAGAAACAAATGTGTGAAATTTTCTGATTTCTGCTGTGTGTTTAAAATTTAAAAAGAAAAGAGAACAATAGGGAATCCAGTAGAGCGTGCCAAGTAACTCAGGTACATGCAATTGCATCAAAAAAGCAGATCTCTCACACTCTCCCTCTCGGCCTATCCAATATGTTCGGTGATTGACTTTTTTTGCTTTTGTGAAGCGTCGGCTTACTATACCCCACGACTTTCAATCCAGTTATAGGCCGGTAGAACCTTTGCCGGGTTTCCTGGTGTGACAATCATCAGGTTTTCCACCCGGTAATGTAGAACAATCGGGCGTGCTTTTGACTCAAATATCTTGGTATTCGGAGGTAATAAACAAAACGAATTATCTACAACAGTACAGGTACGAGAAAACAGTAGGGAGGAATTGGGGGATCTTAGGCTTGGTTCTCCTGTGCAGTTTCTGTGTTTGAAGAAGAAGCAGCAGCAGCAGCAGGCTCAACAGAGGGTGAAGGAGAAGAGGTTGAACCGCCCGTGGAGATAACAGGAGGAGCGGCGGTAGTGGCAGCAGAAGTGGCAGGGGCGTCACCCGACTTTGTCGCGGCCATCTGCCAAGCCGGAATACCGGCACTCTTGCTGGTATTATTGCCATTTAAAGCTGCTGACAAACTTGGCGACAGACCGTTAACGACAGGGCTGTTGCTGGTGTTATTGGCGCCTGATGCCTGCTCAGGCATTGCTGGTCGTCGACTGACGATAAGCGATTTAAGGGATTTTAATTCGTTCTGCAAATCTTCTAACACGGCGTTTTGTGCTTCTTTGTTACGATCCATCATCTAGAATTTCGCCAAATTAGTATCAGGAAAACGCCACGGACGAAATTGCTTCCCTTCCCTTTTCGCCTCATTATATTGTACCTTTGGCACGAGCTCCTTGAGCGCCTCTACATCGTCCTTGACATGATTAAATTCTGTCTTGCGTGCCTCGTCGCCCTTCTTCAGGTCTTCCAACACCGCTTCCAAACTGTTCAACGAGTCGTTGACCTTATCCGATTGTGTGGAGACAGAGGTCAATGCCTCCTCGGTTTGATCCTTAATATCTTTCAGTGACTCTTCCACTGTTCAATAGCAATCGAGTTATGCAAATCAATAAGTCGTCCTCACTAAATATCCATGTTTAGTCACATACTACTTACCGGCTTGGAATTGTGCGTCCAGTGCTTCCTTATCCTTTTCCAGCTGATCTTGTGAGGGAACCTTGAACCATGGACCAAACACTCGCTATACCACAGTTGACTTAGCTCTTTAGATTCTAGAAAACAGCATGTCTAACTAGAAACCACTCCACTCTTCCTTCCCTCTGATTATTCTGAAACCTTCTTACCTTAGCCAACGTCCACAGGCCATATGTTGCACCTCCGGCTAAAACAGCGGCAATAAACACATCGCGCCAGTCATACGAAGGTCGAGCAGGTACAGGTGGGCCTGCCATGGGTTGTGCTGCTACAGCGCCTGCTGGAGCATACTGTCTTACTGCACCCGCTTGAGGGACAGTGCTGGCTACAGTAGTTGTTGTAGTAGTACTGGGTGCTTTACCGTTAGCACGAGACATGGCTTCCTCAATCTCCTCGGACGTCATGCCCTTGGATTCCAAAAAGGAGACTTTCTTTGTCAATTCCGCCGATTGGACTTTAGGATCGGTGAGGAACGATACGGCCGATTGTATAAGATCTTCTCTCATTGAAAGCAAAAGAGCTGGTGCAAAAAGTGCTGACACATGAAATTGGCGAATTAAGAAACCCACCCACAGCGGACTTTTAGGTTAATCCGTGGGGAAGCGTATGACAAATTGAATCACGCCCTCGGAAAGAGTGAGAGAGGGAATCCTCTCTGCCTTGGAGAAAAGACCTGAGCTACTGCTAGGAGGGAGCCTGCCATCATCGCTGTCACTCTATTTATTACTACACCACTTAAAGCAATATACTTTGAAGAGATGAACTTGGAAAGTAATTATCATGGAGGTCTGTCGTCCTTCTTGATCACAGAGTACTGTTGACACCAGTTTATTATACAGTAATTATACCTATCATTAGATATGTGCACGGCCGCATTTGCTAATTGCCAACTGATATAGCACATAATTTCTGGTTCATGGCTTCTTATGCTTTCTTAACGGTTTCGATAAATAGGTGACAGCGGAGGAAGCAACTACTGATAAATGCGACTCTCATTCAGTCAACGCTCTTCTACATACAGGTGATTTTAATCATCGTTTCGCAATGAACAGAGTACAAAAGCTTCAAGCCGACAGTTTTTCAAACATGTAGCTTCTTTTTTCAACCTTCAAACACTTTCCATTCACGGCCTTACCATTGTCCCAAAAATGTCCTACGATGACAATAGAGATATTCTCGACATTAAAGTCACCGATAGCAGAAGGAAAATGCATCGCTTTATAGTACCAGCAGATCTCGGCTTTTACAGCTTCAAAGAAGAGGTAAACGATTATTACTGCTCATATTGCTGCAGTGATTTATCTTTCTTTCCATTAACTGCGGTCTAGAAGATCGGAAAACTTTACGAGCTGTCCGTGTTGGAGTACACGCACGCCATGTATTTCAAAGACGAGGACGGTGACAAAATCCTTTTAGAATCTCAAGAAGACTGGCAGTTAGCGTTACTCTCAGCAAAAAAACATTCAGAGGAGGAATATTATGATGACTGCAGAACCAAATACTTCCTTCGTATTTTTTCTGGGAAGAAAAGTTTCGCTGATCAAAAAACCAATGACGAAAACTCATTATACAACTGGATAACTCATCTTTTGAACAACCAGACTGTTTTTTTATCATACATCTACACGTTTCTGACCTATTACATTTGAGCTATGTATGATATCTCTAGCCCAATTGTAATTGCCCTTTTCTTCCACCTTTTCCTTCAAAAAAATCGCGTCTATACTTTACGTAAAATAGGTTTCGTTTTTTTTTTCAAACATATCATAGAGCTATACCAATCAATCGTGCTCAAAATCCATTCATCACCTGTAAGCTGCTGGATGATAAGAATCATTGTTATCATAGTAAGTAGTTGATGGTAGACCCTGACTTGAGAGGTATCACATAGAAACTTAGTTCAAACATATATTAACATACTCCGTACAAATAGCATACGTGTACTTATAAAATGTAATCTTAACTAGAAAATGGAATCTACCAGGAAAACTCATCGATGTTCAAGGTACATGACAGCGATCCTGCGCAGTATTGGTAGAATTCGCATTGATCCGCGTGGGTAAAAGTACTACCCAGACAATGGTCGCGTTGCACAAGAGCTACATATCGAGTTTGATTTTAGCGCATTTACACCACAGTCCACACTTTTGTTGTACACGTACGCTTTATCTACCACCTTTTTCATATTTAATCAGAATGGGACGCCTCGAAGGAAAGAATGTGTTCATGTAAGCTCAACTACCATTATACACAGAAAAAGAAAGTCGATCGCAGAGAGAAAGACATTTCTAATTGTGAGAACGACGTGGGAAATTACAAAAAAAAGTACTGGAGCCTCTGCTGGCATTGGCGAAGCAACTGCACGCGAATTCGCAAAGGAAGGTTCCAACCTAGTACGTTACAGTTACCAACGTATATCTTGAGTGATGTAATATAAACGTGTTGCTAAAAGGAGCGTGGAAATCCTTAATTAGATCCTGACAGCTCGACGCCTGGAACGTCTTCAAGGATTGAAGCAAGAGCTTGAGAAGCAGTATCCATCTATCACTGTCACTGCTGTTGAATTGGATGTCCGTCGAAAGAGCCAGATCGATAGTGTTGTAGCAAGCGTTCCACCAGTAGATGTGCTTGTCAACAACGCTGGTATGGTACTCGGTGTAGATCATCTTGTAGATGTTGATGAAGACGAGTTTGATCAAATGATCCAGACCAATGTCAAGGGACTCGTATTCCTTACCAAGGCAGTGCTTCCGAGCATGAAGGAGCGACAGACGGGACATATCATCAATCTCGGATCCATTGCTGGCAAACAGGCCTATGCTGGCGGTAGCATTTACTGCGGTAAGATATGAGAGTGGGAAAAGGATCAATCCTCTGGCATTCTCTTTTCCGGGCTAATGTGTGATAAAACTCTTGTTCTTTTTAGCTACCAAGTATGCCGTTGAGGCCATCACTGCTTCTTTGCGTCACGAATTAGTGGATACGCCCATCCGCGTGTCGGGTATCTGCCCTGGCCTCGTCAATACCGAGTTCTCAACTGTGCGTTTCCGTGGCGATAAGGACAAGGCAGATAACGTATATACTGGAATGCAGCCTCTCGTCGCTCAGGATATTGCAGAACTTATTGTGTTTACTGCTGGTCGACCTCCTCACGTCAACATTGCCGATATGCTTGGTAATATTTCGCTCTTCATTAAGCATTGGATAATGCTCAAGTTCTCTAAGACATTTTTCTATTGTTTCATGTAGTATTTCCAACCGCACAAGCTGATGCAAAGACTGTGGCTCGTCACTAATACTCCACAAAACTTGTAAAATAAACAGACTTAGGCACTGAGTAATATAGCAGCAGCACTCTTCTAATGCCATATATGAATATGGAGAGACTAGCTGCTTCTTCAAGCTGTCAAGCTGTAGTCTCTAATCATGTCAAAATTACTCGTGAATTATAGCATAAATTAGAAAAATATAGTGAATCCTGAGTGGCATAAGAATATGAATATTGACAGTATTATTAGTTGAGCTTCTAAGATTCGAGAGATGCATTGGATTGAATATGAAAAGGGAAGAATAAAAGCTGAGAGGAGGAGAGGAGAGTGACATTTACGCCTTGTATAACAGATCCACAAAGCCAGCTGCGACATCTTCAACGATTGTCCGGTCTGGAATGCTTGCAGCTGTTCCATAAATACCAGCTGTCGTTCCCTTAGACTTTGATGGATCGGCAACCAGCTCTGCTACGACTTCCTTGAGATCTTGTGCAAACTTTTCGGCACTAGGCACCCATGGTAACGTGACAGAGATGTGAAGTGCAGCAGGGTTTTGGAGTGGGCTAAGGTTCCAACCACGCTCTGAAAGCATATCTCCAACATCGTAAATGTTTATTGGTTCGGCGGCGCCAAAGGCAATGACAGAGGCAATAGGGTTACCGACGACATGAAGCTGAGAAATCGATCGTACGCTACATGTATGTCTTTAGAGTCAGACACGAGTACTTCGTTCCTGTTTACATCAAGTGGACTTACGTATTTTCGATGAGTTGACGTGCTCCAACTATACTTCTGCACGACTCGAGATAGCCATCTTCGCCCACGTTGATCAAAGCTGCCCAGCAGCCGGCGATCAATGCGCCCGGTCTTTATAAAAAAAAAGGAAAATATATCCATAAATACAATTTTTCTTTCTTTTCACCAGATAAGTGAGAGAAAGAGAGAAGCCCTTACCTTGACCCAGCAATACTGGGAGAAGCATAAATACCACCTGTCCAGTCTGAGCACAAGAAGTACTGATACTTGCGAATCTTTTTGCTACGGTACATTACAATAGACGAGCCCTTTGGAGCAAAGCCATACTACACAGAGAAAGAGAGACCATGTATTAGCATCAAGACCTTCTGCTCGGTCCAAAGTGCCGCACGTTTATTGCTTACCTTGTGTGTGTCACACGAGATGGATGTGACACCATCAACTCTAAAATCAAATGGAACAGTGGGCAGACCAGCCTTTTCGAGGAACGGCATGATGAAACTTCCAAGACAGCAGTCGACGTGAAGACCAATCTTATGCTTTTTGGCAAGTTTGCCCAGCGACACAATATCGTCTGCGGTGCCGTGAGGGAAATTGATAGCCGAGCCAGCAATCTATATAGTTTATAGCATAGCGCATGTAGAATTAGCAAAGACAAACTACGAGCTCTTAAAGCCCACTACTTGCCATAATTGTGTTGCTTGTAATTGCTCTCGCCATCTTTTTGAGATTGACTTGACCAGTTACTGGGTCAGCCGGAATAAGGATCAATTTGATGTTAAAGTATCCGGAGGCCTTCATGAAGGCAGCATGGATCGTCTCGGGTACCACCCTATTCGTTGGGATGTTAGTTCATACCTTCACATGCTCATGCATTGATCCAGCTTTTTCCCATCCTTTGCTTACATTTCAGGGTAATGGATGCCCTTCAGATCCTTGCACATATCGCGGTACGCCTTGCATGCCATGATAATACTCTCAGTGCCGCCACTCGTCATGGTGCCACAGCCCTCTGCTGGCGCATTGTACATGCTCAGTACCATGGCAACAGATTCAGCTTCCATGCGACGTACGCCAGGGAAGACTTCGGGATGCAATGGGTTAGAGACGGCATACATCCGATAGGCGTCAGCCAAGAGGTTAGTCAGATCTTCACCGCCATGATACACTGTGCCGGAAACTTTGCCACCTTCCCAATCCAAGGCCCGCATTTCCTGGAAGCTGTAGAAAGGGAGAAATTATTCGACCGTTCTTTTCGCGTATATGCCTCAATCCTCAATTTCTACCTAGAACCGCTCTCTCTCACTTTTTTTTTACCTTTTCAGATTTTCCAGTACTTTATCTGCTGAGAGCCCATGCTTTGGGAGTGTCACGTTCTGTACCACATTATCACCCTCGCGAGACATGATCGAATGCTCCATATCTTTCAGCGTTTTACCCAACTCAGCGTCAATTTTGGCCTGCACGGCTGGTAAACGACGCATTTGTTTGAAAAATGCCTATATCCCAGCCATTGCATTTAGCTTCCTCGCAACCAACCTGTCCGGCACCTTTGAAAAAAGAACCCATGTTTTAAATTTCATACCCGCTTCACGTAAGCCTGTAAATCCTGGATGGCTCGAATAGGACCACCGACAAGGAACTTGCGGTAAAGAAACGACCAGTAATTCAGAAGCACGAGAATGAACACAATGTTCTTGACAATGGTGAGTCTTCGTCCGTCCAACGCGGCTTCAACCGCGCGGTATACTTGGCTCACGGTGGCCATTGGCTTGGAGAGTTCGTTGGCCATTAGTGCTTTTTATTGTTAAAAAATAACACAAACGAAAAAGTGAAAAGGGAAAAAACGTGTGTCGGGAGAAGAGGAAGAGAGAGAGAGAGAGAGAGAGAGAGAGAGAGAGAGAGAGAGAGAGAGAGCACGGGAGAGAGAGAGAGCACGGAGCAAAATTTAAACAGGTATTCTTGCATTACCCGTTTTTTTTTTTTTTCCCTTGTTCCCTTATTTGATCGAATGTCAGCTAACGCACGCGTGCAGCAAGGCATTGCACAAGAGCATCCCGTAATATGCAGATATAAGACTCGCATCCATGTTGTTACATCTACTGACTTCCTGCATACATGCATGTCCTCTCCATGCATATCCCTCTATGTCTATGATCGTCATCATGTAGGATTGGATACTCCCGCGTTTATGTCAGCAGAACGCATATAAAACGGGAATTTATAGTGCAAGTACGTAAATGAGAAAATAAAGACATCAAGGCATGGTGTAAATAGTAACAACAAAAAATATGTAGTTGCGACCGGTATTGTAACATGTAAAGATCACAAGACAATTCAACAACCCCAATTAGCATAGTCACTCAAAGCTTCTTTCGACATTTAGTCCCGATCGTTCAACGGTTTGGATTAGACAAGAACAGAGCTGCATTGGTTGCCATGGGTAAGTAAGAAAAGAGCCATTTATTGAACAAGGTTTGGAGTAACATGCCTCTCTTTTAGCTGCTTCAACTGTTGGTGGTTATATTGTTTCGCAGTATGCCTACGAGCACTGTCGCAAAGTGTATGGATCGTTTAACACTGCCGTAGAGGAGGCGCTGCATGAACAGCAGCATGATAAAAAGTGACTTTCTAAGACACGTACTAGCGTGACGACTTCCTCGATCATGTCTAACGGTAGTACCAATGATTCATAGTACATTTTTCATTTTTGAATCAATCATCAGTGATATAATAAAACCAGGCATTGTCAATATATTATTTGGCAAATAACATATTTCGCCCCTTTCTTCCTCCTTTATCTCCACACCCCTTTTGTTGCTCTCCCGTACATCGCATGGCGTATCTATCTAATACGGCCATTCTCCTATATTCCCGTCGGTGGGTGGGCCGCCGGTCGGTGTTGTGGTGGCGTGCCACGCGACACTCGGCACACGGGCCGAATGGGTGGCCCGCAGCCCGAAACGACGGTCCGGTCCAACCAATGGGGAGCTTATTGCGCTTTCAGGTGGACAAACGCACATCGATTTCTTGGACCAATGTTTATGTACCTTCTGCATAAAAGTATTGTACGCTTTGATAATGCACCTTTTTTATTTACTGATTATAGTGCATGATGTACAGTAGAGGGACGTAGCGTATCCTTAACCGGGCTAACAATGCCAATACATATTGAAAGATGAATGACACAACTGTGGACGCTCGAAAAACGGTCATTGTTGAGTTGCTGACAAGCTACATATCGCAGTGGTATTGACACTTTGTGTTTATTTGGTATATATTTTGAGTTTATGCAGAGACAAGTATAGTTACTAAGGTGAATAAATTCATTGTAGCTGCTTGTAAGCTATTAATTATACGGACGCCTATGACTAGTATCACTCTTGGGGATAGGAAAGCCCATTCGTAAAGCAACACGTATATGTTCGGGAGTACGATAGCCACTGCGTTCCAATTCTGGAGGCCATGGTGGTAATGATGCTTCCACTTCTTTCATCTCCTCCTCCTCCAAAGATTTTGGCTGCACGAACTTTGTCGATGATGATAATAGCAGAAGATGTGACCAGATGTAACCAGCGAAAGCTACTGAGCCAGTGGAAGAAGAGGAGGAAGCACAAAGTAATTGGAGGAAGCACATGTTCATGGCGGTATAGCCAAGGGCAAGAATTTCATCCGCTAGCATCGTCTTGTTCTCGGTTTGGAAAAACTTGTCTAGATAGAACTTGACAACGCGTAAAACAAAGTGCTTGCAGTTGCTGGTGGCTATATCGTACTTGTCATTGTAAAATGCATTGTAGAGCTTGAAACGTAATAAATTGAACGGAAAAACTACGTCGAATAACTTTTGCTTGTTATCAAAACCTGGCTCGCCTCGTTTGTACACAGCGCTATGGCGTACACCTGTGTTTGGATTGATTTCCATCACGTAGTGCTTAAGTCCATCTTGAGTGTAGAAAAGTTTCCAATGTTTCCAACACGGAAGATTGGCGCTGTGTCCAGGAAGATTGTCTAAAAACGGATCAATTGGCATGAATGCGATATAGAATGTCGTTACCGCATTACTTTTTGCGGTTGTAGAAGGATCAACTAGCATGACCTGATGCTTTGTAGAAAAAATATAAAGTACTGCGATAAAAAAAGAAAGAAGGGCGTGTGAGCAAGGAAAATGACGAGGATACATATTTTGTGAGAAAAACCACTTATATGTATAAGAAGGGTATATAATGAGCCACCTACTGAAACAGTATTTAAAGTATGGATGATATTATAACATCGTGCGTTGACGAAGCGCTTTTCGTTTGTAGTCATTGTCTTGAATCTCTATATAAATCTAGGCCTTCGTTTCATAAAATGTAAAAGTATTGTTTTTTTTTATCAATTGTACGTATTAGAACTGGCGTAAGTCTTCACAATGAGAACTATTGGTGCATCATCATTAAATTGATACTTCACTCAGATGCTCTCTCTACTAAACGGGCATTATTATCATATGGAAAGCATGATCCGTGACCAGTGAGAGTTCAGTATCGTGTCATGAACGATAATGAACGTCATACTCGTAAGCAATCAATGGTGACAGTGTGATACTAGACACATTAGACTCTAATTGCTTTTTTCTTCATCCGTACCTTACTGCAAGAGCTGAGCAAAAACTTCAGTATGTTTAACAGACTGACGCCCTGAAAAGAAGAGTTTAATTAGATGATACAACATACCACATCTTTTCTGGATAGTTTTCCAATAAAGTCAGGACCAGTTGCTCGAGTTGACCACGATGTCAGAACCACTCTTCCCAAATTGACAGCTATTATATTCCTTTAACTGTTCCAGTAGCACACAAAGCTGTAATAACTTTTTTTTGAAATGCTATCGTTGACAATTCTGCAGATAAAACGGTAGACGATTTCGTCCTGTAGTGATACTACAGATATAATTTACCTTATGGATCATGAACGTCTGGTCACATTTAGTTAGGGCCACTTAAGTAAAAGACAGCTAATAGTCATAGGCAACCTGGCGATTATGATCTGAAAATGTTTTTTCCACTTCGATGAAGGAGTGTACATAGACGGACGACAAGAAGCCTGGCTCGGTGGCCATATCCGTAGTGAGGAATTTTCGTCTACCGGTCACAACAAATATTGTAAAGAAAGGAAAAAATAGGTAGACGCAAGTGCAAAGTGTATATTTGATGATATGTTTGTTTACGCGAGAAAAGTATTGAAAACTATTACAAATATATGGGGAAAAATAAAGTTGTGGTTGAGTAACTAGTTCAATTTCTTTCTTTTTCGTGTATTATCATTATTTGCACTACATGATGGGTGAGATCTGTTTTGACTGCCAGGGCAATTTTGTGGATCAGTGCAGCCTTCATTTTGACAAGTCCGGGAATATTTTTGCTGTTTCTTTGGTGGTAGGCTTTTGAGGAAATCAGCACGGCTTATGCTTGATGGTGATGATGATGGAGCTCTAGGTTGCATTTGCCGTATATAATGCTGTTGGTGTTGCGGCTGGATTGCTTGTTGCTGAGGTGTAGGACTATAGTGCATATGCTGCTGCACTTGGAATGATGGATATAATTGCGGCGGAGGCAGTTGCGGTTGTAGTGTAAATGTAGTAGGCGGTGGCGGTAATGCTGACATGGGTGGACGTGCAAAGGAATACAAATCAGATTGGCTGTAAACTTGTTGTTGCTGTTGCATTGGCCGTGGAGCAAGCGGTTGGTAGACAGAAGATCTAGATTGCAGTCGTCTGGATGTACTACGTTGTATTGAGGATGGCAGTGTCGGTGCTGGCGGATTCGATCGAGGCTCCAAGACTTCAGCAGTACGATCAGAGTTATCACGTATTTGGGATCGTGGGCGAGCTGTACCTTCCAAGCTATTCCTTATCACCGCGTTCTGACTCCATTTGTTGAAATGTGTGCGCAGATACTGTGGGTACTTATAAAAAATATTGCGCCCGTCAGTATGTGTCGAGTTCCATGACTTGGCAAAAACGGTCCACCTCGTTGAGTTCGGTTGCTGACTGTTGTAGAATTGAGATATCTGTCGGTTGAACAAAGCTACCTCTTCTTTTGTATGTACAGGTAGTATTGGATACCGGGTGCCTTGACGAGATGCTAAATATGCTGCTCTCACAGCTGCATTATCTCGTTTGTTGGCCTGTTCAATTGATGGTCTGTAACGCTGCATGCCATATGTATCCAAGCTTTCGTCGCTCGTCTTGCAAATGTCAAACTTTTCTTCAGTCGAGGCCAACAGATCCGTGTTCTGCCAATCAAGCCAATGTTTTGGTAGCTGCAATTCGCGTCGCAAGTATGCAAGCTGGATTTTGTTATTCATCCATATATCGTAATGTCCCTTGTATTGTTTGCCTGTGCGATTCAGCGTACCAACCTGCCACATAAGAAAATGTTCGAGTTGTTCAGTAAATTGGTCACTTTTTTCAGGCTATGAGATACACTTACATGTAAATTATGTTGTGTTCGATATTCGACAAGCAAATTAACCGCAAATCTCGGACTCGCATTGAAAGCTCCAAAATGCCTCTTTAAATTCTGGTGCACACCGCCCTCAAGAGAGTTTGTTCCCCTTAGACATTGATATACTGCCAAACCATTTTCATCCCGTCGTCGAAACAAGTACAATGATGTCCCAGGTGGATCGCTCAAATATCCTTTGCCAATAAGCTGTAGCAAATTTCGTGCGTCTTTCCAGGCCTGTTTGTCAAATAAAGGTCGACCACTTGAGGCGCATTTCAGAGGTCCAAACGTCATGAATAAATCGTACACATCTTGTACAATTTTTGATGGTGGTGGGACAACGCGGCGTATTCGCTCGTTAATCCAAGATTTGCGACGCCAACGAACTAAAATAACATGGTTTTGATATTTCAAATTAAGCTTGTTGTCGCCCACAATGAAAGAGAATCATATAGATATATACCCAATTCAAATCTCTCTCCTTTTTCATGCAGAACCCGGGTGACAGCTGCAACATCTCCAGAATCCATCCACAAAATTGCGTCGGTTAATTTACGTTGGAATTCTATGCGTAACCCATGTTTCTTTGGTATTGAGATTCTCTTGAGCGCATGCCAAGCATCTTGGACGATTCTGGTGTGGATGGCGTTATCTTGTTCCAAGCGTTGTGGTCGATACTTTTGTAAAATAGGATCGAGGAGGTGACTGCCATAAATCTTGGAGCTCTCGTCGATAGCTAAAGTGTTTGGCGTTGGTACCGGCATATCATCGTCACTGTCGTCTTCCGAGTCGGTTTCATTAATATCCCATGCTTGCACGTCATTGTCGCTGCTATGATCAGTTTGACCACCTTGCGATTCCGGATGATCCACGCTCTGCGATATGTTTAGTGTTTCCTCGTTGTGCACGGTGGCGACAGGCTTAATAAGTTGATAACAAGGACGGAGTGACAACAAACGCACTAATATACAAAACGGAGCAGCACCAAATGACGAAAGTGGCTGGCTATCACATAATTGCAACTTTGCCGCAGGGACCAAGACAGTAGTAACTTCAACCAGTGCACGATTTTCCGTTATCGTCCGCTTATTAAAGATTCTGGAAAAAAGTCAGGGTTAGCTTAATATTAGTAATATGATTTGACTTATTGTGTTATTCCTACTATGAATTGGTGCAAGCAAGGAGTAAGTAAGGGAGAGAATATGTACATACCCACTTTGTCTAGCATCGCTGATTTTCCCGCGCGCCACCTCCACAGTACCATCGTCGCTTAGTACTGTTACATGTACACCAGCTCGTCGATTTATGATGTCGTTTCTAGGCGATGTCACTTGGAGATAAATTTGCCGACTACTCCAGGCATCCAAAGCTGCATAGTGTACTTGCTCGTCAGTAAGTCGACCTTCCCAATTGCCTTGTTGTAAATCCTTGGATAGACGATGTTGTAGAATTGTTGCGCACATATCTGCCAGACTTGTTCCAGTAATTGGTTTGCATTTGTACTCGTTGCATATTGTCAACAGGTCCACGACATTGGATGCTTGAAGGTTATTGAATTGTTGAGGAAAAGATTGTGAAAGCCGAGTGATATCATTTGCGATGTTACGCCCAACCTTGATGATATCTTTGCGATTAAGCAGCGTCCAGATAGCATGTGGCAATGATGATAACTTCTCCAGCTTTAATATTGATACTCGGTCGTCATATGCAACTTGTATTATTGATACTGGATGCCACGTTGGATCATTTTCATGAAATGTCCACTCTGCGTCAAGACCAACGACGATCGGTTGCTGTTCAGTGCCATTTTGTTCGAGTAGTGGTGTCAAAGCAGCTTCGATTTGCAAAGGTGAGCTGTGAATTGTTACTGAAATTGTTGGTGGTAGCTGTAGCTGCGGCAGATGATAATATGGATCAGCGACTATACGTGGATGAACTTCAGTACGAAGAGATTCGATTTGTGTTTCAAAAAACTGTTTATCGGCCTCGACTTTGTCAGTAAAAAGGATTTCTGGGTGACGATGACCATGGGCAGTAAGACTTTGTAGCATGGCTAATCGCAAAAATTAGTTTCGGTTACTGTAATGCAATCAGAGGAAATTGTAAGAAAGAAAGTATAGTATACCTTGTATTCCTTGTTCTATGTGATCCATGGATGTAGTAGGCACAAAAGCTTGATACCGAATCTCTCCGTATTCGTTTGTCATTGATACCAACCCTTCAAAAATTTTGCACGAATCCAGTTTGCAAAGATGCTTTGTCACCTATTATCAAAAACAAACAAAGCACTTGTCAGAATATATACACAAAAGCAAATAAATTAAACTCACCTTATGGCTGTGGTCAATGTTGATTATGGTGGCTGGTAGAGAACTCATGTGGTTGTAGTGGTCGTTTATATGCATTTCAACAAATTCATTGTACATTTTTGTGAGATACTTAGGACCAGGTGTCGAACCACCATATCCATCTCGATCATCGAATGATGGGAAATTCTTGAACTGCCTTGATGCCGAGTGCACTGGTTTATAAAACGAATTGATTGCTGACTGTCTAGTGGGTGATGGATTTTGCTGTTCGTTAGAATGTTCTTGCTGCTGTGGTCTTCCTTCCGCATACTGCCATTCAATTTTGTCGTGTCGCAGGTGGTGTCTAGTGCTCAATGCTTTTGCAAATGGACCGGGCCCCATTCCGTTACCAAAGCACAGCCGCATATTTGTCATCAACTCCTTGGATACACCACTTTTATGTGAAAGTGTGGCCGGGTATTCGAGCGCAAGTTGTATGGGTAGCGATTTTTCTATCAAGTTCTCGTCTGTGCCCATAATTGTGTTGACGTCGCATCCGTCGTTTTTGCATTGATATCGATAGGATAGGATGTAAAAAAAGTCGTCGTCGTCTGCGATGCGTCTGGCAAGTGGGTTTGATGGAAATCCAAGCTCTGTGAGTTTTTGCTTGCACTTGGGACACTTGAGCTCTTCTACCAAAAGGTGGACAAGCCAAACGAACACACGTGGCAAATATAAGTCGGTTGGTTCAAAGTATTTCTTCTTGTACATAGCGAAAAAGGGCGCTGGTGGCAAAACCCAAAAGGTCTTGTTTTCGTAGCAAGCTGGCATTCCTTTGCTTCTTCTTTCTCTGTCAATTTTGTTGCGGACACTTGTCAGGTACGGCTCAAATACTTTAGGCGTTGCCAAGGTTTCCTCATCGCGTCCCACCATCGGTGTCATTAAATCGTTAAACTGATGAAAAATAAATGAGCAAAATTGAGAGAATGTCCCTCAATAAGTGAGAGTCGAGCAGTGGAAACATACTTCACTGTGTGTAGATATGTCAAACGTAAAAAAGTACTTTTTGACAGTGTCGTGTCAAAGTGGTTGTAGCAGCAGTAACCCGAGTATTCACCCTGCACTAGGGTTCCCAGCAGCTATATATATACTGCGGAACGCACTCAAGCTTTTGTGTAACGCTGGCTGTTATTCTTTATTCCTGATTGGACAGACTTTATTCCACCTTTGTTATTGGCGTAAATAACAATGCCGCACTTTATTTTTTACAAGCAATTGGTCAGTTTTTCTATACCGCACTTTATTCTGTAAATTTAACTGGCTAGGTCTCTACGGGTACCGCCCGACTGCCAGAAGCCTCCAATTCGCTGCCTCTGAAATCATCCCATCTTTTTATTTTTTTGAATCCCAGCACTATTTTTCTTTTTTTGCTTTCGTCACTTTGAAGTGTAAAACAGCTAGAGCGTCCAGTGTGACAACAAAACTTTTATGTTCGTTATAGGAAGGTGTAAACAGTGCAAGGTAAAGAAAATAAAACTCTTTGAAAAAATAAAGGAATCATGAAAGAAAGAGAATGGTTTCATTGTTGGTAACTTGTGTATTCGTGTTTTGTTTGTGTAGAAAAGTGGTCGATTAAAGAACGACAGCGCATCGTACGCTTGGTCTGCTGCACGGTTATGTCATAATATATGGGTAGAAGGCCTCATCGATGGTAATGGTGCAACAACGATGAAGACCACGAAAAACGGATTCGCGTCTGTAATTCAGAATCGCGGTCACCATACGAATAGCAATAGTAGCCGGCACGCGATTTCTACGCGTTGGCAACTCAACCCTAGTCGTCAGGGACAACACGAACAGCACCAATTATCACGATCATCGATTTCTGGATCTCGGCGGGCAACGACATGCCAACAAACATGGTTAATACCAACAATACAACAACAACGAAGATACTCTACACGTGTCGCCGGTACGACGAGACATCATTCTCGAAAGCTACGATCAGCAGAAGATATAGCCACAGATCGCGAAATGGTACTTGCGGCTGCTTTGGAACAATCGTCTGCGTCGACAGTGCACTCGTTGCTCGACATTATGTTTCAAGCCTTACGTCAAGTCAAAAACCCAAAGTTGGCTTGGGAATGCTACACAGATCTGACGTCGCGAAACATGCAGCACTGCTTAACACGGGATCAATACCGCGATTTGATACGGCTGTTTAACCATAAATCAAACCATAAACAAGGCCTGGAATATGTACTGACACTCGCAGACGACATGGCAGCGCTTGGGTACCGCATTGGTCGCAGAGAAAAAATTTCCATTATGCGATTGTTGGGAATGAACGGCAAGCTGGACGAAATGGAACAGGTGTTCCTCGATTTGAAAGAAGAGCAGATGCTGCTCGTGGACGACGATGCGCAAAAGCCATTCAATACTATGTTCGACATGTACCAGATGCACAAAGATGTTATGGGTCCCGTATGCGTTGCAGAAAAGTCCTTGGATATTTACGGGAAAATGATCGAGCTTGGTGTACGGCCCAGTCCGTCTGCCACTCGATTGCTCATGGAAAACGTACGCGGTGGTGGCAACGGCTACGATCTAGTCGAGGCGGTGTGGTCATGGTTTTGGAACAAAGTGGGTATGAACGTTGGCGGCAAAACGGTTGATTTGGAGCCATCACTTTACCGGGAAATGGTCTTGTACTTTGCCAGCGCAGGTCGTGCAGAATATGCGCTCGAGGTCAATGATCTGATGGTAAAAAAGAAAATCAAGCGGGACGTGCGGGTTGGTACGGCGTTAATACACAAGGTCGGCCGTAGCGGCAACATAGAACGGGCCATGGAGATCTTTGATGAATTGACGCGGATCGATGGCGTCGAGCCAACGATTGTCACGTTTAACGCGCTCATCGACATTCATGCACACAAGTCACCTGAGCCGGACATTGAAGGTGCAAGTCGCGCGTACGCAATGCTGCAAGAGTATGGTTTGAAGCCGGATATCGCAACGCTCGGCCCATTGATCGACATGTTTGCCAAAAAGGGTGATACTGATATGGTGCGACGACTGTTTCGCGATCTGATCGGCAACCAGAATCTCAAACCCAACCAGCACATTTACTCGTCCGTAATAGAATGTTTTTTGAAGCACGACGACAAGGTGGCGGCACTCCAGGTCTTGAAGAGCATGCGCAATACACGTGGCAACAGTGGTGCACTGGCGAATCAAGTGACGTACAACTTGATGATACGATCGTTCATCCGCAACAACTACATGAAAGGTGTACTCGATTTGATAGACTTGATGGTCGATGCAAAGCTGCGGCCAGAACCAAGAACGTTTACTCCACTGCTCGGTCTCCTTGCTGACCAAGGCAACGTCGTGGGAGCTAACAAGGTGGTGAAAATGATGGGCAATATCGGCACACGGACGAACGTGTTCACGAACACGGCATTGCTCGAGGCACATACCAAGGCTGGCGACCTACGAGGCGCAGAACGGTTGTTCCAGAAGATGGTGCAGAAACATCGACTCAATACCCAAGTTTACAACGTCCTGATGCACGGCTACATAAAGAAAAATGAAATGGATATGGTGCTGGCTACCTATCGACAAATGCTCAAATCCTTTGTTGGCGTGAACGAGTATACCTATGGCATTTTGATGTACTACTTTTCGCGCCGAAAAGAACCCAAGGCTGTCGAGTCGCTTCTGGATACGATGAAGAACAACAATATCGAGCCCCGCGTGACCTGTTGGACTATTCTTATGCAGAGCTATTTTGAAGCCGAGCGCTTTGAAGATGGGTTCCGTGTGTATGACCGGATGAAGCAAGCTGGCATCAAGCCGAATTACGTTACTTACAGTCTGCTGGTAGCAACGTGCGTACGCTCAGGCGACATTGAACTAGCCGAATCTATTGTCGCCAATGCGATTGATCGACAAGAGAAATACAAAGACGATAGTCATGAAGCTTTGGCAGATGCGCGCATTGTAGCCTCATCTGAAGCTTATACTAGCAATCTACCGACTTTGGTTGACGACTTGTTGAAGAAGCGCAAAGAACAGCAGCTTCCCGAATCCAAGCTCCCGCCCCATCTGTTCGCCCCACTTATCAGTGCATATACAGATCGACTCCAGTTTACAGAAGCCAAGCGCATCTTTCGCCAAATGAGGGACCTGAACGTTGTGGTCAGTACGGCTGTCTATGTATCGCTGATGAAGATGTACCAAAAGGAAGAACGGCTGGATATTGTGGAACAAATGTGGCAGCACCTGCGCACGCGTGAAACTGATGCTGTTCACATGGCCGACCTGGACCCTGAAATCGGAAGCAGCATACCATTGCCAATAGCAGTCAAGGATTACAGCGATTTGTTGTTCGCCAGAGACGACAAGGCAATTACTACTCCTCTTCAGCTTTCTCCTTCCGAAACATCTGACACAGTTTCTCCATTTGCTGTTTCCCTCTATATCGATACACTGGCCGAACAAGGACGGTTTGACGCTATTGAACAGCTTTGGGCCGAACTGACAGCTGAGCAGTATCCATTCGACGATCACAACTGGAATCGATACCTCGCATCACTCGCAGAAGCCGGTAGAGCCGAGCAAGCGTCTGCCATGGCACAAAAGTACTTCATCGAGCAACAAGAGCATGCTCCACAATATACACGTAGTGGTGACAGCCTAGCCACAATTCAACAAGAGAGACAGCTCCACAAGCGGACAATTGAAGCTTTAGCCAAAGTGCTGGATATAGATGCGGATAGCTTGACTGACAGGCAACTGTATGATGCTGTTCTTGGCACTCTTGAAGAACCACTCCATGTAAACTAATCATCCCACTACCACCGTCATTATCATTACCACGCACTTGCCATTCTATGCAAAACCACACCACCACATCTATTCTCATTAACATTTTTATAAACCCACACACATCACCACACCTACTCTCTTTTCTGTCCGCGTCCCTCTACGTTATTTTGCTCGCAATAATCTCACGTAGTTTATATCAAACACCGTGTACATATATATAATTATACTATATAGAAAAAGTATAAAATATAATCAGATTTGATGCAACTTGCAAACATACCGAACAAATAATACTGCGTCGTGTTGATTCTCGTGCATGTCCATACAGCACACAAAGTTACATTGGAAGCGTACCAAATTGAAAAGGAGCCAACTTAACGAATACAGCTGCCCAATTGGTTCATCTTATAAGGATTGAAATGAATATATGTAAAATCGATCAAATGCAAGGTGGCAGTTTGTAGAATCTATCAACAGCTATAGTGTATATGTGTAACCGAGTGGTAATACGTTACGACTTGATGATGTAGAACTTACGTAAAAGAATACTATGCAAATTACTTTCATGCAAGACGACGCTAATTGCGTTAGTAACGTAAAACTGTGCTATAGCTATAAACTCATTCGCAAAGATACTTCTGTTTAAACGTCAATGCATGCTACTAGCAACCGTTACCTCTTCGAGGCCTATGTCAAGGCAAGGCAGCATGAAAGGACGAGGTCTGTGTAAAGTGATACAATGTAAAGATGCAACATTAATATCAAGGCTGTAACAGCTTGTTAAATTATATCTTTTGTCTCTTTTTCCAAAGTTGTCTTTGTATTGACACACCACTTTTACTCGGAGACGTTCAAATTGGTGAATACAAGTAGTGTTTTTTCTCAGTCAGTTTGGAAGTGCGACCTATGGTATCGAAACGAGCAATTTCGTTAAGCGAACACCTGAGCCTAATAATTCTTGAAAAAAAAATGTACGAAGCCTGGGGCATGCATTTATTGATAGGTGTTGCAAAAGAACTGTATGTATTGATGCATATTGCATCTGATCGACTTTACATTTCCTATGTCTGTATAATCATCTCTACGGATGGATAACTCCTATTTGCTTGGCCTGGCCCAATTTTAAGCCAAGCGACTTCTTTCCGTTTAGATGGATTATAATAGCAGTTCCTGCATTGTAGGTAAGTAAGTAGGTATGTATGTATGTACACCACCACGCTCCTCACACATCGTTCTTCAAAAGTCTGAGGCAAACAATCCTTGATAATTCAATATGTTAAGCGACATAGAGTAATATTGCTTCCACGGAGATTTAGAGAATGGCACTATTTTATCAGTACCTGAAATCTTTTTTTAAATATCATTCGAATGAAACTCGACCAGTTAGTAGTAGATAGCAGACCAGCGAAGAATTTATGCTCAAAGCCAAGCAAAAAAGCTGGGCGACAATTTCTAAGTAAGGCCGAGAACTCCGAGAACGGAGGGAGTACGCCAACAATCTTGTTTCCCTTCTCGCTTCTCTTTCACACTTACACTAACACACACACCCTTTTGTCAACTGGCCCACGCCAAGAACCGTATTTGCCTTTGAGAGAGCGGTGTCGTTGCTCACTTCAAAAAACCAGCTTGTGCCTAAACAATTACTGCTAACTTACACCCGATCCCATCTACCACTGTTTATTATCACTTACATAAGTAATGTCGAATTCCGAGTTTCTTGCCGTAAGTGCGCTGCTTTACATACACATATATAACTGGTTAGGTTCCACCTTGCCCTAGCTACCTCTTCTTTTTCTTGACTCAACTAATTAATGTACCCAATCCTGTTTTCCCGGAAATACAAAAATTAGAAAGCGATTGAAATCGTCAAAAAGGCGACGGACGAGGACAACAAGGGCAACTACAAGGAAGCCTATGGTTACTATCAAAACTCGCTCGATTATTTCATGACCGCGATAAAGTGTAAGTAGATTGGATAGGGGGTGGGATAGAGAAGTGGGATGTGTTTTGTTTTTCTCTTCCAGAAGTCAAGTCAAGACAGGCTCATCAATAGACAAGATGAAAAGAACGATCGTTTAAAGGATTCGATCCGGAAGCGGTTTGTAGAGTATCTGGATCGAGCGGAAATTCTTAAGGAGTTTTTGAATGGACAAGAAGAAAAGAAACAAGAAGAAGTGGTGGGGACCAATGGCGCAAGTAAAAATGTGAAAAAGTAAGCTAGTTATCGCCAGGAGCGCTCGATGGAACGCAAGAAGATCCTTTTATCAAGGGCGCACACACGCGTACTACTTTGAAGAACTTGGACTAACCTTTAGCATTTCTTATAGGAAAAAGGGTGAAGGCGATGATGACGACGACGATCCCGAAATGAAAAAGATGCGGGCCAGTCTGACAGGCGTCATTCTAACAGAGAAACCTGATGTGCGCTGGGAGGATGTTGCGGGTTTGGAAGGCGCCAAGGAGGCCATCAAGGAAGCTGTGATCTTACCCATCAAATTCCCTCACTTTTTCACTGGCAAGCGCAAGCCGTGGCGAGGTATTTTGCTCTATGGCCCACCAGGCACGGGTAAATCCTATCTTGCCAAAGCTGTTGCAACCGAAGCCAACTCGACGTTTTTCTCGGTCTCCTCATCGGACTTGGTCTCGAAATGGCTTGGTGAGAGTGAACGTCTGGTCAAGCAACTGTTCCAGATGGCACGTGAGAACAAACCGGCTATTATCTTTATCGACGAAGTGGATTCCTTGTGCGGCTCGCGTGGTGATGGTGAATCAGAGGCTGCCCGACGCATAAAGACTGAGTTCCTTGTCCAGATGAACGGTGTTGGTAACGATATGGACGGAGTTTTGGTGCTTGGTGCTACCAACATCCCATGGCAACTAGATTTGGCTATTCGAAGAAGGTAATTGAAAAGATTCCTTTTGCGCCTCTTCCTTTTGTCTACGCGACGTCAAATTTAATGTGTGATTATAACTTGAACATTGGAAACTATAAGATTCGAAAAGCGTATCTATATCCCTCTTCCTGATCCTCACGCTCGTGCAACCATGTTCCAGCTGAACGTTGGAACGACTCCATGCCACTTGACTCCCGCTGATTATAAGCACCTTGCAGAAATGACTGAAGGGTACAACTCGTTAACGGAATGAATTAAATTTTTGTAGTTGCTTACTCTGTCGCTATCTTCATATAGATACTCTGGCTCTGATATTGCTATTCTTGTCCGAGATGCATTGATGCAGCCAATTCGAAAGGTGCAAAGTGCAACCCATTTTAAGTGGATTGAGGCACCTGGACGTGAGGACGCAAGTACTACAAAGAGATACTTGACGCCTTGCTCCCCTGGCGATCCGGATGCACAAGAGATGACATGGGTCGATATTGAAGCCGAACAGCTACAGGAACCCGAGCTTGTTCTACAAGATTTCCTCAAAGCGGTTCAAAGCTCACGTCCAACAGTGAATGGAGAAGATATCCAACAGCATATTAAATTCACAGACGACTTTGGTAAGTCTCATTCTCTTGCTTCTATGCTGTGACGTTTTAGGGTTGATGGAGCAAGGAGTTACTTATTATTTGTATAATCCAGGTCAAGAAGGTTAAATAAGAAACAAACAAAAAAGATGGACAGAAAATCGGCAGAATACTGTGTTTTGGGTTATTCTCTTTCTATTATATTCCCCCTCTATCTCATCTTTCCTGCAAGAGGATTAGCTACTATATCTTCCTTCCTTTCTTTCTACATATTTTTCTTTAGCCAAAACACATTATTTATGTACACACTTTGCCTTTTCCCTATCTCCCAATTAACACACATTATTTTTGTATTCCTGTACTTGAAGCAAGTTTATATAAAAAAGTCATAAAAAGAAGGATGATAGAGAGAGAGAAGCGGTATCTTTGAAGAAGTAGGAAGGGGGCAAGCGGGACTAGGTTTTATACATGCATATATCATTCATCATCGGTCACCCAAAATGCAACAATAGGAAGGACTTTATGTTTGCTGGTCTCTAGTGGTATAAATCGAACATGCTCGCCACCGCTTTTTATCAGCTTCGAATCTGTCTCCCAAGTTTCTGGTACATCCACATCCTGTTCTGTATGAACGAGTATAACAAATGTGACTGAAGAAAGCAGATTTTTCCTTTGTTTCTTTCTCAACGCGCGCATACGCATAACATACCATCATCAGTATCCAGTTCAGGTAAAATGTCACGCAGGCAAAAATCTTGCGCATAATAGCTCGGATCTGAGCTTTGGTATCGTTTGTTAACTCGCCATCATAGTCAAGACGTTGTTGTAGTTCCTGCTGCTGTTGCTGCTGCTTGTAGAGTTCAGCGTTGAACTGCCATCGTTTTAGAATATCACCCGTATCTGTGGATCTAATCACCACAATTAACTTGTTGAGCTTGCCCTTGTATAGCCATACTACATAATATAAGACAGGTGATTATCTCTGGTCTACTGTTTCTTTCCATTTTTCTCTTTAAATCTCCCTTTTACCCAGAATTTGTTCCATAATTTGATCAACATAATGTTTTAATTCGTCGTTATTGTTTACGAGAAGCGGCATGTCATATTTTCGTCGTACTTCAAAGTCATCACGCTGGTACACACCACGTTGCTTTGATGTTTATAGGAACAAAATCCAATTGTTGTGACTAAGTCAGTTTGAACTCTCTTTTATTTTCCTGTGGTAATAGTTTGCAGCCATTTTGTTACCTGTTGACATAGTATTCTAGTTTCGTTCAGTAAACGTTGGTTTTTTTCCCTTTCCATTTAGTCCTTTTTCAGTCAAAATATATAGTACGTGGGCGTTACCAAAGAATTCAACAACGATCAAACTTGATCCGTCAAACGGGGTTTCCATAGGAAGCAGTGTGGGTTTGTAAAAGCGTGTGCGGAGCTCAGTTTGACAGACGTACCGGATTTTATGTGCTCATAGATGCATTTGGCACCACGTAACAGCTGCTGTTGCCTATTTTTGTTATTTATTACAGTGAAGAAGTGATTTACAGTGCAAGGGAATATTAACGGAAAGCACCAAAAGCTCTTATCAGAAAGATGGGTGACCAGCTCTAGTACATTATGCAGAAAATGTGAAAAACGAAAACTGGCTGCCAAATACATGTCAAGTCTTATGACACGCACTATCGCTTCTGATACAAGTGGTCTGTCTATTGATGTGTTCGCATATTTAAGATGTTTTTTTAGTATAAATATATGATTCATGCGGACCAGCAGTGGACTGATAGGCGGATCTGACCGGAAAATAGAAAGAAAACTGTGGCGTGTAGAGCTTAGTAGATACCATATGTTAATAACGCGTAAATCTATCAGCCACTGATAACGGAGCACATTTTTTAAGGAACAAAAAAATTTGCTCTTTTCCGAATATAGTTGAATATTTTTCTCGATTTATATTTGTAATACTTAGTAAATCTGAAAGAATGATGAAAAAAATGTATTAATCTAGCAAATGTTAGCTAGTAAGGTTACATCCGTGGTAGTGATAACCTCTCGTTCTTTTTGTTTGTTTCCTGACAATATTCGTTTCTACGATAAATCTTTGATTTGAGTGCTTCGTCGGTGCCGCAGTTTCGGTTCTTCCTGCTTCTTTTGATGTTACCTTTGTTTGTCGTGGTAGATAACATCCTTGATTGCTTGGTTGCCCGTTTCTTTGTTTCTTTTGGCTTCATATCCATATTTCATGTCTATTGTGTGTTGGACTCGTCATCTCTCCTTTATCGGATTTGACATCATGTTTATTTTGGATCTTGACACAAGCAAAGAGTTCGAGTAGTTTTGCTTGTTATGTCGTATCTTCTTACATTGATCCCGTTATCACTATCTGGATTGTTGAAAACATTATAGACATCATAGTTGACATTAGATATCAATACTTTCAAATACGGCCATATGTTGTCATTATTACTTGCACATATTGTTGGTATTAGCTAAAAATTGCTTTGACTAAAGTTGTCTGCTAGTTTTTGTCCGGTTGTATTTGATGTTGATTCTTGATGTTGATGTTTGTGTTGTACTCGACTGGTTGAATTTAAAGCGGTTTTCGGATATTTGTATACGTCCTTTAGAGATTTATTGCTGCTGTGTTGTCTACGCATCTTGTTGGTCTTCTAATTCATCGCAAATTTATTTTCGAGATTGGTGCTACTGTTGCCGGTCTTTGACGTCAAAATGGCTTTTGGTTTCGCAACATCCTCTGTTTTTCGTTTCTCGTTGGTAGCCTTTGACAATTTGGTTGCCTTGGGTCTCGCCTCTTTCTGTGTCTTCCACACTGCTCTCGTGCAGCTCTTTTTTTCTTTTCTTTTTATGCTCTTTTTCTCTCCATTTGGTTTTGCAGGGTCTATCATTACTTGAACAATTGCTTGCTAACCATTGTGAGTAAACTGTTGGATGTGTAAAGCAATATACAGCTTTCTGGCGCATGGGTAGCCTTCACTTCTAAATGCAAACAAAACCATGTGAGTTCGATTCGTATAAATTACATATCTTGGTTGCATTTTTAACGTCCAAGTTGACTGTGATGGCCGTGTCCTTAGCAAGTCTCCACGCTGTCTGTTGGCATCTCTTCAAATGTGCATTGTATGAGTCTCCTCCACCAGAAATAGACCAGTCAAGTATACAGGAAGTCTTGAGACAGCGCAAGAACAAAAGAACAAGAAGAGCAATATCGATAGCTTTGACATACAGTCTCTGATTATCACCACCATCATGTCTCAACATCAACAACAGATGATATCCACTATTACTCCTCACACAAACAGAGCAGTTTTGGAGTGCGATTATAGATAAAGATTGGAAAGCATAGCTTGAGACCTGGAAGAGTATATACGTATGCGCATCCATTGGTAAAATAAATGATGGGGCATACTATTGCTGTGCCTTCTGATTCTGAAGGCTCTAATACCGACTTGCTGCTGCTGTTTACAGTCAATAAGTTGTATCAAGCAACGCATTGATGCATTATCACTTTAGCCACCGTGGTGCATACCATACACACATAGGTTTCAATTCAATACTGGCACTTTATATTTCAAATACTGTATCTCAGGTACAACCAAAAGTAAAAATGTAAGTGAAATAAGAGAAAACAGAATTTTTGTTATGCAATGCTTTATTATTAAAAATGAAATGTAATGCATCGCGGAGCAGGCGGACATGACCAAAGGTATTCATGTTGTAGTATTTATGACTATGAACGTTTGCAGAAAAAAAAAGATGGTATGTTAGTCGCTTCCATCCAACATTTTTCAGCAGACTCTGTATTCGCAATCCATACGTACCTTTTGTATATGCTGCATCTCACTATGCGGTGTTTGGGAGGGTAATATCATGGATTGGAAAATCACACTGTAAATCTGTCGGTGATTCCATCCTATTGGATCGTAAAGCCGCACTGTATATGCGTCGGCAGCTCCATCCTTTTCTGTTTTTTGTTTGTTTGTTGTTTTCCCCTACAAGATCGATACAAACATAGCGTTAGATGATCAGTCAATCGAAACTTAAAGTGGCGTTTGAACAATGCAGAAAGTAACTTACCGGTGATATTGTTTGTAGAATGTATGTGATAATGTGATGCATAATATGAATGATGTTTAAGAGATTTCCTTGGTTCATGTCCGCTGCTCATTCAAGTATCGCAATTGTATGGTATGGTATTTCTTTTGCTAAATGCTCGACCTCAATCAGCGACGCGATCCTTGGTTGTGTTCTCAGAGAGTGGCACCATGAGACCACCGACCCGAAGAATATAAACTCGCTGCCTTCACCAGAATAGCACACGCGTGCTACACTGGGCTTGTGGGCCACCATACACCCACCCATGGCCTGCAAGGCCATCATAGGCGCCCCAGCAGATGACCTCTAAGGCACATGGCAAGTGTTGCGGTGGTGAGCATTGGCATTGACGTTTGTGCTGTATGCATCTCAGCGTGTCTTTGAACTGTGCGGTAAGTGCATGGCAGTGGAGATATTGACGGTGTCATTTGGGAACTGTGTCGTGCAGGGAGAGTTGAGGGGTGTGAGAACAATGCGGCTTGGATCTGAGGGGGTTGGGGCAGTGGAAGGCAATGTGATCTGGTGTGGTTATCTGGGCTTTGGGATGCAACATCATCTGTTTTTGTAGGTAGTCCAAGACCGGGAATCGGGAAAAATCTACACATGGCTAGAATGGCTTGAACATCCTAGCCAGAACACTCATCCCTTATAACGACTTTTTTTTCCCGAGCTTCAGCTGCGAAGAAAGAAGAGCCGCTATAAGGGATGCTTCCAGAACATCTATCGTTAGTGATTTCTGAATGTAATACCGATAATAGTACAGATCCACACGTTTTTCTATAGTTACCAACCAAACAAATAAGTCTGTACATACCATCATTGTCGCCAAAGGACTGCCTTGTATATCTCTGCTGTTCTTCTTATCTTGGACTACCTACAAAAACAGATGATGTTGCATCCCAAAGCGCAGATAACCACACCAGATCACATTCCCTTCCACTGCCCCAACCCCTCAGATCCAAGTCGCATTGTTCTCACACCCCTCAACTCTCTCTGCAGGACACAGTTCCCAAATGACACCGTCAATATCTCCACTGCCATGCACTTACCGCACAGACACGCTGAGATGCATACAGCACAAACGCCAATGCCAATGCTCACCACCGAAACACTTGCCATGTGTCTTAGAGAATCAACTACTGAGACGCCCGTACTGCGCCGCACACTGGTCGGCCACCGCTGCTCCTATATAGAGTACAAAGAGTGAAGGGTGAGGAAACTATTATGAAGCGATGATCTGGTATATTGAAATTTGAAAAATATATACCTCACACCATCAAAACTTCAAAACTTGTCTTTGCCACTTGAAGACGCTTCTCGTCTAATGAAAAAATGATATGGCAAACATTAGCTATTCATCTCTTGTAATCATACCAGGTAACAACGGAGTGTATCGGATGTACGTACCTTATTCTGGGCATGGAGTCCAGCTAAAGCGCACGAAGGCGCTTTGTCAAATAAATAGGGCGGAAACGGAGGAAGTTTTGATCATGGCGGAGGCAGAGTGGCGGTAAAAAGGACAAAAGGGGAATGACCTGTCAAAGTCAACGAAACGCAGTCAGTAACCATGATACACGCTATACGCGCCACAGCCAATAAATTAAGTGTGAGAGATAAGCTTACCAGTATTTTTTATGTTTTAAAATGTTTTTGTGTTTTTGCTTTTGTGGTTTTTTTAGAGGTTTTTTGTGATGCTTTTTTGCTTTTTTTTTCAGAGGTTTTTGTAATGCTTTTCTGCTTTTTTTTCGGGTTTTCTGGTGTTTTCTCGTCGTACGGCACTGCAATAAAAAAAGAAAAGAAGAAAAGAGCCTAAAAGAGTCAACAATTAGTTTATAACAGGTACTCGTCAATCTAACCAAGACTGATAAAACAAGGTCAAGTACTTACTTTTTTTTACCACGAATAAACCGGCCAGTAGATTACCTTGAGGGGCGGGGTGGGTTCCCACTCCATCTCATCTCCTTCACCGGTCTTCCACTCCGTATCCACCGACTGCTCCTCAACGTCTTCCATTTCAACATCTTCGTTGAAATCAAGCAAGGTGGGAACATATTGTTCCTCCTTCTGCTGTTGCTGCGGTGGTATTGTTGGCAGAACATCCTCCATTTCAACATCTTCGTCGAAATAAGGCTGTTGCTGCGGTGGTGGTGTTGGTGTGGGAGGGGAAGGGGAGAGTGGCGGTGGCGAGACATGCAACCATTGTTGCTGCACCTGCTGTATTTTCTCAATCCGCAACTGCTTGCGCTCACTTTCCTGTTCATTTCTCTTTGCCATCAACTTTCCAAGCACGGTATTGATTGGCGTTGGGGCAGCCGAGGGCTCCTCACGCTTTGCGGGAGCTGCAGGTGCTGATGGAACTGCAGGTGGTGGGGTACTTGCGGGTGCGAGTGATGTAGGAGGTGGCTGCAATGATGCCGTTAATGCTCCATGTCGAGCTCGATTGAAGCGTCTGACAGGATTTTTAAAGACTCTGTCAGTCATGCTTTGCGGTTGGGGTTGCTGCTGTTGCGGTTCCTTGTAAATGAGTTGTAGCTTTGTGGGCGGGAACATTATGGTAGCGAGCTAAAGAAGAAGAAAAAAAGAGGCACGCGTCAATCTCGAAATTTATTGCCCCGCTGTTTGGGCAGACGGAGCTTCAACCCTTTTCTTCTTGCGCATTACCATTACCTCACGCTCCCTAATGTGTTCTCTGTAAGAGCTATTTTGCGACACTGAGCTCCCTTGTCTATGCTGTATACGTAAAGTAAGCTAGTCACTGGTACATAATTAGCAGCTCATTGAGTTCTCCACATCACAAGGCGAAATGGTGCCTTTTTTTCTTTTTGCGCGGCGATGATATCTTTTGTCCAATGAAAGTTCCGTTCATGCAAACGGAGGTTGGACCTGCAGTAACATAATGATAAGATACTCTCGACATATAGACTAGCCAAGAATACAAGGCCGTGTCTTTAAAAATATGACTCATGATTTATGCTTGTTTTGATAGTAAAGGCTTAAGAATAAGATCGACGACTGTTTAAACTTCTAATATCTTCTAGACAAGTTTTTATGAGTGAGCTTTTTATGTTTTAAAGAACAGGCGTTGCATGTAGTTCACTTGCTTCTTGTCCAGAGTGTGGGTAGACTTCCAACTACATGTGTACTGTATACAATGTGATCCTGCTGCTACCCATAAACAAGAAGCGGCATGCTTACGCGTCTCTGATAGTTGGCGCCAAAAGAGCACCGGACAGCAATATGCATACACGGAAGAATTTACGGTCAACGGCAACAGCAGCCGGCTTGGATTGCAACGCGTCATTTCGCCTACATCAAACCAAGCAAAAGCAATTGACTATCATCAAGTACAAAGACGATCAGGCTTTTTTTGCCTGTTTTTAAAATACTTAAAAGAATGGGTATATTGAAAATCTTCTACATTTCAAAATAACATGTACAATCGCTACACTAGTCTTATCTCGCTCTTCTCTGAACTACTAATCGGGCCATTGATAAACATCATCATCTAGCAAATAACGCAACTTACGCGCTACGCATGATAATGTATACTTGTAATCAGAAGCATTATATGGAGCGAGACACGTACTCACAGTCTGCGAACTATCATAAACATGGGTTACAACAAAAACGCAGGAACAGTGGCAGAAATACTTTCAAAACGCAGCAGTGTAGACAATGTGACGTATTTTACGAATCGTGGCAGAGTGTATCCAAACTGATGATGGGTGACTTTTCATAAAAAGATAACCCTCATCCGCTTACCAATCCTAGTTTAAAATATGGAAATAGTGGAGCAGCTCCTCAGCTCACTGGGCAACATGCATGGAGAACCATCGACCCGTATTCAGTCGCTTAAATTGTATCTGATGTTAGAAAAGAATTGCAGCACCACTACTACAATTGCTGCATCCGCTGCTGTGTTGTTTACGCATCTTGTGAATCTTCTAATTCGTTGCAAGCTTGTTTTAGAGATTGATGCTACTGTTGCCGGTTTTTAAGGTCCAAATGGCTTCCGCCTTCGCAACATCCAGTGTTTCTAGTTTCTCGTTGGTAGCCTTTGAGATTTTGGTTGCCTTGGGTATCGCCTCTTCTTACGTCTCCCGCACTGCTCCTGTGTAGCTCTTTATTTCTTTTAAACTATTTTCTCTCTCCATTTGTTTTTGCAGGGGCTATCATTGCTTGGACAATAACTTGCTAACCATTGTGAGGGGTACCGTTGGACGTGTAAAGTAATATACACCTTTCTGTTGCATGGGTAGCCTTCACTTCTTAATGCAAACAAAACCGCGTGAGCTCGATTCGTATAAATTACATATCCTAGTTGCATTTTCAACGTCCATGCTGACCGTGATGGTCGTGTACATATGTCTATTGTTCTCAGCATGTCTCGCTGTTTGTTGGTATCCCTTGCAACGCGCATTGTATGAGTCTCCTCCACCAGAAATAGACCAGTCAAGTATACAGGAAGTCTTGAGACAGCGCAAGAACAAAAGAACAAGAAGAGCAATATCGATAGCTTTGACATACAGTCTCTGATTATCACCACCATCATGTCTCAACATCAACAACAGATGATATCCACTATTACTCCTCACACAAACAGAGCAGTTTTGGAGTGCGATTATAGATAAAGATTGGAAAGCATAGCTTGAGACCTGGAAGAGTATATACGTATGCGCATCCATTGGTAAAATAAATGATGGGGCATACTATTGCTGTGCCTTCTGATTCTGAAGGCTCTAATACCGACTTGCTGCTGCTGTTTACAGTCAATAAGTTGTATCAAGCAACGCATTGATGCATTATCACTTTAGCCACCGTGGTGCATACCATACACACATAGGTTTCAATTCAATACTGGCACTTTATATTTCAAATACTGTATCTCAGGTACAACCAAAAGTAAAAATGTAAGTGAAATAAGAGAAAACAGAATTTTTGTTATGCAATGCTTTATTATTAAAAATGAAATGTAATGCATCGCGGAGCAGGCGGACATGACCAAAGGTATTCATGTTGTAGTATTTATGACTATGAACGTTTGCAGAAAAAAAAAGATGGTATGTTAGTCGCTTCCATCCAACATTTTTCAGCAGACTCTGTATTCGCAATCCATACGTACCTTTTGTATATGCTGCATCTCACTATGCGGTGTTTGGGAGGGTAATATCATGGATTGGAAAATCACACTGTAAATCTGTCGGTGATTCCATCCTATTGGATCGTAAAGCCGCACTGTATATGCGTCGGCAGCTCCATCCTTTTCTGTTTTTTGTTTGTTTGTTGTTTTCCCCTACAAGATCGATACAAACATAGCGTTAGATGATCAGTCAATCGAAACTTAAAGTGGCGTTTGAACAATGCAGAAAGTAACTTACCGGTGATATTGTTTGTAGAATGTATGTGATAATGTGATGCATAATATGAATGATGTTTAAGAGATTTCCTTGGTTCATGTCCGCTGCTCATTCAAGTATCGCAATTGTATGGTATGGTATTTCTTTTGCTAAATGCTCGACCTCAATCAGCGACGCGATCCTTGGTTGTGTTCTCAGAGAGTGGCACCATGAGACCACCGACCCGAAGAATATAAACTCGCTGCCTTCACCAGAATAGCACACGCGTGCTACACTGGGCTTGTGGGCCACCATACACCCACCCATGGCCTGCAAGGCCATCATAGGCGCCCCAGCAGATGACCTCTAAGGCACATGGCAAGTGTTGCGGTGGTGAGCATTGGCATTGACGTTTGTGCTGTATGCATCTCAGCGTGTCTTTGAACTGTGCGGTAAGTGCATGGCAGTGGAGATATTGACGGTGTCATTTGGGAACTGTGTCGTGCAGGGAGAGTTGAGGGGTGTGAGAACAATGCGGCTTGGATCTGAGGGGGTTGGGGCAGTGGAAGGCAATGTGATCTGGTGTGGTTATCTGGGCTTTGGGATGCAACATCATCTGTTTTTGTAGGTAGTCCAAGACCGGGAATCGGGAAAAATCTACACATGGCTAGAATGGCTTGAACATCCTAGCCAGAACACTCATCCCTTATAACGACTTTTTTTTCCCGAGCTTCAGCTGCGAAGAAAGAAGAGCCGCTATAAGGGATGCTTCCAGAACATCTATCGTTAGTGATTTCTGAATGTAATACCGATAATAGTACAGATCCACACGTTTTTCTATAGTTACCAACCAAACAAATAAGTCTGTACATACCATCATTGTCGCCAAAGGACTGCCTTGTATATCTCTGCTGTTCTTCTTATCTTGGACTACCTACAAAAACAGATGATGTTGCATCCCAAAGCGCAGATAACCACACCAGATCACATTCCCTTCCACTGCCCCAACCCCCTCAGATCCAAGTCGCATTGTTCTCACACCCCTCAACTCTCTCTGCAGGACACAGTTCCCAAATGACACCGTCAATATCTCCACTGCCATGCACTTACCGCACAGACACGCTGAGATGCATACAGCACAAACGCCAATGCCAATGCTCACCACCGAAACACTTGCCATGTGTCTTAGAGAATCAACTACTGAGACGCCCGTACTGCGCCGCACACTGGTCGGCCACCGCTGCTCCTATATAGAGTACAAAGAGTGAAGGGTGAGGAAACTATTATGAAGCGATGATCTGGTATATTGAAATTTGAAAAATATATACCTCACACCATCAAAACTTCAAAACTTGTCTTTGCCACTTGAAGACGCTTCTCGTCTAATGAAAAAATGATATGGCAAACATTAGCTATTCATCTCTTGTAATCATACCAGGTAACAACGGAGTGTATCGGATGTACGTACCTTATTCTGGGCATGGAGTCCAGCTAAAGCGCACGAAGGCGCTTTGTCAAATAAATAGGGCGGAAACGGAGGAAGTTTTGATCATGGCGGAGGCAGAGTGGCGGTAAAAAGGACAAAAGGGGAATGACCTGTCAAAGTCAACGAAACGCAGTCAGTAACCATGATACACGCTATACGCGCCACAGCCAATAAATTAAGTGTGAGAGATAAGCTTACCAGTATTTTTTATGTTTTAAAATGTTTTTGTGTTTTTGCTTTTGTGGTTTTTTTAGAGGTTTTTTGTGATGCTTTTTTGCTTTTTTTTTCAGAGGTTTTTGTAATGCTTTTCTGCTTTTTTTTCGGGTTTTCTGGTGTTTTCTCGTCGTACGGCACTGCAATAAAAAAAGAAAAGAAGAAAAGAGCCTAAAAGAGTCAACAATTAGTTTATAACAGGTACTCGTCAATCTAACCAAGACTGATAAAACAAGGTCAAGTACTTACTTTTTTTTACCACGAATAAACCGGCCAGTAGATTACCTTGAGGGGCGGGGTGGGTTCCCACTCCATCTCATCTCCTTCACCGGTCTTCCACTCCGTATCCACCGACTGCTCCTCAACGTCTTCCATTTCAACATCTTCGTTGAAATCAAGCAAGGTGGGAACATATTGTTCCTCCTTCTGCTGTTGCTGCGGTGGTATTGTTGGCAGAACATCCTCCATTTCAACATCTTCGTCGAAATAAGGCTGTTGCTGCGGTGGTGGTGTTGGTGTGGGAGGGGAAGGGGAGAGTGGCGGTGGCGAGACATGCAACCATTGTTGCTGCACCTGCTGTATTTTCTCAATCCGCAACTGCTTGCGCTCACTTTCCTGTTCATTTCTCTTTGCCATCAACTTTCCAAGCACGGTATTGATTGGCGTTGGGGCAGCCGAGGGCTCCTCACGCTTTGCGGGAGCTGCAGGTGCTGATGGAACTGCAGGTGGTGGGGTAATTGCGGGTGCGAGTGATGTAGGAGGTGGCTGCAATGATGCCGTTAATGCTCCATGTCGAGCTCGATTGAAGCGTCTGACAGGATTTTTAAAGACTCTGTCAGTCATGCTTTGCGGTTGGGGTTGCTGCTGTTGCGGTTCCTTGTAAATGAGTTGTAGCTTTGTGGGCGGGAACATTATGGTAGCGAGCTAAAGAAGAAGAAAAAAAGAGGCACGCGTCAATCTCGAAATTTATTGCCCCGCTGTTTGGGCAGACGGAGCTTCAACCCTTTTCTTCTTGCGCATTACCATTACCTCACGCTCCCTAATGTGTTCTCTGTAAGAGCTATTTTGCGACACTGAGCTCCCTTGTCTATGCTGTATACGTAAAGTAAGCTAGTCACTGGTACATAATTAGCAGCTCATTGAGTTCTCCACATCACAAGGCGAAATGGTGCCTTTTTTTCTTTTTGCGCGGCGATGATATCTTTTGTCCAATGAAAGCTCCGTTCATGCAAACGGAGGTTGGACCTGCAGTAACATAAAATTTCTTAAAACACCCTCGACATATAGACTAGCCAAGAGTACAATGCCGTGTACTTTAAAAACATGACTCATGATTTATGCTTGTTTTAATAGTAAAGGCTTTAGAATAGGATCGACGACTGTTTAACTTCTAATATCTTCTAAACGGGTTTTTATGAGTGACCTTTGTTGATTTAAAGAACGGGCGTCGCATGTAGTTCACTTGCTTCTTGTCCACGGTATGGGCAGACTTCCAACTACATGCGTGTATAATGTGATCCCGCTTCTACCCATAAGCACGAGAGCGGTATGTTCTCGCGTCTCTGGCAGATGACTCCAAAAGAGCACCGGACTGCAATATGCTTACATGGAAGAATTTCATGGTCAACGACAACATGACTTGCCATTGCAACCCGTCATATCGCCTATCAGACCGAGCAATTGACTATCATCGATTTCATGCTTTTGCTGTCTATTTTCAAAGCTTAACGATTGGGAACTCTAGAAACCTTCATCATCTTAGAATTGAATGTAAATACGCTACACTAATCTTATCTTGCTTCTCTGTGTGATATACTATGAATCAGGCCATCAATATACGTCATAATAGAGCTAACGCAACTTGAGCTGCGCGAGATAATGCATCCTTGTTACTAAGAGCATTCCATGGAGCAGAGCATGTACTGACATTCCGCGAACTAGACATGGGCTACAATAAAAACGCAGTAACAGTAGCAGAAATACTTTCAGCATGCAGCAGTGTAGACAATTTGACACATCTGACGAATGTCGCCAACACCCTTATTGTAGCGCAGATCCAATTCTTGCAGTCCGTTTTGTACGTCAGGAGAGTACATTCCCGAAGGCACGACAGTGATAGGCACAGCTTCCGGTCTGCGACGGTATAGGTCATGGCCCCAGTGTTCCAAAAACGCATGATTTGGCATTGCTGAAAGCGATGGAGACTCTGCAGTACAGCTTCACAATTTAGGTAATTTGATGCATTGAGCCTTATCATCGCAATTTTGGAAACCCGGAGAGCAGCGCATCATTGGGCGGATTGCCATGCAGGTCTATGTTGAAGCTGTACAAGTGGGATAATTTAAAGTTTTCGGGTAATGTCCACTTTAACTGGATGTTAGAGGTCGTACGCACAGGTCCTTCAAAATTACAAGATGACTTGAGGTTCTGTAGATTGGGACAATGCTCGAGTACAGCCTGGATGGTAAGATGCAAGAAGTTGTTCAGCGTAAGCACGGTCAAGTTGTTGCCAAAAAGCTTTGGTAGTCGCAAAGAAGTGTCGATCTTCAGGAAGCTCTATGCTAAATGACCGTCATTATCATATCAGCAGTAAATGGCAGCTTTTGTGGTACACTTGTGTTGCATTATTTACCCTCTTCGATATCGAGGCAGTCGTGATCGACCACAAACTGGACGGCTTGGGCACGAGGTGATCTTCTTCTTGTCATTAGACGAAGGGTACGAACTTCTGAGCCAGCAAAGTAATCGCCGTATGGGGCCAGGTCTTGTGGGACATCGTAATCTTCATCAGATATTTCCCGCCATACATCAGGTAGACGAAGGATAGAATCGTAGCAAGTACGGCAAACTCTAGTTGCCCGGATACACTCTTTAAATGTGAGCTGAGAGAATATGTTTGATAAAACATCGTATGAAAAGTGTGCAATAAACGGCCCTTTTTCACTGTCAGGGTTGCTAACTTCCCAGGTCATAGTGTATTTGCAAAAATAAGGATCTTTAAAGGAGGTGTTCCCACAAGTGTGGAATTTTCTTACAGAGAACTGGATTAAAAAATACTTTCCCCAACTTCGTGGCTGTTGTGGCTACAATAGTTTGTGACAAAGATTATCTTCATCGAATAAGCCATTTGTCTTGTTATACATAGCGACATGTGTTTTAGGGAAGACGGTTGAGGCAAAAATACGAGTCAATGGGGAGAAGAACGCGTGTCGTCTTTCATCTTTTACGTTTTACCACAGCCAGGGATAAGGACAGCAATTTAATTTTAACTTCATGCTATACGATACTATTACTGAAGCAGTAGCTTTCGCAAACGTAGTTGTATGTTTTTACAAGATGAAAGAAGAGTTGGAAGACAATGAAAGCATCAGTGTTATGCCGCTTTAGTATAGCCAATCAGCTCTCAACAGGACTACGACGATAGTAACTTGCATGGCAGACAAATGACAGCGAATAGTTGGGACGCTGGGATGAGTCAAGGTCGACCATACTGGATGGATAAGGAATAACAAGTTCGAATATAAGCATGACATATACACATACACGAGTTTCTATAGTTGCGGAACCCTCAGAAACTACTGCTGCATCTGTTGCTGGACACTCACCTTTTCCGAGCGCATCCAGAGAGCCATCAGTGATGAATTATGATGTACATCATCTTTAGGTTTCTTGATGCTCTTAGACTTTCGCAGATTAAATGCTACTAGTGATTCATTTGGATGTACAAGATTTCGCAAGTTTCATCGACTTGTTGGCACGCTCCGCTTAAATGTCGAGGACCGGGCTCTAATTTAAATTCAGAAAATGCAGACGGCAAAGCTGCGATGCTGGTCCTCTTTTTCTTCTTCTCACTCTGTATTTTACAACCTTTCAATGGCTGCTGATGTCATGAGCTATAGAGATCTGATCGTCGAGCGTCTAATAGCCCGTAATGAAAAAGAACATGCTCTTCATGACACAATCTTTGCAAGTAAATATTTGTATCTACTTTTCCCTCCAGCTTGCGATTCATGACACAACCTACTCTGAAGATTTGCCTTGTTTGACATGTTCTCGATATTTTGTGTCAAGCGAAACATTCTAATAAGAGTCCCATGTGTCCATGAAATTACATAGACCAAAAACTTGTACAAAAAGTCATTACGCTTCAGAACAAAGAAAAACAGCTCGAAGTTGCCGTGAAAACTGCTCAGTTACAAAACGAGACATTGTCCCAAGCTGCAGAATATGCTAAAGCCCAAGGGTAAACCATCGAATACGAGGAATAAAGGGAGGGGTTATTTATGTATGGAAAACGTTGGCTTTTCTTGTTCTGCTTTTTTTAAATAGCTCACCAGAGCATCAACAGCGGGTCGCCGAGTTGGATCGACGGATACATGATCTGAACGAGGAGCGTGCGGAAATGTACAAAACACAGAGTGAAAATGCGCAGCGTTTGGTTCACATGAACGAGCAGCTGCGCAAGGTTACGGAAACTGAGAAGCGTGATTCGGCAGAGTAACTCTTTTTTCATCCTTTAAAGCAATTGATAGTGATACTTAGATGGAAGGAACTGAAAGAAAAAATAACAGGGACTAATGGATAGTTTTGATTTGTGAAGGATAAATAAGTTGACGGCTAGCGTCAAGCAACTCGGCACTAAGTGTGATCTGCAAGTCGAACAGTTACGGGAAAAGGATGCAGCAATCCAAGTAATGCCGAATATGGAAAAAAAAAGAGAGTGTTTGCATGTGCTGCTGCTGATAGTGACGATTGGAGTGAGAAGAATGTTGAGTGCTTGATTATTTATATGGTTGATATTCTATTTCTAGATTTTACAAGACGAATTGGCTGCAATTCAACTGGAGATTACAACAATTGAGGAACGTAACAAAAAGTTAGAAAAGGAAAACGCACAGTTACTCCAACGATGGCTGGATAAAATGAATCAAGAAGCCGAAAAGATGAATGAGGCAACTGAGTTTTATGAGAGGTATACTCTATCGATGTGAAGTGAGTGAGTAGGGGATTTGATGCATTCATTATGTGCTAACTGGTATAAAACCGGTATTGGTAAGCTTTCTTGAACAAGCACGAAATGTGGGACAAACGATCCGGAAAACAAGCACTGGAAAATGGGTTATGCGGCCATCATCATCAACTGAGCGAAGCAAAAGTGACCGCCGTGCTCGTGCAGCCACTGTCGTATTGCCTACTGCTCCTATTAAAAAAATGGTGACAGTAGTTCCTTCCCTTCACAATTCTTTACTATATACAGAATCTCATCTAACATATCTTACTTACTTTTCACCCTGTTATAGACAGTGCATGATGGTGAAATCTTCTGTATAAAAGCTTCTTCAGCTGGGAATATGTTTGCCACAGGTGGATCTGATAAAAAGCTAAAAGTATACGATGCAAAATCTGGTATGATCCTGCTCCAAATCAATAGAAAGTCTGGTCATCTAGATGACCTGTTTCCAGGATATCGATTTATTGATGTCTATTGATTTAATTTCCAGGCAACGTAACCATGACGCTGGGTGGATCTTTGCAGTCTATAACATCCGTTTGCTTCAACCCAACCGATGAACTTGTCCTTGGGTCATCAACTGACAACTCCACACGTATATGGCAATTAAGCACACAGCGAATTCGAGTATGGTTTTTTTACATTGAAACACATACGATTATTTTTCTTCACTTAAGCTATGCAATCTTTTTTTCTAATTTTTTTTTTCAATGCAGCACACATTAACAGGTCATATCGGTAAAGTTTTTGCTGCCCAATTTACAGCAGATTCCAAGCGAGTGGTTAGTAAAATTGACTATCTGAATGGATCTATGTTCTCCATTCTATTTGCAAAATTTCTAACAGAAACATAATGCTATAATCTTTATATTGAAATAGGTATCTGGAAGTCATGATCGAACACTCAAGGTTTGGGACCTACAGAGAGGCTATTGTAAGAAAATTTATCGACTTTGTCTTACGTAATGATGATCTTTAAGGCTGAGGAGTAACTTAGCTAAATATGCTTTCGCAAATTATCAGGCATCCGTACGATATTCACATTTTCAAGCTGCAATGATTTGACACTTGCAGATGTGGAGGGACAAACACTTGTCAGTGGCCACTTGGATAACAATATCAGATTATGGGATACACGAACAGGCAACGGAATCAAGGAATTAACAGGTGTTCACAGTGGCCAAGTTACTTCTGTATCTGTGTCACCCGGTAAGAGAGACATAATAACCATTGGATGGGATTTTGAAGGAAAGACTAAACCGCATATTTGAAAAGGTGGTGATACGCTGTTGACTAATTCAAGAGATAACACGCTGAAACTGATCGATTTACGCATGTATGACATTGTGGCAACATTCCAGTAAGTTTCATATTGTTCAGAGAGGTTAATGAGGGAAATATGGGTGTCATAGCCTAAGAACTTACTAACATACGTTGATACCGATTTAAATAGAGCCCCAACGTATCGAAACGGGGCCAATTGGTCGCGATCGTGCTTCAGGTACACATAATAGAATATGTGCCCGAATACTAATGTGAATAATGATGGCTCAACATAACAAAATTTCTATGTTTAATAGCCCTGATGGATCTTACATTGCTGCTGGATCATCCGGTAAGTCATGCTAATATCACCTATATGCATACTGTAAAAGTCCATGCAGAATGTCAGTTAAGCAATGATATTGACATTCATTGCAACTTTTTTTAAGATGGCACACTGCATATCTGGAACCAATTGACACGTAATCTGGAAAAAACTATCAAAGAACACAGGTATGCTTTTAAGACCTACATTGCTCAGAAAGAGGAAGTATATATTTGATGCGTTTTTATGAACTAACTAGATTCTTTAAAAATTAGGGGAGTCATGTGTGGAGTTTCATGGAGTCCTATGGGCGATTACTTGTACACTGCCGAAACAAACAAGAATGTGTGCATATACAACACAGCGTTCACGGTGTGATTGGTATAACTCTTCATCATTCGATGGTGTTTCAATATACAAGTATGTCCATCCATTTTCTTAGTTTAATTTGATCCTGCTCCCAAACTAAATAGGTATATGAGCCAAAATCTTTACCATCACCCTATTATGCATTCTCCAACTTTTTCAAATGGTTGTACTTGGGTAACACCTACAGTAACCGTGCAGAATTTAGTTTAACGTATCGTCCCACATCACCACGATCATATCACTTTTCCCAGCTTTGGATATAATATATACCTCACGCAAATAGTCTAAATGACGTGCGTGTAATGCAGCTTGTGTCTGTAACAAAATACAATTATTAATGAGTTGACATGTTTGATCAATTACGTCCGCTTCGTAGCCAATAAAGAAACACTTACGGGGAACACTTCGCTCTGTTGCCGCCTACTTGATTTTGAGCCATACACGACCGTCATATCCGAGATCGTTTCGTTCACTTCTGTCGCGCAAGCGGCTCCAATGATGCAATTGTGGCCGATTGAAGTGGTGCCTAGCACTTTTGCTAGATAAAAGAACACGCGTACGATACCCGCTGTTTAGTTACTTCCTTTATCAAGGATTTTCACCAACCTCCCGCTTTTTCAACCTCTTTCATCCATCATTACGAAAGGGTTTACCTCGAGCTTCGATGATGTTATTGTTTCCAATATGTGCTCCTTCCACGTCTAAATCCAATATCATTAAACAATCAACCATGAGTATACTAACCGCTACGCGCAGCCCATCTTTTTCTTTCAGTTTTGAGCTTACGACATCCAACTTCAAAGACGTTCTCATCACCGATAACCAGCGGTGAGGAGTTCCTGCAAACATGTAGTTAGTACGCTGGGAAATCAATATGCGCTCTGCTAAATGATATATTAACATACTTGTTGTATATGATCACGTTTTCTTCGACTATATTATTCTTGCCAATGTAGATAGGCCCATTCTCTGCAATGACTCGGCACTGCGGATGAAGCACAGTGCCTAGAGAGCAGGCAATATGTTAGTTTGTCTACTTAGTTGTCATTGATGGCATCACTAACAGCAGAAATTCGTACCTGCACCTAAAATAAAGATGGTTAATATCTAACGAACGATTAAAAAAAGAGAAGGGAGAATTGAAGAAACTGAATTACCAATCGAGATTTCGCCTCGTAAGTCAGTTTCGTGGCAGATTACTGCTTTAGGGCCAGCAGTTATACGATTCCTGCTCATGACGTGAAGTAAGAAAAGGTTATTGCGAGTGCAGCAGCAGCATAAAAAAACTTGAAGCGGGGCGCCAAGGCATTAGAGCTTTTGCCTTATTCAATTTGACGCGTCGGTGGTTGTACTTGCATGCTAATATAAGGAGATCTTAAGAAAATAACGTTGTCCTTCCGATTGTCCAATGAAACCAGCTTTATCTTCACTTTAAAGGATGATAGATCTACTAATATATTTTATGAAGCAGATTCTTAAGCACCATTTTGCTCATGGACGGACGGGAGAAGTGCAAAAAGGTAAGTCATTGAGTATAGGCGGAAAAAAAAGATGGAACCATTTTCGCCTGTATCCAGCTTCAATAGAAACTCAATAAGCCTACTGAAGCCCTAGCAGCTACTCTAGATTAAACATAGTCCTAGTAACTGATAGGATACATTGACGAATACGAGAGAGAAAACGAGAAAAAGAGGGAGAAAGAAAATGAATGACAGTTGCACACCCTCAGTAACTCACGAATCAATCTGACTTGAACTGCGCCAAGGATCTTGCCAGACTGCCACCCATTGTATCACGTCGTATAAATCTCTCAATGAACCGTATTTTGCCATAAAATGTTCATCTCATAAACTTTAAGAATCATACCTACGAACTTATCGAAAGAAGCGAGCAATGGCCTGAGCTAGAGTATTGTACACAACATCACTCACTGTCATATATGTCCTCCTCTGCTTTACGCCACTGAATGTACCTGAGCCGCTATTTAAATCATTCGCCATGACTACGCATTCTTCAAGGACGCTATTGCCGTGGCACTTTTTTTACCCTTGATAAAGCGCGAGTTTGATGTGACGGGAAGATCATCTGAGTACCAGTGTCAACGGATTGCGGATCCTTGTTCTCGACAGCATTCCTTTAGCTGATACGAACGTGGCAGCTCGCGTTCGATATAGCCAAGATACGCTCAAGCATCTTTATCTTGCGCCGACAGCTCCACCATCTGACTAATCTGGTCCATTTTCTGACGCTTCTTTCAGCACCATCACCTCACTCGTGGTTCTCAATGTTGCATCCGTCTATGTCGGCGCTCTACGTAGTAATCTTACAAGGCTGCTATCCTCACCTGAATGTAAAGCTAAGACTTTTCATTTTCTCAAGTCATATCTTATCCCTTCCTTTATATCAATTTTTTCATATTTTATTTTTCACATTGATTATAGTTTTGACTCCCATCTCAGTAAAAATCCCTCACAAAAGAAATGTATAGCCTATAAAAATACCTCCTGCATGAAATTTGTGTAACATTTCCTAAATTCAACAAAACGCCATTACTGCATTGCTACTTTACTGACAAGAGAAGTATTAATGACAGAAGATAACGGTGCCGAGGTAAATACCAATCCTCTCGAACGATAGCTTCAAGAGCAAAAGACAAGATAAAATGTTGCTTATTACTGCTCTGAAGAATGTAGAGCCATCATTCCTCCTGAAGAAACTATATTTCCGTTGGTATACTCTGCTCATAACGTCAGGTATATGATGCGACTATGATAATTTTATGCATTTATTATTATTATTGTTGTTGTTGTTGTTGTTGTTGCGGAATGTGGTGTAATGTGTGTATGTGCGATGGCAATGGCAATGGTGGTGGTGTTGCATTGTATTGTATTGAATTGTGATGTGATATGGTGGTATATTAATCTAAGTTTATCTCCTTGTTGTGGCTTCATCCGACGATTGCTGACCAACAATGTCGCTGCTTTTTTCCTCGGCCAACGAAGCCAGACGTATCATTCGTTCTGATGCAGCCAACTTCCTTGAGCCACTACGTGACCGCGATCTCGTTGTTGTTGGTACAGGTGGACTTGTGGGTAGTGGTGGTTGCTCTTCTTCAGTTTGAATATGTTTCAGCAGATCCTCAGCGCGCATAGCAACCGATTCACTTCGTGTTCTGCGTCGCTCGCGTCGTGCTGCCATCGACATCCGTCTGCTATTCGTACTCCTCCGTTTTGCTGCCGATGAAAGCTCACCTGAGCGCAACTTGTGTAATAGGGTATCCATAATATCCTTAGCTTCTTGAGCTTCATTATCTATTTTTTTTTTAAGATAGGACGTTTTTAGTACGAGAGGATAAAGAGAAAAGATATGAGATAGAATGAGGACAACTCTCACCATCTCCATGCGATTCATTTGACTGTTTGCGAGCTCGTTTGGCATGTTCTCTTCGTTGTTCTTCGAAATGCTTTGCGCGCTCCAATTGCTCCATCTTCTTGCGCTGTGCAATAATATCACTTCGTGCACGCTAAATCAATGGGTATATGATTTGTTAAAAGCGCCATTTACTGTTAGAGTAATATATGTATCATCGCATTGTTGAATCATTTACCTCCCAGCTGGATGTGAACGTTTTGAACACACCAAAGAATTCATCAGGTTTCATGTCTCGAGGGTTCTCGCCAAAATATGTTACAGCATCCTTGTAAGCAACATCCATCGATGTGTATCGAACTTCAAGCTGGTCGAACTTTTCAATGGCCGTATCGCGGAAAGCTGTCATCACATCCACAAATCGATCGTGAGGAATAAGCTCATTATCATCGTTTTCAATTCGCTCCAGCTCATGAACTAGCTTTTGTAAGCCCACTCGTAGTTCGTTATAGTCTTTAATGAGATCCTGGATCGTAACTAGTGTATATTAAAGGGTTCCCACAATATTTTTTAGTACACAGTACTCTGTATTTAGAGCTTTTCCTTATTATTCTTTTTGGTACCTCGACATGCTTCACCGCACAGCTTGAGATCTTCTAACAAGGTTTCACTGATATCTGGAAATTTTTCTTCAATAATGCCGACAAGGAAGTGCAGCAATGTAGTTTCATTTGAAGAAGCCTTGGTATCGACTATCTATAGCGCAGAACGGCAACATATCTCTTGAGTATATATTGTATAGATATGATCTTCGGCCTTCTAACCTTATCATACCTTATTAATACTGGCAATACGAATACCAAAAGCTCCACCTTGGAAATTTGTGCCGTTCAAAAAGTTTCCAACCATCAAGACAAGCTATAGGCCAGTGTATTGTTAATATGTGCGTGTCGTCCACAAATATCAAAGCATCTCATTATTTACACTCAAGAAGTCCTTGAACGCCTTGGAATCTTTAACAGCAGTCGAGGCATCCATGACATTTGCCATGTTCTATTATTCAAGATTTGTTAAAAGATGATGACTCATATATCAAAGTACAAGTGTAACTATCCCTTACCTTCCCAAGTTGCGTTATCCGTTCGTTAAACGTTACTCTGAAAAGCATCGTATCTATCCGCTCCTTGAATCGAGGTATGGTCATAATCTATTAAGTTAATATAATTGTTAGCACATTATACTTTCTTCATATATAGTCATATGAAACTCAATATAATATATGGGTACCTCAGCACAGAAAGCATCCGATTTGGATAAGTTTTGTAAGTCTTCCTCTGGTGCCGTTTTTAAGAACACGGTGAGTTTTCCCATTTCATCCGGCGTTGGGGCATTAGCCAAAAGATTCTTTAACAAAATTTCAGTACAGAATCGATCATCAATGGATAAGATTTTGTTTTTGGCCTCTGGGAATGGTATATGTTTGAGCTTTGCCAGAATAGCAATATCTAATGTAATTTAGAGATCAACCATGTAAGACAAAAGAATACTTGGACAACCGAATGTCCACCCAAACAGCCTGAAATTACTGCTGGAGACAAAGTATATAGTTTTTACACTTACTAATGATGTGAGCCTTGCGAGGGTCCAATATACAAATTTCTTGTTTGGCTTCCTTTTTAGCTTGATTGGCTTTGGCAATAACCTTTTGAGCAAACAGGGCCTCCATTTGGTTAAAGATACCCTCGGTATCCAATCGATCTTCAAGTGATCTTTCGTCGTCTTCATTGTTTAGTGACCAGATGGTTGCATTGAGTCGGTCCATTGTCATTTTTTGCCATTGGAGTGCGCGTGTCTTCACTCCAGGAAGATGGTTCATGGCTTTACGTGGAGCTGTGACCATGCCCATAGGCGGTGGTGCGGGTGCGTTAGTGGGTGGTGGAGGTGGAGGAGGAGGCGCTGGCGCAGCAGGTGAAGCTTGTTGGGTTGATCCAGTGGGTGATAAGTCTTGTGGCGAGACCATACTCGAGCCATTGGATTGTGTTGCTGTGCCATTGGTTTTGGTTGGCGTGTGTGATCCAGGTGGCGGTGGCGGTGGAGGGGGAGGAGGGGGCGGAGGAGGAGTATCTGATATCGGTGTTGAAGTAGGTCTCTGTGGAATCACTGCAGTATCAGTGCCTAAACTTTGCTTTGCGGCAGCAACAGATGGAAGAAGCGATGGTGGAGGAGGAGGAGGAGGGGGAGGAGGCGGAGGCGGTGCAGGAACACCAGTGGCCACTGATGGAGGAGCAGGTTCATTCAATAGTAACACACTAGTGGTTGTTGTAGTAGATGAAGGAGTAAGTGCCCTTGATGATGTAGAAATTGTAGTTGTAGGTAATGGAAAAGATGGTTGTTGAGCAGGGATATCTTTAGAACTAGGCTCTTCGGAAATCTGGTCCGTAGATGATGATGCTCTCCGGCTCACTGGTCTCGGTGCGACCAACGAAGCATTACTGCCAAATCGCTTTTGTCTAATAACTGGCTCGTCGTCATCGTCTTCAACCCAGTTACTGTTGATTTGACCTGCTTCTGGGGATGTACGCGTTGCATGCAGCGAATTATCTCTCTGCCTGTAACCATCGTTAACATCAATGGCTGAATTGTGGCGAATTGCTTCTGCTAGTAGTCCGAGAGGTTCTTCATCGTCTTCGCTACTTGCTGATTCTTCATTGACGGACATTAAGTTGTTATTGGAGCTGGAGTTGGAGGATCTTCTGGCGTTATTGACAAAGCTCTCTAATCCTGTGCAAGAGGTTGCCGAAGGACTATATCGTCCGCGTCGATTTGAGTAAGAGGAAGAGGAAGAGGAAGATTCTCGAGACCGGTTATCTGAGTCGATGCTGTGACGCGTACTACTGATTGTACTATGCCTATTCTCGGTGGGATGTTGCTGTTGTTGTGATGGCGATTGCGTTGTGGCAGCGGTGCCTACAGCTCTATCGGTGATAGAATCATATTGTCGTTGTGATGTTTCGATTGGAGAAGGAGATTGAGGAGATATGCTGCTTAGAAAATCTGTTGCTGCTGTTGTTAAGGATTCATTATCTAGCTTCAATGATAGCTGTGGCGCGCGACTGGCATTATTATCGCTTGACAATTTTCGTCGTGGCGTGAATCGTGTATATTGATTGACATCAAAGTCATCGTCGTCGTCGCTCCTATCATCGTTATCACTAGCAATATGACGATCCATATGGTGTTCGTCAATGGAGCTGGTAGATGATCTTGATGAAAGATAGAAGGAAAGTAAATAACATATAATGAAGATATCGTACATGGAAACCACAAAGAGACGCTACCTTTTTGATCCAGCAAAAGTAGCTTTGAGTTCCTCTTGGAGAGTCATCGTTGGAGATACCGCTTCGTCCAATGCATTTCTATTGCTGCTATTGTTGTTGAAAACACGAGCTGGCCCATTGCGACGTCTACCATTGCCCCAACGAGCAGAAGAGCCCATCAATGGCATAGCACCGGGAACGACAAAATCAGCAAGACCACTGCTCGATCCGAATTGCATCGCCAACTGATTTTTGAATTCCTCAGATAAACTGACGGCCATGGACTTGTATTTTTCCTCGTCATTTAAAGGACTCTGTTATACACGAATCATTGGGAGTTTTTAGAACTTCCTACTTTTGCCGTAGTTTCTGCATATGGTGTTACGTACCTGTGATTGTTGCTTTGCTGTACCATTACGATCGTTTGCTTCATCGTCTTTACCGCCTTTGCCTTCCAAACTTTCATGTGCTCGTATCCGTCCAACTGCTTTTGCAAAGCTATCTCGTGAAATGACAATATCACCATCAGTATTTTCATCGTCTTCGTCGTGGATATCATCAACTGCCTTGTGGAACATGTCAAGTTGTTTTTGCATTGCCTCCAAGTCTCTTTCATAGTCGCCCTGAAGGTTACGCAGCTTTTGTTGGAGCGTGGAAATTGTGTGTCGCGACATACGTAAGAGGTCTTCCAAAGATACCGTTTTCTCTTTTAATTGCTTCAATTCTAGGCCTATGTTGCAGAAAAAAGCATGGTTAAATACTAATGTCGTTACTACAAGAAACTAATAGCTTAAATCAACCATGTATAATAAACGTTACCATTGTTACCACCGCCCTCCTCCAATTGTCGTTGTAATTCGTCACGTTCCAGCGCTAACTCATCATACATATCTTGTAAGTTTCGAATTTCTTCTAACGTAGCCTGAAGCTGATCTTGATCAGCAAACTTATCAATCAAGTGCTGGACCGATGTGCCGTAGGACGCTGAAAAGTCTTCAACAAGACCTTTATGATCGAGAACGACTTGGGTAACTAAGTTGTCGATCACTTGAAAATAACGAGGTTTAAGTTCGACTTCGTCTCGAATCAACAATATGTGCTGCAAACAGCTGAGGAAGAAATCGTAGCTTCGTGTTCCTTCGACGCTCGCCAGGACGCATTCGAATACATCACGCGGATCGTTCAAGTCGCGTAACACTCGGTCGTGATAAACCTCCATTATATCATCCTGATCGTTTTCTGCCTGCATCCGGAATTCGCGTACTTGGATGTCCACTTGATCGTTGCGCAGCTCGAGCATTTGATCCATCAGTCGTTCGAGACCCGAAGCGTTCATTTGGTTACGTAAATGGATTCGCATTTCAGCATCCTCAACGACATTGATGATCGCGTTGACAAGAAGCATGTTGTATAGCTGTATCATTGTATGCCCTGGTTAATGAGTATACCTTCCTCAAAAATAATCCGTCCTCGCTTTTTTTCCTAGATACATTACCGCATATTCACATAGCTGACTATCTGCCGTACTCCCATGAGCATTAAGTTGTTTATAGTCATCACTAGCGCCAACTAGACTCCCCATTCGTCCTCGTCCGCTTAGGGATAGTCTCAATTCTCGAAACCATGCATCAAATCGCCCATAGCCCCTTCGCACATCCCTGAGTTGATCCATTGCTTTTAAAACAAGCTCCTGACCAACAGGTACTTTGTAATAGCATAGGAACACCAACACTTCGCAGACGAGTCGACGATTAATCATTGATGGTGATACGATGGAATTGACGATCTCTTGAACACTTTGAGGACTCTTGAGGGCTTCTCTAACACCAACCTGTTTTTTCAACAAAGGTAAAACATGTGAGTACCTTCTCTCCAACCCCGCCTAGAGCATTGAACTCTAATTACTATCGGCAAATAATTACACATAGTGTCATACCGTGTTGTTTAAAAGTGCTTTGAAACATCGCAATATTTCTCCTTCTGCCTGCAGATCCTCTTCGCGTCTAACATGAATGTTGTTCTTGTTAATGTCCAGTTGTTCTTTTGGACCAACGCAGAGAAAGCAAGGGAGAAAGTGAGAATGCAAAACTTACTTGTGCTTTGATTTATTAAGTACCCCGAGTGCTGCTGTAATTATTTGCATGCCGCGCATGTCAATGAACTGGCGTACCCAACTATGAATGCAGCCCCCCATCCCTCAAAATATTAGTACACCATCATCAATTGAGAATATGATATAGTAACTAACCCTCCCCTCATACTCAATCCTCGTCTTCCTTTACCTCAATGGCATTGTCCGCAAGCTCACGCTTAAATGCGCCAATGTCTTTCCATGTGTAATCCCTTTCATATCCGGTTCTGACAACTTTTTGACATAAAAGTCGGGCCCTTTTTTCTCCGAAGTGTCTTTATCCGCCACGGCTCCTCGTCTGGACACTGCCTGAGCGGATGCCTTCATAGCCCCTGCCTCCGCCTGGATATCCTGGGACACCATTAGGCGTTTTTTCTCGATCGAAAATCCTTGCATTACTGCTCGTGCATTCGAGTCATTGATACCACGACGCGTCTATCGATTTTTTAAAACCATAAACAAAACTTATGAGCTTTGCGTTTTCCCTTCCCCGCTATTTAACATTCTGAACATATCCAATGCGCCTGATCCAAGTTGTACTTGAGTCCGTGCATAAAACAAAGCCAATTAGTTACCAGCATTTTTTCGAACCGTGTTTCGATTTCGTGGTCGCTCAACATATCCGGATGCATGGCTAATAACTCGCTCACCGAGTCCGTACTGCTCATGAACGAAAAGTTTGTAGCTTGTGAACTGCGTAAGGTCGATCCTTCCCAAGAACCTGAGAGATCACCCCATCCCCCGAAGCACCAAAAATTAGGTTTTTTTTACTTTCGTTCAATTCGCCTCATTTCGAAAACCAACGGTGAAAATAATAAAGAAGATACGAAACCCGTACTTTGATTGTAATCGTCGCTTGCAGCATCAGAAATGGTCGAGGCATATAAACTTGACAGTGAGGCGGGATGAGAAGAAGATGGTGATGGCGATCGTATGTTGTGGTGACCAGTAGTGCTGTTACTGCTATTATTACTGCCTGTACTCGTGCTTGCTGACAAACCTGTGGGTCGAGAAGCAGCAACGGGATCGCGTTTCCCTTTTGCTTTACTGCTTCGACCAAAAATGTCCATTCGTTCGAGTATATAGACCGAATAAAAAAAAGTTATGAATTGAAAAGAGATCCACTTTTTTGTGCTTCTTGCGTAGAGGTTAGTTTCCCCTGCAGAACACCTGGATAATTCTAATTGTTGGTTACACAGAGCGTTATAATGCTCCCCCTTCCCCTCCCCCCCAAGACTCTCCGCTATAACCACACACTTCAAATGACAACCCTTTTCTTTTTTTTAGTGCCTACGATCCTATTAATCCGCTTGCATTTCACTTTGCTGCATAACTCATGGAGCCATCTCCAGCTCTTTGGATGCACTCGATTTCACGAAGACTGGCGGACTGCTGTGGAGCCCATACTAACAACCAGAACAACAATGATCACTAAGGCAACAAAGCACAAGCAATATCAGTTTCCATGGTATAAAATTCAATTTTACTGCGTACCCATTGTTATTCTATGGTGCCATTGTTGATCTAAGAGAAGGGAGCATTAAAATCATTCAGTATTCTGTACGCCGCAGATACGCCCATTGCCTTCATTGTACTTATTTTAGTCTTAATGGTCACAGTATCTGTTTTTGCGAAGTTGTGATGATGCCACTGAAAAAAGCAGAAGGCAGAAAGAGCTCGCTAATTCGGTGGGACAGCCCAAAGGAGAATGAAAGCCTATTTTTCTTCGGCTCTCCGTTTACGTAAACTAAGGTGACAATTTATAATACTTGGGTGACTAACTATGGCCTAGTGTGTGCTGAAGACTAGCGAGCCAATATACTCCACCGATCTGAGTTTGGGCATTGTGGCAATTGGGACAGAACGCTCAACTGGCTAAGATTGCTGGTGGGACGCGTATTCAAGAATGACTGGCTGCCGTTATATCTCTGTATGATGGTCTCGATTGTCTTCTTTCATTAAGCGTGAATTTTCTATAGTAGATTAAACAGCAGTACCGTAATAGCTCTTATTATGATTTTTCGTTCGAGCCTACAACAGTATGTTATTCAGTGTGGTGTTCCCTCCCCGCTGCACCAACTGCTATAACCGTTGATGTCAAACATGTGAAAGCTCAAACAAGAAATTCAAGAAATCATAACTGCTTCCGCTGGCAATCTGTTTCGCTATATCTTTACGTAGTTAAATGACTGATATTGTCATCAAACGCCCAACTTCATACAAGTTGCTCAACTCAGGAACGCCAGGCCTACCTTTTACGTAACTGAATAAAAGGGGGGCATGTATGCCTATCAAATTATCAAACAAGAAATTAGCGTGACCAAGCAGCGACTTCCGAATTGGGGCGTAACCTGATTTTGCTGAGGTTTCTTCCGTTCGCTTTGTATAATACACATATCAGTTCCTTCCGTTATTTCGTTATGGGTTTACTTTCTGGTCTATTTGATCGCTCGGGAAACATGCGTCCAGAAACGAAGAAATATGCCGCTGATGGTGTGTTTTCATGCTGACTATACTATAGATCGTCCTAAACCGTATATATGCAAACGCTCATTTCTTACATTGCTAAATTGTTGCGTGTCATATATAGTGGCCGTTTTTGCCCTGTCGCAAGTAGCATTCTACTTTGCGTTCAAATGGATTGTCAGCTCCTTGGATCCAAATAAAGCCAAGCGTCAGGAAGCCAAGAGCAAGAGCTCAAAAGTTCTTGGCAAGCTTGGTGTATGTCATCGTTGTCTTTTAGTTTTCCTAGATTTGACTTTTAAAGTGGTTGCTAATTTGTTTTTATGATTATGAATGGTTTTTTGAACATAGGTCAAGGATCTGAAGTTGAGTGAATACGAACAAATTATTGCAGCCGAGGTAGTCCATGCCGATGAGCTGTCGGTCACCTTTAGAGGTAAAATCAGTGGTTGTTTTGGGCAATACACATTGGCGAATAAATATGTGTATCTCACCACGCATATAAATATAACTTAGAAATCGGTGGACTTGATCATATCGTCCAGGATTTACGCGAAAGTGTCATTTATCCACTCTGTTACCCAGAGCTTTTTACCTCTGCTTCTGGTTTATTGGGTGCACCCAAGGGTGTCTTGCTGTATGGTCCTCCTGGATGTGGCAAAACGATGTTGGCAAAGGCACTTGCTAAGGAAAGCAACGCTACATTTATCAACCTTCATGTGTCAACATTGACGGACAAGTATTATGGCGAATCCAACAAACTCGTCGCTGCACTGTTCTCATTGGCACGTAAATTGCAACCTTCCATCGTCTTTATTGACGAGATCGACTCCTTTTTGAGAGAACGTCGAAGCACGGATCATGAAACAACCGGTATGATGAAGGCCGAATTTATGAGTATGTGGGATGGTTTGACTACCGGTGAAGATAGCCGCATTGTTGTTCTCGGCGCCACCAACAGACCCAACGACATCGATTCTGCTATTCTTCGACGAATGCCAAAACGATTTGCTGTACGATTGCCAAGTGAAGCACAGAGAAGAAGCATCCTCGAACTGGTAAGTTGTCTCATCACTACTGCAGCAACGGCGGTCAAGAAAATGGGTTTTAATGGACTGCTATGCTGATAATAACGGATGTACCTTCATCTTATGCATTAGCTCTTGCACGATATAAACCTTGCACCGAACTTCAACATAAGCGAACTGGTACAGCGAACTGCAGATTGTTCTGGTAGTGATCTGAAGGAGCTTTGCCGTAATGCTGCAATGATACCTATCCGTGAATACGTTCGCTCGGTACAGAGAGAAGGTGACACTGCTGGATTATCAAGTGATAATTTATTGAACATTGACACATCAGTAAGTGTTTGGTTAAAGGACTGGAAAAGCAGGGATCGTGAAAATGATGGGCTAAAGGGTGGGCAAAGGAAAAAGAAGGAGGATTCATTGGAAACTAACGGTGATAACACCTCCTTTAGAACATAAACATTCGACCATTGACTGTAGAAGATTTCTATTCCTATGACGAAACAAACGCCAAAACATATGCTTACACACAAGGAGAAAAAGCACATATTCCACAACAAGAAAACCTTGACTAATATCAAAAGCATTATCTACCCGACCCAACCTATCAACCGTTTCTATATACTACAACAACAGCTATTACTACATTGACAACCGTATATACACTTTCAAAATCGACAAAGAAAATAAAAAATAGCCTCCTTATTGCGCACCTAACAGTAAATTCTGCTATATCTTTAAGCACTTTTTTTTCATATCAATTTAAGTCTAACAGCTATAATACTCTGAGTAAGATTGTTCTATAACTGCTCAGTAATATGGCATATGTAATAGTCACAACAAGCACATTTTGTTGGTAGATACATACGCAAGGCCATGGTATGTTATCCCCTACTGCAACGTGATCGAGCTGTCTTCGCGTTTATGCCACCCATTCGTTGCTATCGAGATGACGTGAAGACAAAATGTTTCAATAAAGAAGTTTTGCAAGATCAATACTTAAGCAAACATCCAACAGCTACACTAGTAATCTATGCCTACAATTGCTACAAGAACATCATCGCTGAGCCTTTCTGGTTGGAGAGACAGCCAGAAAAGAGAGGTAGATCCGCATCCACACAGTAGGTATAGTATAGCAAAAAGCAATGATGGTATCATGGTATAGCATATCGCGAGATCCGGAGAATTCAAGAAGGGTAGCTCACTTGGTATCTGTACGGTCGTCGTCGACGTTTGCGGTGATGCTGCGTACCTGTAAATTGAATAGGGATAGAGGCTGACCAGTGTCTATTGTGCTTGCTCGACAGTGCTTGCTTTGTATATATAAGAAAATAAATAGAAGGAATGTTATATAGTATACTTGTACACACCCCGTCTCGGTCAGCACCGCGTGACCGCGAAGTATCCCCGGCTCGATGATAAAGGTTGAACCAGTCTACAGTCTACAAGGAAACATCCTCCATTCTAGATTCCCCCTTCTTTATTAACAACATAGCACATTCTTAACTAGTGGAGAAAAAATTGCAACGTACTGACTGTTAGCTCTAATTGTGGGTGAGCACAGGGTAAAGTAGAAGACATCAAAGCAGTTATATAGACCATTTAGCAAATGTGCCGGGCCATCAATACTGCTATATACCACAGTCCAGAGCCAAAATGCCATATCGATAGCAGGAATTCTTTTGCCACGCGCAAATGAAATGTAGCTACTACTTTTTGTGTATGTTCCTTTTTTTATATTTGTAGTTCATACAACTATCTGTTTGTGAAGCACGCGCGACGTTATCTCTCCTCAGTAATCGCAGATCACTAATTCTCCCTTTCTCGATAACTCAAAGGCTGCTTTGACGACCATTTTGAAGACCATCAGGTCCGGCCTCTTTAACTCCGTCATAGACTGGGCGGGCAGAATATGTCAGCTATGAGAACGATATAAAAATGTCAGCCGACCATGCATGTTGGAAATTCACAAAAAGATAGATAATGCGTCGCATGCCTTTTTATTTTCTTTTCCTTTTGTTCTATGACGTACAATTTCTTTTCTGTTACTCATGCCTGCAGTAGCCTTTGACTTTCTTGGTGAATATCCGTATATATCTTGTTGCTCTATGAATGTGATAATTTAACGGCCTACTTTATTTTTGTTGGCAACAACGACTACGACGACAATAGGTACGCTATTTTCCTTTGCGCCCGTTATTGATCGCCTCGAAGACGTGTTTGGAAAGAATGTACTACCGATGCGACAGAATGCCGAACGATTATTCTTTCAATGGATGTGGTCGGGTCTGCGCGATTACTTTGGGTCGTCCCAAGCTGGTCGCTACTGTCCTTTGATGACTGTTTTACAAAGCACACTGACACGCGCCATGATTATTGAGGGATACGCTGCACCGAGCAAGGAGCAAACAGAAAAAGTGATGCGAGCTTTCATAGAAGATATCAAGCCAGCCGCCAGCGCGATAGAGGCTTTAGAGTTGCTCAAGAAAAACAATTGGGATATTTGGGTCGTCACAAACGGAGCCTATGCAGGCACCGTCTCACTATTACGACAAAACGAAATTTTGGACTATTTCCGTCGAGGCGATGAAGTCAACGTTTTGAGTTGTGACGATCTGATGATATCCAAACCGCATCCCAAGGTTTATTCGGAGCTCATGCGACTCAACGTTCATCGGACTCGAAGGATTGAGGTATGCTTAATTGTGGATTCTTGCTCCTTGTGTATAATCTGCTTATGGCAGGTGGGCGGGATTAGACGTTTCGCTGCTCAATTTTTTTTTTTCATTAATGCAACCGTGAACATTGACGTAACTAGAATTTTTACCTCGTTGCATCGCATGCATGGGATCTCGCTGGCGCAAAGAACGTTTCGTTCCGTACTGTGTTCCTTACTACGGAAGAAAAGATATATCCAGCGGACATGTATGATGGAGTTGGACCGGACTTACAAGGGGATTCGATCTTGGAATGCGTTCAAGCAATGATAGATCTTGAAAAGAGCAAAAAACATTTTCTTTGAAGCAGTAGAAAACATCACCTTGCATCTAGACCCACTGCCAGTACACCTTTGCATAATATCTCCCAGTATATACAATCGATTTCCCTTAATTTCCTCATCACTTCCTCCGTCTTTTATCCCAATTTATACCAACAACGACAGTAAGAGTTACTGTGCCATCTTGCCCCGATATACTATGATAATAGTAATAGAAGGATGTGCTCTCTAGCGGATTTAGTGTGGTAACGAAAATCATCTTCTTTTTCTGCGTTTCGGTTTCTCCCAATACATGTTTGTCTTAAACACACAGCCGTCTATTCGCATCTTTTGAGCTATCCGACACAAGTTCCGGGCATCATCCAAACCAGAATGTTGACGGCCTTCAAATGCCATGCTTAAAGTTTCCAACATTTTGGTGATATTCATTCCTTGTTTGAATCCATAAAACTCTCTAAACATCTTGCGGATGTTAACCCATGGCAGCTTGAAATACGAGGGCCGTTCAATGTCGCTATGAGCACATTGCTTAGTAATAAAGTCACGAATATCAAAAGGTCCATCTAGAAGACGAGCTCTTAAGTTAGTGCTACTACGACCCGCATTCGGCTTTACACATAAGTCTGCTATTTGTATTCTGGAATCTTTTAGATATACCTGTTACAAATACAGCACTCTTTTTCTGAAACAATGAATGTTTGGCGAGGAACTCTTGAAATGAATTCAGTACTTCGATAAATGTTGGACTTGCGTCAACAGTTTGCTTCATGATTATAAAAAGAAACAGTTCGATTTAGATCCGATTCCTCGGCCTAAATTGCACTTTGTGTTGCTATTGCTATTTATCGTACCTGGTCAATGCCTGTCAGTTTTATGCAGTAGTCTGATAAAATTGGATTGGTTCCGGGTTTGACATAGGAACGAAACTCATCCACCTATCCATACATCGAAGCAATTAATATCATCATCACATGCAATTAGAAGAACAAAGACTGCAAAATTGTAAACATACTATTTCAAACGTGCGACCATCGACAAGAACAATAGGAAACTCGATAATTTCATTCGGGTATTCAAAGCTACCGCCTTCTTCACAAGTTGCTTCTACGTCAAAGAACAAGTAATAGTCGAAAGGTTGCTTTTTAAGCGGCTGATCGTCGCGATCTTGAGTTAATTCTGAATCTTCCTTTTGTTGCGACTTTTGCTCTTGTTGTTTTTGTCCATCAATACAGGTGGCGCCAGCAGAAGAAGAAGGCAATGGCGAAGGTCGCGTTTTGTTTCGTTCCTCTTCTTGTTGCTGTTTCTCATTCTGCGCTGCAAGCTTCTTTTTCGCTTTGCGCAATCGTTTCTTGAGTTCGGGTTTGTGTCCACGAGTGTCAAGGCCGAGATCTTGCAATGCTTTTCTAAGCGCTTCCACAGTTGTGCTAGGAGTGGAGGTTGAATCACTTTCCATTAGTAAAAAAGTATAAAAATAAGAAAGGAAGGCGGTCGGGGAAAGACGCATACGGAGCGACCCGCGCAGCCAACATACACAACAACAATTGTCGTATTCCTTTTCTACTTGCCAGTATCATAACGTTTCACTTACTCCGTTCGATACTTGTCCCTCAAGGATCATATCCGCAAATTTATTGAACTGACTGCTTTCTTGATGAAATTACATACCGCGTATGATGCGTTCTTCTCCACTGTCTGCATCAATTACTAGTAGCTTTGAAAAGTATAAAATACTTTAATCTATGCCGAAAAATGTGGATGATAGATGCGTTCTAGGCCATAAAAGTTCTATAAGAGGATGTTATTATGTAGCAGTTACTCATAGTGAAGAGGGAGGACCGACTTTATAATGACTCGCTTATAAACACGGCATCACAAGCGAAGATATATAAGAAGAGGGCTGATAGAAGGCCAGAAAGAGTGGATCAGGAAGCCGTGAATTATGGCTTATATTTCTTCTACAGATGCGATTTTTAAATAAAACTTTAAAACACTCAAGCGACTGTACACAGTCATAACTTACGCTCAAGGTATACAAAGAAATGGTGCGTAGGAAAACAAGGCTATTGTATCATGTGCTACATTTAAATAGAGGGAAGACAAATGATATGGTATATGAACAATGCATTTAGAAAAGAAGGATTCCCGAGAAAAGATGTAGTAATTTGTAATCATGCGAAAGATAGCGATAAACGTAAGTATGAGCTATGCACCAACCAAGAAGAGTCTGTTAGAAAGGCAACATTTCAAATATTCTTCGACCTCGCATTCAGATTCTACGTAGACTTTTGTTATGTAATTTATATACCGTAAGTTCCCAAATTAGCTGTTGAACTTTTAGTAGGACTTCATGTGGCGGATGCTCTTTGTAGCAGTATATATACTATAATATGAAGAGTCTCCATGGTCCCTTGACGGTGCTGTTGTCGCTTATATACGTTGTATTTTAAAGCTGCTACTGCTTCTACCCTTGCATAAAAGACTTGTCGCATACACAGATACCATTCAACTCAATATATTGACACTTCGCATTCTAAAAATCGCATTTATAATGCGTGATAATAGTACAGAGAGCAAAACATATGCAGATTTATTGTTTTTAAAGGATATACCAAACTTCATGAAATAAACCCAGGAGCGGCAAACATGACCAATGAATCTCGTGAACTTGATGTTAAATAGCTTTAAAAGCCTAGAGAAACAAAGATCGCCTGTCAGTTTTTGCATTTAAATGTTCGTCTTAACCTCTTGTATTCGCGATCCTCACGTACCTTTTGTATGTACTGCATCTTGCTTTTGCGATTTGGGAAAATAGCATCCAGAATTGTAAATCACACTGTAAATGTGTCGGTGATTACATCTGTTCATTGATTTTGGATCGTAAAGCCGCACTGTATATGCGTCGGCAGCTTCATCCTTTTTTCTCTTTTTGTTTGTTGCTTCCCTTACAAGATCGAAACAAACATAGCGTTAGAAAACCAGTCAACTAGATCTTAAATGCCGTTCAGATAATTCAGAGAATAACTTACCATTGATGATGTATGTTGAAGGTATGTGATAATGTGATGCATAGGTGATTGATGTCGAAGAGATCTTCTTGGTTCATGGTTGCTGCTCCTTTGATTATCCCAGTTGTATGGTATTGTTGGTTTTTTGGTGTGTTCCTCTTGCTCCGATTGATCCAAATGTTCAACCCAAGCCAACGATGGGATCCGTGGTTGCGTTTTCGGTGAGTGGCACCACGAGATCACCGACCCAGACGATATAAACTCGCTGCCTTCACCAGAATAGCATATGCATGCTACACCGGCCTGTGGGCCCCCATACGCCCACCCATGGCCTGCAAGGCCATCATCGGCGCCAGAACTTCTTCATGAACGTCATCTCGAATGAATCCTTCTGGTTCGTATCGATCTCCTTTAAATATCCATTATATCTCTCAAAACTAAAGAGCCAGAAAGCATATAAAGGTCCAAAATCCTCGATCGTTACGTCCAAGTGCATATGCAGATGCATATTTGGCGTGATTTGCTCTCTGCCATATATGCGTTCGACACCACGACAAAAGTCCAGCAAAAACGTGTTGGCTCCTTCTATCTCGTTCATGGTGACGGAAGGCTTGACCAGCCATCGACAGGCGTTTACGAAGCTCAGCCAGTGAGCGAGAAGATGGCGGGGCAGATGATTTTGCAAGACGAAGGGCGAGTATACGATACACCACGATTTCCAATCATCAGCGGTCATAAAAGAGAAGCCAGCTCCGATCTCCGGCATAAGTCCAGTGTTTCAAATTTATACCACCTCAGCCAAAAACCAGCAAAAGCAGCCAACTTTGATGGCTGATAACTTTTTTTTCTACAAACAAAATAACTAAACCCGAGTTCAATAACTATTCTAAAGATGCTAAAGAATGATATTTAACAAATAAGCAAAGCATCAACTTACTGATCTTTGATTAGAGTTCACTTTTTGGCGATTATAAACGGGATGCACCATATCCAAAGTTCAAGGCGAGAATTCGACCTGGTAAGCGGCGATAGGATGGACCTTGTGGGCGCGACGCATTCTGTCTACACAATGCTCATCGACAGCACCTTCCGATAGGCCGATGTGCCGAATTTTCCCTTCATTTTTCAGCTCTACCAGAGCCTTCATAGTTTCTTCGATCGGGCTGAATGAAATAAGTTGAGAAAAAGTGAGCCACAAGAAACCTTAATTCCTTTAGTGGTATACAGCAATGGCTAGTACAGTAGCATATTCAAAGTTTAGCTTACGTGTTAGGATCCGGCCGATGTTGGTAGTATAAATCGATGGTGTCCACGCCAAGACGCTTTAGATTATCCTCGCAGCACTGGCGAACATATTCAGGTTTTCCATTGAAGCCCAAGAATTTTCCACCCTCGTCTCTGACGATACCAAACTTGGTGCACAAAAACACCTTGTCGCGATTTCCTCTCGCGGCAAAATAGCGTCCGAGCAACTCTTCGTTCTTTCCCAGCCCATAGACGTTGGCTGTGTCCCAAAAACTGCAACCGAGCTCCAATGCACGATCCAAAACAGCCATGTTTGTTTCTTCGTCTGACGCACCATAAAACTCGCTCATGCTTGGGTAATCAATCATATTCAAGTCAGTCATCAGAGCTTATCCGGTGCCCTATGGTGTTTTTACATCTTGAACATTTCGTATCACCCACTAAGCATACCAACCCAGCAACAGTAACAAAGCAATAATGACTATAATTCTAAATATGCGCAATGTTGTCATGAAAGATTTCCTTGACCTACCCCATACAACCTAAACCGAGCGGATTTACAAAAGCTGCAGATCCTTTTCCGAGTTCGCATGCTTGAGCCATATGTAATAGTAGTTACGTACTTTGGAAAGATAATAAAAAGGCAGAAGGCAATTTCATGTTTGTTTTATATACCTGGAAGTGTTTTTGCTGCGGAACAAACATTTTCAGTTTGCTCAAAAAATGACGCGTTCTGTTTACTTATTTGGTAAGGTTCTGCATTGGGAGGTACTGTACATGGAACGATCGGGTTCAAATAAAGTTGCAGAGCCTTGAGCTTTTTTACTATTCTTTCTATACTAAGTAACTACAAATCCTTGAAGGCGAGTTTATGCTACAAGAAAGCTTTTATATACGCTATAATCCTCAGAGCACTGCATCTACGATTTCATCAAATAAAGTGTTACACGATTCGAGCTGCTGATGAGTTTACGTCAATTTTAAACAGGCTGGGTTATGTCGACTTTTTTGTGGTGAAGATGGACATGATTTATTGATATAGCGTGACGTTGTTATCGATATATATGAAGGCGCAAAGATACTTACATAATTAGATAATGTCACTAGGATATACATGTGTTTTCTCTATGTATCTGGCGTAGCGCCAATGTGGTGCTGGCTGCCACATCATCTGGCCAAAAAGTTGTTCCTTCAAATATATAACGCCAGTGGGTTAAATCGACCTTATGCAGAAGAAAGCTTGAAAATTTACCTTGTGTCACCCAATGATAAAATTCCGGTGTAGCACTTGAACTGTATTGTCAAATTCGTTTGATTGTAAGGCTTCGGATAGCATCGAAAGGGAACATGAAACGGGCATGTTCAACATAGTACAGTATAATACTTGGATCTTAGTTTATAGAGCGTTTTACGCGGGGTTCACGGCCTTCGTATTGACGTTTCAAAGTATTACCAAATCAACAAATATCCTAGAACTCCGTTGCACACAACGCTCATCGTCTAAGACGTAGCATATTCAAATCCTGAGCAACCTTTGAAAATACATAATACGGTGGGATTGGACTTCATCGGCGGCCAGGTAGAAGCAATCTTATGGATAAACTTTTAGCAATTTACCGAACCTTTATGATTAAATTCATCATTTGAATCTGATATTAGTACGTTTATATACTTGCTTGTCAGTTTAAATAATATTACTATAATATAATATGCTGGTTTTTTGTAAGGGATTTACAGTCCAGATTTTACCTGTCAAATGTCTGATCGAAGGGATTTAGAAAAACTGCCCGTAACATTATGATACGCTTCCAATTATTCTTCGCTCGACGGACTAAGGGCTTCGTTACAGATAGACTTCGCCGAGAGTAGCTTACTTACAAAGCACCCTGACTTCATTTTATTACACAAAGCCATTAGAAGAATATAAAAAGTAGATACCTACATAAATCACCCTTGAAAAAGCTGTATCTAGAGCCCTTAAAGATACGATCAGTACTCACCTCTATTAAATTTGACGATAAAGATTGTCTTGAAGAGGAAAATTGATGAGGTGTTGAAAGAGAATACCGGGGTCAATTGTACTGCTTCAATTGGAACATTAATATTGTGCAATAAGGACCAAAGTAATAGGTAGACTGGCATATAGCTGCAGCTCCCGCAACGCATTACAAGCAGGCGAGTACAGTTTATTCAGTGCATTTTGGATGCAGAGAGCATGAACGGATGAAGATGGAAGTATCATAAAGACAAATGATAAAGAAAACGAACAAGCCAAATCGGATCCTTCCTGCAATAGCACAGCAGCAACACCAAAATCTGATGCATCCGTTTCAATGATATAAGGCTTATCCGGATTAGGCGGCATCAAGATGGGGGCGTCACACATGTGTGCTTTAATCTGATCAAAGCAACCTGGCACTCGGGATTCCACGTAATCGCCCTTTTCTTCGCTCCCGTTCCTTTTGTCAAGTCAGTGTGAAAATGTATTTGCATGCTACCTTTTAAGTCTTTGGAGTTATCGAAGGTTGAAATTTAGTAGATGTGCAGTTAAACCGAGTCGACTGAAGTATGAACCATACACGAGTTCAAGTTGTATCGGGCTTCGGTGTACAATATGTAGTGGCGATCGTTTCTTATAGTAGATTGAATTTTTCGATAACCTTTCTGTCAGGTGCGCTAAGGAAGAAGCATTGGTGATACAGTGGCAGTGGGCAGCTGTTAGTAGCTCAAAATCAACTACATTCTAAACTTAAAAGTATCAAGTCCATACGTATATCATAAAATTTTAATCCCTCACCCACATATCATACATCATTATAAATATCTTTTACCGCTTAACATTCCTCCTTTCCTTCCTTAATATCAGACCCCATCTGATTAGTTAGTTTGTAAAATTCGCCCCAAAAAGAAAATCATTCTTATAAAACTTACTATCACACCCGTCTCTCTATGCTTCATCTACGTACTGTTTCTAATCAACATAAGTATATAAAGTAAGCCATACGCATGATCGTATACGTGCTTCAAATCACAGAATAGAAAATTCTGTGTACGCCGATTAAACAAGAGAATTGCTCGATATGTATAACGCCCATGAAACGTATTATGTATATAAACAAAAAGATGCCGCTGCAGATCAAAAACAGCTTTCTTGTTCTACTACTGACAATTTATTATAGTTATGAAAAAGTGTACACATGTTACAATATCATTTGATTGGATATTCAAAAAGCAGCATTAAACAAACAACAAAGCACCGTTAGTTTTCATCTTCATCCTTTCTGGATTCTTGCTAGTGAGACTTCTTGCATTGTTTTCAGTGATGATGCCTCTTTCTGTCATGCTTGTTTTGGCGATGATGATGATGATTACGCTTGGTGCTAGACTCGGTCGGAGTAGCGGTTGCGCTCTCTTCCTTGGTAGTAGTGGTGATAGTAGTAGGTTCAACGGTGGTAGTAGTGGTAGTGGTAGGTATAGTTTCGGCTGAAACAGATTGAGCTGCTGCAACCGTCTTTATCGATTCTTTGCCAGCAAGAGGGCTGATCGGGGGAGTATCCGGGAAGAAAGATGCGGGAATGGTGGGAATCGGAATGCTGACGGTAAATCCGAAGCTATCTTCAAGATCTTCAGCCATTGTCGGAGCAGCGTAATTGGAAGGGGCAACCGTCGTTGTAGCATGGATTATTTCATACGCAGTGGGAGTAGGGATATTGTCCTTTAAGCAGGCTCCGGTACCATAAGCAGATAGACATATGTTGTCAAGGATTTCACCAGACTCTGTAAAATGTATAGTTTCGTATCATAGTCAGCAATGATTTCGAAAATTGAAAGGGAGGGAAACATTCTAATGATTTATCCATCCTGGTGTATATATATGACAAAATTACCTGTCCACATGGCGAAATCGTCAATCTTGATATCTGTACAAGGAGCACCATCGGCGCAGAGCACCTTGATCGGCCCACGTTGTTTACCGTTTTCGCATGTACCTCTCCAGTTGGTAATAGTAAAGTTATTGAGCTGAACGCCATCGCCATCAACAGTGCTCATGCTGCTCCAGTACTGGTCGATATTCAAAGAATACGCGTTGCTATGGCCAATAAAGTTCTCGAACAGGACATTGGAAACTGTGCCGTCGCCACCGTTGGATTTGATCATCATCATTTGGTTTGATTTATAGATATAGATGTTACGATATGTGATGTCAGAGATGTTAGTGCCACCGCCGAGTGACCCAAATGCAGAGCCACCACTCCAGTTACAGTAGATACTCTCGACCAGCATATTGTGCGATGGGTTCTTGATAGTGACGCATTCATCCTTGTTGGTTACCATGACGTCGTGGATCCAGATATTCTCGCCCCAAACATCGATACCGTCTAAACCACCGTGATCAGCACCGCGAATAGCCATGTTATAAACTTCACCGTTGGTGCATGTATCCAATGAAAAGTGGAACGCAGGAGCGTCAACGAGGGTAATATCATGGACTGAAAATGTGTCAACCATAGTAAGACGAAGGATGCGTGGCCCTCCTAAATTGCCGTCATCTGCATGAAACTCGTAACCGTTGCCCTGGATCGCACCCTTGCCAGTGCTCGAAAACATTTCAAAGTCGCGTGTACGCTTGATCATAAACATGTTGCCACCATCGGTACCGGTTCGATGAATTGTACCATCAAGTTGGATGGCCCAACCCATTTCACCGCCGCTAAGAGTCACCCAGGTTTCCATTGCATAGTCGCCTTCGGGAATGTAAACGATACCTCCGGCATCACGACAGTCCAACTGAGCATCATAAATGGCAGGGCCAACGTCTGTAGATTTATCTGCTACAGCACCATAATTAAGAACGTTACATATTTTCCTGGCAGATTTGTCAGCAATAGAGGTTTCAGGACCGACAGAGCCAGTAAGTTGACCTGCTACAAGAACAGGAACGACTGCAGCAATCGCAGAAAGGAGTGTGGTGGTCGTAAAAGCACGCATAATTTTGAGCTATTTTATCATAGCAAAGGGGAGGAAACGAAATTAAAATTTAGATCCTGAATAACCACTTATTGTCATGACAAAGTACAACAAACCAAGCAACGATAACGGTTAGGGCTGCGTGCGATATAAAAAAAGAAAGGAAAGGGTGGGGAGCTAAGTCTAAGGGGAAAAGAAAAATAAAAACTGTGCTATTTAAATAGCTCAAGCCATTGTAAACCCGCGGATTTTGATGTTTCTACGCTCAGAGCAGCAATAGCACTAAACATATTGCTGTGGTTATTGATGCAAATCATACTTTCTGCTACACAGGTTAAATAATATCACTTCATGAACCTTTTCATTTGAAAGGAAGAAGGCATCATCGCATATGTACTGTTACTAGAACATGCAATAAGTAATAAATCAGATCACTGAAGCTAATGCACCTTCTCGAGATCCATCAAACTTGGCGATGGTGGTGAAGACATCAAAACTTTGATGCATCGGGAAAATCGGGGGATAAACAGGCTGACATCGGGTTTGTCTGTGTTAAGAATGACAGATGTGTCACCGTTGTCATTTTCCTAAACAGTCAAGCTGCAAATCATTACTTACCTCTAATGAAATCGATTACTAGGTATAGGCATTATTCCCGCAAAGCAATAGAGCTACTTTAGTGCATTTGCAGCTGCTTGGTGTTACCTTATTGGATTGGAAGATTTGCTTATAACGCAAGAAGCCCGTGTTGTTAGTACAGAATAATCTGAAGTCTAACCTTGCATGGTCCCGTTGACGTTCTTGATCCTGTCAAGCAATGTTAGGCGGAGCATATTTCTCGCGTCCACAGGGTCTTTACTATTACACAACACTGTTACATACTACGCCTGATGTTGTACTTTTAAACGCTCTTTGCACCTGTTTTCCGTCGGTCCCATCCGTATACATTGACTCTCTTGCATGGCCAGCATTTATGAACTCCTCATCTCGTATGGCTTGAAGCTCTTCATTATATCTATGCAAACGAGCCATAACACCTTCGGCGATAAGAGCTAATTGACTCGGTGCGATTGCTTAGCATTAGTAAAATATAATAGGCTTTTACCTTATCCACAATGCAACTCACATTCACAATTTTGCTTCATTACAAAGAACAGATGTTTTTCGCGCGTACTTTTATTGCCAGCAAGCGTTATATAAGCAGTAACCCACTAAACATCGTATTGAAGGCACCATGTCCCAAATCGCTTTTTATCTCGTAAACAGGAATATAGCGATGAAGCAATAGTACCTGATCCTGAAAAATGAAAGTTCCATTTACATAGATTTTGTTGTTTTCTGGATCCATAGGCAGAATTATCGTACTAAAAAGTTTACCTGATGTACACTATAAAGATTTGTCCCTCTTCACCATCTCTAGTAAGGTTATGATGAAATTCCCCTGTAGTTTCTGCAGTATCATGTTATTTTCCCTTGTGGTCTCTACAGTGCCACAGTTCGTCTGATAGTAATGATGTAGTATTACTGGCTTCAACAGCATGACACTCCAGACCTTTTGTCACCAAGTTGCATATTTCCAGTTACTGTAAAAATAAGTGGTTACAACCAATTTGAGGTCGCCCTCGCCTAAAAGCAGAAATTGCTACAGTACGCGCTCGTTAAACCGATCACCCTTAAACCGATATTTCGTTAAACCAATCACTTCCCCAAGATACCAGCTCGGTAAGCAGTAAAATATCGGACGTTCGCTAAACCGATCACCGATCACTTGTCCCACGATTGATCGGTTATTTTTGGTTAAGTTATTAAGCTTAATAGCTTGATTGGCGAAATTGGTGTTATGAGATTGCATCAATTTCAAAGACCTGGTTCTTCTCTTCACAGATGTTCAGAGTCTCAATGGCTCAACAGTAATAGGAAGATCGTCTACCAATTGCTGGTATTTTCGTTTAATCTTCGCTATCGCCTATTTGATGACTTCCTGTTCTTCTTCTTCTTCTTCTTCTTCACCCCTCAACAACTTGCATCCCAACCTGAAATGTATATAAATATTACATGTAATAGTGTAACATCATAAGATGATCCTTAAAACAGAGGTGATCGGTTTAACGAGCGGTGTTCCAAAGAAAATCTCTAATGGTAGCAGAGAGTGCTGTAAATGTCCGCACCTCGAGGAAACCTACCCTTCATTATTTAATGTGGGCTCGATCAGCTGCTACAGTACGTGGAATTACATAGTTCTGTCAATACAAACCTAGAAAGTGCTAAGCACATCATAGAGTATATATATCGCAAACGAGTGATATATAATCGATATGTTTTGCTAATTCTAATAAGCACCACCATTCATCCCAATAGATGGATATTGCCCAAACCTATAGCAGCAGCATCGAGAATATAATAAAGAACTAAGGTTCAGAGCATCAAATATACATTATTTAGACGACAATTTGAAGACAACACATTATAATTCCTGCTCGTAAAGATCATGTATACCCTGGTTTCTTATCCTATGAGCGTATTAGCACCTCTCGGCCTAATGATGTGATTCTTGTATGATACCATGATCAGATGGCACATATCCTTCTGTCTTCCTCACCAATGAGATCTATCAGGTAGTTGCATATGCTATACGTGTACAGAGCTCTTGTAGTATGGGCGGAGGGAACCACTATTACCCATCATCAAAATGAATTCCGTACGCTGATAGGTTTCATGAGTGATCTAAAATAAAGCAACTGGAAACTAATAGTCTGTGACGATGCGAGATAACTCTAAATTGTTGTCTCAACATCCTGTAAGCCCTAATTGATAGAGTTACCGGTATAAAATAACTGTTCTTTGTACAAATGCTACAAATGAGCAATTTTTGTAGACCCGACGCATTGGCCTTTCCGAACCCCTTATTTCTTCCATTAATTTTTTTTCTTTGCTTCTTTTCAACTTGGGCAACAAGCGATGAACTCGTTAAATCAAGTAGACGAACTTGTCAAAGAGTATCTCTTGGTAAGTGTTTGAAGCCTTGAGAGCTCAGTGCTTTTTGGTTCCCTTTCCTTCTCGTTGTTTAAAGACAATGCTCTTCTCATAGAGAATGGAAGGAAGGAGAAGCAAACTTAGTGGAAAGAAAAGACCAACATTTATTAACCTGTTCCCTTTACAATGTTAAAACTGTAATGCCGTTACAATTATGCTTTAAAGTTTCGCGGCTTTACCAATACGTATCGAGCTTTTGAGAATGAGTGCCGCGTAGACAAGGACAAAAGTTATCAGGTTAATTGTGGAGTCAACGACAGTAGTTTTCGTTACTGCTTTTAAAACACAATGAAGAGAAAGAAAAGGAAGAGGATTTCCATTATTCACATGACTTCTGCCAACGATAAATCGTGTAGGTCGACAAGATTCTCGACGAGTTGCTCGGTTACATATCCAATAGCGATATTCAGCGTTTGATCGATTATTACCGGTATCTCGATTTACGGTTTTTCTCGCGTCTGGATAGTCGGTTTCAGCGCACGGTCAAAAAATTCGAACTATGCTTGTTGCGGCATTATCTGGTTTATGGTTCGTCCTTCTATAGTTTTTCCCAGCAATTTGGAAACCCATACATTGACTCTATCTCTAAACATAGCAATACAACATAAAAAACGTGACAAGGTGATCGAGTTCTTTGATCTCTACGGCCCTGATTTACACGGCAAGCCCGAATGGTCGCAATGGTTCGGTCAGTCTTTTTTCATATTCACATATAGAATATATTATTTGGCATTGTCAGATATGCGGGAAAGAGTACATGATATCTATACAAAAGATAAAGAAGGAAACTGAGAAGGATCAAAGGATCGGCGGCTGTATATTGAATCTTCCACGCTGCTTTCTATATATGTAGCTTTGCCCTATGTCAAGAATCCGGCCACCGATCCAACGTTTGAAACGTTCTTTTCGAAACAATGGACAGACAATTATATGATATCCTTACACAATTTCCTGGCAACGACCTTCCAGTTTATGCGTATGTATGATGTGCAATGGTTAAGGAGGAAAAGGGTTGTGAATGTGTGCATATACGTGAGAGGGAATATAACCTGTTTACATCTGTGCACTTCTTCTTCATATAACGGTAATTAATAGCTTTACCGAGTTTGTTATCGTTCAACATGGATCGCGTTCAACGAAAAGTGCAGCAGACCGAAATTGAATCTCTGAAAAGTACAATAGAAAACATGAAAGCAGCTGCCGAAGCACGTGAAAACGAAGTCGCAAAGTTAAAGCACGAGGTTAGTCATTGGCGTAAATATTTATAAAGTGGAAACGAATTATGACATGACAAGTCGAAATTGATGGTAGGTTGCTGAAACTCGGCGTGAAATGACAGACGGTATCACCTTAATTCGAAGGAGAGCTGCATCTATGACCAACGAGTTAAAGGCTGGTAACGGTGCAACAAAATCCAAATCGGCGTCGACTGACAAAGCCACAAGTACCATCACAACAATGATGGCCGGTGGCGGCAGTAGTATGGACAAGGCGGCAGCAACTTTATCGGTGAACCAAGGATCTTCTCCGTCGGATCCAAACGGTAGCGCAGGCTCGGATGTGATTATTGTGGATGACGAAGAACCATTTGTCGTTGTCAGCGAGGTAATTATTTAGAGATACAAAGCATGCTACACATTTAAAGTGAAAAGATGTGGGAGAGGTAGGGAAACAAACCCCCGCCCCAGGACGGCTTAGAAAAATGGTAACAATTGTAGGAAGAGTATTCAGAGCACGCGTCCGCTATTACTCATGCAAAGTTCTCCAGCGAAGGCAATCTCATAGCAAGCTGTGACATGGATAATATTGTGAGGTAGGCTTGACTAGTACATATTTTGGTAACAGCTAGAGTAATTGTATTAAGACGACCTTATTTATAGAATTTGGAGTCACAAGGGCCAATCATTCAACCCAGTGAAAATCAACAACAATTCCTCCAACATTTTATCCTTGGAGTGGGAAGCTCGCTCAGACCGTTTCGTGAGTTAGATACGATTTTCAAAACAAAGGGACGATTGCCATCAACTCAACAGCTCCCTGTTATGTTTGTTTTTAGCTATTTCTCGGTACGGATGTCGGAACCATCCGAGTATACAACGTGGAAAACAAATCCATAGTCCAAGAATTCAATATGGATTCCAAATATCCTTGGTAAGAAGAAAAGCTGGCTTTGCGACTTACCAAGAATACTAATTACGTGGCCCTCGCCTGTCATTTTTAGGGTTACACACCTTTCATGCAGTCCTGTCGAGCCAATCTTCGTTTGCGCTGGAACGGGAAGCAAACTTTCTGCAGAAAACAAGAACCGACCAGGCGCTTTAGTTGCATGGAGTATGAAGAGTATGACTGACATTGTAAGCTGCGCGACGTTTTTTCTCTATTTATAAGAAGAGTTATATGTATGTCGCGCTCGTTAATGCTACTGCTGTTGGTGTGTTATTAGGGAACGTTCCGCTTTGATTCTGCTGAGGAAGATACTGGTGCGGATATCAACACAATAACCTTGAATCATAATGGTCAGATGCTTGTTTCTGGAGATCATAATGGATTAGTGCGCATTTTTGGTAAGGTTACTTATTTTTCAGTTGTTCCAGCTCGTAGTCGTGTTCAAGACAGTCAAATGTGTTAAATACTGCTTTTTTGTTCTACTACAACATGAATTAAGATGTACGAAGCATGAAATCTATTATGGAATGGAAAGACCCATCTAATCGACCCTGTTGCGTCGCCCAGTTCAGTTTTGACGAGAATTCGATCTATACCGTCGATTACAGCGGCCAGCTTTCACAGTGGTCCATCCATAAGCGTGGTGCTAGTCTATCACAAACACAACTTGCAGGTTTTCCGCCACCTGCGGCATTCCCATCACCTGGTGGAAGTGATTCTATTGACTTGACGAGCAGCCATTCAACTAGTACGAAAAAGCCATCAGCAGGTGGAACAAATACAGCAGCTGCAACACTCCCACCACGTCCAAAATCGAATCCATCCACGTCCTCACGATCTCGTCTTTCAATCTCATCCAGTCGTTCTACACGTTTACCCAGAATTGCTGTGGATGACAGCGTCACACAGTCCTTACTTTCCGTTTCTCCCCGACCTCAAATGGTAGCATTTAGTGCAGATACCGACTTTTGTCTATGTGCATCATCCTCGCTACTTGATCTTAGCAGAGGCGTGATTGCTTCGTCATCTTCATCGGTATCGTCTTTGTCATCAATGATGTCTGAGAATAACGGCAACAACAGTAACAGCAATACAACAACACAAGGAACCATTTATCGGGTTGCGGATGGTCGACCGTCGCTACAATTCGGTTATCAGCCTATTTATCAAAAGCTGACAACAGTAGATTGGACCAGCTCATCTAATACTTGCTTACTAGGCAGTGTAGATGGCAGTGTCAAGGTCACCAATCTGATTAAAGTATAAAAAACCCACCGCATACCATTGTATTGTAGTATACAGTAGTTGTACCTTTTCAAACATCCCTTTTCTTTTCCTCCTATTGCTTTTATATATGATACCTTTTCTTTTTTCCTCCAACGCGAACCCTTTATATATCCTTCCCCTCACCTTCGTATCTCAATATAGCCTCGTTGTATGCTATGTACTGTACATTAGTAACTGCTCCTCTATTCACTTGTTGAATGTCTTTCACAAAGATTCAAGTTACGATCCACCTGTAGCGCAATAGGAGGGTTAGGTTTCAAAGTCCTCGGCAGTAGTAGTGATGGTATCACCCAATCCTGGATAATGTCTTTTGAAACTTTCGAATACATGTCCTTATGTAGATGGTCGAAGAACACTATATACTGTAATTACAAGCTTAAATATCCAATTACTTGAGGTTATGCAAGTAAGATATAATCACCGCTCGAAGCGGCACATATGTCTTTTATCAATGTTCTTGTTATTGCTGCCACAAACTTCTCGTCCAAACCCGAATGACATAGTAGTGTATATAGTCACTCGTGGATCTCTGATGCTTCTTTAAACAGTATTAATTTTCTCATCTTCCTTTGAGGTCCTTCAATTGCCCGTTCTACCTGTCTCAAAACTAATGTAACTATGGCGAGACACAGCGCGTAGCCGTGATGTGTCATAGGGGTACAGCCAGACCCCAGTTTTTGAAACCAAACTTTTTCTGAGATTTCACCGCAAGAAGAACAGCAACAGATACTGACACGCCGCATGTCTCTGGCACCCAACGTATATAGTTGAAACAGTGACAGTTCCAGACGAAGTTGGTAGTAGCCTTCTAAGCACTGATAAAATTGGTCTCTTTGCATGCATCACTGTCATCTGACCACGCTCAACCTTTTTTCCCTGCTGCCCAGCCAGGGTTGTTTTAGATCGACAAACCTTCCCAGATCTAAAGCGTGAGTAAGCATGTCCCTTGGGACGCAGTGTCTACACCGTCGTAAATATTAATCATGAATCATTTTCGTCTACTGTCATTTGATGATCGTAACTATGACTAAGTAGCATAATAAAGATGATAGTTATCCTCAACATAACTATCATAAAATGTGTACGTATATGATAAGTAGCTTCCTAGCTTTTGATTTTGTCGTCCTTCTGTGTTCTGTTATTTCTCTACAGTACTTTGAATCACTTGTTTTTATATGGGAAAATCTTCTTTCAAAAAGCCCATAGCCAACCAGGAATATCGTATCTGGGAGGAATATTGCCGTACTAGTGGTGCCAAGTCGCTGAAAGAGCTGAAGTAGGTTGTTCCAGAGCCAGTACCTGGGTTAAAAGTACCATCTCGTTCCACCGCCTTTTAAATAGACGATGTATGAACCATATTGAATTAACGAACGGTCGTCTTCTGAACTTGAGCCGATTCATTATTGTAAATATACCATATATTATATCAGTATCTATATTATTAAAATCTTTAAAAGTTAGCTGAAAAATCCAAAAAGGAAACTCTCATCCATGTAAATTCACAGACAGAAAAAGAGAAAGTAAATACTAACGCAAAGCATTCCCCAAATTCATGGGGGACCTCGGCCGCACTTTTTACCCGTGGGCTCGGGGAAATTGTAGATGAAGCAGGACTTACGCCCGGAGGCTGCCTGAGTAAAATAACAGCCGTTCGCGTGAAACGATGCAACATCCGAAGATGGGTCGAGACAGAGGCTACTAGGAACTGCGAGAGAAAAGCAAAGGGGGAGGAGAAGTGGAGGGGGATAAACTATATGAAAAACGCAATAGACGCTTTTAACGACTTCCTGGGTCAGAGCAAGGGGAGGAGGGGAGGGGGGTATAAAATATATAAAGAACGCAAAGAAGAAGATGAGGCTTTTAAGGACTTCCTCAGGTCCATTCAAAGCAAAAAGCACACGCCACAGATGGATGGATAGAACTTGACCACAGCCGATGGGCTACTTGACAGGTCGGCTTCTAGGAGCGGGATGACAGTGAAGCATCAATCTTGACCAGCATGCAGGTGTCTGTGCACTACCGCCATTCCGAGAAACAAAAGAGACGAATAGTTAATGGGAAACTGTCAAACCACACACACAAGATTCTATCGTGCTATACTTACCCATACTTCTACGATGAGACACAGGATAACCGAACACCCGGCCAGTGTAGAGCAGAGAATCGCAGCCAGAACAGAAACACTTCTTCTAGCTGGATAAAAAAAATGATTATTAGAGGGCTGCACCCACTGTGCTATATTTATTTTTTGACACGGCATTACCAAGTTGAGTCCAGCTATACTTACATTTGTTTTATCGTTTTACAGCAAAGTTATAGACAGAGAGAGATGGGGTCTAAGCCAATCCAAGTCCAAACAGATCACCGCAGAGCCATCCTCTATTAGAAAAAAGAAAACATCTATGAGCAGCTGCATACACTTTTTGACATGTCACGGCAGACATCTTCCTGGTTCTTCAAACACGCAAAGACAAACACAAGCACAGCGATACTTACTATTATGACATCCTTGGCTTGGAGGAAGAGAGCTTTGAGTTAGAGAGAGGAAAAGCAAGAAGGGGATGACCAATTCTGAAAAAAGAATAAGAGAAGAAAGGGGAGGAGAGAAAGGAAACTTTTTTGAGAGACTGCCATATTGCATACGTCATGGTCAGGAGCCCTTTCCCGTCACGCTGCTGTACACACTGCACACCTTTGACGCGTCATCCCCAACACCCATGTCATCCTACTCACCTATCATACCAATGTTCAAGTCCCCTTTTGCTTATACTTACTATCTGTTATTTGTCCGCAGGACACAATTAACCCAACCAGCATAAAGCGAAACCTGAAGTAGAATGAAAAGAAGAATGATCATGAGCAGGCTGTTCTTAATATGCAACTATTCCTGACACGTCATGGCATCAGCGCCTCCAACAGACACTCGACTTCTCTCCAACTCATCCTCACATTTCATTCCCTACCGTACTTACAGTTGTTGCTTATGTTTAAGGGTGGGATGCAAACAACAAACCGAACCAACCATTTCAAAAAGTCAGAATCCTATAGTAGTATCATAGCAGAGAAGAAAGGAGGATAACATTAGCGACTGTATGCTGTACACACACAACTTTAGACACTTCGAAATTCATATCTTCTTTCGTATATCACATCCACATGCAAAACCTCAAAGTACACTTCACACTTTCCATATTGTACTTACTCTTGCATTTGTGCTTTGAGAGCCAACGTGAAGGGGAGAAGGACCAGGTTAAGACGAGAAGAAGGTCTGTGTCAAAAAAGAAAGAAAGTGAGATAAACGGATCTTAAAGAAATCACTGTATACTCACAACCGGTTGCATACACTCTTCTCACTCACCACCATAAACATACACTCTCCGATCCTCTAATCCGTTCCAATGACACTCACCTTGAATAGCTTTGGTTTAGAAAAGTTGACGAAGAGGAAGAAGAGTGGCATGATTGCTGCGGATGCGCGGTTACATAGTAGAATGAACACATATGCTACGCGGCATTTGAGCCAGTTCATTCTATCCAATCAGATTGCTCTCTCATGGTTATGACGCGCCGAGGTGTGTGGCTCCTCCAGGTCAGAAACTTTGCTTTACAGTGAATGTATGTCATTGTGAGTAGACGGGTATCGCATTAAGGAAAGACTCAAAGGATAACCGTCATTAACACGATATGAAGCTCACTTTAAATCCTTCATCATCTGAGAAGCGTCATCGCTACAAACACGCTGAATACAAGTATCAACGTATTCACTACACTATGTATACAGGAGTATCCAAGATCTCATGAGACATGACGATCCCGCACTTGCCGATGTTCCATTTGATAAGAAATCATGGTCTTTGGTGTTGCCTTTCGCCAGGTATACAACATTGTATCCTCTCTTCTACTTTGCATCCTTTTACTATCGAGCGGTAGTACTTACACCAAAGTATGTGCATCAAACCTGTTGATAGGTCCTTCCTATGATATCATACCAAATGCATCGCGCTCGCAAATCATACAGTAGTATCCCAATCGTTCATCAATTTGGCCCAGTGTCACCGTCCACCGCCTTGAAACCAACATGCGCGTCCAATAACCTGCCAACACCAATGACACAAACGAGCATGGCCAGTTTCTGCAGTATTTACTTTGCATCGGTGATGGTGCTGAGCTGTAGGTGCCAACCACTGACGACAGAGTCCGGCTACCAGATCGGATGCTCATGCCACATTACAACACGTACGAGCTTATAGAAGCCATTTACGGCGACCTGAACGCATCACACGTAGATCGCGATTACCTCATCAGTCGCTCTATCTTGACTCCAAAGAACGTCTATGTTACAGCAAATGATAATTTGGTACTCGACCATTTCCCAGGCACTGTTCACGAATTCCAGAGCGCAGATACCGTGGATGATCCTGAAGAGCAAATAACGTACCCACCAGAGCTGCTCAATTCCATGAGTCCATCCGACCTCCCTCCGCATTTGCTAAAACTCAAAGTCGGTTGCCCAGTCATGCTTTTGAGAAACTTGCACACCCAAAGTGGTCTCTGCAATGGGACACGGCTGATTGTACGCTCTTTCCAGCGATATGTATTTGAAGCTGAAATAGCCACTGGGCCTCATGCCGGTAACATTGTCTTAATCCCTCGCATAACACTCACACCATCGCAAACACGCTCGCCCATTCTCTTCAAACGCACCCAATTCCCTGTTCGCCTGGCATTCGCTATGACCATCAATAAGGCACAGGGTCAAACTTTCAACACTGTCGGCCTCTACTTGCCTGAACCTCCGTTCACGTATGGTCTACTCTATGTAGCCATGTCGCGCGTCCGCACCCCTTCATCCATCAGAATCATGTTAGATCCTGAGAACTCACGTATCGCAGGTCAGCAAGGCCAAAGCACAAGAAATGTTGTTTTTCACGAAGTTCTTCTATAATTCTTTTTGTCACCTACTCTATTTTTACATCGCCCATTCTCTTTTTCTACATCGCCTATTCTCTTTTTCTACATCGCCTATTCTCTTTTTCTACATCGCCTATTCTCTTTTTATCAATATCACTACATCATCTTTGTCAACACTTCTTTTCGCATTGCATTCTAAACTGGAGATAGTTAAGTATCCAACTTTGACGACTTTCTATGATAGGCTACTTCTCACTGCACAATAATCTTGCTTTTGATTTTGAAAACAGACAATAAGCATCTAATACCAAAACATTGATCCAACCTCGCTTGACAGGGGGGTTTGGGGGGGCTTGCCCCCCACTTGGGGGTCAAGGGAGGAACCCCCTTGCGACGCGTTCCCGTTGAATGACACGGAGCGAAGCGGAGGGGCTCATTCAGCCGAGCGAAGCGAGGCAGGGACCGCTAGTATTTATTACTGATAGTGCATACTGATATTTTCTTATGTATGATATTGAGGATGCGAATATACCCTTGGATGCTAGAATGTGAAAGCCGAAGCTTGCCGCTAAACTGGAAAGCCATCACCACTGCAGGGATAAGTTCGCAAAGAAGATGGGGTACCCTCAAGGAACTTTTAAAGCATCGAATGTCTGGCAAGACTGCTTCAGAAAACGATATGCCATCGGCCAAATTCGAACACATGAAGAACCTGGGACCATTGACACAACGGCCATGTTAACTCAGCTGCCTGAATTCATTGACAAAGTAATAAAGTACAAGCCGTGCGACGTTTACAACGTGGACGAAACCGCTCTTTTATACTACAGTCCTCCGACCTCTCACAACTATTGGTACCAATCACATTGAAGGGATAGAAATCTGAGTATAGTGAGTGCTTCCATGACTAAATATAGTGTTTAGCCAGCTACCGTGGCAAGTATCCGTGTATGTCTTCAAAATGCTGAAACAACCATCTCATTTGGATGTTATAGGTGGTGTAACCCTGATAGCAGTATCAGATAGTTGACTGGAGAAAAACGGTGGTGACATTCAAAAGCATGAAAATGTATTTCATCGCTACGCAGCTCATCAGCCAACAGCAGTGCATACAGCATCCTCAGCACACCTTGATCGTTACCCAGGCCTAAAGCATGAGCAACTGGGTGTTTTTTATCAAAGCTTTTGATTCTGCACGCACTCATGTATGGTAATTTTGCGAACGGGTCTCCAGCAAAAGGGAAAAGTAGCAGGGCAAGTCAAAAGGCTATTGTAACAGACACAGCCTGACGCAAAGCCAATCAGACGTTGCGTTACTTCCTCGGCGTATGTGCGGGGGGTGTATTATACATGTGAAAAAAACAAAACAAAAAAACAGGATGGGTCGGCTCGTACTCTCCGAACAACTTTTTTCCTTTCGATTATCTTGGCGAGCAGAACTACGCGAACACAGAAACTAGAAAAGAAAAACGGTGTAAACGCGTACCAAAGTGTGATAAAGCGCGTTGTGATTGTGTTGCTATCGGCTACGATACAGAAGATCTGCTCTTGCTCCCTGCATTGTTGGCACGGACCTGTGGGTGCGGAGTGGGGGTATTTTTACTATTTTACTTTTTTTGGAAAAAATAAATAAAGAAGCGGGATCTAAACGTGTTCCTGTGGTAAAGCACATTATTACACTGCCTAAGACATCAACAGAATAAGATATTCAATATAATATCAAGCAAAGCATACACAGACAATTACCAGGCAACCAGCTAAGCACTGTAGCCTTGAGACAACCCATCCGAATTGTGTAAAGCACGGAAACATTACACTCGGATGATCCACTTGTGTAAGCAGTAGCAGTACGATTGTCAGTAAATCATGAATGTGAGAGTTTTTACAATGAACGGATATAACCCGATATGGACTGACGCGATATGAGGCATAGGTGTATGAGGTTTGTGGTCTCTTAATCTCTTATACGATTATCTACAAAGAGAAGGGCAGCTAATGATGCAATTGAAAGAATGGATGTATTGACAAATTCAAATCCAGAAAAGAAAAGAAGGAGATGGGGGATGATAGCGGATAGCACTTTATTAGCAGGATGACGGTGTACAATAGCTTGTTTGGTAATGATATATTCGGGCAAAGTGTTTGATAAAATGCACAGCAGTTTTTTGTTTGGAGTAAATATGTGCTGAACGCCGTAGCCAGCGTCTTCATGGGATCAATGAGACATTGTAGAAAGTCTCGGTCTTGTTGTAACAACTGTGCTGGCGCGTGTAATAAAAATAACAAACGCTCTCTTATACAAGTATGCACCCACGGCAATTAACGATTGCCAACGCAATCTTGACAATACACTAGATAATAATAAAAGTTTAGCCGACACCCCTCAAAATAAAAAGAGGTGACTCTCGTGGGGCGCTTCTTTCACTTCTGAACATGTCTACCGGAAACAAGCACAAGCGAACTCCTTGTGATGCCCAATGGTGTCTCGACAACATCAACGACTTGTCTTTAAAAATCTTTTGCGATCAACTTTTCTTTGCCCGATCGAGTGTATGCAAGCACGCACTTTATACAAGAATGTCTTGACGAAATATGTTCCCACTGATCGCAAGGAACCTCTACTTCAAGAAAAGGCAATCTGCATGAAATCGACCGACGTGGCAGAATTCTGAAAGAAATGTACCCTGCGTACTTCGGAAGCCACCGGTTCTCAGAGTTCTCAGAGTTTCAGCAAATCCCTCACGACCAACATCCAAAATCTCCTGAAGTCCTTTGACACACACATAGAATCTGATTCACCAACAATGACTGCAGAAACAACACCTGTTTCAACATCGGCAACGTTGGAGCCTGATAACAATGACAGCAACAACGTCAATAAATGGACATTCAACAATACCAATGTTACAAGTCTATTTCGACAGTACCAGCAAAAAATTGCAATCCAAGTAGCGGACAAGATTCCGTCTCAAGCAGAATCCGACCTCCAAGAATTACTTGCGTTATCCAACATACTCTTTCTGGCACCAAATCAACATAGCGATTTGAAAGTGCAAGTCTTTGGCGAATTGATTGACTCTCTTTGCCACGATGCCGTTGATCGGCTCATGGACAACTTAGACGTAGATTTCACAATGCAAGAGGTGTCTGATATAGCGGCCATTGTGGATGGTGTTCCAGCCGGCAAGAAGCTGGCCGTTGATGCCCAGATGGATCTCCTAATCAAAGCCCGAACCATGGATCCTGTCAAGGCAGCTGTAGTACGTGGTATCTCAAATCTGTAAGTATACATGAATTTGAGGGGAAGGGGAGAAGAAAGAAAGAACAAGCACGCAGACTATACTAACTCTTTCCACATAGGGTGGTCAAACTCCCTACCCGGGAAGTTGTAGACATGGATTCCTTTGGAGAAACTGAATTGCAGTCAACTTACTTCGATCCCATGCTGGCACCCCTCCTCTCAAACCCCCAACAGAATGTCGTCTTCCGCTGGGCAAACAAAACTGAAGAAGTATCTGGTATCCGCCCTGATGCTGTCATTTCCACCATCATACAACCAAAGTATGGCCGCCCTCTTGGCTTTGGCGAGGTGAAACCAGACAACGCTTCAACAGACAAATGGACACCCTTCGCCTAGCAACGTTATCCAAAGACACCATTGATCGTTACAGTCAGGATATCTGCTTTGCCTTCCAAGTCAACGGTAGGCACTAACAGCAAAAAAAACTGAAACAAAAACAAATAAACTGACCATCAATTGTTTAGGCTACGGGATATCGTTTTTCATGATATACAGGAAACATCAAAGATTGTATATCATGGTGGAAGTAGCGACATTTACCTTCCCTAGCTCTTTGGATAACCTTGATGCATTGACAACCAAGAAAAGATTATGCTCATTGGCGCGAGTCAGCTGCTCGTTTTGGAACAACAGTATGAACCTGCCAAAATCACCTACATCCCCCTCACCTCGCTTGCCCATCTCTACTCTGTATCAATTAATTCACAAGTTTTACAACAAGAGTATCGGCACAACATCCCGTTATTAATATCTTATTACCGCTTCCCCTTTCATTTATCCGTTACTTAAAAAAATAAAACCACCAGCCCATTCTCTCCAGTGATAGTTCCTGGTTTACATCCCCTCCTATGCACAGACTTTAATTGTGATTGATGACTTCCGCTAGATGCTTATGAGCAACCCGTGTAACCACTATCTGCTATACATTTTGTGGGATAGGATGGTATGCGATGCGCTCATAATGTGAGCAATTGCAGACATTAACTGAGGTGAGCAGTGCAAAATGAGGTATGATACGTAGTTTTTATGCTTCCGTTGCTTCCTATCCTCCCACCAACTTCCTTCTTTCCTCTTCTTTCTTCTCCATTCCACTTTTTACATTGTTTTCTTTGGTGAACGTCCATGATACCAATACAAGCAGCTGATGGCTAATTGTCGGTCAGTTCATGGACATGGGTACTCTTTGTACAATAAGATGCACGAGGCCAGTAAACAAGTTACGAAAACAGACATCTTACCATGGTATGTGTTATTAATATTACACTGTCCTCATCGTTCGGTTTTTCTTGTTAGAGAACATCTATTGTCAATTACGTGACACATTCAAGCAGCTATGATACAGTGAAAACGGTAAATTTGTCTTTTAATCAAAAATAAAATGCCACTTTACTAAAAATGATTGTCCTCTAGAGATTCCGTAATATGGTTACCAATGTCTAAAGCAGACCGCCATAGGTGTACAGTATTAAAAGGCGACTAGGATGACTGACTGGAAGAAAATCTTGCCCTTGTGAATACCTGGTGCCCATAGTAAGATGCAGCATATACAAAAGGTACGTCTGGATCGGGAATACAGAGTCTGCTGCAAACTGTTGGATGGAGGCGACTGACATACCATCCGTTTTTTTCTGCAAACGTTCAAAGTCATAAATACTACAACATGAATACCTTTGGTCATGTCCGTCTGCTCCATGATGCATGATTTATTTTCAATAATGAAGCTTTGCATAACAAAAATTCACTTTCTCTAGTTTCACTTACACCCTTACTTTTGGATGTACCTGGAATACAGTATTTGAAATATGAAGTGCCAGTATTGAGTTAAAACCTGTGTGTCTGTGCATGCGTCACGTTGGCTAATGTGATTATGTATTAATGTACAGTTGTACCCCGGTTTTTGCAACCGAGGGTTTTCCGATTTTTTTTTGCAAAAAGTGAGGATTTGCAAGTAACGGGGTAAACAATTCTGCTTTAAGTATACACTGGATAAGTCATCCTATTAACACTAGCCCATTGTTTATCTGTCAGAGATGATGTACGATACGTTCTTTGCGATTATTCATACAGCTCTAAATGTTACTACTTGCATATATAAGACCGTTCTTTAAAATTATTAGCTCTTTTAAGCATGACAAAATCGTTCCACAAGTTCACATATAAGCAAGAGGATCGAACGTACGACGAGCACTTGAGCGGGTGGTGGACCAAAGCGCTGATTCGCCTATTCCAGGGCCAACGTCGAAGGAAGAAGAGGTTGCAATTGCAGGAGTTTTGAGCTTTTTGGATAATATCGATAACTACGACTTAAAGAAGTCTTTGCGTAGGATTCCAGAGAGTCTCAGGCAGCAATCATTCTCCTGACAATCATCCCTTGATGACTTCTTCGATATGTAGTTAAAAGCTCCTTTGAGCAAACAATTTATTTCTATATCTATATGTAGTGTGTTCCCTTTTTCTTATATCTTCATCATTTCTTTTGTGGATTCAATCCAATCAGTGCTATATATGTGTCCCGATTCTACTGGCTCAACTACCAAATAATAATTTTTATGTATTTCGACAATAAATACATCTTCATATTTACATATTTATCTTGCAGTAACCGCATCATTTTATTCCTCATAATCCGCAACAGATGCTTCTTTCAGTTGATATTGCAAAAATTGAAGCTGTTTTTACCCCGATAACATGCAAATCGTATAAACTCATTTGCAAGTTGCAAATTTGCGAAACTACTAAGTTTTTTTTGGATTTTTCAAAAAAAGTTGCAGATATACGAGGAATTGCAAAACCAGGGGTTGCAAAAACCGGGGTACAACTGTAGTGTTTTTTACAACTTATTGACTGTAAACAGCAGCAGCAAATCGGTATTATTGGAGCCTTCAGAATTAGAAGGCACAGCAATAGTATGCCCCATCATTCAATTTACCAATGGATGTGCATACGTATATACAGTAAATGCTTGTCACAAGTGTGGGTTGATTCAGTCATGGTTGCCTTTTGCATATTACTTTTCAATAATTCGTTTGCATCTCTTTTTTCCTTTCTTTGAGAGTAAGGAAGACTGAACTAGCTTTTGCTCTCTATGTTGCTATTGCCAGGATGACTTTTGTTATATAATCTAGACATCCTGAATGCTGTTGTTATTCGTTACCGCATCTGCAGGGTACTACAATGCTATCCAATCCATTGAGCGGAGTTGGGATCCAGGAAGCTTACTAGGGTGATGTTTATATCTTGGTTGACAGCACACAGTAGCACTCCAGCGTCTTGTATCAGGCTTGCCTTTTCTCTGGCGTTTTGAGCTTGCTATCGTATTGTTGTTCGTTTGGTAAGCATCAAGCTTAAGACACTGGGTTCATTTACTGAACAACTGCTCATGAGTTTGTTACATGTAGAGTTTAAACAGACAAAGTACTGTAGTTAGAATTTGCCCAGAAAATATGAGGAACACTTTCCGGGAATCGCTATATTTCAAGATGTTCTTGATCCCGTATATATCCTAGCATGTGGGAGATGATAATGTTCCCGCTTACCATAAATCTTGACCTTTGTCAGTAAACTTGACTCCAATAAGTCCTCTGCGTAGTATAACTCTCAAAGCGGTTCGAGTATAGTTGCAGCAGCACGTTGGCCAATGAAATCCAAATACCGGGCAATAAAAATCCACTGCCCGACATGAACAGGAACGCGCGTATGCGCATACATACAGCATACAGACTGCTTTTTTTTGGTCATAAAGGGAGAGGGGAGGAGGCGACGATGGTCTTTCTATTCAACAACGGAAGAAAGAATATTTCTCACTTCATTTTTTTTCTCTCTTCTGGCACAGAGACTATATCATATAGAGTGCGAGGTGATCTCTTTTGTGACGAAAAGAGGTACACAAGCATTTCTGATATATAAGGAAAGCATAGGGTAATAAAAAAAAATTAGTCTGTGCTTTCGCTCAGGTTTGAAAGGGCACCAGACTCGCTGCCGACCAGATCCACATCGTGCTGCCTTTCTATCAATCCTGGATCTAGTAAGTGTATATGTAAACATTTCAAATCGATGCTTGACTATACAGATACAGTATCACAACAATCCAACCTGGAAAACTGATTAATTAAACATGCTGCCAATATTGCTTATCAGCTCATTATAAATAAAAGTACAAGCCAGACTGCAAATATCACCGCAATGGTACTCAATTATTGAAAATATGTTGTATGGCATACGAAGATCATCTGTCCGAGATAATCCTGAACACCCCACGACTTCAATCTTTTTACTAGATCCTTCAATGATACGAAAAGCATTGAGATGCCTGCATTGGTGAGACTATAGATCCGTGAAACACGCAATAGCACCGAGCTTTCGACTTGTTCAAAATGCTCAAGGACAGCACCAGTAACACCTTTCACGGCTGTCAGTTCCAGATTCAGTATTTTGGTTTCCTCAAGTCGTTGTGCCCACACAATCCATCCTGCCTCTGTGAGAAAGTCGTCGACACTATTACTGTACGGTGATGTGCGGGTTCAAGCTTAATCTCCTGACTAGTGGGTGCTGTGATGGTTCGCACAACTGCATTAGACCTTGGTTGTCGATGGGTATGTTCGTGAGACGCATTTTTTCAAGCTGTTGCAAACGTCGAAGCGGAGTAAGATCGCAAAGAGGATTCTCGCTGAACATGTGAAGGAAATTTCGCAAGGAAAGTATACGGAGCCGTTGCAGCGTACCGATGGTTGCGATAATGCTGTTCAGATACTGCGTTATTCCAGCGCGATTTCCAACTTCCAAGATCTCATTTTGTTGCTGCATGAGCAAAATCTGGGACCAATCTTCGCTTGACATACCAGTGATGTCCGTCAACCCCAAACTTGTCAGCTGTGTGAATTGGTTGCGTGCCAAGACATCCCAGCAATGAATATCAGAAAGACCACAGGCGACTATACGTAAATGTTCTAGTATCGGCTGCGATTTTACTACTATCGGCATGATCCTCTCGTGTCCTTTGCCGTTGAATAGCAGTTCATAAGCCATACTGCCTTCCTCGCCATCATTCGATGCTTTCCTTTCAGTTACTTAATATAAGCACTCGTGCTTCTTGATAGTGAAATCCATCTGTCTGCTATGACTGGTTCGCTGCATTCCCACATAATGTAGCGTAATAGAGGGCACAGCTCATAAGCTGTATAGATGTTGGTTGGAGATACGTTGTTGAATCGTGAGTAAGGCGATAATATCAAGTACTTGATGTGGGAGCAACGCTGCAATAAGGGACGGATCCGGTATTTAAAACTGAGAACACCGTCCAGTCTTAAGAAGATAATGTTGTGTATCGGTGGCCTTTTGTGTCTGCTTCTGCCATCAACTTGTTCAAGAGTAGCGTCTGATAAGTTAGTGCGTCCATCAAACATCACTGAAAGATGCGTTAATGACGGCAAGAAGTCCAGTAGCATTGGCAGCGAGATATCGCAAGTGTGAAATGAAATCGTCAGAGCAGTTAGCGTATGCGAGAAATATCTGATGAATCCTGGCAGTAACGTGCTACTGTCGAAAATAGGTTGTAATTGTTTGCTATGCACATGGTTGCTGATGTCTTGGTTTTTTATTGAAAACAAAGAAAAAGCTTTAGTATATCTTTTGCGCATAAGCAGTAATAAGTACTACCGAATACGCGATCCTCTTAACGCAAAAAAAAGAGTATCGTTTTACTTTACCAAGGAAGCGAATGCAGCATCTTCGCCAAGCAAGTCGTTCCAGTACTTAATACGTGGCTTGAGATTTGGTGTATACTGATGCGACTTGTTCTCCCAGACATTGAAGCATCGCGTCGCTCCTTTTGTTCCATGCATCAGGCGAAATTTCCACCAGTGTCCACAGAGCTGTCTGGTAAGTGGGGATCGCGTAAAACCAGCGGCGACATACTTACACACATTCGATACAGTGCCGCTGACCGATAAACGAGAAGATGTACTGAATGATTTCGGGAGGCAAAATCGAGATCAAATCAGTCATATTACGAGTATGTGAAAGGTACGAGGCTTTTAATCGAACAAAGCCTGCACAAGATAATCCGGACTCGTGAATAGTATGTCCGACAAAGGAGAAGCGAGTCGAACCAGGTAGCTCACCTGAATTTTATGCTATCATAGCGATACGCAGATACACATTAGAACAGGGCTCTTTCTAAAAGCATCGACTTCTCGATACGAAGCAAAAGGCTTCAGTGAACACTCGCGTTTATTGTTTACAAACCGCAAAAGTCATATATTAGTAACCAATCGCTTGGCCTGGAAAACACAGCATCCCTGTGTGCAAGTTTTGGTAGAGCAACTATATCATATCTTTAACAGGTCCTCCTGATATCTTTGGTGAGCGATCATCACTTTCAAATAGGTGACGCATACCTTGAAAATATGTAACGAAGTAAAGTTAAATAAGAAAAGGAAGAGAGAAGTGAAGGTGTAAGGGGGTGGGGAAAGAGCTGTTACAAGATTCACGCTTTGAAGCAGGCATATCGGAAACATCAGTGCAAGCTTTTCGATCCAGGTGAAACCCAAAATGATAAGAAAATTGTGTTGTGATAAGCTACGTGCAGGAAGAGTGAGAGAGACGAACAGCTGAAAAAAAAACATTCCAATTTTTTACAGATCTGGCAATTATACATGTCTGCTGGCGTGTGCTCTGGCGTTGCCTCTTATAAAATAACCGACCATATCCTCGATAACAATTTTTTTCTTGACAATTGCTTTGGCAATTTAGGCGAACACAGAAAGTGAAAAAGAGTGCCAAAGCATTGTGATCGTGTTACTTTCGGCTACGATACAGAGCCACTGTCACTGTTCCCCGCTTTGGTTTAGCACGGAGCTGTGAATGGATGGAGAGGGGAGTAATTAGCTTTTTGTTCGCGAAAAAAGAAAAAGGAACTTGTCGTGCACATAAAAAAAAGGCGAGGCAAAAGCGGTAAAACGTTTATGCGGAAAGTGCGAAAAAGAAAAATATATTTTTTTTATTTTGTTTATCATTTTCTTATTTGTGTGTAATAAATAATAAAAAAAAAGTTCGTTTCAATTATCCCAACATATACCGTTGGCATCACATGCACCCGAAGGTTCACGATCGGCTGCCGGAGTATATGACCACATTCCCACTGGTATATATTGCAAATTTTCTTCAGGGCGCGGACCACTGAATCTGCCGATCATCAGAAGAATTATGACAATAGCCAGCACAAGCAATGACCCGATCATGGCACAGAGCAGTGCATCTGTACTACAGACCAAAGCTGTACCAAAACGAACTGAAGAGAAGAGAAAAAAGAAAGGCGAAATTGCTCGCTTTATATAGACATTTTTCTCGTTCGGGACTTCAAATCCCCGTGAATTCTCATTGGCCCAGATAACGGGTTGCGTATCAACTTGTGGGCTGCCTACTATGGCATAACAAAAGATACAGCACCAAAGGAAATGAAAGGAGGAGTGGTACCTGATGGTCAAGTAGACAAGCGTGCTTCGGCGGTAGTGGTACGTGTCTCTCACCATGCGGAGCTGTACCCTCCGATGGTATCGGCGCTTGTTTGTGAGTGGGGCCGTGCACGGCACCGTGTCGAGCAAAAACAAAGACACGAATGTGAATGAGCATGTAGATTCACGGAAGAAATGCTTTTCTGTGAGCAATCAAATGGCAATACAGGAGTGATTGACAAGGTAAACAACTTAACAGATTCTACGGCATCAGTTGCTTAGTAAATATCAAGGACACGATCCTCCCAGCAGCCAGTTTCCATTTCACCCAACAAGATAAACAGTATAAAGCGTAGTCTACAGACGATTCCATTTTGCTAGTATCTTTTGACTGCATGTGCGGTGTGCGGGAATAGATACAACACACACTTGACTCCAACGCTGCAGTGTATCAAAGATCGTTATCTTTTATTGTGAAGCGTGCTTGTCTACTGTTGCTTTATAATTTTCGCCATCCGCCAACAGTTCTCTGAACTACGCCGTGTAACCTCCCTCCATCCATTCCGAATTCATACTCTATCCAAGTATGTATGTGCTGCCGCAGATAAGCTGTCCGCTCATGGTAAGTATACGCTGCCGCTAGTGAAACTGACTCACCCTTCATTGATTTTCATTGCTGCTGATAAAGTTAATCGGTTCGTTTGTTTTTGTGCGGGTTCTACGTTTTTTTTAGCAGCTTTCAAGATCCATTGGGACGATCAGAAGAATAACACCATAAACGATGACTTCCTACTGTACATCTTTTGACCCTTTTGCGCGTAACTCGTTGCTCCATTGATCACCTTGTTCACCCGCCATTCCTTTGTGCACTTTGAGTACCAAGTAAATTGGCCAAATCGTTGCGTAACAATGCGCTTTCACTCTACGGAGTTTTCGTTTCAAGGGAAAGCTGTTGGAACGTTCGAGGTTTGACACACGCATCACTTGTCACTATCCAAAGAAGAAAGATCTGTGTTGCGCTCTTCCTGAGCTCCTCGTTCCTAGACTACCTTTGCTTCCTGCTGACTCACGTCAGTGTACTCTTCCAGGTCTCAAGCTATGCTTTCCAATATTTATCTATAATCGCACTCCAATACTGCTCTGTTTGTGTGAGGATATCATCTGTTGTTGATGTTGAGACATAATGGTGGTGATAATTAGAGACTGTATGTCAAAGCTATCGATGCGCTGTCAAGACTTCCTGAGTACTTAACTGGTCTATCTCTGGTGGAAGTGGCTCATACAATGAACATTTCAAGGGATGCCAACAGACAGCGTGGAGACATGCTGAGGACACGACCATCACAGTCAACATGGATGTTTAAAATGCAACCAAGATTTGTAATTTATACGAATCGAACTCAGATGGTTTTGTTTGCATTATTAGAAGTGAAGGCTACCGATGCGAAAGAAAGCTGTATATTACTTTATACATTCCACATTCAACGGTATCCCTCACAATGGTTAGCAAGTTATTGTCCAAGTACAGTAATGGTAATCCCTGCAAAAACAAATGGAGAGAGAAAATAGCATTAAAAAAAGAAATAAAGAGCTACACGAGAGCAGTGCGGAATACACAGAAAGAGGCGAGACCCAAGGCAACCAAAATGTCAAAGGCTACCAACGAGAAACGAAAAACACTGGATGTTGCGAAGCCAAAAGCATTTTGACGTCGAAGACAGGAACAGTAGCACCAATCTCGAAAATAAACTTGCGACGAATTAGAAGATCAACAAGATGCGTAAACAACACAGTAGCAGCGGCAGCAGTTGTAGTAGTGGTGCTCCGATCCCTTTTCAACATCAGATACAATTCAAGCGACACCGGTCAATGGTTCTCCTAGTATGTTGCCCAGTGCGCTGAGGGACTGCTCCACCATTTCCACATCTTTAAAGAAACTAGAGCAGCCCGGCATAAGATATCGTAAAAACTTGAATATTACTATAGCGAGTAGCCACTGTATAGAGCTTGAAGCTAGCTATTATTTCTCAGAATGGCTGACCTTGTCTATTGCAATCGTATACGGGACCTTTTCTTAGACGGCATGTCACTGCCTCAATATCTAATGCAATTTAAGTTTTACTGCTAAAGACCATACTTTCTTGTCCAGCTTTAATAAACGATTCGCAATCGAAATCGCTGAAATTAACTACAGCTATAATAACGTCTACATACCAGCAGTGGAAGATTCATCATCATCACCGCCACCGACGATCTCACCTTTCAAATACAGTACGATGATAATGCATAGTATATCAGCCATCCAAACTAATGACGTGCTTCTTGGACTTGCCATATTGTATTTGGAGCAGTCTTGAAACTTCGGATATTGTCATTAGGATCAATATGCCTCATCAGAAATTTATCATTTAGGCGGTCGCTTTGCCAGATTAAAATACTGATTGATACTGATAAGTAATTTGAACATGTCTTCACATATCTATACGAGGAGTTTGATATGCCAACAAATAAGTACTTCTCCACTGCAGTACCCCCATACAAGTGAAAGCGCTCTCAACTGAAATTCTATATTGACAAGAGATTCTGCACGAGCCAGCTTAAACGAATATGCTCTTTCCGTTCCTGTGTTAGCCAGTACTTGTTTTTAGAATAGATTTGAGTTTGTTATGGTTTTATCTACGTGCGTGTAACGTATACGTGTAATATGGATGTGTGGATTGTTTAGTGCTGGTTTGCGTGATAGAACAGAAAACAAAATGACAACGGGGTTAAGAGGAATTAAAGGTGCTTTACTGTGCGAAAAAAAAGACGGTGAAGAAAAGAGATGCTATTTACAAAGGGGCAGGTTTATCTAACGGATGAAACCGTAGAAGGGCAAGTTTATGGATTCGATGACTCCAGATAGTAGCCGATGCCGGGGCGAGTGGCAAATTCTTGTACTCCTGGTAAATCTCCCGACCACCACTGGCGTCTTCTGCTGACAGCATAGCATACAATGCATAATAGTAAGTGCGGACGAGCAGTCTTGCAGAGTCGGGCGAGGGATCGGTCTCTTGTAGCCGTGGTCGATAAGGCAACTTCCACAAGGCACGTATCCAATCCAAATCACCGGCCATAAATGCCCCCTGTATTAATAGATCATATGTAGCTACGTCGGGGCAGGCTATGGGGGATCCATCGCTCCTTACGTACTGGCTTGTCATTTCGTCAAAGGTCCTTTTCACCGTCGGTAACCAGCGGCCAAAGCCAACGAGTCCCATAAAAAGTGCATTGTAATGGATTGTGGTCACTGTCGTGTCTGTCTCCTTGATTTCTTGCCAGAATTCCCATGCTTTGTCGGGTAAACCGAGTCGGGCATATGCAGTCAATAACGCAGTGCGTGCCAGATGGTCTGGTTTGTTGTAGTGTCGTACAATTGTGTCGTAGCATTCTTGGGCGGCCTTAGCATGTATATCGCGTCGAGATGGCGATGAACCTTCGCGGCGATGCCATGTTTTATCATCACCCTCATCATGGTTACTACTACTGATGCTGCTGCTGCTAGCATCCAAATCCCTGGTACCCGCTAGACCATGGGCTTCAATGAGTACGGTGAGCGCAGCCTGGTCCAACACCTCGGCATCCGACAGTTTGGAGAGTCCGCGCAAGACATTGATGGCTTGAAGAGGGTTTTCATATATCGGCGAGTCAACAAACATGGTGGCAAGGATGGTATAGGTTGTTAGATTAGCGGGTATCCCTTGGTCAACCATTTCGCTGAAAATGTTGTACGCCTTGTCGTATTCAAAAGACTTTGCATAGCCTTGAATAAGTGGTGCAAAGACATGGGCGGTGGGTCGCAGATCGAATGGTGACGCCCGCATGAGTCGAATGACTGCATGTGCTCTTTCCATATCGCCCAATTGAACGTATCCAACCACCAGATGTGCAAACACATACTCGTTTGGAGCCACGCCCTTTTCCACCATGGCCTTGAATATCTTTTCAGCTGTGTGCATGTCGCGACCGAGCACTGCATTCCGTATCGTCGTACCATACGTCACGACATCCGGACTCTGTCTCGACTTGCCGAGCGATTTCAAAATCGTCGACAACATCTGTTCAACATTACCCCGCAAATCCAACTTGCCATAAATATCCAGTGCAATATTGAGTGTTCGATCGTTGGGTTTGACGCCTTGTTTTTCCATCTCTTGAAAAGTTGCCTCCAGAGTCTTCCAGCTTGGCGTCGTCCGAGCGCGTGCGGCCAACAACAGATTGAACGTGATCACGTCTGGCTTCAAACCATGCTTGGTCGAGGCTGACCTGATGAGGCTGCTCAACTTGTCCATATATCGCATCCGTTCGCGTCCATCCACAGCACTCTTAATCCGCCGCAGGTATGCTGCTGCAAGCTTGTTGTAAGTATACATAGTAATCGGCTGATTGCAATACATATCTCTGTTACGGAATATGACCTCGGCCCGTTCGACGAGATCCATCCGATCAAACAGTTCCAGAATCACTCGAAATTCGTTTTCGTCCCAAAAATAGCCCAGCGGTTGCACATGGGTCAGCAAGAGTTCTAATTGTCGATGGTACCGTCGCTGGAGTTGTTGTGCCTTGTAGTATGAATGTGTCGTAGTCGTTCCAGTCGTCGTCATATTCGAAGATGAACCGGTGTTTTTGCTGCTGCTGCTGCTGTTGTTGTTGTTGTTACCACTACTACTACTGCCTTCAGAACGAATGTCTGCCCGCAGACACGCAAGCAGTTGTTGTGCTATTGCGCGAGGAACGCCATGTTCACGCGGTAAATGGGCGATCGCTTCAAACGCCTCTAATGCCCTGACCCTGTCACCATTTTCCAAATGTGACCGGATCGTGATTGCTGTTGACATGGATTGCGGCGGCAGAATGTGGGAATCAAACTTTGCACTAATGTGAGGTGGAATACGTCGATGACTGGTCTTTTTGTCGATTGTCGTTCGTTGACCGTTATTGCTGTGGTGGTGGTAGCGTTCGACATTGCTAAACGCTGTCTCGAGTTGCAGTTGTTGCTGTTGCGATAGTACTCTACTGTCGGCTATATATACCAGCAGTTACATTGCTTGCATTAATATTTTGACGCGTCGAAATCAAATGACTTTCTTTTGTTTACCTCGACAGGAACATGTTGAAAACGTTCGTCGTGTTGTTGTTGTTGTTGTGGCCACCGCAGGGCGTGAGATAAAAGACTGGTTTTCGAGTTCGTTAAGAAGAAATAACTGCCATTGCTGCAATAGGTGGCGATGTGCGTGCTGCCTTGTGGCAGAGTGCAGCCGCCCACCACAGTGCAAGTGGACCATAACCAAGGGGTTTTTTTGTTGTGTTTATACTCTGTTTGCAGCGACGGGTTCAAACAGTTTTGATTTTTGTTTCTGAGATTGAATTGATTTCTTTTTCTCCAGTCAAAGTCAAAGGCTTATAAAACAAACTAGCACCCTCTCCCCCAAGTTCCAAACGTCCTCGCTGACAGATTTGTCATGTGGAAGAGTAGACACTCTGACAACATTCAATTCAGCAGTAATGGACCGTCCAACATAAGAGCGTATGTACTATAGCTAGTTGTTTCTACGATGATATAAGTTAATGCTATTCTGTTGATATCTGAATGGCGGGCAATGGAGGAATTTACAAAAAAGGTGGCGCGACTTTTTTCCAATGAGTCGTGGACTAATTCGCACTACGACTCTATATATTGCATGTCTTTAGTATCATCCCGTCGCATACATGATATATTTTTTCGCGACTCACGTGGCAACTCCATCAAATTACTGAGTACTACAAAAAATGACCAAGTGCTTTGTTACATATTGTCTCGCTGTCAATGCGCAGTGTTGACGACGATAATGGTACGATTTTACATAGTATCCAATAAAGAATTTCTGGATAGATGGGCGAGACGGCATATGATGGATGGTTGCATGGTTCGCACACAATTTTTTAATCGATCAAGTTCCCACGATAAAAGAGATGATTGCTGTGAGAAAAATGTGGAGAAAAAGAATTCCTGATCTATTACTACTGTGTATGCTTTTGACGGAAAATGTCGGTTACCATTACATGGTTGTCATCGTGGGATTTATCATGAATGATCGATTAGATATTCCTTTTCTTCTTCTTTTTCGTCCGTGATCGTTTCTAGTAGTATCATAATATGAACTATTTAGGGTGGGTAAAACGTAATGAAAGATCTGTACATCCGTATATCAAGCACAGCATCAGAAGGATGATAATGATAGACCCATGTATACAAGCATGAGCAGCACTTGGGTGTTCCACGTGCATATTACATATGATAGTGTCGCTTTTATTACTGAAAGGTGAGCCTACACTGCTACATTTACATATGTCAAAGAAGGCGCATTTGGTTGCACAACTACGACAGACTAGTGTTGTTGCTCAGGCCATCTCCACATTATCCCGCTGTTGATGCTCAACAAAACTTGGTACTCATGACCTGATCACCTGTCTGCTGCTAGTGTATCAGATTGAGTGTAGCACATTATCATACATATGATACTTACCAGAATTCTTTAATTGTCCATTGTGCTAGAGAGTAGAGTTCATTATGTTTTCACAAGGAGAAAGGCATATCTCGTGCGTCCAGATCATTATATATGTTTACGGAGCAAACACCTTATTTACTACTTACGTAATCTAATATCATAATGAATAACATTCCACGCTGCACAGTATTATACAAGAGCTTCCATCTACAAATGATCACACGTACATACAGTACTTCACTTATTGAGGACCAGTGGAATAGAATAGATGTGAAAACGGCTCTGATGATTCACGGGTGCTGCTGCGCAGTTGCTGGTCGAGTAACACATGCATGCACTTCTTCTATAATGTCTACAATGTACTACATGTACACACAAAAAAGCCGACCTATCACAAGTTCCAACCTTTCGGTTTTTATATATCGCACAACGTATGCTACGCCCGTTCGTGCTTTCCCCCCTTTCCCCGTCCCTTATACTATCTTTAGCAAAGATATCCCCATTTGTCAATATCGTGCAGGTATATAACATTTTTTAGTGTAGTAGTAGGTCCAAAATCACGAAATATACTTTTTCTATTAAACATGCAACACCGTTACATATACGGACAAATTAACCCTCGAATAAAAGCATATTCACAAGCATCAAATTATGAAATGCACGCTGTCTTCATCTCTTTATCTAAGTCATCCTAACGGTGTCTTGTGTTGAGCAGATATTTATAGAAACGGCACAAGGTTTGTATTTTAGTGCATAATCATAATCATCATTGTCAATACAACTGTTTTCTTTGAGTCTTGTGATTACCACGAAGGGTGGGTGCGGTTGAGGTTGGGTGCCTGAGCATTTTTTCGGGAAGCAAGGGCCCAGTATATAGTTTGAATTAAGGGTTCGTTTTTATAATCAGGTATAAATCATCTGAAAGATACATAAAATTTCATAAACCGTCAAGTGACCAAAACATCCAAGCCGAGGGGGGGGGTGCACCGAGTCACTAGGACATATAGCTTCTTCTTAACTTTAGCAGCAATGGACCGATGCTACAGGTGGTGTGGGCGCACTTTGTTTTATTAGTAGGATCCAACTTTTATCTACCTGCTGCAGTGATTTAGCCAAATAATGTTATATAGCACCTTTCCATCATTATGTAAGCATGGATTTGCAAAGGGTTCGTCACGTTGACATTGGAATGAGTGGCTATATGCTGCAGGAAACAAACCCCTCTGCTGTTATGCATATGAAAAATAGGGCTATATTTACTAGTATGTAATGGTGCAAAGAGTCTCATCAAAACAAACAATTTTTTTGGGCTTCTTTTGCCATATGAAGAAACGAAAAATGGTTCCCAAATTTTAAATCCGGGTATGAGGTTGGGTTGGGTCTATACGTTGGGGACCAGGGGGTGTGGTAGTATAGTATTGTCCTCTTATACAAATTGATCTGTCGGAAACGTTATAGAGTTGCACGGTTAGATATAGTGTTGAGAAAATGTACAAGTGGGAGCAAGCGGAAGAGCGAGTAGTGTATCATATGCAATATGTAATGAGCGGTTGTCACATGAAACGAAAAAAAAGGGTCAGGTTTTTTTTCTAGAGATACACACACCACGGGAAATGCCAAAACGGTCTATTCGAGTAGTATCATGTACGAGGGCTGTCTCGCGGACATCATTAAATTCCTATAGGGCAAAGGTCCAAGTCTTCACAATAAATGACATACTGCTCAGCCGATATATATGCCATCATCCGATCCTATCTGTCTTTGTAAAATACTGTGGCAGCAATAAGAGCAGTAATATATCATGCAGCTATGTAATACATACACCTTCAATTTTTAAATCAAATGTACATCAATTAATGGGAAAGGATGCTCTCGACCACAATTTGTTTGCGGGGTGGAAGCCAGCGCCGTTGTTACAACAGCTGCTGTTGGCGTCCATCGGATGTGGAAGGGATATAATAAAATGTAGTATGATTAGATATCCTAATTAATTTAAGTTTACAACAGCGGAGGTGATCTGCTACTAGTCCATTGGTGCTTGACTCGGTAAGTACTTAGTGCGCGGTATCTATAACGATGATGATATCAACTCTTATTTGGTTGTCTCGGTAACAATTTCCATGACGACAGACAGGATATTCAAGATGACAAACTAAAAGCTTTAAAGAACTGGGTTTTCTCTCATCAATATAATAGTATGCGCCTAAATTTGAGAGATTAGTTTTATTTTTTTTTCGACTAAACTCTTTCCGTAACATCCGGTTTTGGGTAGTTGATGCTGCAATCACCGAGACAGAATCTAAAAAAAACTCCTCTTTCTTTTTGGCTCTCAAGCGCGTTCTGCCAAAAGATGCCATCGACTATCGAGTAGAAAAATAGCTTCGTCTGCATTTGTCTCGGGAAGATACACGGCCAACTTCTAGAAGGCTGTACTTTTCCAATAGGCTGCATGGAGGGGGTGTGGAGAAGACCGGGCATTGAGGAAGAGGGCCAAGTGTGACATGAGGCACGTAAAAGGCAGGCTTATGTAACTGTAAAGTAAGGGCGTGCCGGGCCCGCCAAAACGTTCGCTTGCTGTTGTGTATGCGCGTGCGTGTGTACAGGCTGTCTGTTGTGTGCTATACCACAAGGCTGAGTTGCCCTTCTCTATTTTTCCTACTTTCCCTTCGCTCTCTTCTTCTTCCTCTCTTTTTTCTTCTTCTATTCCCTCTTTACTGCTCCCGCTCCAACTCTAAAAATCGGCTGCTTTTTTCTTTATTCAACGTCATTAGCACATCTCTCAGTTCCTCATTCACCGTTTCATGTTTTCGCCCCCTTTATTGACGGTGAAAGGAAATCAAGCGGAGCAAGACACCGTGGCGGCGACGGCGATAACAACAACAGCGACGGCTACGACGCCTATCATGGTGACAAAAGACGAGGCAGCAACCCCGTCGAGTTTATGCAGGCGGCCTATCATTCTGAACACACACGATAAAACAACGTTTCGGCATTCGCTAGCATCACAGTACTCCAGCACTTCGGCCAGCGGATCCAGTCATAGCCAGCGATACAGCGTAGGCAGTGCTGACAGTCTTGGTCACGTCGACCCGGCTACGGGCGCGACAATGATGGATTACAATAGCACCAACAATAATCCCATGCGACGATGGTCAGCAGAGTCTAGCGGTTCCGACCACGTGTCTTCACAACGTAAGCATACCCTTTATTCTTTTCGCTTTGCCCAGCCCTATTCCCTCCCTCCCCGCACCTTCCACTTGACCCCACCCTTGCCCTTCCTTCACTTCTTTGGAAGGGAGACCTCATATAACGATAGAATGGTTCATTGGCTTTGTTTGTAAGCGGGACATGAAAAAAAAAGTAGATAAACTCTCAAAAGAGACTTACACAAGACTCTTTTATTCTTTTTCGCTTTTTTTCCATAACATAAAAGCACCCTCGTCTCCAACAGGAACGTCATTCTCGTCCCTCCCACCGTCATCGCGGTTTCTTTTATCTGGTGCTACCAGTTCTGAAGCGTTCCGAGAGCAAGAGCTGAGTCGATTTTACCCGACCACGACATCAACCTTACGCCACATCAAAGCACTATCTGACCCCTTTGTCGTCATGCCCTCTGTTGCTGCAGCTTCTGCAGCTGCAGGTCCAACGAACGACCTTAATAATCACCATTATAAAAGCAGCGTTACAAACAATAACAAAATCAATCACAGCACGAGCACGCGTTCCTCCGAACCAATAGCAGCAACAACAACAACAACAACAACACGAACACTCGTCGACCCATGGTGCATGTCAGTCAAAGCTGCTCTTGAAAATGCAATATACAGCAACTATCTGCACAAATACGAGACGCCCTCGTTTGCATTCGCACGTTCATGGAAACGTCGGTACGTCGTACTGGTCGACCGCATCGTTTACGTCTTCAAATCGTCCAAATCGACCAACCCAGCACGCGAACACTTTATCCTGACCGATGATACCCTTGTGTTCGTCTCAGAAGAATTTCAAAAGAGCTACGTCGTAGAGATCCGCAAGCCCTTGTGCAAGTGGTATCTGCGCTGCGAGTCGGCTTCACAAATGAAGTTTTGGCTCGAGGCCATGAAGAAAATCGTCGCGTGTGCCAAACTCGGTCATACCGGGTCCTTGTCGGCCGGCATGCTGGCCAATCTCAAACTCACTGACGACTTTCGACTCTTGACCCTTACACAACAGCCTCAACCACCTCCACCATTACCGCCATCATCACAGCAACGATCACTGTCTACATCGCCTAGAAACTCGACGCTGGTTGACCAGCAACAGCAACCTCATATAAAAATGACAAAAGCAAAACACCGATCGGCAATATACCACCGCGCGGCGGCAGCCGAAGCGCTTGCTGGAATTACAGGAACAGCAACAACACTGGCGAATGGTAGCAGTGGTGGTGGTAATAGCAACGAAACCTTACCACAGCCGCCACAATGGTGGAAGCAGTACTATCAGCAGCCCCAGCAGCAGCAGCAGCAACAGCCATCGGAAAATATAAATCGCCGAGCTAGCGCGCAAGTAGCCACAACAACGACCGAGGCACTGTCGCAAGACAAGAGTTTGAAGCGCCAGTCCTTGGCAGAGATTCCGCACTGGCAATCCTTACTTCCTCCACAAAGACCGGTGCCTCAGTCGACGCCTCCTCCACCGCCAACGCCGCAGCCTTCACTATCGACGTCCTCTTCGCACGCACGTCAGCAACAGACAATACTTGCACCAGTTTCGGAAGACAACTGAGAACACACACACACTCTCCTTCTACTACTTGTTACACTTTCTCTCTCTCTCTCCCCAACCACATCACATCCAATCTGTAAAAATAGTTCCCCCAAACCCCTTTTCATCCTCTTATCCACACACTTTAAATGAAGACATCATCATCATCACTAACATCATCATCAACATCATCAATATTACTTCTTCCTGTCCACTCTTTTGTTTTCCGTTTCATTCTTCCTGTTCATAGTTGTACCAATCTTACCTACCACTCGCTCACACACGTCCGCACCCTTTGCATCCTCTGTATAAAACGCAATGCACCTCGCTACAAAATACATACTTTAATAATGACTTTGATATCTCTTATATAAATGCCATCTGTCAGTTTCTCATGGCAACTTTTGTAATCGCGTCGCTAGAAATCAGCATTACCATTTCTGGGTTCTTAAATGCTTGGAAAAAGCCACCCACCAAATTCAAGCAAGAGAAAAAAAAAGTTACCCAGCTGAAACTCCTTTTAAGTAATTACACACATTTCCTCTAAAAAAAATGAAGGCAACAAGAAAAGCTTCAGTAAAGAAACAGGCAGAGGAGAAGAAGAAGCCAGTTGAATCGACCACCACAGCCACTACCACCACCACCACTACTACCACTCCACAACAAAAGGCTACTATCCTTGACACTGATCTTGTAAGAAGAAGGGCTAGGAGAACGAACACGCATGCCGGTTTCTTTTTTTTTTATAGATCGTGATCTCCAGGGTTATTACTCACTTTATAAAAACTCTCTTATCAACGACGTAGGCCAAGAAAGCCATTCACGCCTTGTACCAACATAAAGAATCGCAATCGAGCAACGACCTTTTGGAATCGACTTCTTACCTCCATGGCAGCATCACTGTAAAGACCCTCAAGGCAGTAAAAGCACGATCGCTCAAGCCTTTTGTCTTGTATGTATATATTTATGTATTATGTTATCTCTCGAACCATCGAGCGAGCAAGAAACTAAATCTCGGCTCTCTATTAGTACGGTAAAACACTCGCCGTTCCCTTCTGACGCTGAAGTTTGCTTGATTGTACAAGAAGACAAACCCGTGTATGAAAAGGCACTTCGTCAAGAAGATATGAAAAATGTCAAGGTAAAGCAATTTGGATCTAGAAAGAGCAATTCGGGGTGGTGTTTTTTTTTTGTCGGCGTGTATTGCGTGTAGATGTGTATACTCATTTGGTTCTGTATCGATGTTTTTTCTTTGTAAAGGTATACACCCTCAAGGAACTGAGCGACTCATACAAACGCTACGAAGCAAAGAGAAAATTAGCAGCATCGTTCGACGTATTCCTTGTGGACAGAAGAATCATTTCGTTCATACCAAAATTGTTTGGCAAAACTTTTGCTGACAGAAACAAGTATGTATCCCTCCATCTTTCTCCATGTATCTATGTAAGAGTGGGTTATCTAACTTTGGACGCGATTTTTGTGTGTATAGGATGCCAAGACCCGTTGCATTGGAGCGAAAAGCATGGTTAAACACTATCAAGCGTACTCTTTGCAGCGTAACCTTCCATGATAACAATGGACCAGTAAAGTGCGTATTACACACTGGAAGGGGGAGGAAAAAGGGATAGTTTCTAACATACCTTTACTACTACCATTCAGGTCTTTCAAGTTCAGTCATATGGGTCTCGGTGAAGAAGAGGCTTACGAGAATCTTGCTGAAGCATTACCACAAATCCTTTCAAAGATTCCCGGTGGAGAGCGGAATGTCCAGGAACTTGGTTTGAGAATGGACCAAGGTATCACTTTGCCCATCTACAATTCGCTTCCAAGCAATTAACCTTCCTTTCCAAGCACACATACACACAAAAAAAAAATAAAGCATCCCCATCAGTTCCAGCATTCTTTTTATCACTACTACTACCACTACTAATAACATAATAACAAAAATGACATGACAATGCTATTTTGGTTACGCGATAAAAGAGGATTTAGGTATATAAATAAAAATAAAATATATGCATTTGTATACTTCACATGATATAAAAGCCACTGTATCAAGTCAACAGAACAGAGGGAGAAAGAAAGAAAAGAGTAGGTATGCTGCCCCATCATATTCTTTCCTTTCTTTCTTTCTTCCAATACAGCAGAGAGAAGGGCAAGAAGGGAAGGGCAAAGACGCGACAAGGTTATATAAGAGAGAGAATGTGTGTGTGTGTGTGTGTGTGTGTGACAGGAAATAGAGGTTCTGCTGGTAAAATGATTAGGTATGTTGTTCATTGCTGTTGTTGTTGTTGGTAGCGGTGATGTTATTGACCGTGTTTGCTGAAGCGAGCAGTTCACGCCGATTCTTTTCGAGTTCGTCGTGGTCCTGTTTCCAACACGCCAACACACACACACATACATATACCGTTTTTAGTCCATCATCATCTCACCTTTTCCTCCTTCTCCCCTTCTAAATTCTTTAAACATACCACAGGACTTGCACTACGAACCGGACTTGGCGGCAGACCCATTGCTTGTGATTTCAGGCTGTGACTTGAAGATGTTGGCGTGGTGGGCCCGCTGTTCAGACGATGTTGCTGCTGATGGCTGTATTCCAAGAGTTCTGCTTGAGAAAGCCGGATCGATAGCCGGTGGTGACTATTTGCAGCAGCTGCGGTAGCAGTGAGTGACGATGGCGATCCTGGCGGCTTGGGGCTGTGACGGCCGTTGATGGCTGTCATTGAACGGCCTGATCGGAAGGAGCGTACGGAACCCGGTCGAGAAGGTACCCTTGGATGGTTGGAAAGATTATGTTCGGCGAGAAACTGTTCAATGAAATCGACAATCAGGGGTTCTTTCATGGCAGACAATTTGTATTCGTCGAATGACTACCACGGCATATGCGTTAGTACCTTTGGAAATATCAAAGAAAAAGCAGTAATCGTCCATCCATCCATCATCCACTGACTTGGAAACACTATCCCACGTAGCATATACACACTAGAAACCCCGAATGACTGCATTCATTGTTGTCTTGTGATTAAATAAATCTGCACTTACCAGCTTGCCATCATTGTCCACATCCACATCTTCAAACATACGAGCAATCATATCTTTGATCTCTCCCGTTTGGTCTTCTTCAGAAAATGTATGCGACTATTTAAAGTGGATATATTATATATAAAGTATCAGTATGTATGGAATTTAAGAGTATCGATTTTTCTTTTTATGATCTGTCATATTAAAAGGAAATTTCATTGTTACCAGTTGCAACATGACACGTTCCAGCTCTGTTTTCGTCAGGTACCCGTCATGATTCACATCATATAGTTTGAATGATACTATAACGAAAAACGAAAAGGGGAGAGACGTCCGTTTAGTATGATCTATGAACGACAACGACAATAACAACAACAGACCGCCACTAAAAAAGATCATCCTCCTCCTCCCCCCCCCACCTCTCCTCTCGTCCCATCATATGCGCAGTGCTTTACTTACAAGCGAGTTTTTCTTCCGCTGTGCCTTTCATAAACACACTTAGTCCGTCAACAAATTCTCTATATTAAACAAAAATGAGCGTTACTGCATTGTTGAAATAATAAAAAAAGAGTTAGCTCGTACTCGAAATCTATTGACTTGTTGTTGTCGACATCAAACGCAGCATAAAGTCGCTTTAAGAATATATCGTCATTCGGGGACATTGAAGGCACATATTTCTTGACTGTCTACAAGTAACAGATGGTCCCAAACGGGTTGGGGGTGTTGGTTAATGATTGTATGTTGAAGAAGAGATAAAATAATAATAGTCGAGATTGCTAGATAGGGTCCCCAGATACAAAACAAACAACTCTAGACAACACAATGAGGAGGCATACCTCTCGAAAGACATCTTCTGTTATGCTACTGCTGTCAGATCGTTTGGGCGTTGAAGCTTCCAAATTATGCCGAAGATGCCGAATCTCCTGGTGAGAGACTACATATATACATACACATATTTAAAACAGTTAAATAACTTCATTGGGAGTCCACTTTTGCTAATAGAGAACGATATACTACAGTGGGTCTTTCGTGCTAATGCCCTGTTTTCTTTGCTTCGTGCTTGTCCCATGATGGTGAAGAGAAAAAAAGTCTTGTTTAACTGGTTTGGAAAAAAAATGACGGGGTGGGGAGGAGAAGTATATGAGAGAGAGGGAGGAGAAGCAAACAAAAAAAGAAAAGCGAACCAATATTAAGGTTGTTGTTCAAACTCTCTCGCAAGAGCGAGAGCGAGAGAGAAAGAGAAAGGAAAATCGTTTTTGCAGTTACTAGAGCCCACCAATAAAATGTCAGCGATTTTACTTAAAGGAAGGGAGCTTGATGGGGGGTCGAAGAGAGAGAGAGGGAGTGCTACTACTGCTACTAGTACCGTACATGGTAAATATAATAAATTTTTGTCACCGTACGAGTCGATCTGTAATAGTTCTACTGATAGCGAATCGATTACTGAAGCGTCCTTTTTTTCAACCTTCATTGCTCGTTATCTTCGTTCATGCGCACTTTGAGTTTTTCGCTGCTTACATACCACATTATAATCATGCAAGTTGTAGTGGCACGCATAGCAAACTACGTAATGATAATTAGCACGCAATTCATAACAGCACGATAGAATGATGTACATAGTGCGTCGATGAAAAGGATTAACATATAATGCTTTCCATGACTACATAGTGCCTTATGTTGTTAAGATTATCAGAGCTCAGGTTGTTCTAGGCCTTCTTACTGTTGTTGCTGCTAAGCAACCTGATTGATATGTACTGGCTGTCTGATAATGTCGACAAGATACCAACTTTTATTGCCGCGAACGATGATGCTGTACATGCCACTTTTCTTGGTCTCGTGGTCGAGAGAAAAGAAAATGATGCATTGTTGTGTATATAGGAGGTGCGCGCGTGTGTACACGACGACGTAATGTTATAGTGCAATCTGTCACAAGACCAAGATATCAAAGCCTGTTCAGCTGATCTAAGCGATGCAGACTACATACAGTGAAAACGGCAAATTTTGTCACTTTGAAAAATCAAATGTCCTTTAACCAAAAGTAAATGTCACTTTACTAAAAATGATTTCAGCAGGTACAGCATTACATGCCTCAGTAAACCTTTCGGATATTGTTTGTATATTGCCAGCAGAGTTTCTAACTTCAGGCTCAAACGTGGATTACTTAGCCGTTATAAGCATTTTGCTTCTCAGGTAATGATTAAGCTGCGTTGTGGAAATTGAGAAGCTCATAAACTCTTCAGATAACTTATTGCTGATATCTTCGGAATAAAAAAACTGTGGGTATACTTATTATCAAGTAGTTCTCGAGTATATGTCTCGTGTTCAGCTGTGAAAGAGCTTGGGCGGCCAATGTTATTTTTTTTTTTTGAAAGTTTGTATGGCACTTCATCTGGTTCTTGATAACGTTCCCCACCATCGCCAGGCAGTACGAAGTTCAAAACCAAGCTCCTTTGCGAATCGAACAATTCTTCCTCTTTCTTCAGCACTTTCCAACATTCTGTCTATAGACACTTCTCTTGTTCTATCGTTATAACTGTTGTACATGTTCTGCTCCGGTAGCGGCTCTTGGTACTTACATGCGTATAACTTTCTTTTCCTCGATAGACTTGCGAGCTTCCAAAACCAGCTCTGCGTGGCTATAGTTTTCAGAACAATGTTAGGATTTGTATTTTGCGTTAGAATATCCTGCATAGGGTCAAAAACGTCTAATATCTTGCTCGTTATAAACGTTTCCCTGTCTTTCCTATATGAAAACAAGTGCTCATCATAATTTTTAAAACGGAAACTATATTTATACTCCAGTAAATGTTTAGGACAAATTGGTCTAACCTATTGTGATCTTTCTAGATCTCCAAAAGTACATGTGATATCTCACACACTTACAGTAAAAAAAAAGAAAAAAAGACTAGTAATAGAAATGTTTTGACACTGTTTATCCGTTGTCTTTATTGAACAATGAAATGCGCAGGTGTTTATATGATGAGTCCGTTATTGAGACTATTACATTATGACTTCTTTGAGTAAAATTCCTCCACCATACTGTACAATAATAAGATATTAGTAGTGTTTATGCTTTAGTATGTTTGTGTGTCATCTCTATAGCACATTGCCGCGTTTATATAAGTCATACCTTTTACGTTATAATTATACTTTTTAATTCAGGGATATAATCTGTACAATGTCTTTCTAGGTTTGGTTCAGCATAGTCTATAAAGCATTCTCTTCGAGTATTAACTCTGATATAGTTACTGTATGTATTACCAGAATATCTATTATTGGTAGGTGTCGCAATCTGACCCGCGGGTTAAGGACGGGTTAACGGGTCGGGTTGATGCTTTTCTGACCCGCGGGTCAACCTGTCTAACCCTTGACCCGACCCGTTGACCCGTTGTGACCCGTGTATACATACAGTTGTACCCCGGTTTTTGCAACCGAGGGTTTTCCGATTTTTTTTTGCAAAAACTGAGGATTTGCAAGTAACGGGGTAAACAATTCTGCTTCAATTAGACACTGGATAAGTCATCCTATTAACACTAGCCCATTGTTTATCTGTCAGAGATTATGTACGATACGTTCTGTGGGAATATTCATACAGCTCTAAATGTTACTACTTGCATATATAAGACCGTTCTTTTATTAAGCTGTCTAGTGGTTTGATAATTATTAGCTCTTTTAAGCATGACAAAATCGTTCCACAAGTTCACCTCTAAGCAAGAGGATCCAACTTACGACGAGCACTTGAGCAGGCGGTGGACGAAAGCGCTGCTTCGCCTATTCCAGGGCTAACGTTGAAGGAAAAACAGGTTGCAATTGCAGGAGTTTTGAGCTTTTTGGATAATATCGATGACTGCGACTTAAAGAAGTCTTTGCGTAGGATTCAAGAGAGTTTCAGGCAGCAATCATTCTCCCGGCAATCATCCCTTGATGACTTCTTTGATGTATGTAGTTGAAAGCTCATTTGAGCAAACATTTTATTTCTATATCTTTATGTAGTGTGTTCACTTTTTCTTATATCTTCTTCATTTCTTTTGTTGATTCAACCCAATCAGTGCTATATATGTGTCCCGGTTCTACTGGCTCAACTACCAAGTGATAATTTTTATATCGACAATAAATACATCTTCATATTTACATATTTATCTTGCAGTAACCGTATCATTTTATTCCTCATAATCCGCAACAGATGCTTCTTTCAGTTGATATTGCAAAAATTGAAGCTGTTTTACCCCGATAACGTGCAAATCGTATAACTCATTTGCAAGTTGCAAATTTGCGAAACTACTAAGTTTTTTTGGCGGGAGTAAAGTAGCCGGACCTACACCTTAGCAAATCATAATTCGAGATAGTGTTTAAGTTCACCTATGAGAATTCGAGATAGTGAGAATTGTATCACGTAGTCTACTAGTACAACGATCCTATTTTGGTAAAGTAGTGCCGTTTGGGTTTTTTCTTGCATAAATATATTCTCACACCATGAGAGAACTTGACTACTTCATCCTTTTCTTCTTTTTATCTTGTATCAAAAGACATGAGCGACAGAGAGCCCTACAATTTCAACTTTAAAAAAAGAGGCCGCAAAGCTGGTGGTAAAAACCCAAATGCTGGGCGCAAACCGAAAAAGACGAGACCTCTTGATCAAAGCGTACTCAATTTTAGTGGGGTTGCGCAATCTGCAAGTGCAGTCGACGATAATGTAATCACTAATACAACGGTAAGGTCATAACAAGATGCAGCAGTGAGCTGTACTTTTAAATGTGTGCAGTAGTCTCTTACAAAATCGAGCCAAATATTTAGAATATTCATCCGCGAGAAAATGAAATCCCATCACTACGTCAAATATGCCGCACGGTTCTTGAACGCGTCGTGGTAAGCGAAACTCGTTCTTTGATAACACCGGTTACTGCATACATGATTTCTAAATATCTTATCAAAATATGGGCTCTTGCTTTTCACTATAGCCATCTTCTACATGTGACGAGCACAACGAGGATCAAATTTTGGGCCTTGGGAGTCTAGTGCGCGATTTGGAGGTTGAAAGTATGGAGGCCGAAGTTGAATGCGAGCACGAAGAAGATGATGACGGTGAAGCTGGTGACGTTGCTCAAAATGTGGAGGATGACACAACGTATAAAGAAGCTCCAATTTGTAGTCAGTATTTCATGGAACTACGCGCCCGTATCGTTGATGAATGTCAAAATGGGTCCAAACCGCCAAAAGTGTACTGTGAGCAGCAAACGTTTTGGATCGAGCCACCAGCGCCTTATTTCTCTTTGTACAACACCAAGCAAGCTGATCCGATTCCACTGTATCGTCCGCGCGTTTTTTTATGAGCTCCCCATTTTATCACAAAAGCAGTGTTGAAGTGTCCAATATGCAAGGAAAATAACGTTGATTCGCACTTGGTGTCAAAGGGACCTGCTGATAACCCATGTGCTCGTCGTGTTGTTGACCTTGACAGGTACTATTACATTACGATGCTTTACTTTTCTTTTATTTTATTTCAATTATGTAACTAATCTTTCTGTATGCTTAGATGTTTCTATATCATGTCTTATAGATACAAATGTTCAAACACAAAATGCATAAAAAACTATATGGCGCATGATAATCAAATCATAGAGCAGCTCCCGGAACATCTTCAGGCTGAATTCCCTGCGTACCTCACACATCGAAGCGCTGTTTCTAAACATCTTGGTGACTTGTTGCGGACAGTTGTCCAAAATGGCATGGGTGTTCATCGGCTGCAGAGAGCGCTTCGCGAGTTTCATACTTTGCGCCACGCACGACTTCATTTGCAATACTTGAATTCACTTATTTATCGCCGTAAGAATCCAACTCTCTACGAATTAGCCAACAATAACCGTCAAGTCAAGTACCCATCATTTTCGAGCTTCAAGGATCCAAACGGATATGCTGGTTACGTTCCTTCAACTGCGTACTTACGACTTGTATACACAGCCTTGATTGAACAATTACGCCCACTCATCGATAAAGAGTTATCAGAGCTCGGTGGTTTGATTCTGAAAGGAGACCACACATTTAAGGTTCCGAAGCATATGGCGAAACTTG